TCTTGAGCTTGTCCGTGTCGGTGTCGTCCTTGGAGGGCAGAGAGACATTGCCCGTGAGCTCATGAAGCATGAGAAGTTTGTTTGGAGACTCCTCGATAGCATCTGCAGGAGGATCATCAGCGCGCGCGTACGATAAATCACTTCTGTTGGTTTCAGCTCACCCATGTCAAAAAAGCGAGCGAGCCAGATGGCCTTTGGCTCCAAGATGGCTTTGGCGTCTGCCACCTTTCTCTCTCCAATGGAGCTGTCGTGGGTGTTGCGAGCGTTGTCTGCCTCCTGTATGCCCTGGTTGTAGTTGTAAAATTCTTGTGCGTAGTGCTCGCCCATGAAATGACATCTGTGCGACCCGTTGTATAAGACCATCTTGGCGCCCGGCTTTCTGGCCGCACTCGACCAAGTAATGACATTCGAGTATTGCCCAGATTTCAGGGGCTCCAGGTTGCCTCTGACATGCTCCTTCTTCACTCCGATGAAAATTGCATTGGACGCGTGGCAGTTTAGCAGTCCTGAAGCTATCTGGTTGGCGTCGATCTTCTTTATGATGGAGCTATTGATCGGTCGGCAGTTGTAAACCTGACGGATCATCTCTGGACCATTGCCCAAGTCGTTCTTGGTCCCTCCGACATGAAGAAGACCATAACCAAGCTCCGCCACCAGCAGATCATCAAGAATCTGCTGGGTCTGCAGAGAGCGTTGTTCCCCTGCTGCTTTCTGCAAGCGTGTTAGCATACGCGCATCATATAAAGATCAGAAGGTCACCTTCTTTGGAAGTCGCTTCTTCTGCAAAGTATGGTCAGACAGTCGTCCGCATCGTCATCATGACGGCTTACCTTTGATGACTTTGCCTTTTTGGTCTTGCCTTTCGCTGCCGACGTCGTAGCGCCTTTCTGTTTGACTTTTGAGACCGATGGCAATTTAACATGCGCGTATGATGACTGACCTCTTCATTCTCCTGTTCTTGCTCCTCCTCCTCCTCCTCCTCCTCCTCCTCCTCCTCCTTCTCCTCCTCCTCCTCTTCTTTCTCATCATCATCATCATCATCCTCCTCCCCATCTGTGGCATCTTCTCGTTGCTCTGCAGCATGTTCTTCCTCTCTGCATTCTTCATTTTCCTCTGCTGATTTGTCTTGCACTTGCTCCTCGTTCTGAATAAAATGAGGATCATCCATCTGCACGATATTTAGCGTGCGCGTATGCTGACTGACCTCGTTCATTTCAACATCTTGTTGCTCTTGGTTCTGCTCCTCCACTTCCATGGGGGCGTCTTCGCTCTCCTCTTCGCTGTCTTCTTCGCTCTCCTGTTGCTGCTTCTTCTGCAGAAGAATCTGTCAGTATGAGAGGCTCGCTAGCGCACGCGTATGCTGATTTACCTTTGAGCTAGAAGATACCTGGAGAGAGAGAGAGAGAGAGAGAAGTTGTCAGTATGAGAGGCTCGCTAGCGCACGCGTATGCTGATTTACCTTGGTGGAGATCTAGAGCGTTGGTTGGAGAAAAAGAAAAAAAAATGGATGCTTCAGCGACAAGGTGACGTGCTAGAGGGGGCGCATGCCAATTTACCTTTGTAGACACCTAAAGAAAGAGAGACCACTTTAGTACTGGTTCTGATGCTAGAATGCATGTATGCTGATTTACCTTGGAAGGCATCTGAAAAGAAAGAGAATTTAGTTAGTATTGATGGTGATGCTGGCAGACTTGTGCTTGCTGGCTCACCTTGGAATGGGCCTGGAGAGAGGAAGGGAGAGAAGACTTTAGAAACTGGTGGGATGCTAACATGCATGTATGCTGATTTACCTTGCTGGATATCTAGAGAAAGAAAGACAAATAGTTTAGTGCTGGTGTTGATACTAGCATGCATGTATGCTGATTCACCTTCTTGGACAGCTAGGGAGAGAGAGAGCATGAGTTAGTGCTGGTGCTGGTGCTAGCATGCATGTATGCTAATTTACCTTGCTGGAGCCCTAGAGAAAGAAAGACAAATAGTTTAGTGCTGGTGTTGGTGCTAGCATGCATGTATGCTGATTTACCTTGCTGGAGCCCTAGAGAGAAATTAAGTAAATGAATATTTAATTGGATTTAAATATTAATTTCTTACTTTGTTTGCTGATGTTGTGACATTAGCTTTGGTAGGCATGGTGGCTATAGGTATTGTGTATTGAAAAGTTGCTAGTGAGATGGTGGTGGTATGAGTTCAAAAGGTATAAAATTAAAAGTTGACACCTATTTGTATATATACTTTGGGAGGGATAAATATAACTAAATACATGACTAATCATGGTAAATATTGTTATTTCATAATTACATAAGCACTCCCTCTTTTGTCCCAGTTGCCCCACTAAATATGTCCTGCTCTTTTTATTAGGGTACACGTATGCTAGCGAGCCGCGCGGTTTTCCAATTTCCTGGCGCGGGATCTGTGTCGCCTGATTCCAAATGATGACCCATGAGTCCGTGGGAACCCAGGGCATCTTTCCAGACTGCATTTGTCTCCATACCTTAGCATCTGCCTGCGAGTATCTTCTTCCCTTTTATTAGGGTGCGTGTATAGTAACGAGCCGCGCGGTTTTCCAATTTCCTGGCGTGGGATCTGCGTCGCCTGATTCCAAATGATGACCCATGAGTCCGTGGGAACCCTGGGCATCTTTCCTGACTGCTTTTGGTTGTTTCCCATGTAAATTGCCCTGGCAAATTTGGGTTTGGCACTTTTGTGTTTTCGCCCGCGTCAACAGATCTTTGTTTTTTTGTTATGAGACCATTGTTTTCTTTGTCTAAGACATGTCTTATGCCTTCTTGGAGACTGTTGTTAGATATTCTCAATGACTTTCATGTGGTGGTTGCAATGCAGGATACATGCTTTACATTTTTGGCAGTTTAATCAAATGTCTGTATTTCTGGAACTGGAAATGGCTTCTCCTCAATCAGTCTGATGTCCTTGCCTTCTTCACAATGCTCTACCAAAATGATGCTGTGACTTTGTCTTACTGTTCATATTTAATATTCATGTATGCTATTTAAAATTGGCTTGCCTACCACAGACACTGCTGTGACTGTACAACTGTACGACAATTGCTGTGATTTTGTCTTACTATTCATACTTAACATTCATGTATGCTATTTAATTTTTGCTTACCTAGCTTAGACACCATGCAACTGTACAACATTAGCTTACTTATCACAGAGACCAATGCGATTGATGTGACAGTGCAACATTGGCTTACTTACTGCAGATACTGACATGATTGACACAACAGTGTGACATTTAACATTCATGTATGCTATTTGACTTACCACAGATACTGACATGATTGACGCGACAGCGCGACATTGGATTACTTACCATAGAGATTGACGTAACAGCGCGACATTGGGTTACTTACCACAGAGACTGACGCGACAGCGCGACATTGGGTTACTTACCACAGAGACTTGATGTGACAGCGCGACATTGGGTTACTTACCACAGAGACTTGACGCGACAGCGCGACATTGGGTTACTTATCACAGAGACTGACGCGACAGCGCGACATTGGGTTACTTATCACAGAGACTGACGCGACAGCGCGACATTGGGTTACTTATCACAGAGACTGACGCGACAGCGCGACATTGGGTTACTTATCACAGAGACTTGACGCAACAGCGCGACATTGGGTTACTTACCACAGAGACTGACGCGACAGCGCGACATTGGGTTACTTACCACAGAGACTGACGCGACAGCGCGACATTGGGTTACTTATCACAGAGACTTGACGCGACAGCGCGACATTGGGTTACTTACCACAGAGACTGACGCGACAGCGCGACATTGGGTTACTTATCACAGAGACTGACGCGACAGCGCGACATTTACTTACCACAGAGATTGACGCGACAGCACGACATTGGGTTACTTACCACAGAGACTTGACATGATTGACACAACATTTAACATTCATGTATGCTAATTTAACTTACCACAGATACTGACAACAGATATTGACACGACATTTAACATTCATGTATGCTAATTTAACTTACCACAGATACTGACAACAGACACTGCTGCAAACCAACGCGACTGACGCGACCGACGCGTCTGATGTAAACGCGACGTCGCGCGGTAGTATGCCCCATACTACTCGGGACATCTATTTAGGTGCCAAAGTCCGGTGGCGTCTTCGAGAAGGCTTCCTGGTAGAAGTTGTCTGCCCAGATGCGCGCGTCTCCTCCAGTCATATATTGGAGAGCAACAGCGACTTTGACTTGGTCGCTGCTGTAGATCGTCGGGTTGATTAAGAAGTAGGTCTCCACAGAGTAGAGCCATCTCGCAGCATCGTCGATGCTGCCTTCAAAATTCTGGGGCGATCCAGCCTTGATCTCAGGCTTGGTCGTCGTCGTTGGTTGGGTGGGGCCTCCAGACATTCTTGTTCTGGGGTTCGAGTTGAGGTTGCCGTACGGGTGTTCGTCGGGAAACTCGTCAGAGGACGTGTGGTCTGCTTCTGATTCTTCGGTTTCGGAGTCAGGAGTGTTGGGGTCGCGTTCCCAAGGGTATTTCCTGATCCAGGTAGTCGTGGTGTCTGTTGGTCAATGGGGGCCGCGTGGATGGCGGGGCTTCGAGGTGAAACTTGAATCTTTTGTTACGCACTCAAATAGATCTGTTAGGCAGAGCCCTAAGAGGGGCATCGACTGCTAACGTTCGTGACGTAACCGGAAGGGTCCGGTATAGCAAGTGATACTGGCGACGGTCGTGTCGGCAGATATCACAGTACGCGCGTGTCACGTGACTTGGTAGACGGATGTCTAAGAAGTCACTCAAGGTAAGGACAGTCTTGTCCGAACGATGAGGTCGATCGAGGATAGACTTAGTCGCGATGAGCGACTAAGAAAAGATACTAGAGACTGAAGCTGAGGGGGCTTCAGAGAGAAGTATGTTCCAGGGAAGATTGAGTAGATTCAAGTTAGAGAATCTAGTACAAGGTGACCGACTACTTATACTAAGTGGAGAGGGTTAAGGGCAAGGCTACCGCACAGTAGGTAAGGGTAAAGGGGATACGGGAATGGTATAGGTGCGTTGGCAACACAGCCGGATTAGTGATGGATGGTCGAATGTGGAATGAGACCGAGAAACGTTGGAACGGACCAACGGTAAGAATACAACGTGCGGGAATCCGCAGTCAGGGGAAACAGAAAGAGGAAAGCCACATTGGTGGCACGAGTCAGACCGAGTCAGAGGTGCGGGACCACATTGGTGGTCGAATCAGAAGAGGAACGTGCAGTGCACGTGCATAGTGGCGGATGATGCGAGGAACGGGAACGGTCCTGAGGATCCGGTCAACGGAGAGTCGGTAAAGGAGGACGAGCCGGTAGGTGGTGAGGGCGAGGATGAAGGGAAAATGATAGGGGGGCCACGTGACCGATGTTACTTGTAACAGCAATGCTTATTTCGTCCGAAAAAATCATGTTTCAGAGTCATGGTACCCCCTCCCCCCACCTACTCCACCAAGAAGCATGATTTTATGTCAATACAGATGTGCTAAGGGATGTTCCTAGTGTTTAATGATGATACAAATAGATTATAGATGGATTCAGAGTGTTCTGAACCAATATGGAATGTGATGTGTGAGTTTGCCTGGTACTCCCCCTCAAAGATCGATTTTTCTAGGCTTCACATGACTTGTCAGCACTTCAAAAGTATCCTTCCTGGGGGTTCTTGATGCTTCTGAACACGATGGTAAAGCCAGATTTGTCAGAAAAAATCAGGTTATTGAGATATGTAGGGTCCCCCTCCCCCCTCCTAACTCATATATCTTGGTATTATATAAATACCGGTATATAAATAAGTGTTCCTACTGTTTTAAGAGCATATAAAACGATTGGAAATGGTCCCAGAGTGTTTTGGGCCCATCCTGATTAAGATATGCGAGTTTTCATGGTACCCCCCTCAAAGATCGATTTTTCTAGGCTTCCCATGACTTGCTTGTGCTCTAGGAGTATTTTTCCGGGGTGCTCTTGATGTCCCTGAACAAGATGGTGAAGCCCAATATGTCAGGAAAAATCAGGTTGTTGAGATACAGAAGGTCCTCCCCCCCCCTCCTACCCCATATATTTTACAACACTCACATTTCACTCAAAACCGATACTGAAAATGGTTGTCCCAGTGTTTTTAAAGCATAGAAATCGATTGGTGATGGTCCCAGGGTCTCTGGAGGTCAGCATTGTTGACCTTGGCTGGTGGGATGAAAAACTCAGTATTTTGACATTATCTACAGATCCCAACCGCCGATTTCTTTCATTCCGGGCTCATATTAATCCTTGGGCATCCCTCTAAAATATGTACCAGCCCAAGGAGAGAAAAAAATTTCAAACTTTGAAACCTATTTCTGTTTTGACCATATAAGTGGTTGATGATGTTTGAAGTTGTGGTCTTTGGTTCAAATCCTGCCCATGGACAATAATTATTAACTCATGCCTTGGGTTAGAATCCAACAGCAGGCCATGATTATTTTGTAACCAGGAACGAACGAATGACCCCCCCCCTAAAATAAATGCACCCCCCTCCCAAAAAAAACCCCCCCACCTGGCCAAAATGGGAAGGAATGAGGGGTCGGTACGCCTGCGGGGGTGCAGAAAAAAAACCATGCGAGATAGGGAGATAGAGACTCTTGGTCTCGCCGAGACTGAGAGTAATTGGCTATCTATTGATGCCACCAGACAGTTGCTACGCTTGGTTCGCAACTGTGTCTCCAAAGTGGTGAGCTCGTACCGTTCTTTGATTCTTGTTCACTACCCATGATTGTATTCTCAGAATGGTGCCGCCTCTCGCATTTTAATCAACATGTTCCTATTACGCTTGGCTTCTGTTATGCGCAATGAAGAGGCAGAGGTTAACATTATTCCAAAGTTTCCTATCTCAAAAACTACACTTCAAGGACATTCTTTTGGCGGCGTCGTCGACTTTTTGGTGACCTGAGCTCATTCGGAATATACTGGTGCGCCTACTCGACAGATAAATTTGATGACCTTGACTAAAAATTTTGTTACAAAAGACTTGCTGCTTGACACTCCTGTCGCTGCGCTCGCATCTCATAACACTCACGTAGCAGAACATGTAACGTGCAATATATTTGAGGCAAAACAGGACAATGTAAAAGCGGCTTTCCCGCAAGCTGTTGTGGCAGCTGCTTCATATTGTAAAGAACACAAGTCAGTTTCTAGCATTACTGTGAGCGAGGTTCACCCAGTTCTTCCTTAGATTATCTGTCATGAGAGGTTGTATCACAAGTGGAGAACAACGGGCCTTTTTCATCTATAACATTGACGCTTCGGACCAGGGTGAAGTGGCGCTCGCACGAGAGATAGCATTGGGACCCAATCTTGAGGAACTACCCCTTCTTCTGGGACTTTTACGCGATTGGGTATGTCAATGGTCTTTTGATCAGTTTTGCACAATCTGATGTCTTGACAGGTGGAGAATGCAAGGGATTACGAACAGAATTTTTTCGAGATCAAGTGAAGACTGGTGTTCAGAGCCACTGCTAGTTCTTCATGGTAGCTACTTGTACTTGGTACTAATGTCGGTTGAACCGTTCCACGAATTGTCAGGAACTAGGAGCAATTGTATACTTGTGTAACAAGTGGTGTTTATTGCCTCGAATTGGATGCGAAACACGATGAGCGCACAGGAACTCAATGGTACGTTCAACTTTACTTAAAATTCAGCGAAGATTCGATCCGACTGTCCTCTACCACCACTTACCGAAGATGAAGATGACGAACCTAGTCCTCCACCACCACCAAAACCTGCGAATCAGGCAAAGAAAGTAGTGCCTCACCTTATTGTCCCTCCCTCCCCTCACCCAGCTGCGACAAAGGTCAGCTTGAAGTTTAATCTTGCCTCCGCTAATCAGCCATCCATCGAGGATGCGCACTTATGCTTTCTCTTTTTGCTCGCACATGTCGTTTGCCACACTTCGTTGTTTAGTATTATGCTGAAGCTAATAGATTGCGTTGCACTATACTACCTGGCTCGTGTGACAGTGTTAGCACCTCAAGTCTTGATGAGCCTCTCAGGACATGGTACTCTCTCAAGTCTTGCATGAGGGCGCCTGTCTATAATAGCCTCTCCTTTGTACAAGTCTCGCGTTGCATTGATGTGCTTGTCGCGTTATGAATGACCCGTTGTATCATTCACCAGAGACTGTACAAGAATCGTATACCAGACATCAGTATTTAGCTGTAAATAAGCAGGTGATCACGAAGGCAATACGGAGTCTACAAGGTAAAAGAGCGAAAGTCAATACGAGAGTTAACAATAGCGTTGTACGCAGACGAAGGCTTGCGCACTCTGTAAGTCGAACAGTTACAGTTTGTTAGCTAACAACATGGTTTCCTAAGCAAGCGTGGCTACATACGCATCGTTGATGAAATTTTTGATTTAGCCTGGCGACACACATCGAAGCGGAACATCTGACAAACGGCTGCTTGTAGCAATTCTTTGAGGTCATAAGTCGTTGAAGTCATAACAGGTTCTATGCACTTTACCGTACCATTGAATCGTGCTTTCCATTTCGTGATCCGTTCGAGAGAGACCTATCTGCATGAATAACGTCTGGGAGCTGTAGTAAACAACCACGCTCGAACTTGATGTCATCATTGAAGGGTGCATGACTCGAGACCTTGACCGAACTATATGCACTCGATGTTCAGAATGCAGTAAACGAAACAAACAAACTGGTGACAAACTTATTCGTAACCATCATCGATTCTCGAACTGACGGTAATCATCGCGAACTCGATCGTGAAAAGCCGGATGGTATTGAATGCGACTGCGAAAGTTCGTTTGAAACGTCATCGCAGCATGACCGATGCTATGCAAAGACTATCGGAAGCTCACCACTGTCGTCCGCGAGCTTGACTTGAAAAGCCAGCGTCTACTCCACTTTCCGCATGCCCAGACCCTCCATAAACGTGTCGCATCGGGAAATGTATAAAACGCTTTTTATGGATAAAGGTCGAGATCTCTTCGATTCCTATTTCATTTCAAGGCGTTGACGACTGCATCACGAAGTAAGTTATTGCTTGAGAGTGAAACCTTAAGGGGTCCTATGCCAAGTCAAAGGAGATGGCTGATCTGCGCCCAGACATAGTCGATGAATCATATCATAGCATGCAAAGCACGACATGTCTACGTATCTCGCGGTGCGTGGCAGCCTTTTCAACGTGGGTCACGGAGTATATGACTCACTCGTCTCAAAAAGAGAAATATCCTCCACAGGCAGACGTAAAAATCATAATCAGTCGTTCTGAGGTAGATCGGTTATCGATATCAGGAGCCTGTGATAAGGTGAGCCAAAGTATTGCCTCCCAGTCATGCTGTGATCTTGACAATGAGAACGCGTTAAAATGAAAGTTCGTATACAAGTGCAAATACAATCATTCTTAGCGCGTGACCAGTCGCCTTACACCACGACTCGGATTATATGAAGTCCTTCGAACGTTTAACGCGGCTGCCAACTCATTCTGCTAGAGATCGCTTGTTTGAGGAAGAACAGCGTGAGTTTCTGCAGCTTCCATTACATATCTCACGACTCGGTTTGAAAACCGGTGGCTTCTTATCCGCCTGCAAGCGTGCAAACAGTGCTGCGCCATCAATTGATGCATCCCAGCTGATTCCACAAGCCCACCGAACCAGTTCCTGAACCTGTGCACGGTTACTAAGTACATCCGCCGATTCAAATCAGCGAAGTGCTTTCATTACAAAACAGCCCGTCACGGGACCTCTACCTCATTTAAAATTATGCTGCACTATCAATATACACACTGGTTGAACTCAGAGGATGAATACACGAGGCTTTCAAGCACGCACCTTGCAGCCGAACGTGCGAACACCACCAGGCTGAAGGCTTAACCTTCAGATACTCGTCATACCAACGCACATTAAATTCAGGCGAGCATCGCGTAAAACATTCGTATCCTGACTGCCGCAACGTTGGTTGGGGGGAGCGTGAGTGCGGATCGGTTCATAAAATTTGTGATACAGCGAGTAAGTGGTATGTGTGATGCGCGGCGTCGACAAAGCAGACCTGTTGGCTTGACACGGACTGATCGACTCGACACGGACTGATTGAATTGATACAAGTAGCATGAAACGATGGACGATGAACCGCATGAAACAGAAGGAGAAAAATACAAAAAAAGAAACAAAAAAGCACGGGGACAACAGTTGCAGACAGCGAGACCAGGATGGATAAAACATAGTGGGGTAATCCGATTGGATGGTTTGCATTAGGTGATAGAAAGAGATTTGACTGGACGATAATCAATAGCGAAATCACCGGAGGTTTAAGAGAAATAGCAAGACAGTGGAGTCTAGGAGCGAGGACGCCAATCAAGGAAGCGCAAACCACATGAACGCGCAGGAATGTCAACATTTATCTTCTCGGCGCCTAGAGTATTCAAGAATTTTTCTGTTGGCCTCCGCTGTAATGGACATGTGCTTACTCCCCAACTTCCATGTCTTCCTCCTTCATGCCAGTCGAAGACGCGCTGCGGTGGTCAGCTGCAGCATCAGCTGCTTCTCTCAATTCTGCGTCCACATCCGCATCACCTTCGCCGTCTGCGTCTGGATCTGTGTTGGGGTCGGAGTGGGGAGAAGGAAGATGTTGCGCTGAGAGGTGTGGGTCAACTAGGGGTGATAGAATGGAGGATGTTTCACCCACCAGAGGACACCGCACCCCGTCGTCTTCGTCCAGGGTCTTCGTCGTCTGTGGTCTGGAGAGTAGCGATCGCAGGCGGGGAGGGAGGGTCACGGTTCCGATCTCTCTCGCGGTCCTTTGCAGACCCACCACTGCGTTTCTTGTCCTGTAAAAGCACAGGCGGCACGAAAGACGCCGAGCTTGGAAAAACTTGCGACTGTGTCTGCGCCTGTCTTTGCGTCCCAGTAATCGTAGCAACAGGAATGGTATCTGTACGGTGCAATCGAGCTGCACTAGCGTTGCTACCACCAGCCACATTTGCATCGGTCGTTCCCCGCCGTTCTACCCGTTTCATTTTTTTTCTGCAACGGTCGCATACAGTACCAGGCCCTTCTGGCCCAGGCCCCCATTTTTCGACGCATTTGTTGTCTTTGTAGCGCCCTGGTAGACCACATTGGCGGCAGATGCGTTGACCAATAGAGTTAGTGGGGGGGAACGAGGTTGTGGGGGGAACGGCAGGTGGAGGAACTGGTGCGATGGGAGTGACAATGGCGTTAGGAGGTGTTAGTGGGGAGCCATTGTGAGCTGGCGCTACGTCATCAACTCGAGATCCGTTTATTAAAAAGGGACGCACTAATATTTGCACTTGACCCTGGTTTGCCCTTCTTTTGGGGGGCGCCGGTAACGGGAGGGGCAAAAATATGGGTTTGATAGGTCCTGAGCTCGCCAGGCTGATCTAATGGACCTACGGGAATATTCCTTGACTGGTGGGCAGCCAAGACGGCACGAGGAGACTGTGGCTGTTGATCACGAGCAGTTAAAACGCTCCTTTCGTCAGTGGCAGCGTCAAGGAGGAGATCCTCGATGTCCTGCGAAGTAGCACGAATACTAGAGTGGCTGCTAGAGCGGGAGTGAGATTTATGAGTAGGTTGAATGCTAAGGTGGTGATTGAGATGTTGAATCTGGTGAAGGTGTTGGGGGTGGGGATCCATGTCAGGGATGCGTCCGCGTGACATGGAGGTAGCCTGGGGAATGTGAGGAGATAGAAAGGTGGTATGAGAGGGAACTTACCGAGAGGGGGGGCCTGTGGTCATATTCTCCACGTTCGTTACGTGGTCGTTTGGAGGGAGGTTGAGGTTGTGCGATAAGATAAGAAGGGTCATCGAAGCTGCCTGAGCGAGGACGGACGCCGCGAGTGGATGGTGGAGGAGGGAGTGGGCCTGGAGGAAGGGCAGAAGAACTAAGTGAAGAGGAGGTGTAACGATGATGAGATCGATTATATGAACGAGGTGGGGGTTCTACAGTGATGCTAGGATTGGCGGAATAAGGGCTATGATCATGCTGATTTTGATTGGGGATGGGGGTCAAGACAAGATGACCACCTGCATCTCTAAGAATGCGCTGAAAGCCAGAACGTGCATCTGCAGCACGGGATTCGATGGCGGCGAGGTATTTATTGAGTTCTTCGTAAGATTCGAGAACAACGCGTCTGCGGGCTTCTGCTTCGTCTCTTTGTCTATCGGCATGGGCTACACGTGCCTCAGCTTCTTCGATGACACGACGAGCCTCGCCTGAGAGGGGAGCACCATTGACGGTTGCGGCCTGAAATTCTGCTAGTAGACGCTCTACTTTTTCTAACCGTTTCTTCGTATTTCCGAGTTCTTTTGTGAGTCTGTCATTGTCGCAGTAGCTGTTATGAAGTAAATGTGCGAGCTGGGCGTTGGAATGGTTATTTATTATTCCATTTGGTGAAGTAAGTGGAGGGGAAGTCATGGGAGGTTCTGCAGACATGGTATCGCGTTAGTGGGGGAAGAGGAGGTCCATGATGGGTTTCATTATTATTGGAATGTGGGTTGATAAGAGTTGTTTCCCTGTCGGTGAACACGCCTTCCCTGTCACACTATTTGTTGGTCACTTGTCACCTTTTCCCCGGTGGCAGTCTCGGCCGGGTGTATAACATCATGCCCCGCTCAACTCCCAGAACAAACGTTGCCGACGCACATCATTTCTTAATTAAGTAAAACCCATTTCCCTAATTCGGTTTTAACGCCAAAGACCCCAGTCACTCATTTCATCCCGCCCGCCTTTGGGGTCTTGCCTCGTGTCGGCGCTCACCGCGGCCCCCCCGTATCTCCAATTCTGTCAATATTCTGTCAATTTATTAATTTTATATTATATTATTCTCCCCGCCTCGTGTAGCGGCTACTCCCGATTATTCCCGCCCTAACCCGTCGGTCTCTCATCCGTCCCTTCGGCCAAGCTACTTCTCTCCTCGGCAGTAACACACGAGGCAAACACGAGGCCCCGCACCGCCCATCCCGCTTCCACGTATGTTCTATGTTTACACCCGCCCTTGATCACTCCGGTCCGTATCTTCCAAATTTTATTCCGCCCAAGAACCACACCGCACCCCTACAGCATGCCCGACGAATTCAAGAATCCGTCAACTTAAACTTTGTTCTTCACCTCCCTTTGCTCTTTTCGCTTTTTGCCTCGTTTTTCTTTTCATCTTTCTTCCAAATTCGTCTAATCGTGCCTGACAATATCCTTTTCAAATTTTCATTCGTCCTCTCGTCCCCAGCGTTACCTCCGTCACTACCCTCAGCGGTCCGTCCATGTCCATACCAGTGTATGTACCACATGCTCATTCTCATTTCAGTTCATCACGCCTCGATTTCTACTCTTCATGACATATCCTGACATCATTCATATCCACACTTGTATCCGGCATCTTCAATTTTTTCTAACCGGCACAGCATATTGCCTCCCTAATGGCCCAAATCCTCCAGACGCCAGGAACTACAATGTCCAATCTTATTTATTTTCGTAGCTCGTGTCCTCCTCGAGGTTCCGTGAGCTAACGTTTTCCACCAAATTCCCGACATCCTCTGACTAGAATGCCATTCTTGACTTATCGGCGGCTGTGTAATTATTGTTACAGGCGTAACGCAAGTAATTTCTCAAAATTCGTAATACCCTAGCTTCGATTCTGCGCTCGTCGGCGATAATGTCAGCATCCAGTGTTTTTGCTCCAGATATTCTATAGGAAACGCCATCCTCAAACCTCGGGTAGTTCATCCCCGACACATTCAATCAGTTATGCTGCCATCGAGAATGGTTAGTCTCAAAACGGCTCCGGAAAGTTACCTTGCACTGAATCATGGCAGTGACGTTGCGTTCTTGAGGCTCCGTGGTCCACGCCATTCGCTATAAGCAATAGAATCACGATAACTTGCCCTTCGATGTGGATTCCGCTCAAAATTTGAAATGCCGTACGTGCTATGTATTCATGGCTACACCTAATGTGTAGCAGGCTAGCGGCGGCCGCACGCAGCAGCCAAACTCAGCGAAGTCCATCATTTCCTACGGTGCACGGGTTTTGGATCAATTCGTCTCGACACTTTGCTTCTGATTCTTTGCCACTGCACTTGTCAGGTACTTGCAGCTTCTACGTCTATTCTAGTAAACTTTCAAGCTCGAGTCTAGTGCATAGGGAGCTAAGTAGCGGCGTCCGCAAGCAGCAGAAAGATCTAGAGTCGTAATATTTATCACCGAGAATGCACGGGGAACTGGATCACCAATTCATCTCGGTTCTCTACATTTTCTACTGCACTCTGAGTAGCAGCTTCTACCGCTATTCTACATACTGCCAAGGGATGCTGGGAGCTGGCGGCTTGAACTGAAGCTACTAGCTCTATGGGTTAAATGGCTGACAAATTCTATGCCACTCAGAAATACGACTATCCTCAGGTTTTCCTATCTTTTTATGCCCGTGCTGCATGCGAACAGAATTTCACTGATAGCTAGATTTACTTGATGTGACCATCGTCCCATTTTCCATGCCACGGCTGATCCTGATGAACTCAAAACTCAACCTCATCGGCACCGCGGTCATGAATGCCATCCACCACCTGATGAATACCAACACGCACAGTGCCGACCGGTATCCAATCTCTTGTCTATGATTTTCCCAATTTTGATGACATCGATGCCTTTGCCGATCTTGACGCCTCACCTCTCATGAAGATGCTTCATATTGATCACGACGTGAGCACATGTCAATCTAACTTAAACAGGCGCATCTCAGCTGACTTGGATTATTTTGGATTCTGCGGGATCCAGTACATCCCGAGCGCAAAGCCATTCTAATGCACGCAGGCGCTACCAAGCCTCCGACATCGTCGCTACTTCTCTCTTTTTTGCTACCGAGTGCCTCACAAAATCCTGATATTCATTCAACCCGAGGAATTACGAGATTTTATAGTTTCATGTCCCTGGATTGGGACCTGCGCAGTTGCCTTGGGGTCACGCGCGAGTAGCAGCGAAGATCGTCTCGATGTACTACCCCACGTCAATTCTTTTTCGTGCGAGCTTCTGTGCATAGAGCTCGATGTGAGGCGAGTCCCGCTCGGATAAATTTCGAAGGGGCGTAGGGTTTTACATAATTGGTCCAATGTTTTTGATCACGTTTAGGCTTTTTGTGGGGAATAATTGATTCAGATGACGTTGAAATGGCGTTGAATACATCCCTCCATGTGTACGTACATTGCACCCACTCTTCACCCACAAATACACGACATCTCAAAAACGACAATCTTAGCCGCGAACATCTTCGCCCAGTATGGCACGGCACATGACCCCTGAGCTCGATCGAGGATCACAGAGCTGTACTAAATCCATCTACTTGCCCCACCCACATTTGCTGTGCCTTCTATCTAAATACAGCATCCACTTATCCAAGGTATGCGACAACACCGCAAGCTCGCCTTCTTGGTTCCTGTAGCAAACCCGTTTCCCCTCATCTTGGCAAACCCTACGCAGCCATGCACATCAATATGAACGCTGCATCGCCGCATGCGCATTGCATAGTAATATAACACAACGACAACGCTTTCCCGCTTTTGGCGCGCTGTGGAGCCCAATCCATATGCAATCACTCAAAGCCTTCATCTCAACTCACGCTCTCATCACTGCCAATGACATAAATGAGTTCATTTTTCAGAAGCCGCATGCATCACGTTTCAAATTTCATCCCGCGACTTCTCATAAGTCAACGCCCAGAATGGTTCATTGCTCGTTCAGGAAGTCTTCGTTATCAACTCGTGCCATCGAGCGTTTCTTTTTGGTTTTAGATTTTTCGAATCCCATATATATTTCAATGTGCCAACGTGCATGCGAGTTTTGTTTCTGGACTGGGGCCCCGAACGTGACGTCGTCTGCCTCGTGTTCGGCGCATGTACACGAACTGGGCCGTGGCCCGTGGTGATGGGCGCTCGTACGTTCGATGGCGGTGTTCCTTCCCACCGCTCTTTTGCTTCTGTGTTATCTGATCGGCTGTTGCTGCGTGCGTTATGCGTTGGTGTTGGGCGATTCACGGTCGGATCCTGTGAGTGGCCCTGGCGCCAATGGCCTAGCCTGGACGATTCTATCGCGCTGGCGGGGAGGCAATGCGATTGAAAAATGGAATTCAGAGCTTTCTTACAAACTTTTTATTCAAAGTTCACGATATCCGCTTGTCTCACCCCAGATCCAAATAAACGAAGAACACTTCCCAAGGAATTCAATTGACGAGCGATACAGCTCTCATCAAATGACCTCCGGATGTCCAAGAACCCGTCCTCCCGATAGTTTTTCTAACACGATATGACCGAATGAAGAAGCTCGGCTGAAAACTAGTTCTGCCCGATCGAGATGTGTACGTTCGCTTCCTAACTTTATCGTGTCGAGGGTCTCGAGGCTGACGGGACGCCATCCGTTAATCTTCGTGACAAACTATTGTGGAATGGGAAAGGGGCCGGTTGGATGGCTGGACGGTATTCCTCGGCGGGGATGCGTGCCGTATCCCGCCCTAACATCATCGCATTCGCTGGCATCTTGTCACTCGCTTTCCCAGAGATAACTTCTGGATATCTCAGCTGCCATGTATACGCCGTAAAGAGACACATCCCCCCTGTCAAAACAAAAGGGGCTTTGAACCATACCAAGTGACGGAGATTCGGTTCGTGATGGCAGTACTAGCGATGAGCCATCTTAGGCCATCGACCCCGCCTTCGCTTTCCTTACTCGGGTGCAAAGCCCCAGGGAAACCCTGATAGGTCGTTTCATTTATTAAAATTCCTTGTGCTTCTTTGCTTCTTGCTAACTTGACTAATTGTTGTCCTCGATAGGGCGTTTTTGCGCCTTTGTTCTTGTTCTCATGATTCACAGTTCGGCCGCTGAATGTCCGCCGGTTGGGTGTTTGACCATTTTGGGTCGACCCAGCAGTCAAGTACGGGAGGGCGTAATTACGAGGCGGGTATTTCTTGTTTTGTTATGTTCGGTTCGGTTGCTTGATTATTCTGCGGTCGCTGAAATTTTATGATCCCAAGCGGGTCGAGGGCGTAGTGATTGATTTTCGTGTTAGACCATTTTTTTTGGTCACAGGTTCCCTCAAAATTTTGGGATAGATGATGATCAGAAGATCTGCAGATACCAAATGTCTGTTCTTTGTTCATCCGAGCCATCTGATGAAATTATGATCTGGCAAATGATGCATTTCTGAACACAGCAGTGAAATAGCTAAAAAGATTATCGAATACAAATTGATCCCTAAGCGAAGTATCAAACCCCAGACACACCAATGATTATCGAAAGCCTATGGTCGGATACCCACGTCCGAGAGCGCTCTTTGTCATCTTTCGATGATGATTCACATGGAGAGCCACGCGCCGCTGAACAAAGTAGACAGCGAGAAATCGGGTTAATGCAGTTTTACGCCAACACATACTAGTAAAGTGCGCCCAAGAATAAAACCCCCGGCCTCCCGCAATAGGTTTGCGTGATGGCTGCGGTCCTGAGCGCTCCACTCGCCAGTCTCGCATGTCGTGCATGTTCTGGATCTTACACGCAGTCTGGGATAAATCTGCGTCGACGAGCCTCGTGTTTTGCGCGTGTTTCGCAAGATCGTACGCCACGTCCCAGGACTACTACCTCGTGCCCAGGCCCTGAACATCCCGGGCAGCGTCGTTTACCCCTTTCCTCGCCAAGGACTCCTAAAACAGAGCTCGCGGGAAACCTGGGTCCTAAATTGAGACGTCCAATGAGATCGCGCCGCCGAAACGTTTACAGGCAGGCGATCTTCCAGCGCAGCACTGGCTAGTGTGCACTGTCTTCCGAGTTGCGAGTTCGACTCACGGTTGGATTAGGGGGGGACTGGATCAGTTGACCAATCATTCGTTCATCCAAAAATTAATGATAGTTCCTTGATTAATTGGGACGTCATAGATTTTCATTTGTTTCTTATCTGCTGGCTTTGTAATTGAAAATCGTTCTCGCTTGTCTATGTCCTCGGCGAAGCAGTCCCGTTGACAAGTTGGTGGGACAAGTCCCTGAATAACCCTGAGCACGTTGGGCAAAGCGGCTCGTCACACAAGACTTTGGCAGCGGCGTAGCATCTGTTAGCAACAGCTTGACAGTGTCGGCCTTGCCAGCGCGGCGTGTCAATGTCAGCATTCGGTCAGGTACGACATCGCTGCCATAGCGGAAGAAATTCGTTACGGCTGTATTGGGTTCTACTTTCGCTCGTTATCATCCCTTATCGACCCTGTTCGCGTTCGGGAGGTTATGTGAATGTACAATAAGTAACTGTACCCTGTACACTAGATTAAGCAAATTTTACAGTAATAAATCGACTCATCTATATCACGCCATCGCTCATTCAACCGCTAATAAAATCAGTCGGACCCCAAAATTCATCAGGCTCGAGTTGCTCCATCAGTTCGTCCACCAGGATGAGCAGATAAGGGATATCGACACCTTTAACGACGCCGACGCCATCAGGATACCAAATCTTCCTTTCCTCATAGGCCCACTTCCATCGCTGCAGATAAAATCTGATCAGAGCTGAGGTCGACCACGTGGCGATAGGAAGGACCCACCAGATATCGGATCAGCTCCTTGTCCTCAGGCATGACTTGTTTCCACTCCTCGCTCTCGTGGCTCGTACAGAATATTCGGTACGAATCTAGAGCGTATCGGCCCACGCCTGGATAGTGTGAGACGGGTGTTGGCGGATATGGTATAGTCGTTTTACGGGCCGTTCGAGGGGATCCGTAATGTTTGCGTTTTCTTGGATTCACATAAGTTGGCGCGGTGATTTTTAATCTCGCAGGAATTTCTAAGCGGCACTTAGATGGACGAAGAACGTCAGTAGGAGGATCATTTATGTATTCTTGAGAGATCTCCTTCAGCCATGCTGCCCGTTTGTTGTAGAGGCCGAGCGGTCGCAGAATATTTACGAGCTCATCACGATCAGCTTGTTACGAGACGACCGTCAGCGTTCGTAATAGGGTCGAGAAGTTGGAGCCTACCCTCGATCATATCCCGAGGGGTTGGCCAGCGGTCCATGAGCTTCCAAAAGACTGGGATAGCATATCGGCCAGTAGTCACATTCAGTAGTTTGACGGCGATCAAGAGCTGCCAGGGATTATCAGAAACGGCAGCTGAAATGAGATAGATGAGAAATACTGTTACGACACGTAGGAGAAGAAGTACCCTGTATCAAGATTGGCTTCGCGTTCGCGATGTACCCGATAAGATCGTTAAACAAGTCTTGACGGTATGTCGGAAACGCAGGCATATTCTCATGTGTAAAGAGGTCCTCCGACGGTATAAAAGAAGGCACCCATGACTTGCCAGATTGTGTGACATTGGAAAAATATTTCGAGGTTACCAGTGTGATGGGATCTGGGCTGGTTCTATGGGTGACGTCCGTTTGTTGCGTTGCTACCTTAGATGTAGTCATTGATTTACTAGATAAAGCGGTAGACTGGTGGAGTGATACGGTAGAAGGCACGACCTTGCGACGTTTTCGAGGTCTGGAAGATGGGGTGGGGAGCGCCAGGGTTTGGAGTGTAGACCGAACTTCATCAGGCATAGGTGTCAGGTAACATGATTTGGTGAGTGGAATCTTCATCTCCGCTTCCGATGGTTCTACAGAACTCTGGTCCTTCGCGGGTAGCTCACGATGGTAAGCATCAACAGGTTCGAGCTTGCGCTTCTTTTTCTTCCTCTTTGATACCTCTAGTGAATCGTTATGCGCCGATAGTGGTGGAACTGTAGACGCAGACTTGACAAGAATCTCTACCGCGTCAAGTAGTTTGCGAGGACCTTTGCGCGTGGAACCATCGGTCGAAACACCCTTGCCTGAGGGCGTAAAGTGGATAGAAGACTCTCCTGTGGGTATGCGCTGTTGATTGGTGGTTACTGACTCACTCCTGCGACGCTTTGATTTGGCATGAGAGACATGCTGTGAGGTATTCTTCGAAGCTCGAGACTTTCTAGCAGTCACTGGAAGACAATCATTATTTTCAGGTAAGGGTTTTCTCTTCAGAAAAGTAGATGTCTGAGGGGTGTAAGCATATGAACGTAGAAACTGAGAAAAGGTGGAAGGGGTGCTCATCGACTGAGACAGAGATAGAGGTGGACCATGGTGGACTTGGGTGATGGACCGGGTGGACCTCTCGGACTTTTGGTGGCGTCATGACCGGAAAAGGTAAAGTCAGGTTTAGTGACTCGGCTTTGGGAAGCTGGGGATCAGACGGAGGCTCCTGTTCGTCAGAAGCCATCACCAGCGTAACTCACCTTGAAAGCAGTCTCGAATCGAACAATAATCATTTCTTATATTCTTTCAAATCTCTTTCTCTTATATATCTCTTGTTAGTTCTTGCATTCATTTACAAGAACAGAGCGTCTGTGAATCTACAAATTCATTTCTTATCTGTCCAAACAGTTGGGACTATTTCTTTCATTCACATCTCTTAATGCCATCAAGGAAGAACCGAAATGCAACCCGTCAATCACCTCGTACTCCTGTTAATAATTACTCTCCTGCTATCCTTCCTATCGACTCAAATTCTCCACCTTGGTCTACGGAACAGTCTCCCCTTGTCGAGCCAGACAGACCTCCAGATTCTCCTATCATTCAAATCAACCTCGAACTTCCTCCAGTGGTAGCAATGGAAGATGAGAGTTCACCTATCAAGCATGACGGGGGTCTTCTTTTGGCAACCCCCGAGTCTCGTCCCTCGCCTGTGCGTTCAGAGGTTAAGCTTCCTCCAACAGAAGACGACTTTACGTTCACACCAGGAGCGCTTGGCCATACCCGATCTCCTGTGCTTGCCCGGTGAGCATTTTCTCTTTGTTTGTCTCTACCGGTTCGTTTTTGGGGTGCCGCACTTCTTTCATACTTGAGGGAAACACAAGGGGCATTTACACAGCATGGTGTTGTCTTCCCTGATTATCGTATCCTCACCTTGATGCGCCCCATCAGTTTTCCTGTGTTGTGACATATTCAATCGACAAGTATAGTAGATCACCACGTGCGCATGCATTCTGTACATCATATTCTCGTTCGTTTCCCCACTCCTTTCCTTCATTAGGCACAAAAGGCAAGATAGCTGAACTTACACTTTCCTAGCGAGCCAACCATGCTTGAGAACTTCTCTCGCGCTGTGCGCAACTACGTGCCAACTTCCATTCCTGTTCCTGCCTCCGCACCCTCTCCGCCGCGGGTATCAAGACCCGTTTCTTTTGGTAGCTTCATGGCCCCTCCTGGCGCTTCAAGTCGTTCACCAGGTCCAAATATACCCATTGTCTCTCCAACCGCCAGGAAGCCTCTTGGCGCTGGTCCAATTGGAAATCAACAGAATTGGAGAATGAGACCAGGCGCCAGACTTGACTCAGCAGACGACGATGAACATGCTATCTTCGGCTCTGACGATGAGGACTGTGAAAGCGCGTTCTCAGGAGATCAACCCCTAACGACTTACCCTACCGCCGCTGAAGGCGACTCTATTGTGTGGTCCCGCTGGGACACCCTCATTGAGAACGGTTCGAGACCTCGGTGAGTTAATTCATGTCTCAGCAACAGACGGTTTTATAACAGACGTTACATCATTCAGGCGTATACTGTTACTTGGCTACACCACTGGCCTTCAGATTTGGGACTGCACACTCCTGGGATCAGTGTCCGAGATTCTGAATCTTACTGATTATCCCTTTGGGTCCGTTACCTTTGCTGGTGTGCTTGCGACTCCGCACTCCTCTGGAGAACGTGAATATGACAGTTCCAGGCCTCTAATTGGTGTAATGTGCGTTAAATTTCATGCTAGATACATGACATCCACCTCTGATAAACGGAATGTGCAGCTCTAGGTCGAAAGACAAGTCAACGATGTCTATTTATTCATTGCGGGCTCACAAGGTCATCAAGCATCTTCCGTTTGTTAATGTAACAACCTTTACTTCAAGTGCACACTTCATTGTCATCGTAAGTATCTGGCTTATCCACCTATAAGACGTCGCTGACCAGCAAACAACAGAATACTACAAATCCACCAACTCTACACATTCTTTCTTCAGCATCCTTTACAGAACTACATACTATTTCTTCGCTTGCCATTCTTCCTTCGTACACAACAATTCCATATAAAGCCAATACCAACAACATTGTATCATTAACACCGATAGACTCCATCAACACCAACCATGCTTCTCATGACTATCCCGTCCCCATATTTGCTCTTTCTCATCGCATCTTGGCATATGCTTCCCTGCCTCCTAGAGCAGATTCTCATGTTGGAGCCGTTTCTCAGCCTCGCACGCGCCTACGCTCCCCGTCAAGCACCCTCGGAATATCTCATGCTGCTGCACTCAAGGTCGGGGGGACCGTCCTCAGCGGGGTGAAGTCCCTTGGTGGAATAGCATATTCCGCTGCTGCGGAGTATGCGAAATCTCGCGCGGGCGCGGGAGATCAATCACGCGCGGCTCAAGGGCAAACATCAGTGATGAGTGGCGTCAGTAACCTCTTCTTTTCACGGAGCGCCCCTGCTGCGAGCAGCGGCCATTCGGACCCAACCGAAGTTACGTCTCTGTCGCCGGCGCTATTTCCAAATACCCAAGACCGACAAGAGGAAGTAGAGACGCTATCGTCGGGTTATCATATTACAGTACTAGATCTGGCTTCCCTTTTGTCCGGAGACAGTCCGTCCGTACGCATCATTTCCGAATTCGTCGCATTTAAGCACCAGCCCGTGTCCTCTCTCAAGTTCACTCTTGATGGGACCTCCTTGCTAGTATCTCCTAGGGATGGGCAAGCCGTTCGCGCTTTCCAGATTCGGCCTACGGCGAGTGTTTTACTTCCCACCGACAAGAAGTATGCTGGCGACCATCAAATCGCGCTCGTCGGGCGCCAATTCAATGCTGAACAAAGTTCACCGTGGCACATGTACAATCTACGCCGAGGTCGGACAACTGCCGTCATTGATGGGATCGAAGTTTCGGCGGATGGGCGGTGGGTCGCTTTTGGGACTAGGAAAGCGACAGTACACGTCTTTGCTATCAATCCATATGGCGGAAAACCAGACTTGCGAAGCCATATGGAGAACAGGGTTCGGAATACAAATGAAGCCGTAAGTAAACGTCATCTTCCTAGTCCGTTTAGTTTTGCTCAGATTATATTAGCATGTCCCATTGTCCGTTGAATTGTCATCGCTTGTGCGTCTCAGATCCGTCAAGGCGTCCGCTCACGGCGGCGTCAAGCCGGGAATTACCTTTACGTTCCTTCCTAGCGACACACCGTTGCCTGCCAGCCTCCAGCCTCCCCCATCTGCCATCACATCGTCTCCTAGCACGTCCTCAAGTCGTTCTGATCAACCTTCTCCGCTTCGGGCGAGGAAGACTGCCAACTTTCAGGATCTTCTTCTCTTTGATCCCTCTGATGGTGTACTATCTTTGCGACGTATCATGCTCGATCAACGTCCTCGTGATACAGGTGCATTTTCATATACATTAGCCAACTTGCCAACGAGCATGTCGCTTCCTGGTACTAGTGCCACTGGTCGTCTCAGCACATCGCCACACAATCGCGTCGGCGTCGCGTCGACCAAGACTTCCGGCCTAACTCAAATGATGTTGGAATCTGCCAGCGAATTGCATGGACGAGATACCATGATCGCTACTTGGCAGCTTAGACGACACCGAGATTGGGGCGAAGTAAAGCACGTGCAGCGATTGAATGCGTGGTCTCCTGGACGAACGCCTATTGCAAAGTATGCGCTATTGTCAACAAGTGGCTTTGATGCTGACGCAGATCGCATTGCTTTTAGCTCCCTTGTTCATGCAGAACTATCTACATATTCCAGGTCGCCGAATGTGAATCCTCGCCTTATCTATCTCGCCCACCAATTCAGCTTTTACACTCTGGGCGAAGATTACCATGCTCTCATTCGCCGCAATCGACTAGACATAACAGGGACCAAGATGGACGTGCGCAAGGAGGTAGAAGTCAGTGCATATTCCGCAGGCACTGGAGAGTCCTTTGTCGAGGGATTTTCGCCTCGTGATATGGGACGAGTCGTGTCTTCCTTTGACGAACCAATAGCGTCTGCTATATCTGCCGATATGGAGTACCCGCGTTCATCTCGGTCTCTCATCCCCATGCTCCCGAACGGGGCTGGTTTGAAGCCACGGTCCTTTAAGAACCCCATCCCCATCCGCGCAATGACATCAAATATTGCCGAAGGTGTCGGAGAAGGTTTTGGTCGTATCCGAAGAGAGATCAATCGAGTTCGTTCCCCACAGCTTGTACGACCAGAGGGTCTATCAGCGTCCGTTCCTCTTGAGTTTGATGAGCATGACGAGGATCTAGTGTTCCCAGGGATGGAACGGGATGATGACGTTGTGGATGACAATGGGTCCAGAGGTGAAGACGCCACGGACCCTTCGATTGATACACCTCCTACCGATGCTGAGCTGTGCGATGATGGAACCGAGTTATGGCATGGTTGGACAGAAGAGGATAAGCTCGCCGTGGATGAGGCAGAACAGTTTGACGATGTCGTCGGATTCTTGGACGAGGAGCAGACGCCAGCGATTCAAGCGGAGCAAAGGAGGGCGAACAGGAAACAGCTTTGGTAGCCGCATCACGCGCTGTGCTTCCTATTGCTTACTATCTACGTTTGTAATGTGTATTATCTGACATGTAACACGTGGTCCGATGAAATTAGTAAACTTTGTTTGCAATCCAAGATAAATGCTACATGTAAACGTGAGATGCTCTGGATGATATCAAGATACACATGTTGGTATGTAGTGGGCATAAGCAGTGACCAACGACAAGAAATGAAATGAAGACATATGTATGTGCATTATGAACGACTTGAGAGTGATCCATTCTGCCTTGCGACTGCGCGGCCTGATGTGTCACAGGGGAATGCAGGTCGTAGGGCTGTGGAAACCCGGGAATCTGTGCAAGAGCGCACGTAGGCTGGGTTTGATGGTCTATAAAGGTATTCCGTGGGGTGCGATGGCGACGGGCCGAGATGGGAAGGGGGACGGGGTCGAGGATAACTATAAGAAGTAGTTTTCCGGGATGGGGAAGGCGATCGTGACCAAAATGAGTTGGACTGCGACCCTGATCCACCGGGATGATTAACCTCCTTATGTTCTTTACTGCAGCCCTCGTAGACATCCATTGCGTATTGGGAATCATCATCGTCAGAAAGATCGTCTTCTGATTCTTCCGAGTCTGTTGCGGGTGGCGAGACCAGGGACTGACCATGCCCCAGGATGTCCGAAGGGAACGGGGATTGATCACATGCACCATGGCCATCCATGTCAGCCAAATGGCCCGCAGACAGTCTCGTGTGATTCCGCCAGTGGCGGCGCATGTTTGAATTGACGTTGAATTCACGACCACATCCTGGATATGGGCACTGATATGCTAAAATTGGAAAAGTCAGCTAGTGTCTTCGTGGGTGTTGATACAAATTGAGAAGAAGTGATGCAACGAGGCAAACACGATTTGTCTTGAAGACGGACGAGTCCGAGATAATCAGATATAAACGTACGTTTTGCTCCCGTGTGTGTGTTTACGTGGATCTTCATGCTGCTGGGGCGATTGAATCGCTTGCCGCAATGAGGACACTGGTGCTTCTTACCGCGCCCTTCTCCATGCAGCATTGTTGTTAGATGATCCGACGACTTTAGGTAAGGTCTCCTGCCATCATTTGTCATGACGGTGGAAGCAGAATTGGGAGGGTCTGATACAGAAAAGGACAATACGGATGATGAAGGCTGGGGTCTAGATTCTTGAACGTGTTGGGATGGACTAGGTAGGGTATCGCGTGGAATTTGTGAACTGTAAAGAGGGCCCGGGGACCTGTGCTTTTGGCGTTGTTGTGACTGCCGAGGAGGTACGAAGGGAGCCATAGAAACCCGGAAAACCGGAGTCGATCCATTGGCGATTCCCGAGCCCGATTTTCCCTGAGAGGAGTTTGTTGCACGAGTACGCAACTTGGTGCTAGAAGCGATATGCTGGAGGGAGGAAGCGAGAGGGTCAGCTCGGAGAACGTTGAAGGAATAAGCTGCGGGAGGTTGAGTATTGTCTGGGGTGAGATAGGACAATCGATTTGAAGCCGAGTCTGAGCTTGTACTGGATGGTGGTGGTGATGGAAGACTGCGAATTGCGGAATCACCCGTACGATAGGGTTTTGAACCGCGGTGGCGAGAAGTGGGGCGAAGATGATCCTGGTGGATATGATGAGGAGGGAGGGGTGTAAGGATTTGGGGATAAACTCACAGCAGTGTCATTGTCTTGTTGAGTACGAATTGAAATTTCTGGATGTAGAGTGAGTAGTGAGTATAGGGAATTTAAGAGAGGCATACCAGGGAAGATGTCGCGTATGCTAGGGAGTGGTACGCTCTGGTGAGACATTGTAATGATAAAGCGCAGTCAAGGGACGGTGGTAGCAACCTGCTGTGGGCTTTGGGAGCTAAAAGGAATTTGAAGGATATTTATATAGATGAGGGAAGAGCCTGTTATGGATGATGGCCAATGCGGTGTTCTAAAGAAGGACCGAGGGCGCTTTGATGCGAGCACCGAGGATTGGCTCGAGCATGACCGTGGACCGCAGTAAGAGTGAAAAGATTAGCCTTGCCATGTACAGAAACGGGATAATATATTATATCATATTATTTCTCATTTTATATGATTTTATATCTCCTGAAAATCTCTCTTCTTCTTATATTAAATCGGCCGCCGGTCACTCTTTTTCGTAAGTAAATCCGCCTAACCGCACTTGAATTACCACATTATTATATACGATGATCTTTTCCCCTTTTTGACCAGTGATCTCCGCCCCCAATCCCTTCTCATTCCTGACTTATCCGCCGATCTTATCGTCAGCTGAGAATGTAATACACCTATCCTCAATTAGTCTCCGTTCTCCTGCCGTACCATCCTGTCATACTACTACATAGTCCCCGTCTCTCTTCGGTTATACACATCCCTCAATACACTGGCTCTGATCACCCTCTTTACGTCCACATCACTCGCAGCAACTCTCCGAGGTGATACCGTGCTTCTCATCCGTGGACATAGCTCATTCGGCACCCCCAGTCGGTCATCACTCGATGCACTCCATCCTCGCCTACCCCCGTTCTTTATGTTCTAAAGAGGATCTCTTGACTCATCGATCATCCGCGGTACTACGTATACGGCGGACGCAGCATGGCACCTTCCGATCTACTTGCGCTCTAAGCGGACTCTTGGTCATGCGGTTTGCACGTTGGTTTCCTGGCTCCATTAAATCATACAACCATAGCATCCGTTCACTCGTCAAAAATAATTCCATCCGCTTGTCTATAAATTCAACCGCGACACTGATTTTCGGATTGGCGCGGTGGCTTTCCCTCTTCGTCTCCAATGCTATGTTTAATATTCTCTTACCATTGTGGGAAATCGCCGTTAAGATCGACAGGGCACATGGTTGCCGCCGGTTGGATGGCCGGATTGTCGCTGCGGTTAATTGCGTTATCGATCTTGACAACAACCAGGTCATGATTCTGAACAAACTTTTCCCGATATGCTGAATCCCATCCGAGATCAGTGGGAAATCGATCTTTCAAGTATCCAAGACCATGTGCTCAAAATCTGAAAATATAGAAAGCCAGACCAGAAACACACTCGGCACTTCTGATCTCAGCTTCAGATCGGTACCGCGTTAGCAAAGCACAAGCGTTGAAGTTCCTATTTAAAGTGAAAAAGCACTACAATTACTCTTTCGAACACTGTGCAACATGTGCAGACAATAACTTATTGACAAAGTCTGCGAACGAATCACAGACCTCATCGGGAGGGTGCACACCTTCCCTGCACTCATCCCCTGGTCGGTATTTTCCTGTTTTCACTGAGAATCCCCATTAATAATCGCTTGGCACGGCAAATTGTAACAAATCAACTCAATACCTAAGATCCTCCAGAGACACAGGTCTATGGCGCCGCCACCAAGGTCCGTTCGGACATCGTCGCCAATCACGGCGATGCATCCTTCAGAATCGTATCCCTCACAATCGAGGCTCTCAATCACCGTTTGGAAGAAAGCTTTACTGGGCTTGCCGAGCACCTCCGCTTCCCTTTCGGTGGCATTTTCAAGAGCGGTGACAAACGGTCCTGGACCAAGTGCAAGCCCATGGCCCGAGGATTCTAGGTATCTCGCCTTGTGTAAAGCGATGAGGGGGATCGATGCCTTCGGATCCTCACCACACCGCTTCTGCGAATCATGTTCTCCAACAAGAATCCGAAATGCAGAATTAAGATGATCATAGTCGAACAGCGCAGGCGCCAAGCCCACAATTACCGCGTCATAGGGGGCACTATGATCGTACAGTCCTCCGGAAATGCATTCGTCTTTAGCGGACTCGGACAACAGGAAATACGGTCTTGGAACGGCTTCAGCTTGATGCTATGCCATGCTTAAAAAATTTTGGATCGCTTACCTTTTGAGACCCCTTGACCGGATAAGACTCCGTACGGCCTTAAGGCTCGTCCATAGTTCTTGCGATTCACCGGTTTGCACGTCAAAACCAGCATCTAGCATTCTCTTCTGAAGGACTGAGGTGGATTCTTTGCTGGTATTGCTACAAAACCTGAATGGGAATTTACTGCGCCGCAGCTCAGCAAGCGCTTGAACTGCTTCTTGTGTGGGCGTCGAGCCGATCATCAGAGTACCAGAAATGTCTATAAGCAAAGCACGAATTTTCGGTCTTGGTCTTACAGCCATGGTGAAAGTGGGGCGTTGCTTTATCGCCGTTATCGATGATGGAAGTAAAAGGTCACTGTCGGACCATGGTGTGCGCGTCTATGACATTTTAATCACGTGCGGCGCCTTATCTGCACTCATTCAGGAGTCCTTGACGATTTGCAACCTTATTATTTTTCATCTTTTGTGTATGCGGTATGTAACAATCAGACCAAATATAACGTTCACGTAACGTCCTAACGGAGAGGAAAGGGTTCATATAGTATGTAACCAACGGGAATCAGGCCATTTAAAATGTTCACGTAACGCGCTAGCGGAGAGGAAAGGGAACTAGAATCTCACCGCTGCTCAGCCAGAGCCCCAGAGAGCTTCGGCATCTATCTCTCGCGGACCACGCCCGTTTGGTGCTCCTGTATCATGCTCTTCATCAGTGGGTAGTGCAATTCTCCCTTCTCGCTTGGTAAGTCGACGGTAGAGGAGCGTTCCAATGAGAGCCAGAGGGTGAAGTACGGTGAACACAATAACAGTAATCTAGACAAGTGTGAGGTAAGAAGTAGAATTATCATAAAATTTAGCTCACATAAACAAGAGCAGGTTTGGGCCTCGCAGTCCATATACTGACACAAATCCAAGTAGCTGCGACAGCCCATACGATATCACGGCGCATCAGTATCACAAATAGGCCAATGAGATTTGCACCAAATGTGACCCCAAATCCAGGCCAGGCAAAGCGCCCGTAATGGTCGGGGTTACTAGGTGAATAATATAACCCCAGAGTGAGGCTGAAAGGCATACACAATCAGTAATGCAACTTCTCTCAAAAACAAGACTCCTACAAGAGCGAATAGGGAAACAGCAAGGATAGAGGAAGAATGAGGAAGAAACGCAGTGGAGCGTGAATGAGTGCCGTGTCGAGAGGGCGGGATGATGTGGGAGGATGATATGTGAGCAGCGCAATATTCGAATATAACAAGCATAGAACCAGAAGTCCAAGAAGTATCGTTGAGAGTAAGAAAAACTCAAGGACCTGGTCACGTATGACGGTTAAGTTCAACAGGTTTATGATATGCGACGTACCCAACACACGGCCCAAAGAGCCATCAACCAGTTTGCAAACACGAGGGAAAGACCAACTCCTTTCACTATCGTTGTCTGCGTGTGCTAAGGACACTTCAATTGCTCACTAACAATGCGCTGCTTACCTTCGTCTCCGGCTTCCTAGCTACAACCGAGCAATGTGCAGTAGCCTATTTGCCCAAGGCATATGGCGACGACGTAGGCAGAGATGAGACTTGGAGAAGGAGATATCGATGTAGGGTGTGACTTGATAATGGTCCCTAGTAAACACCAACAGGATGAGAGACGAAATGAAGTGCAAGCATGATGCTCACCAGCTGAGGGTTTGACAATGACTGAGCATACAACTAGTGTTGCGATGTTAATCAAAAGTGATAAAGGGGTGAGGACCTGTAGCCTGTGCAGCTAATCAGTAGGTATCGATGATGGTGATTGAGAGGGGCTATACTACACACCGTATAAGGGAAAGGTAATCCTGCACTGCAGGATGAGAAACATCGAGTGGCAACGAGTCCATAGCTAGTTCAGTGTAGTTTCACAAAATTTCTGTGTTGATGAGATGATTGCAAGAGGCAAGTGATGCTGCGTTCAAAAGACATCGACGTTCAACTTGAAGATGATGTCATAGACTCCAGGACCTTCAGGTAAACAAAGGAAAACAACTTTAATTTTTGTAACGGAGAAAAATAAGAGACAACATGCAGTCATGCAGACCAGATCACAGCGTTCGCGGAAGACAGTGCGAGTCCCTGTTGCACACCATGCAGAACTTACAGAACATGCCATGTTAATCAAGACAATCCGCACAAATCACCTGCTTGATCTTACTCACCAACTATACAGCCATGCTAGTGCCCAACGTGCTGTCGATCTTGAAAATATCCGTCAAGGCAAGGGAAAGTTGAAATCAAGAGATACTTGGACCGCTTGGCCTTTGATAGATTGCTTTATTCCGGAATGGCGGATTGAAGACGAAGTCAAATCTCTTGCTGAAGCGGTGGCTCGTCAGCTCAAAACTAAATATCTATCGAGAACACATAGCAAGCACCAATCGGAATCTCAGGACGATGTGGAGGAAAACGATGATGAGGACTTGGAACCTTTGTCTCCAAGTCTTCTCCAAGCCCTGGTCTGGCAAGCCACTAAGGTCCTGGTTTGCATTTTGGACTCCATTCTCGAACAGCGACCAGCGGTAGCAGATAGCATGCAAAATAGGATGTGGGCATTTAATTGGGAGGGTGTTCTCAGAGTCTTAATCTCGGGTATGACTCTAGACAGAACGTAAGTTACTGTCTTTCACGAGGCCCATTTATACTGACGATACTTCGCAAGCGTGATTTCTGCAGCAAAAAAGCGCCTGTCTTCGATATATGGCTCATCCAAGACTCTTGATATCGGTATTTGATTTTTTTTGCAAGTTTATCTCCGGTTTCATATCAAACACCGCACCTTAGCTTTATCCGAGAATTGGTCGCATCGAATCTCGTACATCCGCTGTTGGCTGAACTCTCAGAGAGGTACGAGGATGCATTTCTTCAGCAACCCACCGTGCGTATACGGAGGCCACCAAGTGAGAACATCTCATCCTCATAACCGCGGCCTGTTTGATATACCCATGCTCAGAGAAAAAACGACGGGTTACGTCCAAGGCGATCATCGAGACTGATACAGAGTAGTCATGTTTCCCGCGGATGCTGACGGACCTGGTGTTTGTCCGATTGACAACACGTTCTACTTGGGTTATCGTCGACGCTCACTATGTGGGTGTTTCAACTGATATGCACCACGCTTTCTAACGTGTCTCACAGCTCAATGGTTTCAGTTCTCAGCACGACGAGCATCGAGATTCGGTTCAACGTACTTGTTAACCACGCTTTCATAATTACACCGCTTTTGGTATACTGTTCGATTGGACAAGACCAACGGACTTGAACCGAAGTTCATATGACGGGGATCAGATCACACCGGCAAGAGCCGCTTACCTGACCGAATTCATATCTATCATGCGAGATCCGGGCCACCTCCGAGTCGTCCTCGTCGTTCCTCGCGCTACTAATCCTCTATGGGAACATGTCAAATACATGAGTCCGTTCAGGGATATCCCGATATTTTGATGACCCAGCGCTGAGCATTGGATTGCGCCTACATATCTATCACACAGGTTATACTTAGGCAAGCACAACATCTGCGCCCGTTACCAATGATGGCACCCGCCCACAAGCTATCATCCATTTCATGTGATGTTTGTTGGATGTTGGCTCACATGAGATTTGAGCACTGGTGCTCGGTTTCACGTTCAGATATTCCCGTTGTTCTGGGACGTGCTATCTGCATTGCGGTTCAGTATCTCTTGCCAGTCTACGTCAAATTTGCCAATGGTACCGGTACCTGAACTTGCTGTGACCAGCTGTAGACTGACTCACATGCCAAAGATGTCTTGGCACCGAAGGGCATCGCATGACGCCTACCGAATAGTGAATTTCAATACTGACCTATTCCATATCTGTGTTTTTGGGTTCAGGAAAGTGTGCACACAACTAGTTTCTTCCGTTTCTGATAGCCTGACTGGGCCCATGGGGAAGGCCATGGACCACTCTAATAGAGACGGCCAAGAAAGAAAGTCCGACAAGGCTAAAAATATTGACCAGGGAACTGACTACACGCAAGGTGCTTTCGCGTGAAGAAGTGCCAGTCTTCCAGAGTATAACTCGGACGAAAGCCCGCAGGACTTTTTTTTTTAATCCTAATGAATTCAAATGTTACAGCGCTGCTTACAGAACACATACTCACAGATAGCTCGAGTATCTTGAGAATGATCGGGTGAGATCAGTTCCGGTCGGAGAGATGCTGTTTCCGGGAGCAAGTAAGTTTCATATGTACGCGCGCAAATCAATGATACTTAGGTCATGGGAATAGGTGCAGGGCGGTGCATGGACGCGTTTGACGGTCTGGGACAATCCAGGGCTCCCAATTAAGTAACCCATTGCCCTGGCATGGCATGCCTCCCCATCCCAGATATCAACGCTTCAGCCTCCATCACAATCTTTGACGGACCTGATACATTAATGATACCTGAGTAAGGGATATGATCTACAATTAAAAGCGGTGCCTCGCAGTTGGGCGCATCACAACATTTCATTCCACTGGTATTACCGCTCAACACGGCCGGTTGTTCAAATAGTAGATACCTTTGGCGCAAATTGCAGAAGGGCCCGAGCACGTCGCATCGTCCGAACGTTGGTTTGGGCAACTTGGTGGACTATGTTGAATGGAGTTGAGCCGCCGCTAAAGAGTTTGAATGCCTCATGAGTCATGGGTAGGAAGCGAAAGTATGCCGATGAACTAATTCGGTCAAGGCTGTGTCCATATCAAAATCTGCACATGCGTGACACTGGGCGCCTTGAACTTTTTCACAGCCAAGCCAAATTCTTCAAGCGCCCTGCAAACTTACGAGCTTAAGCTCGAGTTTCATGGGCATCGCGACAGTGGCAGTGGTTTCGAAATCATCCGGTCCATACTAGTGGCGGCACCGCCCAAAGAACGTAAGTCAATGTTTGATGCCGACTCGGATATCACAATTTTGCTTGCTTCATACCTTGCCGATCGCACTAAACCACAGCCAGCATGTGATCGTCATATCAACCGAGGGATACATCAACTTATCTGTGCTCGTACGTTAGAGTCACAAAGTCACACAGGAACTACAGGAACACCCCTACTTCAATCGCATATAAGCGTATGATAGATATCGCAACTTCCTTGTCTCCGCTGAAACTAGGAACTAGTTACGTTTTAATTGTTCCCTCACCCTTGCGATACCTCTCCTAGACTGTTCCCCTTATTTCGTTTGACGCCTATAAAGTCAAGCAGTCCACGAATTAACCAAGACCATCCTCAGATTCTCGGCCTTCATCAGACATACCACAATCAGACCACCCGCAGATTCTCACCCCTCACTAGACATACATATCATGACTTCCAGTACTTCCACAAACTCACATCCGTCCGCCCATACTTCTACAAAAGGACATGAACATCCACAAGGCTCCTGTCCAGTGACGGGCAAGACATATGACTTCTGCCCAGCACAGGCTAATGACGCAAGATCACCCTGCCCGGCGCTGAATGCCCTCGCCAACCATGGTTACCTGTGAGTATCAAATCTCCAGAATTGTGATACATAAGAACTGACGATATTTCGTTCAGTCCACGAGATGGCAAGAACATCGGCCCATGGGACCTCGTTAGTGGACTCAGAAACGGCTACCGCATATCAACAGTGCTGGCCTGCATTTTGTCGTTTGGCAGCATGCTCCTACTCGGGCAATACAGATCCTTGTCGCTCTCAGATCTCGCTCGTCATAACATGATCGAGCATAACGCATCACTTGTTCACAAAGACGACAGAAACGGCGCAGAATATGCTCCATGCATGGTGAACAGGAAGCTATTAGAAGCCCTTTGTGCAGACGGAGGGAAGGTATTCCCAGACAGAATGACTCTCGAGGATGCCGCGCACATCCGTGTCAAGAGAGAAGCGCAGTGCGGAGTGTTGGATGGTGTGCATGGTGAGATAGCTCGAGGCGAGATAGTCATCGCTATCGGAGTCCTAGGTGGCAAGGACGCGGCGAAGAACGGCCTCGCCATTAGCACATTGCACGATTGGCTGCAGCATGAGCGTCTACCTGTTGGCTGGAAGCCGGATCACACTCAGGGCTTGTATCAGACATACAAGATGGCGAAGTATGTCAGGGATCGCATGAGGGAGATCAAAGCGGAGAAACCACCAGTAGAGTCGCATTAATATTTGCTTTCCGTCTATATTTTATTGGTCTTCTAGCGTGTTCAGATTTTATTCGTATATATTTCATACCCATCGCACGTATGTTCGTACCACAAATTTACTTATATCACACAATATCAATAGCACTGTTAATCACTCTGTATTCCATCCAATCCCTTCACGAGCTACACACAATTGTTGATTATCCCTAATTTATTGCTTGGCCTTTACATGGGATCGAGCGTGAGTATGACTCTACCGGTGACCTCCACCCTGGAATACGAACAGTAAGTAAAAGTTGTTGGTCCATTTCCATCACAAATATCAAGACGTTCCAGACATCGACGTCATTGATATGTTGTTTTGAATGGCCCCTAATAAGACCAGCTACACGTATCCCAGGCCATACCAGCATGCCCACGCCTCGCACCCGCAGGCGCCCAGGATGACGAAGGATAGCAACGCAGACACCTGAGCTACAGAGACGCTGACGTTGTAGGAAGGAATTCGAAATTCTGTAAAGCCTTATTAGACAGGTGCGTCCAAAGAGGAGTTGTGTACACCGTATTCTAGAATACGTAGTCTCAGAGCTTGAAGGTCATCAGTGATCAGTATTCAGGTAATGCCTTGTTACGTAGAGACTCTGTCGAAGTGAGAACTGACCAGCGGAAGCACATTACCATTACTTTTGAACCATGCCTTTCTTATCCATCGGCTCCTTGCAGCCTGCGTCCAAGGTGGGAGCGTATCTGGACAGGGGCTTACTACAGATATTAATGTGAGTGCGTAACTCACATTTTAGCCACGTACCCGCGCGAGAGACGGACATTGTCAAGTGTAATCGACAGACCGACAGAACTAGTGTGCATCGTACTAGGTTATGGCATATCGGTAACTCCACCCGCTCGGGCCACGGGGTTGTCGAACGCATGATGATAGCAGGAATACCCAGAGTCGTGTTTTCCATAAGGTATTTTGGGATTGTCATTAATATTGTACCGTGTGATGCCTCATCGGATGGTCCCAGTTTGTAATATTTCCCCCTACATGGTTAAGGTACTGAGGTCAGCACAAACATATCGCGGGACAATCGAATAGTAGTTTAGACATTATCGATAGCACCCGATTTATCAAACAAATAGACATCACTCTGGATGCCAAGTAGTAATAACAAACGCAGTTCCACATTAGAATTTGAGAGTAATCATATCACGGGGACTACTCAACTTCTAATTACACGGAGTCCTTGCGGCCTTGACAAAAACCATTCACTTCAAGTTGGAGCGTCAGGAAGACCGTGATCTGTTTTTGTTGGTACTTCTCAGAGGGCACGGTGAGCCGCTTGACTTAATGTTTTGCCAAGAATGGCTGTGCAAGGATGTCCGTTTTCCGAGTCTTGGAAAAAATGTTATAAGTTTAGAACTGCGTCTACCGCGGGGAGGTGACATGTTAAGATACCAACGAGTCAAAACAGTTCGCTTCCCTCCCGTGTTGGCTCTTCTAGAGGCCTTGATGGGAACGCCAGCTAGCGCGCGCGCAAGATCTATTAGACTGTTGGTTAGCCGGTCAACCGGTCAGTAGTGGTGACTAGTAGGACTCGTGAGCCACTCATTCAAGTTGGCGGCAATCGTAAGCATGCGGCTGTTGCCGAGCTGGATGTACTGAGTACAGACTTATTTTGTCTGTGTCCATTCCCGAACATAGAGATGAGGAACAGTTATAGCATTCAGTCACTTCTTCTTCTGCTCTGTGGCCTAATTTCACTTACAACACAAAAAGACGTCCCAGACGCCTTCAGACTTCCGCCTAGTGAAGCAGTGGACAATGTTAATCCGTAAGCATCACCACTCGCACATTCAGGTTGTTATACATATGCCTAACTCATACTTTTAATTCAATAGGCTTATTGGCAATGGTGGGGACTCTCCAAATGGGTCTGGAGGTATGATTCCGTCAACGTCGCCCCCATTTGCCATGACACGATGGGTGGCCCAAACATCTGAGAACTACGTATCTGTCACTCCATATAATTACACTGCGACATCAATCCATGGCTTTCAAGCAACCCACCAACCAGCCATCTGGATGGGTGAGAGCGGTCAAGTGGTGATATCTCCAGGCGCCGGTCAGGTGCAACCTAAATTCGACAATCGAGGCATGAGTTTCACTCACGAGAACGAAGTTATCACTGCTAGTTACTACAGTGTGAACATGAATGCTATTGAAGGGGGTCAAATTTTAGCCGAACACAGTGCTAGTGCGTTATCTATTCCATATCGACAGATATTTCAATTTGCTGAGTTCTATTGAGCTTCTCGTGTCGGACACCTCCGCTTCACGTTCATTGATACCCGTCAACCTTACGTTCTTGTTGAAGCTACTCGGGCTAGCGTTCTCGGGTCTGCAGACCCGCATAATCTGACTTATCCTCAGGGTTCCATATTTATTAATCCTGACACTCGCGAAATTTCTGGCAGCAATCCTGAGCGTCAGGACTTCATTATTGCGCCAGTTTCGACACCTGCAAAACATTGGAGCGGATATTTCTGCGCGCGCTTCGACCAGCCTTTCGCCTCATGGGGCGTTTCCAAAAATAACACTCTTTTTGATGGCCAGACAAGCGGCAATGGCACGCTTCTATCAGGATATGTCTCATTCTCACCTGAAGTGGTGGAAGTCAGTGTCAGGATCGGCGTTTCATTCATTTCTGTTGAGCAAGCTAGAAAGAACCTGGACACGGAGATACCTGATGGGAATACGCTAGAAGACACAGCGACGGCGACTCGATCGTCTTGGGCTGAGAAGTTGGAGTTGATCAAGATCAAAGGTGCTTCCAAAGATCAACTGCAAACTTTCTACACCGCGTTTTTTCACACATTGCAGGCAGTTTTTATTTATTTGTTCACCACGGAAGTATGCTCATGTCTCCTTTTAGTATCCTTACGAGCAGAGCGAATATGGTCAGTACTACTCAGGATACGATGATGCCGTGCATCAAGGAATATCATATACTGGATACTCGAACTGGGTAAGCACCAAGCTCTAGGCATGATAGAGATCTAATGTATTGCATAAGGACACATTTCGTGCCGAATGGGCGTGGCTTATCTTATTTGCGCCCGAAAGGATACCAGGTATGGTACAGAGTATGTTGCAGGACTACAAAGAGGTGAATTATATTACGACCTGTTCAATGAAAGATGTTTTCATTCACAGCTCACAGGGTGGTCGACTCCCAATGTGGAAGAACATCATTGGTAGGTTTTAGTGACTATCTTAATCCTGAATTCTCATCGAATTTCTGTGGTCAGAGACGAACATCATGGTACCTCATTTTCTGTTACATGCCGTTCCGCGTGACTAGTGAACATGCTTGTACAGGTCGCAACTCACGCAGATTCCCTCATTGCAGAGGCTGTCTTGAAAGGCATGGCCGGGTTTGATTTAGAGACCGCATGGGAGGCCGTTTATAGCGATGCAACAGTGCCTCCGGTCAATGATACAACTACTGTGTGGGTTTGAAAGTTCTCTTGTTATACGTGTAACTAAGCCGAATGTCTATAGATACTCTGATCGTCAGGAAGTAAGAATTTGATTTTTCAACCATTGCAGCATCAGATCTTTTGATTGTCACAGAATGTCGATTATGAAGTTCGTGCCGGCTTGACTTCGGTCTACGAAGAGAAGGGCTGGGTTGCAGACGATGTCCATTCCGAATCAGCGTCTCGAACCCTGGACTATTCTTGTGACGATCTTGCTCTCTCTTTATATAGCTAATACTTACCACCTTGCCTTGTTTCATTTCATCTATTCAGATGACGATTTTGCCGTATCTGTGCTCGCAGGTCTCCTCAATAAGAGCGAAGAGGAACAGTTTTTCCGACAGCGCTCACTGCAAAATCCCTTTACTATCTTCAACTCACTTACTGGTTTTATGGAAGCGCGCAACGCGAGCGGTGCATGGGCGGGTCCCGATAACGGGTGGACGGAAGGCGATAAATGGGCTTATACATTTGACGTGATACACGATATACCGGGATTGATCGCTCGCAAAGGCGGTAACGCGACGTTTGTGGAATTCTTGGACGAGCACTTTGACGGTGGTCAATTCTAAATATGATCCGAATTGATATTTCTTACTGATTTCTTCGGTCTGCTTCAGGTCACAATGATCATACCAACGAGGTCCGTTCCTAGCATGCGGTATCATAGCCACTAATACATTCTTGCAGCCATCCCATCATATTCCCTACCTATATTCCCTTGCTGGAGCTGCGTCAAAATCTCAATCACGTATCCGCCAGATTGCAGAGTCAAACTACAACGCTTCCGTCAATGGCCTCTCTGGGGTATGTCAACCTGTAGAACGTTCAGCCAGACCATTAGACTGATATACTGCAGAATGAAGATTGCGGCCAGATGAGCGCGTGGTATTTGTTTAGTGCATTGGGATTTTACCCTGTGAACCCTGTGTCAGGGTTGTATGTGGTCGGGTCGTAAGTGTGTGTCGTTTCAAACTCCAACCCTAACCTTGGGAATTTCAGTCCATTTTTTGATGAAGTAGAGATCCAATTCCCGTCATCTAACGCCACCAGCCTGAAAATCATTGCGGAGGGCGCACGGTCAAGGCCGTTCGTAAATTCGCTTAGCATCAATAGCGCGGATATACCCAGCCCTATCATCTCGCACGACCAAATACTCGACGGGAGCAGATTTGAGTTTGTAATGTCCAGCCGACCACAGGCCTGGGGGAGTAGCACTTTGAACAATAATACAGTCAGTGACAAAAGTCCGTGCGCCATCTTGTTTATTGACGCAGTTAGCAATAGGGTTTAACCAGCGAGCAAGACAAATCGTTACAATACTACATGGCACACCTTGAGCTGCGTTGAGGGTATTCATACATGTTTATTGCACTTGAACGAGTTGAGTATAAGCCGCACCACAGAGCCCAGTGTATGAGGCCGTTACGAAAAAGCAGACAACTCTGGAGTAAACGATGCTCCACTGATATCATAGGCCCAGAAGATTCGAAATGTCGTAGTATACCCATGAGATTCATTGGAGAGATGGCATATGTAACTCGCAGAACGTTGTCCACATCCTAAGCACGCATCAGGAAATGGACAGGAGTAGCTCAAATCTGAAGGAGATGGAAATCATTGATGGATATAATACTGCTACAATCCAAAGAGGAGCTACATTACGCTGCGATAGTAAGGAGTCATAGTCGATATTAATGGCCTCTCCCAAACGAGAAACCGCGCTGCCCAGCTTGCTGGAAAAACTGCGCAAATGGATGCTCGCCGCCGCCGCCGCCACCACCGAATGGACTTGCGAATCCGGTGAATGGAGTGCCTCCATGTGAGCCAGAATCATTTGGGTCATCACCGTTGTCGAAGCGTTGACGTAGTTCTACACGATGTGATGAGCAAGATGCGCAAATATGTTGATTATACATGTTCTTGCCTGGATTACTCAGGACCTCGTATGCCTCATTCACTTCTGCCATTTTCGCCTCTGAGCCCCCCTTGTCAGGATGTGCTGTCATAGCTGCTTTGCGGCTGGGAAAGTCATTGGCAAGAAACACGAGAGAGAACGCAAGTCTTACAAGGCTTTCTTGATAGTTTTCGCGTCCGCATCCCTGGAGACGCCAAGAACCTTGTAGTAATCCTTCTGCTTGGATTGCTTTAGTAGCCGTTGAGCTTTCTGTAAGCGCGCTAGCACCTGTTGAATGGCATTTTAGAATGCTGAACACTTAGATCCAGAGGGGCAGCTTACGTCTCTGTCACTGCGACCACTGCTCTCAAACGCCCGTTCAAAAGAGCGTACTGCGTCTTCCCACTCTTCACGAATCAGCATTGCCTCGCCCTTCACCACCCACGCGTCGACTTCCACATTAATGTCGCCGCCCATATCATTCAGGGCCCGGAAGGTATCTTCAGACATCGCAAGCAGAGCATCACACCAAGGTTCGCCCTTCTTTGCATTGTTGAGCCTCAAATAGGCACGGCATGCTCCACGAAGGATAAGAGCGCGACGCGGGCTTGAAGAGATAACAGTAGGTAGGGGGAGCTTGGAAGCAGGTGGTGACAGCATCTCTGGATCCCCGTTTGCAAGCAGTGCGTCTTCGAAAGTACGAGCAAAGCCATTGCCAGGAAAGTCTTTCGCATTACCAACGACATGCTTTAAAACACCTTTCCAATCACTGGCCTCTAAAAGCTTCTCCAATTTAGCAAAACCCTTGTCGAGAGATTTCGTGAGTCTATGGGCTGGTAAACACAAAGATGAGTCGGGGTCTAAATGAAGACATTGTTTGAGAGGTGAAAGGTGCGAGGACGACTGTGAAGGTGGAAGCAGGAAGTACGAGAGGCGGAAGATACGGATAAGAGAGAGAGTGGTAGGGTGGGATAAATATGACAGTCGACTGAGTTCTTGTAAGTATGTGTAAACGTATGAATAACAAGAACTCACGTTAGGTCGACCACAGCTCCTTGCACGTCGCCACTGGCCAAATTACAATCTGCTCTTGTCTGCCTAAGCTCAAAACTATGACTGGCTACTCGTAGAGCCTGCGTTGCAGCTTCTGAGCAAACAGTCCATAGCTGGGCGCGCCTTGCTTTAACAGCCTTCGAGGCTACTGCCTCAGCCTCCCTGATATCACTAAGCATGTCGTTCGCAGATTGATCGCCAGCAACTTTCATGTTATACGTTGCAAGTAACTCCTTGGCACGAGCCCATTCTCCTTCCTTGGTATGGATTTTCGCCATCATCATAATGGCGCGGTCGAATTCTCCGCCAGTCAATTCCAGAACCTTGGTGAAGTCATCAAGCGCGCTCGCATGACGGCTTAACGAGAAGTAAGCTGTAGCTCGCTTGTAAAACAGTAAATAATCTGCAGGGGAGAGCGAGATGGCGTCTGTGTATGCTTTCGCTGCATCGTTAAATTGTCCGGCGGAAAGCAGAGCATCACCGCGGACTATTAGAGGCTGAAGCCCTGGTGGAGCGAGTCCAGATGACGAAGTGTCTGATAAAATGGGTTTAGCGAGCAATAACAGTAGCCCAGCAAAACAGTACAGTCGCATAACGAGACAATGAACACTTATGGAGTCAATGGAGCCTTGATTTCCGGAATACTTCAACATCGACCACGTCCACTATCCCACGAACAAATATCACGTGAACATCACGTGCTGAGCAACTCAGGAGTCAGGGAGCTCATTCAAGTTAAATGTATCACCACCATAAGTGATACGCAAGGCAATGAATCACAATTTATTGAAACAATTTGAACGTGAGTACCACCGCTTATTACACGTTGATTTTCAGGGACAAATAAAATGGGTGACTCATGTTACAAGATTGCTGGCGTTAAGCAATCCCAGATGAGCCTGCCAGTGTGCAGACGAATCTGCAACATAGTACGACAAAACCAGAACTACTAGCCACATTTATACAGGAGGATTCCGACAACGAGCCCATGTGCTACTGGTATGCCAGTGACTCAGTCAATGTTGATCAAGACTATGTAGCACCGCAACGATATAACGGTGTGTATGTCCTCGACTTAGCGTGCGCTGTGATGGCTCGGCCAGGTCATAGCTCATGGAAAATAGTATGGATGGATGCAACATGACTATGGCTGCCAGCAGATCTATGAATTACCGAGTCTCGCTTGTATTAACTCATTCTTGCCAGTCATCATAGTAACCCTAAGGGGACCGACGGGGCTGATCCTGCTCAGCTACGCATTAAGGAAGAGACTACAGCGATTTCCTCGTGTGGCCATGCATTATCACCAGTTCGCGCAACACTGCACTACGGTTTCGACAAACTACTCCTACTTGCAACGTTGTTTGAATTGTTATAGGCAACAAATTATCTTGTTATTTGATGCACCAGCATGATTAGGACATACCCTTTAATTATGTCGCTCGCTCTGTTAGTATGATGTCTATAACCTGCACTCACAAGTGGTATATTCACAATCTGTAGATGATTGTAACAACTGGTATAGATACAAACATCCATACAATGGTGTTGTGAATATGAAGGCACGCTACATGTGTCAGCGATGTATCGGCAATCGCTTGAGCATGTATCGAAGCGACGGACTGGAGGCGGCTTCACCGTGACGGGACGCCTCTTGACTACTACGATGTAGACCGACGACGAACAAGATAAAATCCACAGCATCCTATCACACATGATACCTCTTCCGTGGTGGTAGTAGAATTTTGCCTCTGAGTAGTTTGTGTTGGTCCCTGCACAGGATATCAGGACAGATATTGGTCACGATGAATGACTCACGTCATCACGGGCGAAATACCAACGCTGGGGCTGAAGTGGTTGGGGCGCCAAATCTGTAGGTTGAGTGCGAAAGCGCAGGAACCCGAACAAGTTGCGCCACCGACTCGCAAGGGAGGACGATGAGCCTGCGGGTGGAGCTGGTCGATGAGGCGTGTGGTCTGCGATGTCGCCAAAGAAATCATTTCCCTGTATCAGTGTCAAGTCAATAGATACTCAAGAGAGATGTAACCATGCTGACATATTTTGCCATGCCTTTGTTATTAACCTGCCGTTTGGATACGACATCAAAGTTAAGCTGACGATATCGATGAGCAAAATATCGTATTCACAACTGATTAACGCACATCTCTAATTGGAGCTGCACGCCTCTAGTAACAAAGTGAGATGCAATGCAAGAGAAATGCCGATATGACTTGCCTTGGGCTTCGCGTTTGCATTGCCATCCTGTGAACTCTGAAATCCAAAGCCTGGTCAGTGAAGACGCCAATAACAGTATCCGTACATACGCACGCCAACCTGATCACTGCCATACTGCTTGAGTACCACCTCTAGGCTCCATACATAGACTTTTGCATACAATTGAGCACCGACAACATAATTTCCATCAATTGATATGGCAAGAGCCAAGAGTTCGCCATCATGTAAAAGTGGGTCTCCGACTTGCTGATTGGTTTTGAGATCCCAGACGCGAACTGAGCAGTCCCTTGAGGCACTGACAAGATGAGATTCATCAGGGGAAAGACATAGGGATGTGACGGCCTTCGTATGACCTTGAAAAACAACGAGTTCCTTCCCATCAGACGACTGCCATGTTCGGAGGGTGCAATCTGATGACGCGGAAAAGATGTATGTGCCGTCCTTGAACCAACACAACGATGTCACTGTATCCTCGTGTCCCTTGATCTCGAGGAGTAGCTCGCCTTTCTTTGACCACAAGCGAATTATCTTGTCTGCCCCACCACTCGCGAATTTGTCGCCTTGTGGAGAGTATCTGACAGCACATACCCAACCATGACTAGTCTTTATCAGTGGTGCGATTTGTCGTCCAGTATCTGGGTTCCACCGTCGTATGGTGCCATCGTACGATCCAGTTGCTACCTCCACAGCGTCAGGAGACCAGTTCAGACATATCACTGCATCATTATGTCCCTTCCATGGGTTTCCTACCATTTTGGCCTCCTTTATGTTCCACAGCCGTATTCTGCCATCTGCGCTTCCACTGACGACCATGCTTTCATCTGGAGATACTCCTATGGAGCCTACCACTCCTCCGTCACTAACCCAGGGCTTTCCTATCGGCTCTCCGTCTCTTGTCCATCGGTGAATCGAACCATCAGACGAGGAGCTCATTATGCTGCAAATAGTGCCCAAGCAGGCGATGTCCCATATACACTTAGAATGCCCTTCGATGACGCACTCTGGCGTCAAGCTCCCTGCTTGGCGATCTGGCACAGGTTTCCTCCATGACGTAGTCCGAGTATTGTGGTTGACAAAATAGGACCGACCAGATGGTGATATGTGCCATTCACAGCCGGGAACGAGATCTCCAGGATGATCTGTGCTCGACTATGAGTTTCTTGCTTTTAATCGCACTCCCTTCGCTTACCTAATCGTACACCTGGTAAAGGGCGGTTCCGTGAACCCATGATCAGGTTGTTGTCTTGATACAGCGTTTTATGGTCTAGCACCTGAAACTGTTGCCACATAGGAGGGAGTGCTTCGTTACCGCCTGCTTCTTTTTGAGCTAGTCAGTAGGTATTATAATATGACTACCGCTCACCTTGCCAAAGTGCATCCTGGCGGTGCTGCGCACCATAGGATGGAAGATCCTCTACATTCTTGCGAGGAGCAACAGTTGCTGGCGAGTCTAACAGCGCCGCTGGTTCTACCTCTCTCTGGTTTCCTGACGCGATATCCTCCTGCAGCATGACGGCGACTAAGTTTGAAATGGCCGCTGTTCTATACTGTGTTGGGTAGACAACGATTCGCAAGAAAGAATTGCTGGACGATGAGGAGGGTCGATGGGATGCCTTGATGATGGCGATAGAGAGACCTGCTAAATATTCGAATTCACATGCTGTACTTCTAGACGCCTTGCTTACTGTATAAAGATGACGATATTTTATCCCGAAAGGGCGGCGCATCGCATATACAGCTTCATTGAATTGTCAGCAGACACCAGCTATTAGGGCCTGGCTATAACATATGGCGGGCGCAAGTTTGGTCAGCCGAATGCCCGTTGGAAGATCGATACCTGCGGCTGTTCCAAATGGGCAGGTATATGTTCCGAAAACCAAGTTACGGTTGCCTGTGCAAGTCAGTACCAGGAATGGTTTGTGATCAGCCTATAAGCCTGGTTCGCATGATGGACGGTTTGCGTTCAGAGCGTATACGTGTGACAGGTGATTGAACCAATGTTGGACGTCGACCTTGGCATCGTCCTTAGGGAATGACCCAGCCTGCCACCTGGCAAGCCATCGACAGACCGACTAGTAAAACTGGACTTGCCAGTAAATTCCAATCCTGAGCAGGTTTTCAAAACTTTCGATCCTGCGTTCGCCAGCCATCGACAGTGATCATCGTGGATTGATCGATGGACAAATAGTCATCGCCGTTGGTACGTACACGGTCAAGCAAGCGTGCTTTGTGTCCGTCCCATTTTTATGAGGGAAGGTTTGGATGTAGTCCACGGGTGAGTCGTTGAACTTGATCATGCGCGAGGATCAACCATGATCACACCTTGTCCGATCAACAAATGGTGTACATACAATTTTCACTTGTTTTTATGCGTACAAAGCGGGAACCTTAATGTGTGGATACTGGTCATATGGGGAATAACGCAAACCGTCATATCAGGCATACAATCTCTTCGTGTATCTGCAGAAAAAATCAGCGACACATCGCAACGGAAGGTCATCATCACTCACGAATGCAATCCATGAACACCCCCCTCCAGCTGAGCACTTGGTGTTCTTACTTCGAATCTCACACGACCCTCCTTCACGCCTGCCTGCAGCTCTGAAACACTGCGCACGCCAATGTCCTGGAGACTGTGTTGGACACCGACGTGTAGGTATGGAACGAATGCTTTGACGCTGCCCTTGTCTTGGACGTCACCCGACACACCTTGAGCGACTTTGACAGCGGAGGACTCTGAGAAATAGCGTGACGTGGCGGCGTTCTCGTGTGGCTTGCTCGAAAGGTTTGGAGTGTGCTTCGTGGAACCGGGCTTACCATTAGCCTGACCAGCCACACCAGGTCTACCCTGCTCCATAGCCTCAAGACTACCCATGCCTCGGTAGGACTTCACACGCTTCCCATCGTGGTAGAAGTACTCTCCCGGAGCTTCTGTGGTGCCTGCAAGAAGCCCTCCCATCATCACAGCATTCGCACCAAGGGAAAGTGCCTTGACAATGTGCCCGACATTGCTGATACCACCATCTGCGATCACCGGGATACCGAACTTAGATGCAAACTCGGCAACAGCAAACACAGCTGTGGCCTGTGGACGACCAACTGCCATAACCTCCTGCGTGATACAAATGGAGCCGCTACCCATACCGACGCGGAGAGCGTCTGCCCCAGCGGCAATGAGGCTGGCAGCTTGCTCACGCGTGACGACGTTGCCTGCGATGACCTCGAGCTTGGGGAACGTCTGCTTGATCCATTGAATCATGTCGATCTGGAAGATGGAGTTGCCTTGCGATGAATCAAGGACGACAATATCAAGACCAGCCTCGACAAGAAGCTTGAGGCGTTCTTTGTCGTTGGGTCGTGTGCCCACTGCAGCTGCCGCATATAGCTGCTTGCTGTTAGGGTCCTTGCTAGCAAGCGGGTAGTTTTGGTTTTTGAGGAGGTCAGAGCGGGCGAGGAGAGAGGTGAGACGACCTTGGTCATCGACGATGGGGAGTTTTCCCTTCTTGGAAGAACGAAGGATCTGGTTGGCCTCTGCGAGCGTGACACCTTGGGGAGCGGTGACAAGAGACTTGGTCATGACCTCGCTGAGGAGTGTCTCAGGCGACTCAAATTGTACGTCGCGTGAGGTGACGATACCAACGAGCTTAGTGCCCATGTATCCCGTTTCTGAAGAATAAACATCAGTTTTGATCACACAGGCATGATGGGCGAAAAGGAAGATCAGATGGCCAAAATGAAAATGATATCCGCAGATCACAGGTGAAACCCGTTAGTCAGAAGAACGAAGGTTATTGGTAAAGGTGTTCATCAAGGAAACGCAAGTAAAACGCATAACGCACCTGTGATAGGAATACCACAGAAACCAAGACGGGCCTTGATGTCAAGGACATCTCCAACCGTATGATTTGGAGAGAAGACGACAGGATCCGTAATAAAGCCATTCTCGTGCCTTTTGACGGCTCGGACCATAGCCGCTTGAGATTCAGGAGACTGGTTATGATGAATGACACCAATACCACCCAACAGCGCGAGACTGATGGCCATGTCGGTCTCGGTAACAGTATCCATAGGACTACTCATGAATGGAGTTCTGAGAGCGACATTACGAGTGATTCTGGTATCAGTAATCACGTCAGAAGCGGGGAAATCGATCTTTCCGGGAAGCATGAGAAAGTCGTTATAAGTGAGACCACCATGGACGCGGGAGTCCATGAGATCCTTGACGGAAAGACCATCTAAGCAATGGTAAGATGCTAGATGGGCGACAGCGTCCGAGGAAGATAGGAAAGTTGCTTTCGATGGGGCGGGCATTTTAGCCGAATTGATTAGAAAATTTTACAATTATTATCAATGAATATTTTAATCGGAGTTGAAAATACCATTGCACTCATACTGTCATGGCAACCCATGGAACGAGTATTGGCCTTAGTCTACACCGCCAAACGGCCGTAACCTAATAAGAACATTTGATACAAATATTATTACGACCTGTGAGAGACCTCCGGGGCGACACTGGGCAGACACGTGTGATATGTTAGCTTGGTTTGAATGTGGTATGTCTGCCACCGGTTGTCCATGAGATGTTTAGTCAAACGTCTGCCAGATGTTTGGAATATATCCGAGCTTGGGTCCAAGCGGCCACTGTAGAACACTGCGCTAGGAGCATAGGTCACACACAGCGATCTAGACATTTGTGCAGTGTTTGCCTAGATGTTTGTCACATATATTGTTTAGGTCGAGCATTGGTTTACTATACATGAGTTAAAATCTACTATAGCTGCTCAATGACAAAGATATACATTTGCCATTTCTTGTAAATGTTGTCCCTAAGCGTGATGTAATGACTCGGCCTGCTTGAACTTGCTCATCTATATTATTCTTGTAAATGTTGTCCCTAAGCATGATGTAATGACTCGGCCTGCTTGAACTTGCTCATCTATATTATTCTTGTAGACGTCATAATTCGATTCTATGCATTCAATAAGCTTGACAGTAAGAACGGGTATCTGATATATATATATACACTATATACGAGGACAAAAAATATGTAGCTCTCGAAAATCAAAGCTCAGCTACAAGTGAGTACAGAAAACATTCAGCGGCTAGTCTTTGAAACTTGGTCCATATACCAGCTCTGATAGTATCATGATCTGTGATCAATGCAGGTGAATCCTCTGGATCCTCAGTGAGTGTCCATGACTCAATAAATGCTCCTTCCAGACTGATTCTTGAATTCCAAAGGGGCCAAGAGCCATGAGGGAAGTCAGGATAAGCTGCAAGAAATGCCATCCAGAATGCGTCACAACCCCATGTCCATTCGGGTGTGCGTGTGTCGACAACAACGTGAACCAGCCAAGATTCAAGCTTATATAAGAGTGTGACCCAACACCTTGCAGTGAAAGGATCGAAGTCTGATGGAAGAGGGAAGAAGGACGGCTAGAGAATACAGTGTGTGAGTAGGGTGTACTGGAATTAATGGAATTAGTAGACGCACCGTTCGCAGCCTTGGTTGTAGGCTAGATATCATCAAAGGAGCAGCATCAAGAATCAGCACCACATAGCCAGCAAATTCAGAGGGAACATTAATAGTGATTTCCAGCGGCTATAAGCTATTTTGAGTTCCAAGAAAACAATAATAGCAATGCCGCCACTTATGATCCGGGTTGCTGTTTGAAATACATGCGGTACACTTCCATGGAAAAGAACAGATAATGCAAGAGGTTTCAGTCCAACACCATCATCTTTTTGGATGGCGTCAATGTACACCGTTGCTGACATTTTGTATGGTGGTTTGTATAGGGCAGAAACGGGCGGAAAGGAGATGCCTTCAGGCTGTGGTGAGAGCGAATGCATATTCACGTGACTTTCATTCTGATAATTGTGTCAAAGTCCTCGCAGTTGCCTCATTGTCTTGCTGCCTGACGCTTCCTCAAATATTGCCGCATGCTGTGATATATAATGACCCATAGCTTCAATCAACTCTGCAAGACTACTATTATGGGTTCCCGCATTTACCTTCCTCGCGCAAAACATTGGATCACATTAAATCCTAGCGGTAATATCTTTTTCCTTCATGTTTCTACCATTACTTACTACAATTTCTACAGAGTATTCTTACAACAAGAGCAATAATCGGATCAGTTGTCTCGTGTGTCCCCTTCAACGAGGTGTTCATCCCTCCATGTGACCTTGTGACATCCATCCCCACTCCTCGAGCGCATCACACAAGAGGCATATGAAGATCAAGCGTGATCAACGACTGCACAGCTCTACCGCATGGTCTGACCCACCTCCCTCTCCAATCACAGCTGATGAAGATCAATCATCATTTCCCCTGCTTCTCGACTCAGGAACACAGTCAATGGATGCACCGCCCACCCACTCCCTCCCTCTCGCACACAGCCTGTCTTCGCCATCTTTTGGCAGTCATGAGCTGATATCTGACCAACTCTATTGTTCTGCAGACCAGCGAGAGAAAGATCCTTCACGCACTGTGGAGCTGGAGGAACTGGAGAGTGAGGCAGAGGAGAATGATGAAGTTGCCCCCTTATCCATACTCTTGTGTGATGGTTGGTCTCAAACACCTTTCGTTGATGACCTGGACCTTTACAGTGAATATCTTGCTGCCTGTGAACACACCGATGACCCTTTGGGGCCAATGCGACTTCATTTCAGTGACGAGGAGATTGGTGTTCACACAGACAATTATGAGCTCAACTCTACCAATGACGTGCAAGAAGATGAAGATCCTCTTGGGCTTCTGTCAGGTACATGGATCATCTCGCCCTTGTTAAGCCCGTCATTAAATTCTTCACAGATAATGCTTCATCCTCACTACATGCTAGTGCAACCTATCCATGGCCATCTTTACTGGTAAGTTTAACTTATTATTGATATTGCGGTTAAATAATGGCACCATTTGTTACGACACATGGTCGTGTGCGACTTGGATGATCTAAACAGCGACAACCACAACAGTGGTACCGAGTGCTGAGAGTTGTCGGCCTTTACAGACAAGCAAAGGTTGCGTACTTGAACGTAGCTCGTGGTGGTTAACGAGGGGTTACGCTGAGATTATAGCAGAGGTTACAGACAGTGAGAGGCGTCACTGAAGGTACGAGTCGATGTCGAGCTGGTAGCTTTAGCGGGACAAGGAGTTCAAGGGATAACCAAGTAAGATTAAAGTAAGGAATGTCTACTTTAATCTTCGACCTTATATAAGGCTACTCTTCGTATCTAAGCTCAGCCTAAAGCTGGGTTCTAATCTGCTTATCTACATGAGTCAGAGATAGTGTCCATGAGGCGGGCTTCTATCGTAGATAGGATCCATGAGGCATCCTTCTATCAGTACATGAGGCAACACGAGGCTTGCCTTCTATCTTGATAACATAAATAGGTCTTCTAGACCTATGTCGTCATGTGTCGTCATATTGGTCCAGACCGCTTATCTAAGCCGGCAGTTGCCGCTTATCTTCTATCATCATCTATCATCATGATCGTCATAGAGCTGGTGAGACTCCGGTATCATCTATAGCCGTGCGGTGGCAGAGGGCTGTCTGCTGGCAGGGGACTCATGCCATGTTACTGTAACACCATTGGTTAGATGTACATCACGGACTTATTGTTCAGTTCACCTCGTCTCCATTTTTCTGATGCTCAGAAATGGGCAGTGATCACATGGGTGAAGGCACTTGGCGCTCCCAATGTCCCCACCCTTTATGGCTTGAAGAAATGCCATGATCGCATTTGTAACCAAGTCGGACACCCGACTGAGAAGGTGAAAGCCAATTCTGCCAATATTTTCTATCTCAATTCAATCGCAAAAGTGATTGCAAAGGTATTTAGTTCTCTTACCTCTTCATCCATGGCGAGCTCAAAGATATTGGGTCAGGACTACGCCAATCCTCTCACACGCATGTGTATGCAGGATTATCCTGAAGATGGTCAAGGCAGTATGTCCCAGGCTCATCATGGTGAGAAGATGCTCAACCTTCCAGACAGCCTTGCTGTGCCGTCGGTTCGAGTTTGCAAGAAAATATACTTCACTGGCGAGCTTCTTCAACAATCGTCGCAGAGTTACTTCATCCCCGAACGATTTTTTCAAGCTTATCTCCCTGATGGAGATGCTGCGCATCCGGAGCCGGTGATACTTGCTATAGGCAATCCAGTGACATTGACTGCGGTATGGAACTTGGCCTTATGCTACCTTTCTATACTAATTATACTAGGCCGGTTTCATTGTTGATCCCAAACGAATTATTGTTGAGGTATCAACATTTACTCGCACCTTTGAAGAAATTGAAGAGCATGAATTTGAATGCGGCTTTACGGGTAAGAATGTCATTGATGAGCGATACAACTGAATTTGATTATTTGTTAGAGTCCTCCTGGTCATATGCACAGCACATGCCCAATCCTCTTCGCAAGAAGTCAGGAGGGCATCTTGTTCTGTCGGTGCCACTCATCATCTTCATTGATGATGTATCCGGAAATGTCTCGAAACAATGGAACAAACATCACGTTGTTTATATGTCAAATGCTGCGATGCCGTGTCGGATGCTTGAAAAGGAGTTTTGCATCAGGTTTGTGTCTTCGTCACCCCATGCATCACCTCTCGAACTCGCAAAGGGTGTCAAGGATTCAATAATGTTTGTTATTTGCCTCTCTTTGCCTCAACACTCATACTAACATGATGCCAAGTACCACTGCTGAACAGGGCATTATAGCATGGGATTGCAAGTACGAAGAAGAAATTATGCTTGTTCCTTATGGCCTCTTCAATGCTGGTGATAACCCGATGCAGGCAGAAGAGTGCAGTCACGGTGGTCTCAAGTGCAACATGTTTTGTAGAACCTGCTATGTCAGTGGGACGATGGTTGAAAAATCAACAGACGAAGGATACTTGAAAATCTTCGAGGTTACTTTCTTCTTGTTTTATTCGTTATTTCACTTGGTCTTATACTATACCATAGTCAGGGAGGCTGCGTGAGCCTGATGACACTCGCAAACATATTTATGATCAAATCGCGCTATCGAAGCTCTCTGGAGGGACTGAAAAGGTGAAGAATGCAGTCACATCTTCAGGGATACGTGATGCGGCCTCTGTGTCAATTGTCAATCATCTCTTAGTACTCAGCAAATCTTTGCGCAAACGGGAAGCCGGAAAACCTGCCCTCAAAGAAGATGAAGTTCGTGCAACACTGGAAAAGGAATTTGAAGACCTCCTTTGTGGTCGACCGCTTGAGGAGTTCATCAACCCCCTGTTGGGAATGCCCGGAGTTAACATTCACAGAGATACACCGACAGAAATATTGCATACTGTTCTTCTTGGCATCATCAAATACTTCTGGGGCCAGACCGTCTTCATCCTCGAGAAGGCTCATCTACTCAACACCTTTCGGACTTGCCTTGAGTCCATCTCCACAAATGGTCTATATGCACCAACTCTTGGCGCGGAGTACATTTGTCACTACAAGGGAAGCTTAATTGGCAAGCACTTCAAGTCTCTTGCACAGGTAATGCCATATATTATCTACGATCTTGTCCCGAAAACAGTGCTTAACGGCTGGACGGTTATCGGCGAGGTGGTGGTGTTATTATGGCACACGAAAATCGATGATCTGGAAACTTATCTGGTATGCTTTCAATGCAAATCTCCATTTTCCAGAGCACTGACCTTCAGTGAAGGCACAGCTCTCATGCACCATCGAAGACTTTCTGACAATCAGTGCACAATGCGCCCCCAGTATTCTCATTAGCAAGGCCAAATTCCACTTTCTCCTACATATCCCAATGTACATTCGTCGATTTGGACCTGTGATTCTCTTTTCCACAGAGCACTTTGAATCCTTTAACCACGTCTTTCGTCTCACATGCATTCACAGCAATCGTCAAGCTCCGAGTCATGACACTTGCAATATGTTTGCTTCGCACGACATCATCAAGCATGTTGTAACTGGCAGTTTCTGGTTTGATGCTGTGCAGAAGAAATGGGTTCGCGCTGGTGATGCTGTGCGGCAGTATATTGCTGATCATCCAGAACAGCGCCATTTATTGGGGCTGAACACCGCAAATGCAAAAGCTGCAGGTTGTAAAGCTACCTATAAGTTATATTGTCTTTTTCACTCACTTCCTCCAGACGCAGGCTCAGTCAGACTTCCTGTACCCACGAACAAGGGAAAAGTAGTGACTGTCCCATGGAGCCAGACTCAATCACGCAGAATTTACACCAATCCCCAAAACGCATCAAAACATCCGTCTTCCTCAAGTTCCTGCTTTGTAATTGCTGATTTGATTGTTGCAACAAATGGAGACACTGTCACTGTGGGTGGGCACGTCATCCTGTTGGATGAGGCAGAAACTGTAAGTTGTTATTTAGCTGCTAGTGATTTTTCATTCTCACAATTCAAATATTAGCTACGCATCGGGAAGATCATTGAGATCCTGGCTCCCGACAGCAATCGCATGTATGCAAGTCATGTTGCGATCCAGTTTCTTCAGTTTTTACCCACAGTCCACCCAACTCTTTGGGTTCCTCGCATGCAAACTATTACCAACCAAGAAGTTAAGTCGCCAGAGGTGAGAGCCTTAACCAGTGATACAAATTTATGTTTATTGATTGATGCTGGAAGCAAATCCTTTGCGCCGTTAATATTCAACATGACTGTGCTTCATCACAATGTGTCGAAACACGATCCATATGTGCTCGCCAGGAACGAGAACAGACAACTCGAACAAAACAGATCGTCAAGCACAAGGAAACAAACACGTTCCTATTAAATGTCCACTCCCTTCACAACTATGACATGATCGCCAAGGTCATCCCACTCGATCTCTGCCTTGCACTTACTGTTCCACTTGTCACTGCTGGTGACAGCAAACAAATTCATCTTAATGCTGCAAACCACGTGTGTCAGAAGAAGACAGGTGGAACCACCATTGTCAGCGCTGGAGCAAAGTGTCAACTTGCTCCTGCATTTGATCATAGTACAGGCCAGGCCGGAAAGAGAAAGGGAGAGGCTCAGACTCGGAAGAAAGCAGCAACCATGACAGCAGCCTCAGCTGCTGAGCCTCCCCACTTTGCTTCTGCATCAGCTGAGGCAGCTTCAGGTGCGCATGTGGTTGCTGCAGCCTCTCCTGCCGTTCAGCTGCCACGACCATTACATTTCAACAGCGCTGCTCCCCCTGGACCCATCTTTCAATCTCCACAACCACTGCAATTCCATGCTTATTCTCAGGCGAATCTTTATCAAGCCGGAACTTTCACTGCGCTGCCACCACATCAATACCAACCCTTCCAATCTCCCACCCATCCTCATCCTCCTGCGAGTATGGGTGTTCCACTGCCATATCCTTACTATCCATCTGGTGTTCAGTTCAGTCAGTTCCGACCTCCAGGCCCTGTCCAGCAACATCTGGGATCATCGGGCAACTTTTTATTCAATGATAACAGGTGTCATGATTCCACAGGAAGCGGATCAAGAGCAGCCAGCAGTACCGACCATTTTGTGAATTAGAATAATCTATAATAATAGAATCTAAGCTGATAATGAGCAAATTGACGGTCTTTTTGTGCAAATGATTCAACTGCAAGAGTTGTGAACATGTTTGTCCCACACCCTTCAAGCAACCACTTTGATGTCTTCGCGATCTGAAACGTAATTCAACGGACACATTCAACGCATTGCATTGGGCTGTGAGCTGTGTAATTTGCATGCATGTATGGGGCATGCCATTGTGCTGCATAAATTCTGGGTCTAGTTAAATGTATGTATTCATCCCTTTCCTCGCTCAGGCTGACCACTTCTATTCCCGTCGTCCAAGTGGTTCTGGCAGTTTTGACGAGGAGTGATGTTGTATCTAGCACGATTCAGGCGACAAACTACCACTACTCAGCCATCACCCTCTGTGACTCTCATGAGTCCTACATTTCATGGAGGAGCTGCTACTACACCTACACGGCGCAACCAGTTGCCCCCGTCATCACCATTGTCACCATGCCAAGGTAGCCTCATACGACCGCGCACAAACTCATTGGAAACCGAGCAGCAACAAGTCAAGAGATTGAAGACATATGCTGCCGAAGTCTGCAGGAGCAAAGGGTTACCTGAAAACAGCTTAGAGGAATTTGCTACTGTGAGTTGCAGAACTCTCATTTAACGCCTGAGGACTAAGTGATCTGCTGTGGCTCTATGTTCTAGATCAATGATATTAAACTGATGATGATCAAGCTCATGGCTGAATTGTCGTGCTTTCATAAGAAGGTTCAAGCAGCCGAAGCAGCCAAGGTGCTCAAATAGCTGGACTTTGAGGTAACACTCACTCCATCATTTGTTTCACAGCCATACATGCGCTAACTACCGTCATGTACAAGCGTTCCTTAGGTGATCGCCTTTGTGCATGCTTACTGTCGCCTAATTTGACAGCATATGTCACTGATCTTTCAGCAAAAATCTTTGTGCGTCATTGGCATTCCCAGCTACTGCTTTCCACTTGAACAGCTAGCGCACTTAGGATTTTTCCAAGAAAAATCCATCGGTCTTCAAAATCCCTGTGGAAGCACTGCAGGACTCTGATGCTATGGATCGGCTTGATGTACTGATGAAGAAGATACTGACAGCACAGCGGGGAAATATGAAACAGAAGGTGATGTCTCCAATTGTGACTACATCATGCATCTAGGCTGATGTCGTCAGTAACAGCTTATTGCATCAATCGAGAAACGCTCAGATCTAAGCACACTGGCCCACAGTCTTGCAGGCAACTGCACAGAGCTCACAATAGCGCACTGGGCCCGGATCACATTCATGGTAAGTAATTCTTCGATCGACATCTTTTGACAACTTATTTCTCTATGTTCATAAGCGATCTTTCCTAATTGACTTCCGAACATTATGTTCTCACCAGAAGACCACTAACACTCAACCCGAAGAAGCATCAACAGGTCTGAGTCTGCAGCCCCAGACTGACAAAGGTGGTGACAATAATATACCAATTGGTACTACTGCCAGTGTGAGCCATGAACTTGGAGAGGATGGGGAGGATGATAATGACAATGAGGAGGAGTGCACCTGGTCTTTTAGCCAGTATTGGGAGTACCTTGATAAGGTTCTTGATGAGCTTGAAGAGAAGGCTCAACAAAAGCATGCGTTTCCTCAAGCACGCGCTGATTATATCAAACAGTATGTTTCAATTGATAAAATTGACACCGCTAATTCTCAACTTCATTTCCAGATTTTTCACCGAATGTCTTCAGCAAGACCTCCAGATATTCCCTGGTGGCGGTTCATTAGCTCCAAGTTTGGATTCGGTCACTGTTGGTTGGCAAAGAGTGATCCATGAAAAGTTGATGTGGTAGTCTACTACTTACATACATATTCTCATTGTCTTTGCCTGTAATTCCCTCGCACACTGTTTAATGCCATCATGTTCATGATATTAATGTTGTGACTGTACGATACAGTTTGTATGACAAAGCAATGGTGCATTGCTTGATAGTAAACCCTATAGTCCCAATGGCATGGCCCATATGCTGAGGCATGGTCTGTAGAGTGCTGCCTCAAACATATTGTCAAACATCTAAGGGACATCCGACATTGGACGCTGTGGGAACATTTTGTAGCCAACACTTGCACCGTGGCGGTCAAACATTGCTCAGACGTTTGACAAGTCATGTGAGCGACATGTGGTGCTGTAGGTCAGAGCAGCATCGCTCCATTTGTCTGTCACTCAATTCAAGCTGACATACGGCAAACCATGTGTGAATGTTGGGCGGGAGCAGCCGGAAAATTATGTTTGTCAGACATTGATGCCATTCGACGGTGTAGCGAGCACGCATTCATGATCTTAGCCTGATCACGTGATTGTTACATTGCTTCTTCATCATGAATCCCTTGCCATTATGTTCCTTGACAAAATCTTCTCCTAAAAAAAACTCAATCAGCATTTTGGGGACATTGCATCATCATGAGGAGTCGTTCATGACTTCCAGTATAAACAGAACTCTCAGTGCACATCCTTTCACAGATGCCATTGAGCTCGTCTTCTGTGAGCATAGATGGCCAAATGAAATATTCACATGTCAGCTTGAACTACTTCAATGGAGTGCCATCCATAAAGCTGAAGACTGGGCCTAGAAGGATCTATCATCATCATCATGATAAGATCTCAGTTCACTGCAGGGAGCTCTCACGAAAACTTTCGGCATCAATGCTTGCAAGCATGTGTTCATCATGGTTTGAGTCGTAGCCACCTAAATGACTTGCTGTGCACCACTCCGAGTTTACTCTATCCACTCATCTCAGACTCTATTTCACTAGCTTTTATTGGAATCCAATAGTACCTATAATTTCCTCATGTTACAAGCATCAGCCACCGACGACGCCGAGGATCAATGCACCCACAACGACGAGCAGCTTCTCTCACAAAATGACGTTGTAGGACTCATCGAGGAGTGAGTGGCAGCTTCCTGAAATCTATCACTTGCCTAACAGCAAGACAGGGAGAAGATCAATGTCGAACCTCTGGCAGAGCTGCCATCAGGGATGTATGTGTTTCTTCCTTGACGGGCATCTGCGCCACTCCTTACTAGAACTGCAGCTCGAATGCTGGACCTTCACAGCCGTCGGGACCTCCAGTACAGCAAACTACATCTGATGTTCTACCAGTAGACGATTCAACTCCGTGAGTCCTTGTCAATAATGATGCCAAACATACTCCTCATGTGTCTTAGCAAGGTGGCCAAGCTTGAGGCACAGAAGGATGAGCCGACTCTAAGCGAACTGTGAGCCAAAAACTTAAAGCCAGGCGATCACAGCTGACTACACCCTACGTACAGAGCAAATGTCATGAAGGAAGTGTTGGAGGTTCTCAAGGACTCAACAATTGCATCGAAGACTGGAAAGGATGAATGGTCTCATTTCTGGAGGGTGTACAAAATAATCGCGGAGGAACACAACAGCAAGTTCCTCAAGCGATACACCAGCGACATGAACATCGTCCTGATCTTCGTAAGTTCAGCCTGCTTATCTGTGATCCGTTTCGAGGCTGATGTTCGACCAGTCTGGTCTTTTCTCCGCTGTCAGCACATCTTTCATTGTCATGATGGAGTCCGATTTCAGTCCTGACCCTAGTGACACCACGAATGCCCTTTTGAAGCAACTTGTGCAGATCGGACTCAGCAATCTCGCCGAGGCAGGCACCACTCCCGTAGACCCAGCATCTGGGTGGTCTCCGACCACGTCAACCTTATGGGTCCAAATGATCGCATATGCGAGTTTGTCCATGAGCTTGCTCACTGCATTCGGGGCCATGCTGGGAATGCAGTGGCTAGGGTACTACAAGTCGAACAGATATGGCTGCAGCTCGCAGGAGCAGCAAGGGAAGTGCAGGCAAGAGCAGTTCGACGGCATCGTGACTTGGTATTTTGATGCCGTCGTGCAATCGTTTCCGGTCTTGCTTCAGATCTCTCTTCTTCTCTTTGGGATCTCTCTTGGGGCCCATTTGTGGTATGAGCAGGCAAGCATCGCCTGGGTCATCATCAGAACAACGGTCTTCGGATTTCTGTTTTATTCCCTGACTGTAATGGCTTGTTTGATATCTACTGCTTGTCCATTTCAGACACTGATATCAACACTATTACACGTGTTGCACATCGACAGTAAGATCATTTTGCCGAATTCTGGCAGTCGTTCCACATCTGAATCAACATTGCAGGGGTTCTACACCTGGTGTTCAAATGAGTTTCCTGTTATTTGCAGCAGCCCATGACATTACTGCAAGGTGAGTTATGTCTTCTACCATGTGCACAGGTTTTGACCGTTTCATGTCAGACGTGCTCAAACGATTATTTAGTATTATCGTCAGATCGGGATGGACCCGATTGTCTGAAGTATTTAGAGGTGACAATCTCATCCACTATTACAAAGATACTTGAGGCTCATTCACTCCCTAGGCCCTGCACTTGCGATAGGTACATTCACACAACAATCTCTTCGGCAGTTCGTCGACAGGCTTCATAACCAGCTGCATTCTTTGGTTCCGAGTTCTTCAACAAAGGTTGTGGACTCAGAGGCACAACTGCTCGACCAGGATCTGGATGTTTTGGTGGAGAATGATGACACCCTTAATCTTGACCTCCCCGACATACCCACCAGCGATCTCGAAGCACATAGCGTCAAGTGGCTGCTCGAGACATCCACAGATCCTGAAGTATTTCTCGCTGCTGCCAGTCTTGTCCCGCAGGTTGGATGGCCCCTGGATCTTGATGTTTCAGACATGCTGCATCAGCTGTTTGATATTTATATGAGCTGCATCAACATTCAGATGCGCATCGTACCGTCTTTGGAGGAGAAGGCGTCGGCATGTGCCACGGCTCTAAGTCACCTATACTATGGACGTGTTCTTCAGGCATATCCTGACCATGGCGAATTCATTATCCGTGGGAGACAAGACTTGGACGTTTTTTTTCAGATTTACATGTGCATAGCTGACTGAACGGTGCTTAACACAACTCTAGATCTTTGTTGAGATGGTGATAGCTGGAGTGCTTCTTTCTCAGAGGCTTGCCCTTACTCTGGCTATGAGTGGTTGTCACATCTTCTTCCTTATCACTTCGTTACTGGGCAAGTGAATAAAGACATAGAAAACCTTGGGATAACAGTGATATCAAAATTGCTATCATCCCCATCCTCTCCGTCGAATCAAATCCTAGCCAATTGCATTCTTCTTGCTTGCATCATGGTTGGGGCTCAGGTTGACAAGAAAGACATAGTTCAGATTGAAAAAAGGTGCCATTGACTCGTTTGGTAGTTTTTTCAGGCATGATTAACAAAGAAATTGTGTAGTTCTGCTCTGCCTCGACTTAGTGTGTCCCTTTTGGTGCAGTTCCAAAAGGCTCTCTGGGCATGGGATGGAGGCGAGCTCGACAATCATAGCACAGGAGTTGCACGCTGGGCATGGAAGCTCTTGGATATTATTTGCCGCATCCTCGAGCTTGCCAGAAATCACTATCTTTTTTCAAACTATTTCATGCAGAACCTGGACATGTGCAGGAAGATTTATTCACAAGCGAGGTCATCCGATGCCTCGGTTTCATTGGCAGCTCTGCAAAATGCACTGCACTTCACTTTCGCTGCTGCCAAGGTATCTTGTGACCCTGCCAAGGTGTGGGATTGGCCTTGGTGGGTAAAGGTATTCCACTCGCCAGATGACTTCGACTGGGTGGTCGACTACTTTGACTTCATATCTTCCGACGACCACGAATTGGTATATGACATCCTTTTGCTATTGGGTAGTATGGGGGTGTGCTGCAGCCCCGCTAAACAACATCTGTTCATCGAGAGGCTGATCGCCTGCATGGACAGCAACATGCCTCTCCATTTATGCCATGCCGCTCTTCGCGCTGCTCACAGTGCCCGAAAACAAATTGCCTTGAACAATGCCATTGATGATGCGAGGCTATGGGACACTGTTTTGACCAAGCTCTCCCCCACTATCTTGTCTGTGGTTTGTCCACACCCAGGTACAACACCCGCCAATGATGATCCCGACCTCTTTTTCGATCATGACCGCGACTTGTGCTATCTTGAACTAGTTTATGCCCTCGCAATGAATTCCGACTGGCACCCCCATTTGTTTGGGGACCACCACATAGATCGGTGCATTAGCATGATTCCACGGTACTGCAATTCCGAATCACCCAAGTGGAATGCCTTTTACATAGCTGGCATCCTCCTCCAAACCACACCTCAACAGACATCGATCACATCGCTCAATTCTGTTATGGAGCAGCAGTGGTGTGACATGATGAGGGGTGTGTGGATGTGTGCTCCCTATAGCATTGACAATGTGCGCTTTTTCAAGCTCCTTCTTGTCCTTGTGGATGGCACAAAGCAGTATATGCAGATTGCTTCGAAATCTGATCTTGAGCAGCTCATCAAAAATGTGGATTACATGGTCGAAATGTTGGAGGGGCACATGCAAGAGAAGAGGCGACTACAGGAGATGGGACAGGAGATGCAAGATTTAGAGCAGGGAGAGGGGATCATCATTACTGCAAAGGAGTTGAGGACTGTGGCCAGTAACATGCTGGAGAGCTTCGGTCAATAATCATTAGTCCTCTAATGTTGACGGTACTTGCAACTGTGTTAGAATCTTGGAATAGAGGAACTCGTAGTGCGGTGTATGTACGGAAGTGGGAAGTATCAAGACCTCAATCATTAGTCGTCTCTGACTTGGTAAATGCTTGTCATACGTAAGGAACAACGAGCATGAGATGCGAATATTTAGAAGACCAGCTGGGGGAGGTGAGGTTGTTCCACAGGGCCAAAACTAGACACTGTCACTGGCGAGGTTCCGCACTCGGCTACCCTATTCTTCATTGATATCCACAGGAAGACAAAGACAAAGTGACAAACGTAGACTTATTGAAAATTATTCGTCTCCATAATTTTTGTTGGCAGAGGTACAAATAACAGCACTGAAATCAATAAGTTTGTCCACCGGAAGCAAATTACTAGTGTTGTCCTGGTCAGTGCCATCTGTCTCCTTCCTCGCACTCCACATCATTCTGCCCTTCTAGATCATCAGTTCTCAATAGACCATCCGAGCTTCCCTAGCGTAGGCTTCGCAGTCTCAGCGTCTGATTCCTGGGAGGTCCGGGCGATGGGTGGAGCTTCTACATCTGAGATGCAGATGATGTTGTTGAAGGACATGAACTCACCTTCATGAAGCGCGGTTGCCTGTTCAGATGAAACTGCGACATGTGTTACAGTAACACGGCATGAGTCCCCCGCCAGCAGACAGCCCTCTGCCACCGCACGGCTATAGACGATACCGGAGCCTCACCAGCTCTATGACAATAGATGACGATAGATGATGACAGACGATAAGTGGCAACTGCCGCCTTAGATAAGCGGTCTGGACTGCACGTGATGACACATGACAACATAGGTCTAGAAGACCTATTTATGTTATCAAGATAGAAGGCAAGCCTCGTGTTGCCTCATGTACTGATAGAAGGGTACCGCATGGACCCTATCTACGATAGAAGCCCGCCTCATGGACACTATCTCTGACTCATGTAGATAAGCAGATTAGAACCCAGCTTTAGGCTGAGCTTAGATATGAAGAGTAGCCTTATATAAGGTCGAAGATTAACAGTAGACGTTCCTTACTTTAATCTTACTAGGTTTACCCTTGAACTCCTTGTCCCGCTAAAGCTACCTGCTCGACATCGACTCGTACCTTCAGTGACGCCTCTCACTGTCTGTAAACTGCTATCATCTCAGCGTAACCCCTCATTAACCACCACGAGCTACGTTCGAGTACGCAACCTTTGCTTGTCTGTAAAAGCCGACGACTCTCAGCACTCGGTACCACTGTCGTGGTTGTCGCTGTTTAGATCATCCTAGTCGCACACGACCGTTTGTCGTAACAACATGTAGGCCCTTCAGCAGCCGGCCACTGCAGAGCGATGCGAGACAATTGTTGGATGAGCGTTGGGTCCGGAACTGTGGCAAAGGATTCAGTAGTGTGATCGACTAGCATGAGTGATACATACCTCCATAACTACTTTCTCGATGACGTCCGAGAAATGCAGCGCGATGGAGGTGTCTGGGATGATGTACATCAAATTCTCGATGCTGCTAGTGTGCAGACTCGGACTCATAAGAATCATGCATGGACGCAAATCCCAGGCCCTATAAACAACACACTCATAAGTTGCACCAGAAAAAAAAGGTTCATCATAAGTATACATAGCATCGAGACTGAACAAAATTGGACAGGAACTGTACATAAGTACAACATAAAATATCTCCCTTGCATCTCGGACATGGCCTTTTCCGCAGAGAGCAATGCCCTTCCAAATATAGCCTATTGACAAAGCCGAATGCTGATGGACTATGTTACCGTCAAGTTAGTCTTTCATAAGAGGGCAATGATAGATTAGTGAATCTCACATTGATCGCATCCTGATGGGTGTGTTCCCAGTCGTGTTTTCACTATAACGAATGATCGATGGGCGTAGGAAGTATGGTTGTTCGGATCAGTGATGATATCTTGAGTGAATAGTTCTTCGGAGATAGGCAAGTCTTCATTTATGCATGCATGACGGGCTGTTGTGATGGCTGGGATCTGCATGAAACATGCCTGTAAATTGGGCATTGCCACTCTGAGATCATTTTATTGTCTCCACTGAGGATGTGCTTGCCGCCCAGGTAGAAAGTGACGCGACACATCCAGGATAAATGCGACGAGAGGGAGATAATTGCATAATCTGTGATTCAGAGTGAGCAATGCCACAAAAATGGAGTGTGACAATACTTTCATAGCGCCAGATACCCCACAGCCAGCGGCGATGATCTCCCCCCAATATCTATCTTTACACCATGATATGCACCACCCTCCATCAATTCCCCATCCCGGGTCATCCCTGAGTGGCGGGGTTTTGCAATTGTTGTAGGGCTTGAGCGACCAGGGTTGCAGAAGCAAGAGTCACGCTTGTTTGTGTTTGTGCCGCGAACACCACGGAGTACGATGAGGACAATGGTACAGATGGGAGCCCGCCCTCCGGGCTGAGGCTGGCGCCCAAGCAAGCCAACTACAATTCCTGCTCAACACCCAATATGGAAACAGAGAGCTTCTGAAGTACATCACACGCGCCAGAAGGCTAGAAAAGACCTTCGGAGATGTCACACACCCCAAGCCAAAGGAAGGATGAAATGGCTCAACGTAGAACTGCTCCCACACATACCACCCTAGACTCGCCTTCAGTTGGCGCATCCCCATTCTCGCGTTTAAATGTGCCTGAACCATTATCACGGTCACCCCCTCGCACTTTAAATATGTATATCACTAGTTACTTACCACATGTACTGTCTACTACAGGGTTTCACCCCAACGGACAATAAACAAGAATGCAAAAAAAAAAAAAAGATGGGAGCATTGAGACATCGACTTCTTCTGACAGCTGCCATGTGGATAGCAATGATTGTTTCAAGCACTCGTAGATGCGAACATGATTATCGGAAGAGACAGTTGCCTTGCAGAACCTCTCATGGATCTCTAAATGGGACGAACACCTGATGTACCAACTTCAATCCAAAATGATGAGGCGCAAATTCGACTGCGCGGACAGTGCCTCTTGCATCAACCAATACAGCCCTTTCCACCCATCCTGAGGAACCACATAAAGCAGCCTGAGACCCGGCACCAGCACCATTTGTTTGGGAATCAGTTGTTTATGCAAAGCTAGTTTACTCCCAAATCTTGACTGTATGGTCGAAAGAGGCGGATGAGAGTATGGTCCCAAATTCTGAGTGAGCCCGGCTTAGTTTGGAGACAGTAGCATCATGAGCCGGGCATTAATTGGTTGGTAAGGGTTTCAACTTTCCGGCAGGAAAAGCCTTTAGAATTACATAACAACAAACAAATGAATCCAACAATTTCTTCCTGTTCAGATGCGTGACAGCAAAGTCACTGTCTACTACTCGCAGAAGGCTATCATGTCCTATGGATACAACAGTTGCCTCACCCAGTTTATTAACCATGTCGTTGGACGGCTACCACTTGAATATTGACACCAGCAGGGAGCAGCAGAGATGATCACCCAATATTTAACACAAATCTGTCGACATTATTCGAAATAGCTGGATCCAAGGCATACAGTCATGCATATCTTTCAAGCTAGTGAGTCTTGACTTGCATCACGAGTCCTCATACTCACTGCCAAAGCATGCTGTTTTGTACGTTCCAGGGGCAAGGTCATGTACTTTATCACTGCGCTCATGAGCAGGTATTCAAGGGTTCTTGGGGCGGATTTTGTCTTAATTCAGTAAAATGCACGCCAGCCCTCCGAATCTACGTGTATGTTGGCCAGTATGTCTTCTTTGATACTTGATAATATGTGCGCCAATTTATAAAGTATGATGGACAGTCGAACTCTTCCGCAGACATGTACCAAACATACCCCGAGCTATCTATGAATACACAAGCTCCGGCGGCCCACTACATCGTCTTTTTCCTCAGTACCACCGAGCGTGGTCAATGTTCCAGTTCAGCCAACATGTAGCACCTATTGATCCGTTGCTCATTAGTCCATACACAGGACTACCATCTTCCGGGGGAGGGGGAACTCCAGATGTACAGACCCTGTTGATCATCACAGGATATCACTCATTCCAGAGGGTGTCTTACATCCTGACATGCTCTTGTTTGCTCTTTCATGTTTCAAGGATCAATCATTTAGAAGACCTTGGAAGATCGAGTTCACCTCCATCCACAGATATTTCCGGTGAAGGTGAGGAATCTTGACTATAGGTGAAACGCTAAAGCTAACGGGGGTTCTACAGTAAGACCAGGATACGAGAATACAACTCGACCCAAAGGACAGCTACTGAGAGAAGTTCCTCTTTAATGTAATGGAGGGAGTCTTCGCCAACTAGACGGGTGGTAACAGGCGCGCGAAGGCGCGAGAAGATAACGCGCGCGTAGGCGCGAGTAAGCGATGCGAAGGCACGCAAAGGGCGCGCGCGAGCGAAAGATGCAAGGGGCGCGCGCGTATACGGAAGCGTGCTTTTGAGCGATGGGGGAGAGTGTTCAAGTATAGCAGATGCGCGAGCGATGGTAGAATAGTGAAGTATAATTGGATTTCAAGTACTAAGGTGCACTTATACAATTTGCAGTATACTCAGATAAGGGAGAAGGGAAGGAACCCCATTAAAAGGAACTTTCCCTCTATTTAAGAAGGGAGATTACGCTATGTGGTGCGCTTACGAGTGTGGTACCGAACCGAGTAACCATATCAACTCTAAATATATTCTAAAGCCTATGATAGACTTTCTGTATGTAAGCGCGGAGATCGGACCGAAGGTACGTCAATTCAGTGAAAGGGATAAGAATAACGCACCAGTAAATCAGCGAGGACATAGGACGGACGGACGGACAAGGGTACAAAGGCCTAAGGGGAGGTGCACAAGCGCGCGCGAAACGCGCGAGTGCATGTAAGGCATGTGAACGAGGCACGTACGTAGGGCGCGCGCGTGAGAGCACGTATGACTGATCCTTCGGATAAGAGCTGGAATGTGTAGGGAATTATGTGGGTAATAGGGCCGTATATTCCGCATTGAGAGGCGTGAGTCTCTACACCGGTATTGCTGCTTTTCAGCTAGACAGGTAGGGAAGAGCAAAATCGTGTCATTTCCATCGTATTCTGATCATTCAATGTAGTTCATATTTCTATCAACATTTTCATTGTTCGACATCGTTTGTTGTGTAATCCTTGTGCTTTGTCATATGAACGATTGAACATTTGCAACTTCTTGTCTATGCGAGAGTATAATCAGTGGTCTGATGCAGGGAGATAAATAAGAGATAGATGCCGTGTGTAGCTGTGTTGTGTCATACTAAGCCATGGCTTTGTGTTCGTTCCCTATCAACTCTCATCAACTCGTTCTGTAACACAGTACAGCTTTTACGATAATTCAAATCACCTCTACTTCAGGACGCACATTAAGATATTCCAATGGCAACCATCGATGCCCAGGACCTCAGAAAAAGAATTCGGCACTTCCAAGTTCTGATCATGGGGAGAGCAAACACAGGCAAAACGACCATCCTTCAAAAGGTCTGCAACACCACTGATCAACCAGAAATTTACGATACCAAAGGAAAGAAGGTGCGGGGATGGTCTATGCCATGCGCGCATTTATCGCTTATCAATTGTGGGTAGATCGATGCTGCCATCGTAAACTCTTCAATCAAAGTGTGTGCACCATTTGCCTTATGGGCATACATGCGCTGACGGATGCTCAGCGTGGAAATCACGACATCACGAACGAGATGGTGTTCAAGAGCAATCCCATTTTCATCTTTCATGACTCATGCGGTTTCGAAGCGGGCTGTGAAGAAGAATTTGAGAACATGAAGAAGTTCATCTCAGAACGTGCACATGCGACAAAATTGGAGGAGCGAATCCATGCCATCTGGTAAGTAACACCCTTCTGATGTTCCGTGCTTGCTTATTTCTATCAGGTATTGTATCCCAATGGACGACCCATGTTGAACATTCCAGCGGTCAGAAGAGAAGTTCTTCTTGGAGTGCGATACTGGGCGTGGTGAGCTTGCAACTTGATTATCACTTGCCATGCTTAGACTAAATGATCACATAATATCCAGTTCTGTGGTCGCGATATTCACCAAGTTCGAAGCTCTGCGTCCATTCGCTTATGGAGAAATCAAGAAGGAATTAAAAGGGGTATTGAGTGAAGAACGCTCAAAGAGAATCGCCCAACGCGTTGAGGAACTGTTCACTAAGACATGTGTCTTGGATCAGTTGTGCAATCCTGAGAACCGTGCCCGCCCCAAGTCTTATGTACGTTTGCAGAGTAAGTGGTTCAGATCAACTTCTTCCATGTCAAAGTTGACCTTAGCAACCGTCCTAGATATGAACCGACAGACTACAAACTGCGACACGCTACTGGAAAGCACCACTCTTGCATTAGATGATGAAGAATTGCGGTTGTGCTTGGTATCGATGCAACAATCGAACCTAGAGCTTTGTATCAAGTGTGCTATCACGTGAGTCGCAGATTTGCAAGTCATATCTGGTTGTTCCAACATCATCTAGAATACTCATGGATCGTGCACATCAGCTATTCGGGATCCTTCGATTCGATTATGAGGCCTATCAGTATCAAATTGCTAGGTGGTTTCCACATCTCAAAGTAAGACAAAGATTGATTCAATCTCATGATTCCCTGGCAATGATGCTCATGGTAAATATTGAAATGCTGAAACTATAGACATTCTGATATATTTTTCTTGATTGTAGACGTCCATTGATAACAGCTGGTAAGATTGCAGTTTACGAAGCTTGAACAGGATGGACAGTGCTGATGCCTTGTTGCTACTCGCCTGTTGACAGTGGGTAAGTGCCTTGATGGTTTCTAGTCATCTACCCATGCTCATGATCCCCATCCCTCACTGCTGCTCACCTGTTGACAGTATGTAAGTGCCTTGATGCTTTCTAGTCTTCGACCCATGCTCATGATCCCTATCCCTGGCTGCTGCTCGCCTGTTCACAGGATGTAAGTGCATTGATAGTTTCTGGTCCTCAACCCATACCATACTCATGATCCACATCCCTCGCTACTGCTCGCCTGTCAACAGTGGGTAAATGCCTTGATGGTTTCTGGTCCTTAACTCATGCTCATGCTCCCCATCCATGGCTGCTGCTTGCCTGTTGACAGAACATAAGTGTCTTGATAGTTTCTGGTCCTCAACTCATGCTCATGATCCCCATCCTGGCTGCTGCTTGCCTGTTTACAGAGGGTAAGTGCCTTGATGATTTCTGGTCCTCAACCCATGCTCACAATCCCCATCCCTCGCTGCTGCTCGCCTGTTGACAGTTTGTAAGTGCCTTGGTGGTCTCACATCCTTAACTCATGCTCATGATTTCCATCCCTCGCTGCTGCTCGCCTGTTGACAGTATGTAAGTGCCTTGATGGTTTCCACTCCTCGACCCATGCTCATGATTCTCATCCCTTGCTGCTACTTGCCTGTTGACAGGTGGTATGTGTCTCAATAATATCTTGTATTGAAATGATACTGAATAGTATAATAATGTTCACTTATTTTTATAGCCTAATGTAAGTATTTTATATTCTATCAGATGAATCAAATCATCATTGCTCATATCATGCATAGTTCGTTGAGTGTCCATCCTTGATAACTTATGTTCCATGTTCATTCATCTTGCATATCTCCTGCCCTGTGCAGAATGTGAGTCATTTTATCCTTATAATGCGAAGCATTAAATCTATCAATCATTCTGATTCTTTCACTATAGGATGTGAGTATGTTTTGCTCATCAAGGGTTCTAGCTACATAATCCCTTGTTCATCATGTGTTTGCAGAATGTATGTCAATCATATTTTGTCTGATATGATAGTACTCCATTGACTCACAACCTTATGTAGCTTGTACGTCTATGGATGGCATATCCTTAACATTACATTGTGATACTTATTGTTTCCAACCCCTGACAGTTTGTAAGTTACCTGAGCACAGCAGTCGTGGTCTACAATCTGGTGGTTAATTACTTGCAACTGTCACGTCAACCAAATATTTAGAACGTGCATCTCTGTTATTAATCAAATGTCAATTTGCCACCTCATGATTCTGACATTCCTTTCCCGCAGGAGGCAAGTACTTTACTCTGTGGTATTGATTCTGATACCCACACTTTCAACCTATGGCTAGGCCAACATCGAGCAAGAGGACATTATCCACATCCTTCAACCTTTGGTAGGTCAGTTTTCCTCCATATTGATTCTCGGCACTGTAAGGTTTCAACAGGCTGCAAAAGGCTCATTGTTCGCGAATCAAATAATCCAGACTGGCATTGGTTAGTTTCTCACTGTATGACCAGTTATAGTCTTGATGACAGGAAGCAGCTACTATGATCGTCCTGGAGTACTCCACCTTTCTCCTGAAGAACTTGGAGTGCGTCAAGTCTGCCGTGGACTGCTACCTGAAATCTCCGATGGCTGTCGCAGTGGAGAAAGGAGCAAAAGAGATTTGTTGTCAAGGCTACGACAGAGAGGAACTGGAGAAGAAGATTCTTGAGTTCATTCTTGAAAATCGCTTGTGTATGTCCCTCGCCTTCATTGTGAACCTGGAATTTGAAGCTTACTGACACGCTGCAGCAAAAGACTTGACTGAAAAGAAGTAGATGGTGCTCGAGCCAAGTTTCTGTTTTTCAATGCATACTACAGTGCACAACACTAAGAAGAGGCCTCTCTGTTGTGGACTCAATCTTTGTGCAATAAGGGAAATTTTTTCATTTTTAGTGTACAAGTAGGTCAAAGAATCATGAATCTGCAACAAAAAATTTTGGTGGTGATTATGTAAGCAGTCCCAATTTCGGTCACCAATTTTTTTTCTACTGGCATACAATCTCCAGTCAAAATATGCCCCAGAAAAACAAGAAGGCTCGGCAGGCCAAGACTCAACGAGCTCCTGGCAGCAAATTCTTTAGCAAAAATTATATTGACAGTGTCAAGGACCTGGATGATGCGGACTATATTGACGAAGAAAATTCATACTCGGACTTGGATGATGAAGGCTGGATTATGAGCCTGCCAGAGCATGAGATGACAGACCTTAGTGCTGTCTCTGACTCTGAGGGCGAGAAACAGGGGCATGGTCATGTGGTCAAAGGCAACTTAGATCACATTGATCGTGGCATTAAGCGACAGGCTGTTGGTGATGGGCAAAGCAGCTGTGAGGTTTCTGATGAGGAGGGAGTTGAAGAGTTCGAGGCTTACCAGATACTAACTGCTGCTGAAGAATTTTGGCAGAAGTTATTTACCAAACATATCAACCGTCTTGATGTTGCCCCTCTTAAAGGCAAGGGCAGCTACACTGGTACAAGCCGAAGCAGTTTCTATCGAAATCAAAGCAAACTTTGCCAAGCAGCAGTTGGGACAGCAAAACTCAGCAATTTCTTTCAATGCTCAATTTCGGTGCCATATACTGCTCAGCCTACTACTATTGAGGTTGATCAGTCCAATAGCACATCCTTCGAACCTGACACACCTGCTGATGCAGACGATCATCAAAGCATCAATCCCCCAGAACCACCAGCACAATTCCAAGACATGGCCCCTGAGCTACTGTCAGATATGACTACATCTAACAATAACACAGAGGCAATGCCCAAGGCTGCCTCGTTCCTTGATCCTACTGCAGATGACGAGCTGGATCCTCCCCATATTCCTATAGGCAAAGTCATCAAAGGATTGATCAAGGACACTACAAAGTACAAGTCCTTCAGTGCACAATTCAAACTCCATGCCATCAGAAATTACCTGGAGTTGTTTGAGCGCTATCGGCAAATCCCTAACATCAAGAATCCTGCAATACAAGCCAGCTTAGCCATTGCAAAATCTGTGGGTAAAGGACCTTACCTTGCCTGCATGATTCGTCGCCTCGTTGTCTACATCCATAGATTCAAAACCCTCCCACCCTCTCGAGCTGGCAAGCACCATGCACACCCTTCTCTGTTGAATAACGAGAGAGTGTATCAAGCTGTTCGTCGTTTTTTGACTATACAAGAAGCTGGGAAAGTCAGCCCACCCGATCCTAAAAGAACAACATAGAATTGATGTCACTTACCAGATCACGCCCCATAAACTTCAGCATGAAGTCAATAAAACAATCATCCCTGCTCTCGGTCTTGACCTGGGAAAAAACACAATCTCCAAAAATTGTGTGAGGCACTGGTTGAAGAAATTAGGCTATGAACTCACCAGTGTAAAGAAGGGGGTATATGTTAATGGCCATGAGCGTGCTGACATTGTGGAATACCGAAAAGCCTTTTTGGCCCAAGTGGCTGAGAATGAACACCTACGAAACGAGTATGATGATACTACCTTAGAGGTCATAGAGCCAAACTTACTCCCTGGAGAACGAAAGCATGTCCCAGTGCATCATGATGAGAGCATATTCAGGTCCAATGAGCTGCAGCAAAGGGTCTGGACGAAGGAGGGGAAAATGCCACTGTGAAAGAAGGGTCAAGAGAAAGCAATCCATGTGTCAGACTTCATTACAGAAGAGACAGGTCGAGTCTGTCACAAGAACAGGTTTTTTGAACTCTCATGTTCATGATTCTTTGACTAATGGTGTTGCTTAGATAGCCGAGGAAAATGCATTGCCTGTGAATGAATGCCTCAAATGTTACGATTCACACAAGATAAATTTTCCGGGAAAGAATGCAGATGGCTGGTGGACGGCTGAGATGCTTGTTCAACAAGTGCGAAATAATTAACATTACATTTACCTTTGCTAATCAATTGTTAGGTTGAACAAGTCATTCCACTCTTTGAGCGGACCCATCCTGGTGCTGTTGCCAAGTTTTTCTTTGATCAATCTGCAGCTCATGGTGCTTTTGCTGTGGACGCACTAAATGCGAGTGAGATGAATGTCAAACCTGGTGGCAAGCAGCGTCACATGCATTCCACCCTTATTCCCACGGATAATCCCAACCTGGCACTTTGTGGAGTGGCTCAGGATATGTGCTTTGCGGAGGATTTGCCATCTGATCATCAATTCTACGAATTCTGTGGCCAACCAAAAGGTATGAAGGTTGTTCTTGAAGAGCGTGGCCTTTGGGATAGCTTGTGTGCTGCAAATGGTGGGAAAGCCCTTCTCAGTGACTGTGCATTATGCAGGATGTCTCAAAAGGATTGCGATGCACTCGCCTGAAGTGCTGCTGCACAGTCATTGTTTGATGATGCTGAGGATGAAAATGCAACTCCTGAAGACAATCTTCGTCCAAACGAATCAACGACGTGCTGCATGCACAAGGTACTCTCATTTCAGGCTGATTTTCTCACAGAGAAGCCTCGTTTGCAGCTTGTTATTGAGGCTGCCAGGCACAAGTGCTATTTTCTGCCGAAGTTCCATTGTGAACTCAATCCAATTGAGATGTATTGGGGATGGGTCAAGATTCGTGAGTCGAATAGTCCTGTTCAATGTAGTGATATTCTGACGAGTTCAACAGGCTTACAAGCACTTGCAGACAGCACATTTCCGACTGCAAGGAGACTTGTTCCTGAGCTACTGAATGCATGTCCTACCAAAGTTATCTGGGCATTTTACCGCAAAATGTGGTGCTATATGGATGCCTATAGGTGAGAAATTTCAACGCCATGGTTTGCAGCTGGTCGCTTAGTGTTTTCGCTCGTCCAGGAAGGGTCTTAATGCTAAGCAAGCAGAATATGCTGTGAAGAAATACCGCTCGCATCGTAAAGTTGGTGCAGGGATAATGATGGATATGGCTATATTGAACAATCCTGAATAAGTCTATGTATTTCATACACTCACGATGGTCCAGCGTAAGCCACAAACATGTTTTTTCTTTGCTGCAAAGCAATGGGGACAAGGAGCGGCTACCAAATAAGGAATGTGGCAGTGCTGGTGGCGTGGGAAGTCCCAATTTGAGTCTGTCATTTTTTTAAATCAAAGAATCTTGAAAAAGTAACCAGATAGGTTTGTAGCTAGGTTCAAATGGAGGCGATTCCAGCAGTTTGGGTACAAATCAGGCAGGATGGGGTGATGTAGAAACAGAATTTGTGTTGGTGTGGTAGCGGAGGTCGGTTTTTCCCATTTTGCACTGTATGGCGCTTGTATTTTGTACGATACCAAGCACGCCAGTTTCAATTCCTGAGCGGTGCAGACTGTGATGTTTCCTTGTTTCTGATGCTCTTCCTCATGCTATCATGATTTACTATACTTAGCACTCCAGTTTTTGCTGAGTGCTGCAGACCGTATTGAATTTCAACACCTGTTTGTCGTATTTCATCATACCATGTTCTGTTTTGTGCTGTGTAGATTTAGGCTTGCGCTGGTCAAATAATTACTGTTCATTCTTATTTTCAATCAAGAAACTTCGAGAACTGGCTCGGTATGCTTCAATGCTGAAGCGGATGGGCATGCCGACTGACAACATTGTTGGTGCTCGTCAGGACAGCATGCAGCCTTGAAAATCTAAGTTGGGTAGACCGCAGTAGATTGAGAGGATGATTGTGACGAAGTTTAGGACAGTGTAATTTGCTTATATCTTAGTGAAAAGGACAACCTGCTGGTGAATGGACACTGCGGCCTAGTACTGTGAGCTCCCCTATATTTCAAGACAAGGAGTCGATGCTTGGGGATGTCAATGGAGATAGAAGTATGAACCAGTGCACAGCCATATCTTCATAGACATTCCCAACACTGAGACAGTTACTGTTTGAAAGTCAACGATCTATGGTGGGCTAGGAGAGTTAAGTTTTCAAACTCCGACAGGTGACCAATTTGAAATTTCTATGCCTAGGTACACCCGACCACCCATCCTGAAGGCCTCATGGTCAGGTTGATATTGGATATCAATATGAACACATAATGGAATGGCTATCATTGAATGATACTCAACCAGTCATCCTTTTCTCATCCCATTCGCGTATGGTGGGATCGAATTCACCGCCGTCTGTGAGAAGAGGATGATTGCACTGAAGTGGCGGTTTAACCGTTTCAGTTACCTTCTTTGTCACTTTCAGTGAAAGTGACAAAAGATCACGGAAACTGCCTCTCCGGTTGCTTATATGCATAGCATCCGCTGACCCAATGACAAGCTGAGCAGACACTGCGGCCCAGGCCTAGTACTCTGAGCTGCCCTATTTTTATACATCTCAAGGCCACAATCGATGTCGATGGAGATAGTAAGTATGAACCACTGCGCCAAATGCTGCAGCGCTGAGCCAGTTACTGTTTGAAAGTCTATGAAAGAATTGGCAGGCCAGCACAATTTAGGTTTTCCTGGAGTCCCAGTGGAGAGTTAAGTTTTCAAACTCCATCAAGTGACCTTTTTTTGTCTTTTGGAAAAGCAAGTCTATTAGTATTATGGAACAACCGACAGTGGACACCACATAAATGCAGCTTATAGTGATTACCTTCATCAGTAAATTCACACATTTCTTGACCTTCCTTTTTTGCAACTTGCTGCCGGATAATTCCCAAAAAGGAGCGGAAAAGCCATTCATAAGAACGGTGACACCAACTTGCCGTGAACTTGCCACAAGACGATTATAAGTCGAAAAAGCAGATGCCTCCTCTTGACTTCAACTTTTTCCAAACTTATTTTAGCTTTTTTGGCAATTATTTTGTACTTATTCCTACATTGCGAGCCATGCCAGTAGCACAATTCATAGATACTTATCATACTTATTGTACACTTTCCAGACTTATTTCACACTTGTTAAGATCATGAACACAAAACACTGTATTGCAGAGGGAGTAAATGATATAATGAGTACTAGCGAGCAGGAGAGAGTAAGTAACAAGCGAGAGAGTAAGTAGCAAGCGGGAGAGAGTAAGAATGTGAGAAGCTACAGGAAGGTGCGGTGAAGGTACAAGGGCGGGCTGCAAAAGCATAGGCTAACTGATGGAGATGTTATTAGTATAAAAAAAGACAAGAAAAATGAAGACTTACTCACATAGTACCTACAGGCAGGACATGGCACCATCAACATCCACTAAGAAGTTTGAAAGACGAGATCATGCACTGGCTGGGAGCGGGATACGGCTGCGGCACCATCAGAATCGGGTAAGCAGATCAAAATATGAGATCACGCACAGTCTAAGAGTGGGATACGGCCACAACACCATCAGCATGGGGTAAGCAGGTAAAAGGCCATGCAAAAAACAAAGTAGGTTAGCATGGTGAAGCAGCATAAAACATACACCTACCTCTGCGGCTTACCAGAGAAAGATGCCACAATTCCAAGACAAGTGTTGTGTTGAAGAAGATGGAGGGGCAGAGCAGTGGAAGAAAGCATTGACTATGTGTCCAAGAATGGTGGACATTTGTTGAACCATGGGAATAAACAAAAATACACAAATGTTTGACTTGGATGTTTCGGACATCGCCTGTAAGCCATCTCAGGCCATGCTGATCCAAGTCGTCGCCCACCGTCCACAGTATGTGAGTGTGTCGATCCTTGTTTGAGTTCGAGCCACGCTGATTCAAGCTGTTGCCTACCGTCCGCAGTGAGTGTGTCGATCCTTGTTCGAGCTTGGGCCATGCTGATCCAAGTCATTGCCTACCATTCACAGGAAGTGAGCGTGGATTCTCATTCGAGTTCGAGCCACGCTGATCCAAGCTGTTGCCTGCTGTTTATAGCGAGTGAGTGTGTCGATCCTCCTTTGAGCAAGAGTCATGCTGATCCAAGTAGTGATGTTCCGGCACAGCTTGGCCCAAAAGCCGTGGCTTTGGCCTGGCTTCAGACGGCTCTGGCCTGAGCCGCGGCTCGAGTAGGGAATTTGCGATTCTGACAAAGTGAGCATGAGCAGGTCATTGTGAAACCAGGATTCAACCACATGACTCACCTGCTGATGAATCGCGGCAGTCGAGAGTGGCGGTGGAATGTCGGCGGCTTCTTCGTGACAGTGAGATATCGACATGGGCAGCTCCACCACACCATTCCCAATACCACAAACGCCATGCGCAAATGCCCAGTGTGTTACGACTGGGGTATGTCGAGCTGTCTTAGTCCGAGTGGACTGAGATTCAGCGAGACAGACGTGGTTCTTCTCTCGAATGAGAGGTCAAAGGTTTCTGGCTAAGGCAAGTATCGGCGACTTCCTTAGAATGATGGTTCTTAGATAGCAAGGTTGGAGACCTTGCTAAAAGGACTAGTTCCAGGTAAAACCCAGTAGATTAAAGTGAAGAACTACATGTGATACGCTATGTATTTATATAGCGAGAGTTCAAGCGGAGCTTGTAAATGCGTATCAAGATAGAAGGCGGACAGCCCGCTTGTGAGACGATAAGAGATAAGAGATAGTAACCATGGTGCGGACAGCCCGCTTTGATAAGAGATAATCGGCTAAACATAGTGATGGTTACTAGCACGGAAAGTCAGCTTGGCGATGATGTGAGTAAGAGTCTGGAAAGTCATTGGTCGCTCAACAACAGCTGTGTTTAAGTACCATTGTTCGGTAACAAAGGAGAAGCGAAGAGAATTAGTGTGCCGTAACACAGTGCACGTCAGCAACTGCTGACGTAGCTCAGACGAATGCGGATGACGAATGAGAGCAGGAGGAGGGAAGAAGGCGAGGATGAGAGTGAGGGAGAGGAGTTGGATGAGACGAGCAGGAAGGAAGATGTCGAGTAGCATAGGGAGTGCTGGATACAATCCACCCGCGCGCAGAAGAGGTTTCCTATTGATTTAGTGTGAGTGGGCAACTTGGTTCAGTGGATGGGCCATGTGCATCACTCATCGTCATTGTCTGTATGGATGGTTCCAACCATCAGAGAGAAGTAGTGGTGGGAAGTAGATATGAAAAACTTACCGTTGAATATACGTTCTTTTTGTCTGAAAACAAATATGATGGTCGCTAAGCTTGCAAGTTGCCAGAGACTTGCAAAGGAATGTGAATTACTGACGGGCACTGCAAGGTTCCAAAAGCCACGGCCCGAGCTGCCGCGAAGAGCTGCAATATAATGTTAAGTCAAGATCAGGTGAACACATCACATGTTGGATGAATATTGAAGCCAGAGAACGTCGCGCTGGATGTCCATAGAGTGGACCTGCAACTCAGTAAATAGTGAATAATGATTAGTGCGACATATATTAGACAGACATTGTCGTGACGTCGAAGTCAAGTCTTGAAGCGACCATTGTGCTTGACATCAGGAACCAATTTGCACTCATTCTATTTTTACACACATGTTTCCCACAAAGCCAAAATACTCTCAAAGCCGTGGCCTGAGCCACCAGCTCCTGGCTTTTCAGAATCATGGGCCGGGCCGTGCACATCACTAGATCCAAGTTGTTTCCCACCATTTGCAGTGAGTGAGTGTGTCGATCCTCCTTTGAGCAAGAGCCACATTGATCCAAGTCATTTCCTGCCGTTCGCACTTCGTGAGTGTGTCGATCCTCCTTCGAGCAAGAGCCACGTAGATCCAAGTCGTTTCCCGCTGTTCGCACTTCGTGAGCGTGTCGATCTCGTTATTGTGTTGCTACTACTGACATACATTGTACCTACACCCATATGTCTAGTACAGGAATACATGGGTCACGGGCTACCCGCCGCGGGTTACATACCAAGTTGAACTACTTAATTTACTTGCTGTACTTATTTTTGTTTTGAATACTTGAACTCACTTTTCTGATCTTATGCTACTTTTCGGCACTTGTGTGTCATCGCTTCCTTTTTTGACTTGTGAGCCAAGTGATTAGAGGTGAATAAGTGTCAATAAGTTAAAAATAAGTTTTAATTTTTCAAAAAAGGTCCACCAAGAAATGTGTGAATTTACTGATGGCCCTTAGTACCGTCCGAGGGAAAATGCTCTTGCGTATGCTCTACTTGTCCATGGGCAGTACTTAGTGCTGCTGCGGTTCGGTCCAGAACCATGGTTCGAACCTGGACTTCCCTGGACCGGACCAGAAGTTCGGTCCAAGGTCCGTTGGAGACCTTGGACCGGACTTCTGGTCAGGTTCGCAGTTTGATCAGTACTGACAAATTGTGAACGGGTTCGGACTGGTCCGGACCGGTCCGAACCAATAAGGTAACATCAAGGTTTGGTTGGTTACCACATAGTTGGTACATCAAACACGCGGATACCGCACGCTTGGTTCAAGTGTTGCACACGTTGTCCCACTCAGTGCTCCCTTCCCCCACAATTGATCCTTGTCATTGACCTTCATCGCAGTGGGATCGGTCCTGTGATGTCACTGGTATGTATGTTCCCCATCTTGCTTATTCTCTAATTCCCCGTCCAATTTTTCTTATTTTGACATTCTCAATCTGTCAATGGCTAATATACAGTATCGCAACGCCCATCTCAACTGCTAATATGTTCAATTTCTAGGAGATATTCATTGTTGCCTTACATTGTAGGTGCATGGGCCTTCAAGGTCCAAATAAAGGGATCACCAATAGCACATCTGAGGTGAGTACCTTTCTCTTCTCTCACAAAATGACCAACTGTGCTGTTGGTGCTGATGGGGCATTGAAGGATGCCTCTGAAATTCAATGGTTCAATGATGCGGATGATGACACGCCAATTACTCCTCCTCCTGCCAAAGACTCACTCGCTGTCCTTATGCAAGGTGGAAGGCAGCCGGCATCTATCAAAGGTGGTACTTGATGCTCTTCTCGCCCTTTCAAGCCCTCTGCTCGTCTTCGAGCAGCTGATAACACTTCACCTGAGTTGTCTTCAGGCACACGCCCATGCAAACGGGCATTATCGAGTGCAGACGATGCACCCATCAAAAAGGTTGCCATACGAGCGGCTCCCGAGGAAGATGACTTAGACGACAACCTCATCCCTCCCATTGCCGATGGAGACGAGTCATCCGCTGATGATTCAGAGTACACTAACAATCTCGATAACAAAGCCGAAGAAGCCGACGACACTGAGGAAGCATACCAGAAGACCAAGTCACTCGGAGATGCAGACCGCCAGGTACATTTTTTTCTTAATTATAATCTACGGACACATTTCTCATCAACATTGTCAGGCCCGCCAAACATCCAGGAGGACAGATCGCACAGCTGATCTCCGGACCATTTTCACAGAAGAGAAAGGGCGTCTCAACCCAGACACTGGGACACCTGAGGATGGCTGGTGGTGCAATATTTGCAAGTACGTAAATTTCTGTACTTGTGGGACTCCGTGAGCTACCTGGTAGCCTCGGTCTGCGAGGGCCTAGGCAGCATACCTCAAGGTTTTTTTTTTTGCTTCAGAGTTGGTCCGTTGGGGTCATAGACCCTATGTTGGACATTACCTCAAGGTTTGTCATCCCGTCATCGGCGTCATCGGCGTCATCATGCATGTCGATATTACGTCAGCCCATGTACACCGCATCACTCGGTCTACTAGGTGCACCCGTTGGTTTATGGTCTGCAGCCATCCTTCTGTGATGCTTTCCTCTGTATGGGTCTTTTCTCCTATGACCCTCTCGCACCTCATCGTCCAAATTAGGTACGTCGACTCCGACAGGACGATTCGGATAGCGCGATGCGCCTCGCTTGCGTGTGGCAGTCATGTAGTCATTTGGGTTTGACCGATTTTTACGGGGCATCGTGAAAATGCTACGCCACTGCTGCGATATTCCTAAACGGTGAGTGCGTATTAATAGAACGTCGCGGCGCAGCATTTTCCTTGTGTCCATTTCGACGGACCAACTGCCTAGGTTTAACGTTTAAACCCGAATAAGGTGTACTCAAGGCCTCATGATCAGGTCGAATTGGGGCCTTATTGGATATCGATATGAATACTTAATGAAATGACTAGTATCATCGAACGAGATTCCGCATCAGCCATCCTTTTCTCTTGGACTACACTTCCTTGGTAATTATAGTGACCAGATGACTTCCCTCGACATCGATGAAGTTCGCGCTTGCTTCCCATCCTTGAAATCAGGGTACATCTACGCCGATAATGCGGGAGGATCACAGACTACTCAAGGAGTGATCGATCGGATTGTAGATTATCTGACCAACACTAACGTACAGTTGGGAGCTGACTATCTCGTCGGCGCGCTGAGTAGCAAGCGCGTGGATGAGGGCCCTTTCACTGCTGCAGAGTTGTTCAATGCTGCTTCCATCGACGAGGTCGGGTTTGGACCGAGTTCGACGATGATTTTGGAGAACATCGCTAGAGCGCTCGAAAACGATATCCAACCCGGAGATGAATTTATCATCACCTATGAACATGAAGGTTTCTGACATTATCTTCCTGTAAAAAAACAAACTAAACGTTCGCCTTAGCAAACAACGGTCCTTGGAAGCGTCTGGCCGAGCGGCGCAACGCCGTGGTCAAATACTGGGAACCTACGCCAGTATCTGCTCAAAACCCTTACTCAGTCGCATACAAAGTTGAAGAACTCCTGCCGCTGGTTTCTTCACGAACCAGGCTGGTAGCCATCACCGCATGTTCCAATATTTTGGGATCGTTGGTTCCTGTGGAAGAAGCAGTCAAGGCACTTCGCCAGCGTGCAAAAGAACAGGGCGCAACAAAGGTCGAAGTGTCTGTAGATTGTGTTTCATACGCACCACATAGAAAAATGGACGTACGACAGTGGGATGTCGATTACTGCGTGTTTTCTGTATACAAGGTCTCGATACCCGCAATTCTCTTCGATTTCGCATCTGACACTGTGTTTTACAGATGTACGGGATTCACAATGCTGCCGTCTACGTGCGGTCGGCTGCTCTGAAGACATCTCTTACGTCCATCACACATCATTTCCTGAAGGTGGACGACAAGCCATATAAGTTGCAACCAGGTGGTCCAGGCTATGAGCTGGTGTATGGTGCAACGGCAATCGTGCCATATCTAAAGTCGTTGACGCCAGAAGATGATCTTGTAGCATCTTTCAACGCAATCGCAAATCACGAGCAAACCCTTCTGGCCCCTTTACTCCGCTTCTTGACGGACGCAAAACAAGTTGACAGAGGTGTTCGCATTGTGGGGAGAAGCGAGATCAATCTCTCAAGAGTTCCCACCGTCAGCTTTGTTGTTGTCGGACAGAACGCGATCAAGAGCAAGGATATCGTAGGAGTGTTTGACAAAAAAGGAGGGGTAAGTCCGACTTTCAATGATCTTATTATATTCGATTATGCATATTGCACAGATCGGAATTCGATACGGCCACTTTTACGCGTATTCTCTCATTGACAATTTACGGCCAAAACTAGACGTGAATGATGGAGTCGTCCGCATCTCACTTGTCCACTATAACACGGTCGAGGAAGTGGAGAAGATCTTGGACGTTTTGAGGGAAGTTTTGGCTTGAGCGATAATGTAAAATTATGTCAATATATATGTAACTATCTTGGAACGTTCTGGATATGTATTTTTCTAGTACAGTGCATCAAAGGTGCCCATGTAATATGGAAGGGTTCCCGGTTGAGATGTTGCTTATCTCAGCACGGACTCATTTCCCTTTACAAACGTTGCAGCGAAGTCACTGTCAGTGTCTAGTGTCTACTGCCCGCAGAAGGCTATCACATCCTACGGATACAACAATTGCTTCGCCCGGTTGATAGACCACGTCGTTGTATATGATATAGGCCACTATAACGATTTTGGTTTCGCCCATACCGTGCACCCAGCATTCAACACTATGTCCCTCAATTCTGTCGACGTTTTCAAAACGGCTGGATACAAGGGATGCAGTCACGCATATCTTTTCAAGCTAGTAAGTCTTGGCTTGTATCGCGAGTCCTCGTCATACTCACTGTATTCTTGCCGAAGCGTGCTATTTTGTACGTTCCAGGTGCAGAGTCATGTATTTCATCACCTACATCATGACGATTGGGGTTATGTGATCTCAATACCGTCGAAACACACCAGGGAGCTCCCTATGAACCGAGAAGGAGCCAGACTTAACGGTTTCACTCCACACATGGGCACCAGGGCGGGAAGAGTTGAACGAGAGCCCAGTCAAACGATGGCGCACAGAATTGAATGACACTGCAACTCTTGAGGCTACAAGAAGTTTGTCCATTCTCCTCATGAGTCAGTATCCAAGGGATTCTCGGGGTGGAATTTGTTATAATTCAGCAAGATGCATGCCAGCCCTCCGAGTCTACGTGTTTGTTAACCGGTGTGTCTTCTTTGACACTTGACAATATATGCGCCAATTCATAAAGTGTGATAGACGGCTGGACTCGTCCGCGAACGCGTACCAGACCTGTCCTAAGCTGTCTATGGATATACGCAGCCGGCCATTACTTCAGTATTAACCAGTGTGGTCGACGTTCGAGTTCACCCAATACGCACGGCACATACTGCTCCGTCGCCCCATAGTTCATACCCAGAACCATCATCTTCCGGGGAAAACTCCAAACGCACAGACCCTGTCGAGCACCACGGGATGTCACCTATTCCAGAGGGTGTCTCACATCCCAACATACTCTTATTTACTCCCAGACGTCTCACAGATTGATCATCTGAAAGCCCTTGGAAGATCGAGCTCACCTCCATCTACGAAGATTTCTGACATCACTGTTTTTGAGCTAGACAGGTAGGAAAGAGCAAAATTTTATCATTTTTGTCGTATTCTGATTATTCATTATAGTTCATATCTCTATCAACGTTCACATTATTCGTCATTTATTGTGTAATCCTTGTGATTTTTGTACGAACGATTGAACAGTTGCAACTTCGTGTCTGTGCGAGGGTATAATCAATTGCTTGATGCAGGGAGATATATAAGAGATAGACGCCGTGTGTAGCTGTTGTGTCGAAGCTGTATATGTAAGAGCCCTTGCTTCGTGTTCGTTCGTTCGTTATCATATCTCGCCACCATCTCGTTCTGTACCACAGTACAGCTTTCACGATAAACCAAATCACCTCTACTTCAGGACGCACATCAAGATCTCCCAGTGGCGACCATCGATGCCCAGGAGCTCAGAGAAAGCATTGGACGCTTTCGAGTTCTGATCATAGGGAGAGCAAACGCAGGCAAAACAACCATTCTTCAGAAGGTCTGCAACACCACAGATCAACCAGAAATTTTCGATGCCAAAGGAAACAGGGTGCGGGTGATGCTCTATGCCATGCACGCGTCTATCGCTGATCAATCGTGGGTAGATCGATGCTGACGTCGTGGAAGCCTCGATCAAGGTGCGTGCATCATCCGCCTGTGGGCATAGATGCGCCGACGAATTATCAGCGTGGCAATCACAACATCACAAACGAGATGGTGTTCAAAAGTAGTCCTGGTTTCGTCTTTCACGACTCTTGCGGTTTCGAAGCGGGATCTGAAGAAGAATTCGAGAGCATGAAGAGATTTATCTCAGAGCGCGTACACGCGACGAAACTGGAGGAGCGAATCCATGCTATCTGGCAAGTGACTACCCTCTGATGTTCGACGTTTGTTGATTGCCATCAGGTATTGTATTCCAATGGACGAATGCTGTCGAACATTCCAGCGGTCGGAGGAGAAGTTCTTCCTTGAGTGCGACACCGGGCACGGTGAGCTTGCCACTTCGTTGTCAGTTGTCGTGTTCGGACTAAACGATCAATCTTCAGTTCCCGTGATCACGGTGTTCACCAAGTTCGAAGCTCTTCGTCCAGTAGCGTATGGAGACATCAAGAAGGAAATACAAGGTGTATCTGCAGAAGAACGCTCAAAAAGGATAGCCCAACGCGTTGAAGAACTGTTCGCTAATACCGGTGTTTGTGATCGGTTGTGTGACCCTGAAAACCGTACGCGTCCTAAGTTTCATGTGCGCTTGGAGAGTAAGTGGTTGAGATTGAGTTGTCTTATGTCAAAGTTGATATCAGTGACCGACCTAGATATGAACAAGCCGAATACAAACTGCAACACTCTACTGGAACGCACGACTTTCGCGTTGGACAACGACGAATTGCGATTGTGCTTGGTGTCAACACAACAATCAAACCTGGAGCTTTGCATCAAGTGTGCCGTCGCGTGAGTGGCAAATTTTCAAGTCACCTATTTGTGTTCCAACATCATCATTTAGAACACTCGTTGATCGCGCACATCAGCAATCTGGGCTACGTCGGGTCGATTACGAAGTCAATCAGTATGCCATTGCTAAGTGGTTTGCACATCTCCAAGTAAGACCAGGATTCATTCAATCTGACAAAACCCCGGTAATGGTGCTCATAAATGGTAAACACTGAAGTGCTGAAACTGCAGACATTCTAATATATATTTTCTTGATTGTAGTTGCCCATCGATCACAGATGGTATGTTTGTGGTTCACGAAAATCGAACAGTATGGACAACGCTAATGCCCTGTGGCTGCTCGCCTGTTGACAGTCTGTAAGTACCTTGATTTTTTCTAGTTCTCGACCCGTGCTCATGATCCGCATCCCTCGCTGCTGCTCGCCTGTTGACAGTTTGTAAGTGCCTTGATTGTTTATATTCCTGGACCTGTGCTCATGATTCTCATCTCTTGCTGCTGCTCGCCTGTTGACAGTGGGTTAAGTGCCTTGATTGTTTCTAGTCCTCGACCCACGTTCATGATTCCCATACATCGCTGCTACTCGCCTGTTGATAGCGAGTAAGTGCCTTGATTGTTTCTAGCCCTCGACCCGTGCTCATTATCCCCATCCTTGCTGCTGCTCGCCTGTTGACAGCGAGTAAGTGCCTTGATTGTTTCTAGTTCTAGATCCATGCTCGTGATCCCCATCTCTCGCTGCTGCTCGCCTGTTGACAGGGGGTCAGTGCCTTGATTTTTTGTACTCCTCGGCGACCCGTGCTCATGATTCCCATCCCTCGCTGCTGCTCGCCTGTTGACAGGAAGTAAGTGTCTTGATTGTCTCTGATCCTCGTCCCGCGCTCATGATCCGCATCCCTCGCTGCTGCTCGCCTGTTGACAGTCTGTAAGCGCCTTGGTTGTTTCTAGTCCTCGACCCGTGCTCATGATCCTCATTCCTCGCTGCTGCTCGCATGTTGACAGAATGTCGGTACCTTGATTGTTTCTGATCCTCGCCCCATGCTCATGATCCTCATCTCTCGCTGCTGCTCACCGGTTGACAGGAAGTAAGTGCCTTGATTGTTCTTAATCCTCCCACCGTGCTCATGATCACCATCCCTCGCTTCTACTCGCCTGTTGACAGTATGTGGGTGCCTTGATTGTTTCTGAACCTCGACCTGTGTCAATCATCCCTATCCCTCGCCGCTGCTCGCCTGTTGACAGGTGGTAAGTGCCTTGATTGGTTCTGATCGTCTACCCGTTCTCATGATCTCCATCCCTCGCTACTGCTCCCCTGTTGATAGGGGGTCAGTGCCGTCATTTTCTCTAGTCCTCGACCTGTGCTCATCATCCCCATCTCCCGTCGCTGCTCGCCTGTTGACAGTTTGTGAGTGCCTTGGTTGTTTCTGATCCTTGCCCCATGCTCATGATCCCCATATCTCGCTGCTACTCGCCTGTTAACAGCGGGTAAGTCCCTTGATTGTTTCTTAACTTATGATCCTAATGTCTTGTTGCCCCCCGCCTGTCGACAGAAAGTATGTATCTTTCATTGTTTGTCATCCTCAGCCCATGCTGACCATCATTGTTGCTCATCTGTCGATAGGAGGTAAGTGCCTTGACGATTTCCTGTCTGCAACCCATGCAGACAGTTCTCACATTTTGCTGATTTCTTTGACAGGTGGTAGGTATCTTGATTCTATCTTGTATTGAAATGATACTGAATAGTACAATCATGGTGACTCAATTTCATAGGCCGATGTAAGCATGTTCTATTTCATCACACGAGTCAGATCATCATTGCTCATATAATGTGTAGTTCGTTGAGTATCCCTCGATAACTTATTTTCCATATTCGCTCATCTTCCATATTTTCTTGCCCTGTGCAGAATGTGAGTCATTTGACCCTGATCATGTGAAGCATCGAATGTGTCCATTATTGTGACTGGGTCTTCCGCTCTCTAGGATGTGAGTATGTTTCAATCGTTAAGGATTCCAGCAACGTAATTCCTTGTATTTATCATGTGTTCGCAGAATGTGGGTTGATCACGGCCTATCTGATGATAGTACTCCACTGACAAACAATCTTATTTAGCTCGTACGTCCATAGATGGCGAATCTTCACCATTGTATAGTGATACTCATCTGGTTCCAACCCCTGACAGTTTGTAAGCTATTCGAACACAGCAGTCATTGTTTACAATCTGGTGGTTAATTATTCGCAATTATCACGTCAACCGTATAGAAGGTGCGTCTCTGTTATTAATTAAATGTCAATTTGCCACCTCATTATTGTGACATTCCTTTCCTGTAGAAGGCAAGTACTACGTTCTGTGCAGTTGATTCTGATACCCACACTTCCAACCTGTGGCTAGGCCAAAATCAGGCGAAGTGACATTATCCGCGTCCTCCAGCCTTTGGTAGGTTGGTTTTCCTTCCCATTGACTCTCAGCACTAAGAGTGTGCAACAGGTTGTGAAGGGTTCAATGTTCACTTCTGCTGCGAACAGAATCGTTCAGACTGGCATCGGTTAGTTTCTCACTGCCTGACCAGTTGTAGTCTTAATCTCTGGAAGCAGCTACTGTCATCGTCCTCGAGTATTCCGCCTTTCTCGCGGACGACTTGGATGACTTGAAGTGCATCGAGTCTGCCATGGAATACTACCTGAAATCTCCGACAGCTGTCGTAGTGGAGAAAGGAGCGCAAGAGATTTCTCGTCAAGGCTACGACGCAGAGGAACTAGAGAAGAAGATTCTTGAGTTCATCCTTGAAAATCGCCTGTGTACGTCCCTCGCCTTGTTGTGAACCTGGAAGTCAGAGCTTACTGACAGCCTGCAGCGAAGGACTTGACAGCAAAGAAGTAGAAGATGCTCGAGCCAATTTTCCTGTTTTTCGATGCGTGCTATGCGCTCGTGTTATGTACGACACCAAGTACGCCAGCTTCAACTCCTGAGCGCTAAGCAGTGCGGACTGTGATGTTTCCTTATTTCCGATGCTCTTACCCATGCTATGTACTAGACACGACACTTCAGTCTCAACTGCTGAACGCTGCAGATTGTATCGAATTTCAACACCCGTTTTTCGGATCTAACGTATCATATCGCATTCGGTTTTGTGTTTTGTAGTTGCGCCCGTCAAATGATCCGCTGTTCATTCTCATTTTCAATAATGACAAAAACTGGCTCGTGTGCTTCAATGCTGAAGCGGAGGGGCATGACGGCTCACAACATCGTCGATGCTCGTCGGGACAGCATGCAGCCTGGGGGAGTAAGTTATGTCATGAAAATCTGGGAGAGATTTAGAACAGCATTATGTTATCATCTCGTAGTTGAACATGATTTTATTGTCTTGACGAAGGGGAAGATCTCGGACAGAAAACCAAAATGACAGAAAGTGACACAGACGTATCGAGGCATTGACAGCATTATGAAGCGGTATGTTGTGGACACGACAAGGTAGTGCCTGAATAAGTTGAAGTCAGATGGGAAAAGTAGACAATAGAGGCTACTAGTAGGCACTGACGCACGTGATGAAACAGGAAACGGAAACGATGGGGAAGAAGACCTCTCCTACTGAAGCTACCAAACAAAACCTTCCTCGTGACAAGAAACGGACGAACGGCTTCTAGTTGTGCACCTTTCCGAAATCGTCATTCAACCTGCTGTTTACCTTCGCGCACTCATGCTTTATCAGTTTCTGATCATACTCGTTTTTGCTCGCACCTTTTACTGCTGGTCATTTATTGCACTTCGTTGTATTTTAATATTATACACTGCGATTAATAGCAAAGGTTAAGAACCCATCTAGGAAATACCGCTAATGTAGTCCGTCGGCTGAAGTCGAGCTCAACACGTCTACATGTTGGTCGAGGAATCCTGGAGGCATTAGGACAAGTTGAAAAAGGAAAACAACAATTCAGGATGAATTATCATCGCGAGACGCGATCAGACGATTACGGTTACTGTTTCAACCGGAGCTTGAAATACCTTTGCGCTTCCACTGTCATGTTTCTTTGTTTTTCCCAACGAAATGACGGGGATACAACAAACAAGGCTGTCTGGCTTCCATCCCTTCCAGCTTAGCTGCCTTTTTCTTCACATGTCTGGACAACCGAAGCTTTATGAAGTCATGTAAAATGGCTGGTATGTATATGATATGCAAGCAACGCACGATATTTAGCAGTTCTGCCTTTGCGATGTTCCTTATGCAATTGTCCTCGGTTCCCCTCGAGCCGAATTTTAGAACCAGCACAAAAAACCTAGCGGTCTCGAACCAAGCTGTATAATGATTCAGTTGCAGAGTTTTGTCACTGTTAGTGTGTATGAAGAGCACGTAACGCGCCGACCAGTGCGTCCGAATCAGACATTTTGAGGCCGTTCTTGCTCACGTGATGTAAACACCTCCTAGTCAGCCCCCAAGAGTCTGGACCGCCGACCATGTCAGCCTTGTATCATTTGGCTGGTCAGCCCACCCCGTCAGCCATGCACTCGTGGCAATACAAAAGACCTGGGCTTCTGATCTCGACACTACATCTTCTAGATCCTGCATCTTATGTTCTTTCCTCGATCTTCTATCGCCGCACTTAAAGCCTTTGTCACCGTTCTCCTTCTACCTCAATTTCACTATCCATCGACCATGCACGCCCAGAACCGCTCCGGCTCTACATCGGGTTCCCTCTTGGCTCCACCAGACGCTCTTATCGAAGAAGATATCCTGTCAGCTGGAAAGGCTCGTAGGCCTGAGCCAAAAGCTACACCTCGCCTGCGCACATCCAACACACACATACCTTTGGTTCCTAAACCTTACCACGGACACATTCCCAAAGCGCCTAGACCCGACGTCCATGCCTTCCTCCCTCCACCATATAGCCAGTCTGCATCATTCCTCGCCGTTCCAAATAACACACCTGCGTCCACGCCACCTCCGCCTCCACTCAGTAGCAGTAGCAGCTCAGATGATTCTGTTATGCTCAGTACGCCCAACATCTTTTCCGGCGGTCGATCAGGACTAGTGGGCCTCGGTTTCGAAGGTCTAGAGAAAGGGGGAGGTGGAGCATTTGACGGGCTCGGAAGGCTCAGCGAAGGCTTCAGGTTATCCGAATCCTCGTCTGGGGAAGAGGGATCCAGCCAAGTTCGGCCGAAAGCGGTTGTGCGGCCCAAGAAGAGACATGACGTATTTTTCCCGTGCCCACACCACTCTAGGTCGCTATCGCCTGTGTCGTTCTTAGCACGTGCACTGCCCAACACTGCGGTGATGCAGTTCCGAGTTCATTGTCGGAATGATAGCGGATCACCTACGCCTTGTATGAAGCATGATCCTAGTAGGAGCACGGTGTCGACTGAGTTGAAGCGAGCTGCTGGAATTGAGCGTCGGGCATCGTTGCGTCGATGTAGTAGTATGAGTGGATGGCGGTAGTAGTAAATATGGACAAATAAGTTACCTTTAGTTGTCAAGGAGATGAATGCACGTTGGGTGTGTCCTTGGAGAGTTACTCTTTCAAAAAGTCATTTTGACTTTTCTTTCTTTTTTTTGTATTTTTTGCCTTTCTTTCGAGCAGACATAACAGACAAAGCCGGTCTTTTGTCTAAAAGGAAAGGACAAGCGAAATTGACGAGGTACTTATATAAGTATACTGCCACGACTAAACCACGACCGTCCAAACGAATAGTATGCAAAAAGGTATGTAGACGACGACCACAACGATGACGATAAGGGGGCTAAATAATTGTTTAGATCAAGCTGCTCTACGTTCCTCCCCTCCATTTCCATCACCGGGTTCTTCATTTCTACCACCTCCCACACCTGGACCACACGAATTCGCTCGTAGGAAATCATCAAAGAAAGATTTTGAAGACGTTACTACCGCTGCCAATGGCCTCAACAGCGGTCAGGCCACACCAAACGGCGCGGTAAGTCCCCAACGAGCGTCTCTGGCTTTCTTCCGCTCCTTCCTTCCGCGCTTTATCATTTCCATGCTGAACGTTCCTCGTTCTCTCTTCCACCTACTACCCTTCCAGGAATCAACTCCAACAACAGAATCTCCAAGTACATCTTTTCTAGATCCTCCTCCTCGATTGTTCGACTCCCACGATACAGAAGACCACAGCCACCGTCTAAGCACCCATTCCGTCACTTCTCTTACCTCCTCCCGTCCCGCACCACCATCACCAGCAATCTCCCGTCGTGCATCAGGCTTATCCCGTACCTCCTCAAAATCTCGTTCTCGCCCAGTCTCAGACGCCAATTCTCGCCTACAACGCCCCATATCCGCAGCACTCTCCCCCAATGCAGCACTCTCTCGCACACCCAGTGGACGTCGTACCAAAGATCTCCTCGGCATGTCAGCAGTAACAGAGATCAAAGGCAAAGAACCAGATATAGCACCCACCGAGACTAGAATCCTCATTAAAATCCGCGACTTTGCGTTTACGCCTTCAGATCCGCGGTTCTCTGGTGAAGGATCGAATGTACCCCGTGCAAATCGTCCCAAAGTCCTTGCTCGCCGTTTACGCGGGTCGTCCTCATCGACGTCCTCTTTGATTTCCACGTCATCGGCAGAAGAGGAAGACGAGCAGTGGGAAGATGAGAGTGATAACAATGGTTGGGGAGGTTTCAAGTGGGGGTTTCAGAAATTGCAATCTGGTTGGGGCCTTGGGTCGCATTCCTCGTCTTCCGAGGACTTTCCTTCGAGAACTGACTTTGCCCGTAACTTTGGAGATGGCAGTGGTGATGATGATGAGAGTGAGGTGTATGAGGAGCCAGATGAGTTTCCTGAGAATCAAGACGAAGATGAGGAGATGGAGGGAGAGCCCATGTTAAGCCCTGGCCTTTACCGTGCACTGTATTCCTTCGAGCCAGAAGGAACTGCGGAGATGAAGCTTGATGAAGACCAGATCGTCCGTGTGGTTGGACGAGGCGGTGGAGTTGGATGGGCTGTGGTTGTGAAAGAGGACACTGGTTCGCATGCCCTCGTACCGGAGAGTTATCTAGAGGTCGTCAAACTGGACGGGGACGATTAAGACTGAGAGTTCGTGCAGGCACGAGCTACGTGGTTTGTATCTTCTATCATCTTCGTTCTTGCGATCACTTTCTTACGCTTGCTATTTCTCTTGTATGTGGAACCTTGTCATTTATTTGCTGCATCCTTTGTTTGCATTACATTTTCCGATATTTCTGATAATAATAATCAAATCCACGTATATCGGCTACCTGCTATCAGTCGACGCGACAGATGATTTCACCGTGTAGGATCGCGAACCAGCCTTCCTCTGATTTACCCCATTCCGTCCATGTATCTGCAATTCTATTCAGCTTCTCCTCGTCCACAAGCCCACTCTTGAGCGCCGTCGTCTTGAAATCCGACGAAAGCGTCCGATCAGCCCACATCCTACTCCACCACTCCCGCTCGTCAGGGGTACTGTAACACCACGTCCCAGCCGAAGTCGTGATTTTGTCTCTCGCAAACCCTGCCCCCAACGCCCAACTCACCAACCTCCTCCCCGCATCAGGTTCTCCCCCATTAGCACGCGCCACAAGCTGATACGTATCCATCCACTCCGTCATCCCAGCAGAAGCAGGAAACCAAGTCGTCGCCACAAAATCCGCCTCTCTAACAGCAATGATCCCTCCAGGCTTCGTAACAGCCCTCATCTGCATCAAAGCCTCCGATACCCTTTCCCGATCGATATGCTGCAACACCTGATGCACATGCACGATATCAAATCTACGATTCTTAAACATCTCTTCTAGTTCAAAGATATCCCCGGTTTTGAACTCTACATTCGTGATGCCTCGGGATGTGGCTGTTTCGCGAGCTTGGGTGAGGATGTCGCCGGGGGAAGGCTCGATGCCTGTGATGTGTCCTGTGGGCCCGACGAGGGTGGCGAAATCGAGGGTGATGGTGCCCGGCCCGCAGCCTATGTCGAGGATGTGCATGTTTGGTTGTATGTATGGGAGGAGGTAGGATGCGGAGTTTTGGGCGGTGCGCCAGCTGTGGGAGCGTAGGACAGATTCATGGTGTCCGTGTATGTAGATTGCGGTGGTTTCTGGCATTTGATCTCTAAATTAGACGCTCAGTCATGAAAGACAGGGGTTGTGTATGTCTATTTGTGCGACCTGCTCAGTGATAATCGATAGGCTATAGCACATGCCCGAGTCCTATCTTTAGTCACACAGATACGGTCACGGCGTTCCCATCATGCATAGATACCTTTTATTGGGCTTGACGGTCATTCACCACTGTTCACATCGTACCTTCAAAACCAGCTACAACTCATCAACGCTGCAACCAGTTCTGCATTTTTCGTATCAGTATACCGACTCTTCTTGAGCTTGTACTTCGAGTCTAATTCTATATACTATGTCCGTTGAATCAACTCACCATTAATAATAGATTGGGTGCCGTGGCCAACCGTTTGCCGTCGGAGCTTCAGTTGACCCACCTTCCGCAAGCGAGCTTGAGGTTCAGAAGATGTCTCTTCAGCCACCAGTTGACGAAATTGACCCAAGCACCGTCACGGGGATGACCGCTTACCCGGCCGCTTCGGGTGGTCTTGGAGATGTTTACAAATGTATCTTGAACAGGGGCGCAAGCCAGGAAGAAGTACTTCATACATATACCTTCTTTGCGAATGTATTCAATCTATAATTTTCAGGTTGCAGTCAAATCTCCACGGTTCCCAAATTTGTCTGATGCTGAAGTCGCCAAGATCAACCGTGTATGTTTGGGTAGCTTCTAAAACTGCCAAGTATCTGAACTTCATGTCCTTCGAACGCAGAATATTGACCGGGAGCTCAAAATCTGGGCCATGTTAGAGCACCGGTATATATTACGCCTATATGGCATTGCAACAGGTTTCGGTCCATTCCGTGCTTTTGTCTCCCCCTGGATGCCAAATGGGACTTTGAACTCTTACCTAAAACACGCTGATCTCACGGCAATGGATAAGCTTACCCTGGTGAGCTTGTTTGCAAGGCCTGTGACCATAATTTATCGCTTTCTTAACAGTTTAAACAAATCGTGGAAGGTCTCAAGTATCGTGAGCAGGAATGAATTGATCATAGAAGCAACCGAAGTAACTGATTGTTGTACTGTTGACCAGTTCACGACAACAACGTGATTCATGGTGACTTGACTAGTGTAAGTTTACTATTCCGTGTATCCCTGATCCTCTGATCATGATTGTAGAATGATGTCCTGGTTGCTGCCGATGGGTCCCCGCGCCTTGCGGACTTCGGTATCTCAAATATCATGGTAGAGTCTAACCCGGCATTCTCTTACCATACTGGTGGAGTTCGTTGGGTTGCTCCAGAGCTCATGAACCCACCCGAAGACGCCCCCGTGCAACGCACCACCAAATCCAGTGATATATATGCTCTCGGATGTATCATGCTTGAGGTAAGTCTCTTATTTCGCTTGTTTGTGTTACTGATATGGTGATGCAGGTATTATACGGGAAAGTACCCTACTGGTGGTTGAAATCTGCTATAAATGTTATTTCGGCCAAGTTCAAATACCAAGAGCCCTCTGACGACACCTTGCAAATTCAAGCGCATCACCTCACTTACATGCGGCGGTGTTGGTCAATCAATCCCGAATCTCGCCCATCGGCGGAGGAGACTCTGGTATTCATTGATGGGATATTTCCACATGTTCTCGACTGGCCTTCGTTCTACAACCTTCGAGAACTACCTAATGAGGTGATCACAGCATATGAGCATCGCGGCACTGCGGCAGGGGGTCTAGGCGATATCTGGAAATGTAGTTGGCGCAAAAACTCGAAGGAAACTGAAGTCAGTGTATTCTTGTGTGTCCAAAGCCATAATTCATTTGTTTCAGGTTGCAGTCAAATCAGTCAGGGTTCCTCGTACAGGCAATAAAGATGAAGTCAACCAAATAATGGAGGTCAGTATCGAGTTTTGGCATGTTGCGCTGGATGCAATGGGATTTATCATGCCTAGATGATTACTCAAGAGGCTGCTGCTTGGGCCAAGTCGTCACATCATAATATACTGGCCCTGTTTGGCACGATCCCTTACTTCGAACCTCTTCCCGCCTTCATGTTTCCATGGATGGCCAATGGCTCGCTGACGGACTATCTACAACGGGAATTCTCCCGTTTGTCAGCAACCAGGAAAACTGACATTGTAAGCCCATTACTCGAGTAGCATGATTGTGTCTGAGCTCGATGACAGTTAAACCAAGTGGTTTCTGCGCTGAAGTACTGTCAGTGGCATTCTTGAATGTCAGCCATGTACTTACGACTGGTTTCAAGTGCATGATGATGGCATCGCTCATGGTTCTTTGACAAGTGTAAGTGCTGTGGACGCCAATTATCACGCGCTTACGATATTCCCAGGATAACGTGTTTCTTGACGGCTCTGGCAGGGTCTACCTGGCTCACTTTGGTCGTCTCTCCAATATTTTTGCCCGAGGACAGGCCCCTATATCTGGTTTAGCAAATACTTTTGAACTGAGGTACATTGCGCCCGAACTCCTCACTCCTATTGTAGATGCAGGAGCCTTAAAATCAAGTAAGGCTGGAGATATTTATTCGTTTGGCTGTCTCATGATCCAGGTGTGTCCTCGCACTATTCTGAGTCCCATATCACCTGATATTCCCCTAGGTGTTGTTAGGAAAGATACCTTATTGCTGGATTCGGGATGCCAGCGAAGTTCTTCCAGAAAGAGTCAAAGGTGCACATCCCTTCCACATGGAACAGGTATGTTTCAAAACGTGCTCTACTGGAGGCTTGAAGTTATTGATAAATTGGAGATCAATGAAATGTATTTGACTTTTGGGAAACAATGTCTGTCGGTCGAAAGCAAGGCCCGTCCGGCGATTGAGGATGTCTTTTGCTTTTTTTTAATCCAAAGCATTGGGTAGGTCGTCTAATGTGCACGCATGTTTCTATACTTACCGACTGTAGTGCGGCTGACTTGACAAATGCTATCGATCGGATCAATAAGTACGCCACAAACTGTGGAGGATATGCGGATGTCTACAGATGCCAGCTTGTCTTGGACTCGACGACCGTCCTCATACAACAAGCTGTTTCCCATTACCAGGCCCCTTGTGGATGCGTTGATGTAAGTGCCAAACAGGCAATTCCTATCACTTTTCCAACGGTGTTTAGGTCGCAGTCAAGGCGTTTAGACCGATGGGAGGGGTCGAGTTACCCAGATTGATCAATGTCGGTGGAAATCACTCGTATCCTCATTCTGCTGACCGGTTGCTCGCCAGCGATTTTCTCGAGAGATCAAAATATCATCGACACTTAATCATGAAAATATTGTACCTCTCTGGGGAGTTGCACGTCAATTCGGGGTTCTCCCCGCCCTAGTTTCGCCGTGGCTAAAGAATGGCACCTTGACCGAATATCTACAGAATCGACACAAAGAACTTTCTCGTGGCCAACAGTTTACACTGGTGCGCTGAAGTCGTTACCTCATAACAACAACAGTACTAAAGACGCTTTAGCTGAGGGATGTAGCTCGCGGCCTTGAATATCGTTGGTCCAATGTTTGCAATTCACATGAAATATAGCTGACGCAGATCTGGTAGTCCATTCGCAGCAGATTGTCCATGGAGACTTGAGTGGCGTGCGTACACCTCACCAAGTTTGTAACTTCCCAACTTAAAACTTTTAGTACAACGTCCTTATCGACGACGATGGAAAAGCACGCCTCACCGATTTCGGTTTATCAGCTCTCATTCCGGCGAGAATGAGTCAAGCCTTATTACCTACCGTTGCTGGAGGCACCCTGCAATGGATGGCACCCGAATACTTGACGGCAGATACCAGCGACGTGTCATCCATGTTCTCTCAGGCAAGCGATGTATACTCTTTCGGAGGGATCATGCTTCAGGTGTGTGCGTGTTGGCATTCACACCCTCCAATACTTGATGTCATAAACATACTATTGTCCAATGTGCTCATCCACAGTTTCAGGTATTGGAGGGAAAGATCCCATACCACTACATCGCCAATACTTTTGCTATAGTTGGTAAAATATCACAAGGGATTACGCCTCGCAGGCCGGCTGCACCTGTGATCATCGATGACGACGACTGGAATTTCATCCAGAAATGTTGGTCACAACATGCGGCATCTCGTCCGTCTGCCACAGACATTATTGCGATTGTAGAGGCAAGGGCTATAATTGTTGTATAAACAAGTACAGAAACACTGTTCAATATTCAATCTATCAGGGTGAAGAAAGTGAATCAGCAACAAAAAGTTATATCTTTTACGCTGCATTTAGCATGAGATTCTACAATGCAAAGTAAGTTTTTTCTTCCGTTCGTTCGTCGACTGCCAAGCAGAAAAAATACCCATAGCCATTTGCTGATTGTAGGTATTAATTGGGCAATAGTACATTACAAAACGAACAACAGCAATAATCGAAGTCTTGGATAGACGGATCGTAGTAAGAAGAGTCATATAAATCGAATCGATACACCCACTCGTTTGATAAATCACGACGGGCGAGACTCGAAGCTCAATGCTATGAGGATATCATGGTCGTGATGCGGCTGAAGATCTTCAGATTCGACACCGTTGTCCCAATTCAAATTTCACAGTTGGTTCTATGCGCTGAAGGCTAGAACAAGAGATTATGCTCGATGGAGAAAAGAATCGCGGCGAGCAATGGTGAGCGACGCCAATCGCTGTCAAATACATGATGGCCTGATGGAGTCTGCAGAGGTCTGGACCATGTCCTGGTATTGCGGGTCGAACAACATGACTACGTCTCGATTGTGCTTGGTGGAGTAAGGATCAGAGGGAACGAAGGTGGGTGCTTGTGCCAGGCTGGGCGACGTCGAAAAAAGTCGATGTTACTAGCTGAAGGTAGTTGATCATGATGATGGTCGACTTTCAAACTGTGAATGAGACTCGGCGCTTGATCCCCAGTCAAAGGCCACTGGGCCAGGCCCATACAGGTACATACCTGTATGGGCCTGTAAATTTGAGACGTGGCCAAGTTGAGGATAAGATACCTGAGAACTCCTAGGAGTCCTCACATCGGGGCATTCGCGACTTCAGGGATGTAGTAAAGGCAGGGCCTTATAGATTAGACAGTATCAATTGTCCGACATAGGGTACTTGATCAGTTATATACCCCAATGAACAGAAATTGGAAAAAAAAAGATACCTGAGAGCGTGGGAGCTCCAATTCAAAGCCAATTCGGTACTTGTCCTTATAAGTCTTATCTATCGATTGATCGAACGTTTCGACTTGCAAAATAAAATGTCCCCAATATCGAGTCTTATTCTGATACCATGACTTCCAAGGATGGTTGGTCTTGTCTTCCTTCAACCGCATATTCAGCTCCTCATGATAACTTCACAGTGCTCGTCGGTGTCATCGGTGGTAGTGGGCTATACCATCTTGATAACCTGACTTTCGTGTGAGTTGTGACATGAACAAGTTGTGTTTTGTAGCTCATGACAAGCACCTCAGGGAGAAAGTTAACCCAGAGACTGTTCGTTTTCGCCCTTTGGGAGTCTTCATGATTTTGACCGATCTGCATTGCTGTCTTTTCAGCCTTGGGGATACCCATCTTCGCCCATCACCATTTGTTCGCTACCTTCAGGATCAAAGATCGCCTTCCTGGCTCGTCACGGGCATCACCATTCAATTGCGCCTTCAGCAGTCCCTTCTCGCGCTAACATCGCAGCTTTGAAGTCTTTGGGAGTCCGAGTTATTCTTGCATTCAGTGCTGTTGGCTCGCTCCGCGAAGAGATCGCCCCGGGATCTTTCGCTATCCCTACTCAGATCATTGATCGCACCAAGGGCATACGTCCAGCCAGCTTCTTTGAGGGCCTGAAGATAGTCGCTCATGCTGCATTTGGTGATCCATATAGCGTGAAGTTGGTCCGCTGGCTGGAGGTAAGAGTAGAGAAGGCTCTTGCAGACGAAGGTAGAGGAGTGGCTCTCCATAAGGACAAGTGCATCGTTTGCATGGAAGGTCCTCAGTTCTCCACTAGAGCGGAGAGTATCATGTATCGAGCATGGGGTGGGGATCTTATCAACATGAGCGCTTTGCCTGAGGCCAAGTTAGCTCGTGAGGCAGAACTGAGGTGATTTGACCACTCGCTTTGCTTTGACTTGACTGAGAAAACATCCAGCTATGCCTTAATCGCAACTGCCACAGACTATGATTCATGGCGTCCCCATTCGGAGGCAGTCACTGCCGCGGAAGTATTCAAGACCCTGCAGGATAATGCTAATACATCGAGGCACGTTGCAGCTGCTGTTCTTGAAGACCTTCACGCTGCCGCGTTAGATGGAGACATTCTGACTGAAGACAAGGGCAGTATGCGTTTCTCTATCATGCCAAGAGTTGGCGAACAAGACCAGGAGGATATCAAGAAGCTGGCCTTCATACTACCTGACTACTTCACGCCAGACAATGTTGCTAACTAGATGCTATCATCTGAGTGTTGGTTTAAAGTGGTGAATTCACCCACGATCTGGGTTTTCGTCGATACCATAGCTCTTCTTTGAAAAATCAATCATTTCACCGCTTGGCCGCAATCCGACTCGTGGGAAAAGCTCTTGTCTGGTGACATAGCATATGATACAGGTTTGAATGTAGATGTGAAGTGGGGGAGACTACTATGTACATAGTTCGTTTTACCGAGTTCGGACATTTCCTTTGGTATTACATAAATGTAAGAATAGCAAATGAAAAGGAATAATTAGGTACGAAGAACACGGAAATCAGGGAATCCCGACGGGGGACCATCAAATTCTGTCATTGCAAAAAGAAAAGGGTACAATGAGGATCCTGACTGATCCCTGAGTACACGTTGTCCATGACAATTGGATCTATGTTACAGTATGAGGTAGTGAGCATGACTGCGAAGTTTGCCTTGGATGGTGGGCAATTTTGAGGTATGAAATGCGACACAATTTGTGTCTACAGGTTGTGCTCTGCAATGTAGCGCATGATGAGGAGCGAAGCCATAATGTCTGATGGTAGAGTCAGCTAACTGTCCAAGGATATAGATAACAGCAACTTGCCTATGGAAAGGTGACAATATGATTCGTGAATGGTCAGAGTGTTTCCGGAGACGCCATAAGCTGGCATGTGTGGTTGACGAAGATCGTAATGAGCGACAAGGTAATTTTCTTCTGAAATACACTGTAGAAAAGAGGGATTCAGGTAAGGATGGTGGACAAAGCGCATTTAACGTACCGACCACTCGTGGGCGTCTGCGCTTTGGTACTCCCATCTGTATTCCCGGCCATCACTCGCCCGAAATTTTCTGGAGAGAGATCTGTGGTCCATTAGGTTTGGCTGAAACAACACAGGAGAACAGCATACCCTCCGAAAAAGGCCGTCTTTCGTAGGTATCTATTCATCGGCATCGTCATGCTGGGCGCAGGAGGGTAGAAAAAACTGATGTTTCCTAGTCCTCCTGCAGCACCCTCTGCAAACTCGAGCACCACTAAAGGCTGTCTCTCCAGATGCCGCGTGTCTCCGTGTCGGGTTGAACGGCGTCCCATGTTGTATATGGCCAGAACGTTGTCGCTTCTGGGAGGAGAACGTGGATGGGGTACGACACGTATGAACATGCGGTCGTAGATATCATCATAATCAGAGCCAGTTACACGGCCTGTCCGATCCTCGAACATGTAGGGCATCTGAAGAGGTCTTGGCATGATGCCCGTGGAGGTCCTAAATGATACAGTAGTCGGGGCGCAAATGCGAAGCTAAAATATTGACCTGACAGAGACTTCTTATATACAGTACCGCGCGTTTCATGACCTGTGCGGTTGCTTCCTCGGGTTAATAAGGTCCAAAAAGGGAGCCAAGTTAGACTCCGGATAGGCTGCATCGTAAGTTGGCGCACATGGGGTATTCTGGTCTTCGCGGGGTTGCAAATTGCCCTGACAAAGTAGCACTGGATCATCTGCAGAGCGGAAAAGGGCACCTGCCTTAGAGTGCTGGTCGCGTCATTGTCTCGGAAAGAAAATCCCCAGTTTGCGAAGCACGAGTCCCGTTCTTAGCGGATAACAACTGGCCATTGAAGAAAAGAATTTGAACGTGGGGGTACCGAGCCGAACAATGAATCAATGGGGTCTAAACCTTTACCGTGTACAAAGTTGAGTCTGACGCCAATCCTTACGTGATTACCCTCGATGGTAACGCAATAAATGGAAGACTGCGAAGTCAATTGTCGCATCCGACCAATGGGTGCCCACCTGTACTCTTGCGCCATTACCAACGTGCGAAAATTTGTCCACTCCAACAACATGTGGTGATAGGACATGTCACGAGCTCATGCTGACACGACTTGTACCTGACAAAAAAGCGCAGGAACCAGGACCAGGAAACCAGCGCAGTGGCACATGTGGCTGCGCTTATGAGAACACCGGATCCGGGCGCCAGACTACCCAAGTCCTTGCATTTACAACAATGGTGACCGGGTCTTAAGCCCCATGTCCATCAGAAGCACTGCGCTCAACGGACGCAGTTGCATGGGAAAGATGCCAAGAAAGGTGAATAGCTTAAATGCTTCACGTACCGGAAGGTTGGGCACGAGGATGGAGAGTCAGTGAAGTCGTGAGAAGCACACAAGCACATACAAGGCTTGCCTCTAAAAATATGATCAGATGTTTCAGTCTGACAACCGTAAACATAGCTTAATGACAGTATCTTTTTCCTAAAAAGAGGGAAGGTGTTTAACATGTGGAATGCAGGTCATTCTTGGCGCGTTATGGCATTGTGAGAAGTACGCCCTAGGGTATGAAGCGCAGAAGGGACCAGAAGAACTCCAAGTAAGAAGGCGATGCGCGAGTGTGGAAAAGGAGTCTAGGGCATCAATGGTTCCCTCGGGGTTCCCCACTGATTTCCCCACTGAATTGCCCCATGAAATAGAATCACGTGATTATAGTTGGTCGAGACTCACAAAGTATTTTTTTCGACGCAGGGAATCACTGGCTTCGTTAAGGTACATCCTCTTGGTCAGTTGAGACAAAATGATAGCACCCAGAAAAAGGATTCTCAGACGAGAGGCAGTTTAGGCAATCTGAGCACGCGGGACCATGAACAAGATGAACGGGATAATATAAAAGCGTACGGGAGAAGCTGTTGACAGGGGACGACGTTCACCACATCTTTCCCCCGTCAAAGCCTCCATCCGCGCCAATATTGGTTGCAGAAGTCTTCGCATCTAAGAACAACTCATTCATCTCCCCAATATCCTCCACTTCTATCTGACTTCTCCCCGAAAGACCAGCGAGAATTGAAGCTGGAGTAAGAAGTTGCAGAGCATATCTGTAAACGCAGTCATGAGAGGTGCACTGTCAATTGGGGTGTCTCATACCGCATTGATCCTCGTTCACCCTCCTCTGCTATTCGCTCCAAGACCCCAGAACCCAATTTAAGACCTTCTACGTTCGCACGCAACTGTACCACCTTGCCGATCTGCTCGCGATTATATCCGTCGGTCTTCACAATAAGGCACCTTGACAAGCCAAATCAGTCAAAAATCTGCAATGACGTTTGCAGACTAACCGATCCAACAAATCTACAGGAACACCGTGAGGTGAGACGATGTCGGTCGTCCCTCGTACTAGCGCATTTCCACGATTGGTGGCAAGTATTACAGTAGGTGCCATAGGCGATTCGAGGAGGGCATTGAGATAGGTGAAGCACTCGATATCCAGCATATGCACCTAGGGAGAATGTTTAGCCTCATTCCTACAGAACCGTGAGAAGACAGATACCTCATCAATGAAAACTACGCCCGGAACAACCTCGGCAACGCCCTGGTCTACGTAGCCTTTGACCACCTTGTTGACTTCTCTTCGAAGCTTGTCTGTCACCTCCGTCCTTCCGCTCTTCACAAGACTACCCATGACGCTCATGATGTCTTGACCACCTTGCGGACGCGCATTAGCGGCATCGAGATCACCGAGAGTAACGTCTTGGACAAGCTCTTTGCGCTTGTGAACGTCGCCTTTCGGTAATGGCACGTATGTTTCCGATTCGAGATCGTAGGAGGAGGCATATGCATCGGATCGTCCAACTCTCTGCATAAAAAGAAATCAACTTGTGCATGTTTGATTAAACAATTCTGTCACACCTTGACTGCACCAGTGTTGGCTTCTACATAGATAACATCACCAACAACAATTTTTTCCTTCAGGATTGCTTCATAGATGGTGGGATCCAGTCGTAGCTGCTTGGTACCTTTGACGGTTTTAAGACCAACGATAACATGCGAGACTGTCTTTCCGTATCCGCTCAATGGGTTCTCAGATTCTGCGGGCGTAAGTTCGGTAACCTCTCCTTCGTAAACCTCCTTGGTTTCTTTTATCCGCAGACCTGTCGGAAAAGAATGTATTGAGTCCGAATTCGTAGATCCGAGCCAGGACCTATGCAATGCCATCTGCAGCACAACATAAAATACGTATTCACGAGAAACTCAACAAAGAACTCCAAACATCTAAGGTACTCACCGATTGCCCTCCTGAACGATTCTGCGAGTACCTCCGTCTTCTTCACCTCTGTGCTGTACACCTCAGAACCAACCATCGGGCAAAATGGCACCTTTGTACCAAGTTCGTGCGATACTGCTAGAGCAAGGGCTGTTTTTCCCGTTCCCGGCGCGCCCACGAGAAGTAGCGCGCGCCCCGAAAATTTGCGAGATTTTACGAGATCCACTACCACACCACATGCCTACGAGCTTGGTCAGTCCCAGGAGAAAGAGTTAACAGTGTTATAATGACCTCTCGAGCATTAGTCTGGCCTATGAATCCTGCACCATCGGGTGCTCCAAGGCCATCTGATGTGAGCCCTAATCCTTTTATGTGCGAGTGAGGAGCGATTCTAGAAGAACGAGCATTGGATGTTGCAGATGGTGGGGGTAAGGCGTTGTGAGCGACAGGTGCTGATGTAGATGGTGTTGCGCTTGTTGCTTTCATGATGGCTTTTCTTGGAACGCGTTGAAACGCGACAATCGTGACTGTCACTATATTATGTCAGCAGGAGGTTGTTTATTTCTAAAGCTGCTACCAAACAAACTCCAATTCCAAATATGTACATCAATCATCCTCGAGAAATTAATTAGAATTAGTCCGATGACTGCATCTTCTGCATTGCTATTTCATCATTTTTGGAACGTTTTACTTAGACGGTCGACCAGTCAATAATTAACTTCATAACACGGCAGTACGATTGACTGGGAGATACTTATTCTGCAAGCCATGTACCCAATGTCACAACTGCTAAGTCGTCTGAAAATTATGTTCAGATATTACCAGTCCGCAAAGCCAACGAGCCTCCCGTCCCATGTCCACCAAATCATCTCGTCCTCTTCTGGAATTTCTTCGCTCGATATTATCTCTGAATCTTCGGTTAGTCTCTGTCGGCTGCGAATCCATACACCTTCCACGTTTCCGCCTTTCTTTCTCTTCTTAACATCATCTCTCGTTGGACGTTCTCCAGATTCCTCAAGAAACTGGTCTAGCAGTGCGTCAAAAGTACCACTGAGTGTTTGCTTAGGTACCCACGCCGGGTGCATAAATTTTCGCGGAGCACGAAGCACTATGTGCGTCTGAGTTGGAGCTATTCCCGGAACATCGTTAGGGTATAGATAGAGTGTTAAAATTGTTACTGCTGACCCATTTCGCTGGCCATGCCCTGCCCATCATTTTCTCCGCATGCGCTTGCAAGTGTGCGAGAGAGCAGGCGTTCGGCGGTGCGGAGGGCTTCGAGTTCTTGAGCATAAGTTGGAGGCAGTAGGTGTGATGGTAGAGGCGGAGAAGAAGAGGGAGAAGGTGTTCTAGATGGTGGTGGGGAGGGTGCTTGAGAAGATTTTTCAGATTCCGTCTCCGAAGCTTCTTCATCGCACAAACTATCACTGCTATCACTGTCACCGCATTCGCTTGAGTCGGTGTCGCCATCACAGTCGGAGTCTGAGTGAGACTCGTCCTCCCTATCACTTTTCTCGTCGTCATCCTCTGCTTCCTCTCCCTGACGTCCAGATGGGGCATCCAAGCGATCATCTCGTTCTCCCCAGACTTTCGCTTCCAGAGCATCCACACCAACCATTACCCTGCATTTTGCAGATCCAGGTGTGGGACCAAGAACAACTGCGAGGTAGGCACGACCGGAACTTCTAGGATCTTTTGTCCCGCTGTGGTAGGCAAACGCCGTAGAGAGGGCTGTAAATGTTGTATTGAGGTGTGACGCGAGGGTATCAAATGAATTGAGGAGCTCCTGACGCTTCTTCGCAGCTCTAGACGTGGTCTTCGTTGCGTCAGTGTTAAAGCCAGATAAAATAGCAAAGCACCTACATCGCCACCAGGCATCCGTGCCATCTGTATGACAGGACTATACAAAAATCAGCAGGCGATTTGATTGTCAGCGCCTGAGCTTACAAAGGAACCTGACTCTTCAAAAATAGAACATGGCCGACCAAGCTAATGCACAATCTGGCGGCCATAGAATCCGTCACAAGGTCGGCATCGAGTGTGATGGATGGAATCTTAGTAGTAGGAGGAGCAAGCATTGAGGCAGGCTGTCTATCTGTATAGTTATCTTGTACTTCTTTGTGAGGCACGTCCCTTTCTAGCTTGCAGTCAGAGAGTGCGAGGATGCGCATGATTGGAGATCTGCAGCTGGTGGACGAGGTGACACAGCACATGTGACGTCACGCGATCCACGCGATTTTGTCACGTGCTGGAAAATATTTTCAGCCCCAACCTCAGTGGTATTATCACGCACCACTGTCAGAAGCCCTGATGGCTCAGTTGGTTAGAGCGCAGGTCTCATACTATTTGTGTGACCGGTATGGTTACCGGGTAATCCTGAGGTCGCAAGTTCGAACCTTGCTCAGGGCAATCCGTTTTCTCTTGCTGTATCTTTTTGGTTCACATTGCTCCCTCGAGTTAATGCTCGTTTTCTCAACACACCGTTTGCAAACTTGTGCAATCTAAGTATGTCATTTTCGTTGATTCATGTGTACCGGTCATTCGCAAGTAATCACACATTTCCGCTCCGTCGAACACGACCAGACCAGAACACAGAACACCGATCACCAACCTCCTCCCTCATTTGATGTTGGAACTGGACGCTTGACGGACATTTTCTTGCGTGGACGGCTCATTAAGAAAGTCAGCACTAGTCTGTAATTACTCGTATGTGTTTTCAATCTTGTAGTCTAGTTTGAATGCATTTAGTGCGCAGGGGACTCTTTCATCCTGACGATATCAAAGTCCTCGGAATCCTTTCCAGTTTTCCAGGATCACTATGTCTGCAGCTCTTCCTAGTCTGTCGTGGAAAGCACCCCACCTGCATGGGTCCACTACCCATAAGTTCGATATGATCACATTCTCATCTTCCTTTGTTGGATCTGGTTCAGGTGCTTCCGGCTATTTAGGTCGCGGACTCGGAGAGGCGAAACGCGCGACTAGCCATGCTGAGCTTGGCAAGTATGCTGAGGACGAGGACGATATAAGTATCTGGAAAGCCTTGAGGAACTAGTAAGTAATCTTAGATCAATGTATGAATGATTTCGAACTCTAGCTTGGCAGCTCTCGAATAGCCTATGCAAACTGCAACTTGAGAATGGCCTATGCTTTGTTTCGGACATCTTGTGGCGATTTATTTCAATGCAGCTCGGAGACGATTCGGTCGAAGACCTTAGACGATCCTTCGGCAGAGGCAAGCTTTTATGTTGTCGTCCATAATACTGGCTGACTAGGTTCCTCAGATCAACGAGGGTCTTGCTGAAGATGACCTTGAAACTAACCTCCAACAAGAATGTCCGGTTTTGCAACATGGTGAACCAACTCAACTTGCTAAGTCAGCGACTTGATTTACATCCATGAACTTGACAGTGTTGGCTAGTTGGTCATGAGCGATTTTGCGTTTGTAGAAAGCTTCTGCCTTATCAGTGGGATTCCGGTCACGATGGGTATGTGTCGTAGCCCCAAAGACGTTGATAACAAAGGATTTATCGAATACACTGCAAGTTGTACTCCAAACAGATACCCTTCTGAATGTCGCGTGGAGGCGTCCAACTTCATCAGGCTGCTCTGTTGCGCATCTGTGTTGACGTTGCAGGTCTTCATGTCGTGCGTGCTTGCCTGACTTCTGCATCAACCAACCGGCGGGTGAATATACCCATGCCCATGCCCATCCCGGTCGATCCGTGTCAGCGGTGAGCTCTGCTGAACAAGGAAAAGTGGCTATCACCCCCTTCGCTCATGGACATCGATTCAGAGCCTAGTGTGCTTGCTGTCGTGCAGCCGCAGCGCCTCCGAGTCTTTGATTGGTCCAAAAACCTGGGGGATTCAGCTTTGCAGGATTTTGTCACCACGGCGGTTCTCTGTAACCTTAGTCGCGTCCGAGTGTTTGATATAACACTGCGGCCGCGACATCCTTATCCTACTAGTCACGGTACCGAGTCCATACCGCATAGTCATAGATTCAGGGATGACTTTTGTTGTGAGCACTACTTAAGTTTGAACTCTATCGACGCGGCTGAATTTCGGTTACCAAATAATTAGTACATAAGTCGGATCACAACTTGGAGCACTGAACGTTGAACATCACCATGATGTGGCCCCCGCTATCGAGTTATTTAACTATAATTCCAACCGGGGAATACTCGCTTCAGTATCGTCACACTAGCAACCAGCTCGGTCGGAAGCTATTCGTTTCGCATCTAGTATATCTATGTTGGACCGGAAAACGTTCTACATCAAAAGTCACCGAAACTGGCTAGATGGATGATCTCATAAGTTTTCGAGGTCTTCAAGACTGGTCAGATAGATGACCAGGGTTTTCAGGATCTTACCGATTACCCCTCATGCTCTCCTCCATTTTTTCGCACCCAATACTCGCAAGCTCGATTTCTTCTATTTTAACTGTTTTGTTGGCGTAAATGTTCGTAAGCGACTCTGTAATGAGTACATATCAATGTAGTATCGCAGTTTTTCTCAAGCAAGTCTATTGGATTTCAACAAGAAAAAGAACTAGATCATCGGTGTAGTAAAAAGACGAAAATACTGGGTGACAATGTTGAACCGGTGGTGAAGGCTGGAGGGTGGCAGGTGGCAGGGAGGGAAAACTTGAATGCGGAGAGTGATCAACACAGGCTGCAAGCTTGGCGTCCTCATCAGCATGAGCAAGCACGAGTTAGGTTGGAATTAGCAACTGAGGACAACGAGGACATAATGAAACCATACCTTCATTGGTCCACTGCCCTCCTTGATGCCGCGCTGTAGTAGTAGCATGGATCTGCCAAAAGACTAAAAGGACAACTAAATCATATATGCTAACGAATAGTGGAAGAAACACGCACAAGGAGTAGCTGCAGCCTGCCAGATGTCTCGCCCCCTTTGTGATGTTACTGATCTTTGCCGCAGTGTATTTCGTCCTCGTTGACGTCGGTGTGTATTCGGTAGCAGGCCGGTAATCCATGTATGTATTTCACCAAGACAATGGCGTCACCCAAACGTATGCCGGCGGGATGTCTTCGTGACACACATTTGCCTTTTCGAGCTGCGTCACCCGTCACGGCGTCACCCCAGTGACGCACCGAAATTCAAACTGGATCATCATCATCGTCGACTCCGCATTATTGCCTACGGGAAGCCAGCTGCTAGTTGCATCCATTGTTGCGATGCTCTACTAGTATATATTGCTCTGAATAACATTTTCATTTGTTCATCTGTTCTCTGATAACTTGTGTTCCATTTCCGCCTTTCACTCATCGAGACTAGTTGATGGAATCTAACGAGATTCTACGTTCCTCCGTGCTAGCCTTAGAAGGTGGAGCTTCATCCATATCGTGAGTCCTCATCCTGTTACCGGTCCTGGCGTGCCACTGGTGGGGCGTTTTGAGACTTCAAACTGAGTACTGAATGATGACAGATATTCAAGACATTTTATGCACCAGTGGAATATTATACATTTAATACAAAATTATGGTATAATCCGATCGAAAGTCCAATGTCCTTCAGGTACCGTGCTTTAACACGCCCAACAACCCTACTGTTGACTTGACGTTGTCTCGTTGCAGTAATAATAGTCCTGTTGCAGAATGAGTTTGATCGAGCCGTTGAGTTGAGTGGTGACACTTACCACCTCGTATACGGTGTAGCAACAAGCCGGTAAGTAGTTACTTGGACAGCAACTCCCTGAGTAGTCTTGGCACTGCTCATCATTAACACTTCCCGGTTGGGATGAATCCTTTTGCAGCACAGGTAAGCACAGGTATATTTCTCCGTTTATGAATCTCTCTCACCTCCATGCAGCAAGCAAGCGAGCCGCTACCACAGCTATATGAACTGGCTGAGGTTCTGACAACAGCAGCAATAACAGAGGCTATAACGTAGTCTTGGAAAAGGAGAAGGGCGATGACAGAAATCGTGAAGATTCGAACGAACATGTTATGTGTATCGAGGCCTAAGCGAGTGCTGTTCCACGAGCAGATACGACCTTTTAAATATGTCGGCGGCCTTCACCGCGGAATTTACACAGAACTCGGCATTACTAGGGTTAGTAAAGTGACTTGAACGCTGAACGAACTTTGAATGACATCACAGCCGATGTCACTAGGCCCAAGGAGTCGATTCATCGAGGCAGCCGTTATTGATGCTTCTGCCGTTTAGCACTGACTTAATCGAAGTCTAGATGCAAACTTTTGTTAATGGCACCGCTGTTTGGTCCGAGGTTCGATACATTATGCAGGAAGGTTTGCGGTTTTGTCGCATCGTTGCCTTGTTTATACAGGCACTGGTTTGGACCCCTCGCAATAAGCCGGATATCCGAGCCTGGCACCTGCCACAGGGAAGGGGGTGCCTCCTTATGTTTCAACATCAACGTACAACGAACAACTGGTATTCAATGCGAAATGACTCTCAACAAAATCTTATTATCCGATCCTGTTGTTTGTACATCTCGTTGGACAGCAATTATTCAAAGATCCGGATGGAGCCGCGCATGCCGAGTTGTAGGTGCCTTTACCTTCAAGATTTGGAAGCTCAGATGCCGATAAAAATAAGGTGCGTGCATTACCTCACTTACAATAGAAGCCAAGACCTCCAACAGCGTTCGGTGAGGTATTTTCTGCTCCTAAATGTTTCACAAGAATGAGGTATGTGTGTTACCTCACTTACGACAGAGGTCAAAACTTCAGACAGCGCTTCGAGTCGGTGAGGTATTTTCTACTCGCTGCGTGTACAAACTCACAAGGTCAAGCATCTTGTCATCGCGCATCTTCTACTACCCACCACACCCGACTCTCCACCTACCACACCTAACCTCCAGGTGCAACTGCAACTATGACCTCATAAAGCCTGGCGCCACCCAGCCATCAGAAAAATGTCAGAGTGCTTATTTAGTTTCATTCTACTTAGTAAACGGTAGATGATCGATGATCCGAGGGACACAAGTAAACTTAGTAGTCGCTCTATCGGAAGACAATACAAGATAAGGAGACACAAGCATAAGACAAGAGGTGTGCAAAACGAGAAACTCTGAATGATTAGCCTAACACTGCATAAGCTGGTTGAACTCTACTACCACTCGAAGGTACCCTTTTTGAAGTTCCTCGATAGTGGCGTCGGAAATTAATGAAACCATTCGCCGAGTACTAAGAAGAGGTGGTTTTAGTGCCGTAGAGTACTAATCTAGACAATTGAATCAATGAAAGGCGCGTGTTGAAAGCGCTGCTCACTACTAAATTGGATGTCACATGTGACCGAAGTAAATTCGTTTGTCGTCTCAATGTCCCTCATACACAAGTTGTATTCACCAACTCTATCACAGATCTTTCATCATGTAGAAGTTCCACGATCAAATACAGGGATCTTGAATGTTATGCCGCGCAGTACAAATAACATTAGCTATAACAAAGAAAGTATTATACACATGCTACCCAACCTCGAGCAAACTGCATGCCGAGAGCGAGAGAGATGGTCACGTTCCAAGATATACGACCGGATTGAGATATGGGTGCCGCGCATGGAAGTAGGCAGAGCAGACACGTGAATGAAGCGCTGATAAAAAACATAGCGGCTGTGGGCTTGTACAATGGGCGCAGGTCGGATTTGGAAGGTGGCAAGGTGGAGGTTTTGGAGGATATAGTAAACACAATGAGGTGCTTGAAGGGCGTAGACTCTAGAGGGCTACGGAAGGGCCAAAATGCTATGGTATGATACAGGGAAGGCGTGTGCAGCGGATACCAGGTGAAGGAACGAAGCTGATGATGAAAAGGTGGTGTGGTGTGGTGATGAGGGCGGGGATCGCAGCAACAAATAACGACCTTCAGCCGCGGCTGTGCGCGAAGGATAGAAGATATCGTCAGGACACTGGCTTCATTTCTCCATATATGTTTTGCTTGTGCTCGAAGTAACATGACTCATGAGTAGAGATGCAGTTAAGGCCGCTTTCCTTTTTTTTTGTTTCTAAAAAAAAGAAAAAAAAGAACGCATCTGTGTCAACGGAAACGTCGATGTTGAATAACTCAGTGACAGCGTGTCGGCGGGCTAATGTAGAATGAGTTTGGCGAAGGAAGGCGGGCTTTGGCGGAGGGAAGGCGGGCTTTGGCAAAGGGAAGGGGGTGGTGGAGGGAGGGCGGGCTTTAGCAGAGAAGGACGACAGTGATCATATGAAGGTGTAGACGCCAAAAGCTCACATTCAATCACCAGAGGATGGGTAGCGAAAGTGACAGACAAGCGGAGCCTGGTGCGGTGGAGGGCGCATACACCGGTGAAACTTGACCTGGAAGTTACCGCGGATAGCAGGTATTCCGGACAAGCAAAGGAATGCCGACTTTCGTGTAGATGAATCGTTGTTGCCGTTCACGTTGGTGTTGGTGAGCGCCACAAAGTTGTCCTGTTCGTGGTCAAGAGGTTGTTGCCGCTGCTACTCAGGTAACTCATTGCTGACGAGGTTTTCGAGGTCTTGTTATTACGTTAGCCATATACTAGGCTCGGGCTCATGCGTGGGACACTGCCACAGCATATGACTTTCCGTACACCAAGGTTTGAAACGTCGAGGTGCGAGGCCAGGTTTGGTGACGCAGCGTTAGCAGTGCAGCGTGCCCCGAGTTGGATACCAAGTGAACTCTAACTTTTAGAATCGAGCAGCCCTGTTGAACGTCGAACCTCGTTTGATTGGACTGTGACATCCGATAGTAAATATCAGTGGCGTCGTCAAATATCTGTCAATGTTATATGTACCACAGCTTTGAGTCTCAGACTAGCTCAAACTTGAAACTTCACTTCATAGTAGCTTATCACTTATCAGTGAGGTTGACAGATATGGACTGGGTTCAGCAGAAGACGATGTGAATATATGGGCATCAAAGGAAATGCGAGCAGGAAGGTGGCATGGCAGTGTTTGAGTCATTCTTGTAGCAGATTTCTACAACATCATGATACCTAAGTACACTTGGCAACTGATCCCCTGTCACAGGCGTGTTACGGACTTACGGTTGATGGAGAGGCGCAGTTACTAGTAAGGATCAGGTTAGCTTAGCGCTAATCATTCTAATCATTTCCAAGTTTCCACGGAAAGGCTTCCCTGAGGTCGGGGAAAAGTGGTATTTCTGTCTGGCACCTCGCGGGCATCGTTGCAACATCACCGATGCATCCAGACAGTCCTTGGAAGAATTATATCATCTGGCCCGAACCTCGCCTGTTCTCAAGCGTCCTGTCAGAAAAAGCACACCTACGAGTCCGTCGTGACCATCGAAGAAAGAAGATAATAAAATCAATAGGTCAAAGCACTCTTTGCTATAGTGTGTTCAGGAAACGCTGGTGATATCAAGGGTAGAGGCAGCTCATAAAAGCACCAGCAGTTGTGGTTGCGGTTGCAGCGCAGGTAAATGCATATATGAGGTATAGTTGAATAAGGAGGTTTAAAACAGGTTAGTCGTGTCCGCCGCGAAGGGCTTAGGGGACACACCTACAAAGTTGACATTGATCCGAATCCAAAGATAGCAGTACTGATGATGGATGGATCTTGGCTTGTGCAGATAAGCCATACCAATCAACCCAGGTCAGATTTGGAGCAAAGGTAGTGAAAATTTTTATCTCACAATAGTCCCACTGGGACGAACAACGAGCCAAATATCAGTTTACCCTTGCAGCAAACCAGATATAGAGAAGCGCGCGGTCACGTGGAAATCAGCCTTGACTTGGAGTGGGGTACCCCTCTAACGGGGGGTGCAGGCTGGTATTTGCCACCATTTGCGTAGCTTAGTCAGTAGGGGTAGAGAGAGCCTTCAGAAGCTTCAAGCTTCGGGCGTTGTCATAGCAGCAATCATCAGGTTGAGACACACCAGCTTCCATCTGCCAGAGGCACATTCCCAGGTATGGACTGACGAATAGCAATAAGAGTCTCGTCGGATTAATGAATTTGACTCACCCACTCGTTGGAGCAATGTACAGCGGGCGAGGGTAAAGCTTGATGCATGATGCATGCTGGCATCATCTGAATTTCTGATGAACTTCAAATTTGACTCAGTTGTCGCAATCCACGTGTTGAATGACAAAATAGGATCGTGAGCTGCACGATAAATTTGAATATCCTGACGGATAACATAAGCCAACGACACTGGTAATACATGATTTCACCCCAGGGACCACATCCGCACAGCTCTTAAGATTGCATTTTTATCAACTGCAATACCCTTTCCTTCGTGTGGCGAGGGGTGAATATGCACGGGAATATAGGGTACCTGCATCGGCTGCCTCAGATAAAATACAGGGATCCCCGAGGATGACTCACGTCGTTAAACCTCCCGTCCATTTCACTCCTTCAGCATCAGGCCCGATATTCCATCCTGGCGCACGTTCCACCCGGAAAACAGCTAGAATATTCACAATTGCGGCGAATAAAGAAGCATCGGCGACATGTCGTCCAGCACTGTTGAAAGGTGAGGCAAACCCGTCTATTCGTGAAACTCCAAACTTCGTACCAAACACGCCTTCCAAATCCGAAAACAAAGGAAATATCAGCAGGGTTGACTTTGGACATGTGACGCTCGGGTATGAACCTCGACGGGTTAGGATATTTATCTGGATTGCGCGACATAAACCTTGCATAAGAAGAAATGATTATGTTTGATCTTTGTTCACTTGATATGATGAATCACCCTGCGTTGGCTATTATAGTAGCCCCTTAAGAAACAGTTTTAGAAGACGGATAGGGCTCTCAGTCCACAGACTGACCTTTTGGAATATAGTAGCCTTCGTAGATGTCCTCATTTACCGCGGCATGTGCAACGCCTAAATACACAGTCAGTGACAGTGCTAACCGGAGTTTGACGAGTCAAGAGTGCTGACCCAGAGGGGCGACAGGGAACCACCTTAACGTCTCCAGTATGACAGCATTGATGTAGGGTAGAGAAGCGCGATCATCCCAGTCGGGCAATCTTTCGAGAGTTTCCCCAATGATGGAATCAATCTCTGCTTGCGCACGTGCTTGCACCTCGGGATATAGAACCATCGCGAGCAGGAAGATGCATAAAGTGGACGTCGTCTGGGCCTTTGGTCAGCATATAAATAAAATAGGAATCGCGTAAAAGTATACAGATCCTGAGGCAGCTATGAGCACGGAGAAATGAGTAGAGATTTGTCAAAAATATAATAACCATTGCAGATTTTTGACGAACCAGCATAACCAGTTGCACTGGCTTCCTTAATCCCTTCCTCAAGAACAGCGGCCTCCCCTTCATCTTCTGTTTTAACTAGCATACGGTTCAATGCATTCGACACCACGGATGGTGCAGCCGTCCCCGCAGGCCTGAGGATCATGAGCCTCATTTAAATAATACTCGGATCAAAAGGCACTTGGAACTTGCCATGTTGTTCTTCACATGTTCAAAGGGCATGTCCACAATCGTGGAAGCGAGTGTTCTCTGGACTATAGCATCCCTTACGAAGCTCGCTCCAGGGAGCCAAGCAGGAAGTTTTTTCACTGTGAGTGGATTAGAATAGAACTACAGCTGATCGAAGTTATACGTACATATGGGGAACTCTGTTAAGAAAGCTGCGACCTCGGGCCTGAACACTTTTATATCTATCTCAAGTGAGCGTTGAATGAGCTTAAGGAAGGTATCATCAATGGGCGCTATGGCATAATCATACATGATCGACATGATGATAGACGTGCTGAAGCTGCGTAGAAAGTATGGTTCAGCCACGCAACACATGAAAGGAGAGATTACTAACGTGTAAAAATGGGTTCCATACACCTCCGAAGAGGCTAGTAGGTTTATTATCAAACGGTGAGCATGGCGCATTTGAATCGGACGGAAGGATGTCACTGCTTTTAATGGAATGCTTGATGGAAGATTCGCCTGTCTGTAAAGACATGACATGTGCGATAAGAGAGCTCGAAGGGATGATATACTAACGAAGTCTCCACTTGTCTGAGTAGGGTAGAAAGGTAGAGGAGTAGTCATGACTAAAACTAGGACTCGTTTAACAATGGGTACATCAAATGATAGAAGGGCCTCACAAGTCAAGAACATCCTTAAGTTCTGGGGGTCTCGTGGAATAGTTATGTGAACGACGGTCGAGCAAGTCACGCGCAATTCTTTCGGAGTTGATGATCACGACATCCTGACTAAAGAGTCGGGAGTAAACGATTTCCCCTGTGTCGACAATTTAGCACATCCAGATCCACATGTGGGTGGTTCTACGCACCATACTCGGTTCCCCATTTTGAGTATGTTAACCATGGACGATCTGTGTCGATTCCGATCGCATTTCCAACAAAAGGGAGAGGTGGAGGACCAGGGGGTAAAGGATGCCCCTTAGTGTTCCTCTTCTTTTGCAAGAATTGCACTACCACGCAAGATACAAGCGATGCGATGGCGAGTGCAAGTACTAGTGTTGGGGCCATCAGTTGAACCGAACAAGTCCCCCGTATGCGTAGCGGAAGTAACTGGACGAAACTGTGGATTTCTTGAGTATTATATGGATCTCGGAGTACGTGAGGGTTGGTAGGACCCGGGTGTGGCGTAAAGTAATACGAAAGCAACCTTTATATACGGGGAAAGTTTGTGTTTGTGTTTTCATCAAACTTCTTCTGTGTTTCGGTGCGTCCTTGCGGTGTGCCTATGTCTTCATCAGACCTCTTGTGTGCTGCGATGTGTTCTCGTAGTACGTCTACGTCTTCGTCTGGCTTCTTCTGCGTTGTGAGGTATCTGCCTTGCTGAAGTCTGTTTGCATCTTGATCAGGTTCCTTCTATGTTGTGGTATACTCTTGTCACGGTAGTACACTTGTTCCTTCGAGTTCTTGTCCCGTGACCCATACATCAACTTCCGGGTCGTATCCGCGGGGTGTTGGTAGTGTTGTGGGCAGAACTGGTTGTGCCAGCAGATGGCAGAACTCCGTGAAAAATTGCTGGAAGAACTTGGCAGAACTCAGGGGTGAGAGAATGCCCACAACTCTAGGTGTTGGCGGCCGCGTCCGCGTATTCTTTGATTGAGAATCTTCTGTATCTCCCACTCTTCCGTTCCGGTCGTTGAAGTTCCCATAAAGGAAAGAGCTCCGCATTGTTCGACACGGGCTATGAAACATGGAAGGTGGGGTAGACGTTAGTATGTTCAGAGTGTAAGTCAGGCTATAATGTCATAAAAGATGCTAACTAGCAGATCATTGTGATGCATTAACATTGCTAGGGCGCAGTCATGCATTAGCCTTATCCCAGTGGGGAAGGTGATACCATCACTTGTGTGAAGTTGTGCATCACTGTGCATTGCCAATTTGCTTCTCCGCTGGCATTGTACCACACGCGCATTGTTCTCGCTGCTTCTTTAATAAGTCGCCTAAGGCCACATGCGGGGCAAATGGGGTTCGGGATAAAACCAATTGACGAATTCAGCCAGTGAACCCGCCAGCCTTGTTCTGTGAAGAAGGAAGTGATGCTGATGCTGCCATGATGTGGTCTAGACTCTACGAACAACTGTGCGCTTGTGCTATCCTCTGGACCCCGGACACCCCAGACCCCTGACTCTTGTCCCCTTGCCTGGTCTGCCTCTTGCGCTACACTCGTTCTGTCCTAACCCCCGAATGGCCCTTACCCCAAGCTCCCCACTACATTTGTCCCTCCTCCAAATGCATCCCTCCGGGGTCTCGTGAATACGTATTTTATGTTGTGCTGCAGATGGCATTGCCTATGTCCTGCCTCGGATCTACGAATTCGGACTCAATACATTCTTTTCCGACAGGTCTGCGGATAAAAGAAACCAAGGACGTTTACGAAGGAGAGGTTACCGAACTTACGCCCGCAGAATCTGAGAACTCATTGAGCGGATATGGAAAGACAGTCTCGCATGTTATTGTTGGTCTTAAAACCGTCAAAGGTACCAAGCAGCTACGACTGGATCCCACCATCTATGAAGCAATCCTGAAGGAAAAAATTGTCGTTGGTGATGTTATCTATGTAGAAGCCAACATCAGTGCAGTCAAGGTGTGACAGTATTGTTTAATCAAGCATGCACAAGTTGATTTCTTTTTATGCAGAGAGTTGGACGATCCGATGCATATGCCTCCTACGATCTCGAATCTGAAACATACGTGCCATTACCGAAAGGCGACGTCCATAAGCGGAAGGACGGAGGTGACAGACAAACTTCGAAGAGAAGTCAACAAGGTGGTCAAAGGCTACGTAGACCAGGGCGTTGCCGAGGTTGTTCCGGGCGTAGTTTTCATTGATGAGGTATCTGTCTTCTCACGGTTCTGTAGGAATGAGGCTAAACATTCTCCCTAGGTGCATATGCTGGATATCGAGTGCTTCACCTATCTCAATGCCCTCCTCGAATCGCCTGTAGCACCTACTGTAATACTTGCCACCAATCGTGGAAATGCGCTAGTACGAGGGACGACCGACATCGTCTCACCTCATGGTGTCCCTGTAGATTTGTTGGATCGGTTAGTCTGCAAACCTCATAGCAGATTTTCGACTGATTTGGCTTGTCAAGGTGCCTTATTGTGAAGACTTACGGGTATAATCGCGAGCAGATCGGCAAGGTGGTACAGTTGCGTGCGAACGTAGAAGGTCTTAAATTGGGTTCTGGGGTCTTGGAGCGAATAGCAGAGGAGGGTGAACGAGGATCAATGCGGTATGAGACACCTCAATTGACAGTACACCTCTCATGACTGCGTTTACAGATATGCTCTGCAACTTCTTACTCCAGCTTCAATTCTCGCTGGTCTTTCCGGGAGAAGTCCGATAGAAGTGGAGGATATTGGGGAGATGAATGAGTTGTTCTTAGATGCGAAGACTTCTGCAACCGATATTGGCGCGGATGGAGGCTTTGACGGGGGAAAGATGTGGTGAATGTCGTCCCCTGTCAACAGCTTCTCCCGTACGCTTTTATTTCATCGTGTTCATGGTCTCGCGTGCTCAGATTGCCTAAACTGCCTCTCGTATGAGAATGCCTTTTCTGGGTGCTATCATTTTGTCTCAACTGACCAAGAGTATGTACCTTAACGAAGTCAGTGATTCCCTGCGTCGAAAAATATAATACCGTTGATGCAGAGGCGCAGTAGTAAGGATCAGGTTAGCGCTAACCATTCCAATATTTTCCAAGTTTCCACGGAAAGGCTTCCCTGACGTTGGGGACAAGTGGTTTTTCTGTCTGGCGCCTTGCGGGCTTCGTTACAACATCAACGATACATCCATACAGTCCTTGGAATAATTATATCATCTGGCCCGAACCTCGCCTGTTCTCAAACGTCCTGTCAGAAAAAGCACACCTACTACGAGTCCGTCGTGACCATCGAAGAAAGAAAATAATAAAATCAATGGGTCAAAGCACTCTTTGCTATAGTGTGTTCAGGAAACGCTGGTGATATCAAGAAGCACCAGCAGTTGCGGTTGCGGTGGCAGCGCAGGATGCATATATGAGGTATAGTTGAACGAGGAGGCTTAAAACAGGTTAGTCGTGTACGCCGCGAAGGGGACACACCCACAAAGTTGACATTGATCCAAAGATAGCAGTACTGATGATGGATGGATATCGATCTTGGCTTGTGCAGATAAGCCATACCAATCAACCCAGGTCGGATTAGGAGCAAGGATAGTGAAAACATTTATCTCACAATAGTCCCACTGGGACGAGCAACGAGCCAAATATCAGTTTACCCTTGCAGCAAACCAGATAGAGAGAAGCGCTAAGCGCTTCGATTGACGCGGTCACGTGGAAAGCAGCCTTGACGCACTGGAGTGGGGTACCCTCCAATGGGGGGGTGCAGGCTGGTATTTGTCACCATTTGCGTAGCTTGGTCAGTAGGGGTAGAGCCTTCGGGCGTTGTCATAGCAGTAATCATTAGGTGGACACCAGCTTCCATCTGCCAGAAGCACATTCCCAGGTATGGTCTGACGAATAGCAATAAGAGACTTATGGGATTAATGAATTTGACTGACCTACTCGTTGGAGCAATGACAGCGGGCGAGGGTAAAGCTTGATGCATGATGCATGCTGGCATCATGGTAGTTATTCTGAATTTCCGATGAACTTCAAATTTGACTCAGTTGTCGCAATCCACACGTGCTGAATGACAAAATAGGATCGTGAGCCGCATGATAAATCTGGAGCAAACTTGAATACGCTGACGGCCAACGACACTGGTAATACATGATTTCACCCCCAGAACCACATCCACACAACTCTTAGCATTGCATTTTCATCAACTGCGATACCCTTTCCTTCGTGTGGCGAGGAGTGAATATGCACGGGAATACAGGGTGCCTGCATCGGCTGGCTTAGATAAAATACTGGGATCCCCGAGGATGACTCACGTCGTTAGGCCTCCGGTCCATTCCACTCCTTCAGCATCAGGCCCGACATTCCATCCTGGCGCACGATCCAACCGGAAAACAGCTAGAATATTCACAATTGCGGCGAATAAAGAACCATCGACGACATGTCGTCCAACACTGCTGAAAGGTGAGGCAAACCCGTCTATTCGCAAAACTCCAGACTTCGTACCAAACACGCCTTCCAAATCCAAAAACAAAGGAAATATCATCAGGGCCGGTTGAAGGCTTTTCGACGGCGACTTTTGACATGTGACGCTCGGGTATGAACCTCGTTGGGTTAGGAAATTTATCTGGATTGCGCGCCATAAACCTTGCATAAGAAGAAATGATTAATGTTTGATCTTTGTTCGCTTGATATGATGAATCACCATGCGTTGGGTATTATAGTAGCCCCTTAAGAAACAGTTTTAGAAGACGGATAGGGCTCTCAGTCCATAGACTGACCTTTTGGAATATAGTAGCCTTCGTAGATGTCCTCATTTACCGCGGCATGTGCAACGCCTAAATCCACAGTCAGTGACCATGCTAACCGGAGTTCGACGAGTCAAGAGTGCTGACCCAGAGGGGCGACAGGGAACCACCTTAGCGTCTCCAGTATGACGGCATTGATGTAGGGCATAGACGCGCGATCATCCCAGTCGGGCAATCTTTCGAGTGTTTCCCCAATGACGGAATCAATCTCTGCTTGCGCACGTGTCTGCACCTCGGGATATAGAACCATCGCGAGTAGGAAGACGCATAAAGCGGACATCGTCTGGGCCTTTGGTCAGTATATAAATAAAATAGGAATCGCGTCAAAGCATACAGATCCTGAGGCGGCTAGGAGCACGGATAAAATGAGTGAAGATTTGTTATAAATATAATGACCATTGCATATTTGTCACGAACCAGCATAAGCAGTTGCACTGGATTCCTTAATCCCTTTCTCAAGAACAGCGGCCTCCCCTTCATCTTTTGTTTTGACTGGTATACGTCTCAATGCATTCGACACCACGGATGGTGCAGCCGTCCCCGCAGCCTGAGGATCATGAGCCTCATTTAAATAATACTCGGATCAAAAGGCACTTGGAACTTGCCATGTTGTTCTTCACATGTTCAAAGGGCATGTCCACAATCATTGGAACGAGGGTTCTCTGGAATATAGCATCCCTTACGAAGCTCGCTCCAGGGAGCCAAGGAGGAAGTTTTTCCACTGTGAGTGCATTAGAATAGAACTACGGCTGATCGAAGTTATACGCACATATGGGGAACTGTGTTACAACAGCTGCGACCTCGGGCCTGAATAATTTTATATCTATCTCAAGTGAGCGATCAACAAGCGCAAGGAAGGGATCATTAGCGGGCGCTATAGCATAATCATACATGATTGACATGATGATAGACGTGCTGAAGCTGCGTAGAAAGTATGGTTCAGCCACGCAACACATGAAAGGAGAGATTACTAACGTGTTAAAATGGGTTCCATACACCTCCGGAGAGGCTAGTAGGTTTAGCATCAAAATGCGAGTATTGCGCATTTGAATCGGACGGAAGGATGACACTGCTTTTAAATGGAATGCTTGATGGAAGATTCGCCTGTCTGTAAAGACATGATAAGTGCGATAAGAGAGCTCGAAGGGATGATATACTAACGAAGTTTCAACTTGTCTGAGTAGGGTAGAAAGGTAGTGGAGTAGTCATGACTAAAACTGGGACTCGTTTAACAATGGGTACATCAAACGATAGAAGGGCCTCACAAATTAAGAACATGCACAAGCCCTGGGGGTCTTGTGGAATAGTTGTGTGAACGACGGTCGAGCAAGTCATGCGCAACTCTTTCGGAGTTGATGATCACGATATCCTGACTAAAGAGTCGGGAGTAAACGATTTCCCCTGTGTCGCAATTCAGCACATCCAGATTCACATGTGGGTGGCTCTACGCACCATACTCGGTTCCCCATCTTGAGTATGCGAACCATGGATGATCTGGATCGATTCCGATCACATTTCCAACAAAAGGGAGAGGTGGAGGACCAGGGGGTAAGGGATGCCCCTTAGTGTCTCTCTTCTTTTGCAACGATTGCACTACCACGAAAGATACAAGCGATGCGATGGCGAGTGCAAGTCCTACTGTTGGGGCCATCAGTTGAACCGAATAAGTAACTGAAGCTCCCCCGTATGTGTCTGGATTTTGTACGGCCGCTGACTGGAACCTTGCCGGAGAGACGACAAGGAACACTAAACGAATCAAGCGGAGACAACTGGACGAGACTGGATTTCTTGAGTATTATATTGATGAGTACGTGAGGGTTGGTAGGAGACCCGAGTCTGGCGTAGAGTAATACGAAAGCAACATTTATATATGGGGAAAGTTTGTGCTTGTGTTTTCATCAGACCTCTTCTGTATTTCGGTGCGTCCTTGCGGTGTGTCTATGTCTTCATCAGACCTCTTCTGTGCTGCGATGTGTTCTCGTAGTACGTCTATGTCTTCGTCTGGCTTTTTCTGCGTTGTGAGGTGTCTGCTTTGCTGAGGTCTGTTTGCGTCTTGATCAGGTTCCTTCTGTGTTGTGGTGTACTTTTGTAGTACGCTTGTTCCTTCGAGCTCCGAGTCTTGTCCCGGGACCCATACGTCAGCTTCCGGGCCGTATCCGCGGCAGCGGATGAGGTGTTGGCAGCCGCGTCCACGTCTTTTTTTTTGATCGTCTGCTCCATCTCCCACTCCTCCGTTCCAGTCGTTGTTACCACCGGTCCTGGATGTCGAAGTTCCCGTGAAGGAAAGAGTTCCGCATTGTTCGGCACCTGCCGTTTCAGCTCTGAAACATGGAAGGTGGGGTAGACGTTAGTATGTTCAGGTAGGTCTAGAGTGTAAGTCAGGCTATAATATCATTCTTGTGCATAAAAAGATGCTTACTAGCAGATTATTGTGATGCATTAACATTGCTAGGGCGCAGTCATGCATTAGCCTTATCCCAGTGGGGAAGTAGACTCGTAACCAGTCTGACTATGTGTCAATTTGAGATGGTGAGAATGTATTGACGTAGTCACCACTCGAGTATCCGTGGTAGTATACGCCAGGCTGGTCACGAGCCTAGTTGGGAAGGTGATGCATCACTTGTGCATCACTGTGCATTGCTTCCCCGCTGGCATTGTACCACACGCGCGTTGAGAAGGGAATGTATGACAAGGCGTCTGGAGACGCGACGTGTTCATCTTCTTAGAAGCACAACACGGTACCGTTTTTGGTATATGCGGAGTTTGAAAGTGCAAGTTCTTCCAAACGCCCATTCCCTTCGCGGCTAGTTCACGAGACTAGTCCGCTGGCATACGCGTATCGTTCTCGCTGCTTCTTTGATATGTACCTTGCCTACTAACCTACACTACACCTAGCCCCTACCCCTCGGTGCCTTACCATTTTTGTGGTATACCTTGCTTACCTACGCTACATCCAGGTCTCTGCCTATTGGATTTCCCTCCACCCACCATGTTTTTGTGTTCCAGAGCTCTACTGTGTGGTCCATCGAAAGCCACTTGCCGGAAATGTGCTGTCTGGAGAAAAGTCAAGCGAGAAAATCTTGTAGGAGTGGACTTTGACTCAGATGGGCTGGGTGAGAAATTCGCCATCCCTGTTCCAGGCTATGAGCTCCCCGCCAAAATTATCGCTTGCTATGAATTGCCCGTCTCTCGATACTGCAGCTACTCGTATGCCCCAGTGATGCCCCTCAGTTATCTTCAATACGACACCGTTTTCCAAGTCCCATAGTCGAAGGGTCTTGTCATACGAGGCCGTCACCATACGGCGTCCATCGGGGAATTCTGCAACTGTAAATACACTATGTCTATGGCCTCTAAATATTTGACTAGTCGTGGTGATTCGGATAGCAGGATGTTCTTCTTCCGCCATTCTGCTCCAGGTGGACGATGTGGAGCACGATTTGCTGGAGAGCTTGTGAGTGTCTTGATCCAAGAGGTGCCGGGCCTTTTTGCTTCTTCACAGCCTCAATCTGCATATTAGACGCCTAGGGCATCAGGCACTCGGACCGCTGCGGAGTGTAGGTATCCCCTAGTAAGTATAATTCCCATGGTTGCTTGTTCATTGGATCGAAGTACGAAGCTGTGGAGTAAAGGAGACATGGCTGACGCCACTACTACACTCGAATGAATTTCCGTTGCAAGGAAATCCAGTCCAGTGTGATAGTGATGCCCGCTGCATTGAAGTGCGTTCGATGTTGGCTACCCGGTGAGCGTCTTGCGATTGCGGCAGAATCCAGACAGTAATATCTAATTGATAACCCAAGCCTGACCTATGCACCAAGAATGCGCCGAGTTACTACACTAGATTACAGCCTGCCACCGCATACGAATAATCGTGTATACTCCATTGTAAACGAACTATGTACTTGGGTGCTTTCATTTTGGAATAGCCACGAATCCAAACAACCGGATGTGTTACTCAACACGGTCCAAGCGCACATGTTGACTCTACTCTACTAATGCAGACACACGATATCGTCCTCTGCAACCACCTCGAGAGCACATGGTGCTTCTGCATGTCAAATTTTGAAATCTTGTATTCGCGAGGGTCATTTGCGGGGTATGTATGATATATGAAGCTATGATAATGTGATCGTCGATGTGTTGTAAAAAAACCATTCAGCTACAATATGTCTAGGGTCTCGATGTTCATAATGTCAATCGAAGCCGGGTCTTTCACCTGCGCAATGATATATTGGTCCGATGCGACCCTCTTGTATTCTCCAACGCGTTGCTCCGCTACCAAAAGTGCGCTGAAAGCCTGCCCAAGGTGCACCATCAAACGCAATGATCGTAAGTGAACATCCGAGTCAACTGACAACTTCTCTTCTCCAGGTGAGTTGCTGGACCGCTCGTCAGTGTCGTCTGATCCAGACTCGGACCAATCCCCTACGCTTTCCCCTTCGTCTGCAAAGGTAGGCTGCTCTGAAAAATCAGGCAGCCCGAGGAGACGACGGTCCCATGGACGGACAAGGAAGAACGTCTGCTGAGTGGGCCTTGTGCGCGAGAATTGAATTAGGGTCTCGTCCGTGGTGATCAGCAAGTCTCGAAGCCCCTCTGCTTTCACTCCATACGTGAAATGGGCAGTATGACCCCGCTTCCGTTTGACTTCCGTGACACGGAATGCGATGCAAGGAAGACGCAGTCTGCAGTTTGCAAAGAGGGGAGCATTCGTGTTCTTGAGTAGATTATACAACTTCGAAGCTAAATCCACAAGCACAATATTTCGCAACGAAGAGACCGCTGTCTGAATCTCATCTTCAGACAATGATGGTAGGGAGTATGGCGGGGTTGCATAGGAGATGATGTCGGCTGGAAGGCAACTGTTGAACTCGGATGATTGTCCGACCCAGTCCAAGGAAGTGATGTCGCCAGACCGAGACACGATATCCTGCAGGAGCCGGCCGAGCGCGCTCTGCTTCCTCTCCCCATAGATGACAGGTAGGTGGACGTCGAAGATACCAAATAACGAGTACGCGGTGTCTTCCTGCACAGTGGTGACGCGCTTCGATGCCCATTGCAGTTTCTGTCTAGCGTCTCTCATCCCTGGACGGAAGGAGATCAGGGCCTGTGCATCTATTCCCGTCGCACTCTCCAACTCCTTCATTATTGCTGGGGACTCTTTGTGGTTGAGAGAGCGATCGTTGAGATACAACGACCAATCCTTGTGATAAAATCTAACGACTTTCGGAGCGACAAATTCTTGAAAGGTCCATCCCCGCTCGTTCCAAACACTGCTTGCTAGTGCACCGGGTTGGGACGAAGGAGGGACATCGGATAGGTAGACGATGGTGAGGGCCGAGTGACGATACCAGACGAACATGGATTGGACCGATTCTCCAAGCTCGGCGTTGTTGCTCTTATCGATGCAGCATGTATCCATCCACGCCCAGAGATACCCCGCATCACGAGCGACTTTGCAGAACGACAGCAGTTTCGTGATGCCACCAAGTCCCTTCAACTTGCGCACATCTTTATTTTGGATGTGGTGCAGCAGCACCTCCGTCTCTTCCCACCTGTGTGATAGCAAAACGCAACGGAAGTACATCGCCACCACCTCCTTGATGCGTTCCATGTCGAGATCCGAACGCTTTGTTATGGATGACAAAAGCTCCTTGTACTCTGGACTTGTTTTGAAGGAGTTCAGCTGTGCTGCTCGGTCGCACAGAATCCCCGTAGAGGTGTTGAGCAGACGAAGGGGGGCGTTGCTGAGCTCAATTGAAACCGCTCCTCGAATAGCGTCTTCTGCTTCCGATGGACAGACGTACTGCTGACGCAGATCTGCAGAACAAGATAGGCATTTCGAGACGAGGTAGTAATGTTCCATGGCTTACCTCGTATCTGAGCTTCGGGAGCATCGTCCAACTTGGATGCCTTTGAGCGATGGACGTAGGGAATATGGTTGTTCGCGTCGGTATTGATATCTTGCATGAGGAGTTCTTCGTCAGTAGATAAGTCTCGATCTATGCATGTATCGCGGACTGTTGTGGTGGCAATAGTCTACAAGAAGCATGCTCGATTTGTGGTATATGATTCAGAGACGGAAACGTGCCTTTGAATGTATACCCTGAGGTACTGTCCACTCTGAGATCATCTTATCGTAACCTCCACTGAAGATGTGATTGCCGTTCACGGAGAAAGTGACGCATGAATTGGCGATTGAGTGCTTGAAGACGGCAATGGTTCGTCGATCTGAGAGCTGCCAGAGACGAACATGGTAGTCACTAGATGCGGATGCGACGAGTGTACCAGCAGGATTAATGGCAATGGCATTGATTTGGTCAGTGTGGCCCGTCCAAGGATCACCGACCTGCTTCCAGGGTGTTGTATCCCATTCGCGTATAGTAGGATCATCCCCATAGCCGCCTGTGAGAAGGCGTGTGCCATCGGGTGTCCATGCGAGTGACAAGTTCAATGTTGTGTGAGCCTTGAATGATGTGACGCACTTCCTTGTGCCTGAATTGTAAATTTGAATATCGTGTTTTGTCGCGATGGCAAGAAGTTCTCCAGACGGTGAATACCGTACGCAATAGAGAAAAATACCACACTCGATTGGATTTCCTTGCAGGTGCCAGGCTGTGGTATTCCACAGGTACGTCATTTTTCCCCAAAATGAACCAGTCGCCAGCACTGTTCCATCGGGAGAAAAATCCAGCGAGGTGATAGAACCGGAGTGTGCTTTTATTTTGGTGAGTGATTCGCCAGTTTCTCCGTGCCAGACGATGACATCTCCACCATTATCACCGCTTGCTATCAATTGCCCATCTCGTGATACCGCCAATCTCCACACCAAATTGCGATGCCCTTCCATCTTCTTCAACGCAACACCTGTCTTCAAGTCCCACAGATGAAGCGTCCTGTCGTTCGAGCCCGTAACCATCCGACGTTTATCAGGGAACACTGTGACTGCAGTTATGCATTCTTCATGGCCTTTGAACAATCGCAGGGGAGTGGTGATTGTAATGGGCTCCGACATTTTACTGGATGTCGATGGTATGTAATACCGACGATGCTAAACTTTGGAGGGATTATGTCTTTCTCTAAGCTGCAGAGGGCGTATGGTGTGTTTTATGGTGCTTCGCTGCTTGCCTCATTTCAATAGACGCCCAGGACATCTAAGGCTGTTAGTGCCCACGCCTCCATCACCGTAACGCACCCACCCTAGTACAGTCATAGTACCAGCTGTCCTCGACAGTATGCACATCTGCAGTGCCTACATGCGTCCGACTCTTGTCTTCGCAGCTTCCAGAATCTATCCCATCCCATCAAGTCCAGCAGTCTTTCCAGCGCTCGAATCTCACTGCCTATCCTGCATGAATACCGCTGTTTTCGTATCTAGCAGCTACTCCAGCCTATCACCACGTTACTCCTTCGAACGCATGTATATAGCTTACTACAATATCAATTCTCCATCCAACAGACTTCCAAGATCCTTGTGTGCACAACAACGGACTCGCCTGACATTCAACCTCTATTTGGCAGGTGGCAGGCCTCTTCCCATGTTGCATGATAAATATAGAGCAAACTTGAATTTGCTGACGGATGACGAAAGCCAACGACACTAAAAACAAAGGTAATGCATGATTTCACCCCAGAACCACATCCGCACAGCTCTCAGCATTGCATTTTTATCAACTGCATTACCCTTTCCTTCGTGTGGGGATGGGTGAATATGCACGGGAATACAGGGTGCCTGCATCGGCTGCCTCAGATAAACTACAGGGACGGCAACATCCGACCGTCAGCGCTGTGCCCAAGCACGTTCTCACACAATTTCTCAACCGTTTGACAGCTCGTTTTTCCAATCAGTACATTACAGCCAATAGAGGCGATGAAAGACACTTACACAATGGGTAACCCATTATGTTGCCTTGGGGCAAGGTCCTAACCCTCGTCTTAGTGGTGTGGACCGGTCTATCACCTCTTATTAGTAGAGTTACGTGGGAGCACCTGATCCATTTGTAAGTTCTGACATATCGAGCACTGTGGCTGACTTCAAAATGCGATCACGGACTCGAGTCTCGACACGGTTCTATGCGTTCATCTACCACCCGCAAGCGCCAACTCTACGCATCGTCCGATCCCCAACTTGCGTCCTTATGAGATAGCATTGTAAGCCAAGCAGTCATCATCATGCGTTATCAGCGCTTCGACCTCGTATGCGTGAAGACTGGCCTCGATATTTGCGACCATGTAACTATAAATACAGGGTGAGTCTTGCTGTCTTCATCCAGCCAATCCACCAACCATGTACATCCCTCCATTCGATACCACCTCCTACTCCACCACCACCCAATCACCCAATCCATCCTGGACATATGGCTAGAAAGTCGATGTCACTCCTGCCGGAAAAGACTGGCTTGCAGGCGAATCTGCAGGCTGGAACGTCTATAGCACAGCAGAAATGGACAAGACGTACGTACTCCTCCACCTGTTTATCAGCCGAGATCGTGACCGTGATCGACAGCAATCTCAACAAGCTCTTGAATTCAGGCATTCTACCACGCCCAATGTCACTCGTATCCACGATCAGCGAGGATGGCATAGAGAACCTGGCACCCTTCAGGTAAGACATACTTCCATAATCTGACACGTTCTGCATGCTTACCTGGCTTGCATCCACCAGTTGGATCAACACAGTGAGCAATGCGACAATCAACGCGTCCCTTTAATGGTCTAATAACCCCTCTTCCCATAGGTCACGAACTACCCGCCTGTCATCTCATTCGCGATAAACCACAATGCTACGGGCAGCCTCAAAGATACGACCGCGAACCTGAAGAACGGCCAAGGATCTACCGTGAACATCATCAGCGAGGCATTCGTCGAGAATGCAAATGCGACTGCCGTAGATGCTCCTCCCGAGTTCGACGAGTGGGCTCTCAGCGGTCTGACAAGGGAGAAATGCGTACGTGTGGACCTTCATCATTCGATATATGGACTAACAATCACGGGTTCAGGTGCAAATAAGAGTCTCGCGCGTCAAGGAAAGCGCTTTTAGCATGGAATGCGAGGTAATCTCATTTCACGCCGAGCCCGCTCGTTTTCTGACATCCTCACCTCTCAATAGCTCTACCAATCGATAGACATCACGCACCCGGTGACAGGCGAGCACAACAGCACGCTCATCCTCGCGCACGTTAAATACTTCCACGTATGCAAAGACATGCTCACAAGCAGAGGTGCCGTCGACCTCACAAAATTCAAGCCCGTCGCGCGTGTGGGCGATATTTCATATGCCCGGGTCGGAGATACATACAGGATCCCTGTGCCTTTATGGGCGCAGGAGGAGGCGAAGATACAGGAAGCATTGAAGACTCTCGCATCACAATAAAATAGAACGAAGGAGGGTGGCTTATCATTTCGGGGGAACATATACCATAGATCATATAAACATCAACATCCAGGCGGGATAGAGCACCCTTGGCACCACTTGGAAAAGGTACCGAGAGCCTGTCAGGGTGGGTTTCGTTGTAGGTAGTAATCTGCCTGAAAGCCTACCTCCACAGGGAGGCCTCCCCTCAGATCCTGTTTAGGACCGTAGTGCATTTCGTAGAACCTCCAGCGAGGAGGAGCCCAGAGGTCTGCAAGAGTCGAATGGAGGGTCTGCGAGGGTTGCAAGGCTCAGGGGGCTCACGGACACGGACATTACTGATACATACTCTGCAACATACCATTGTAATTCTGCGTTGTCCTCGATGATGCCTCCTTCGAGCGTTGCCTTGTTGCATGCAATCTCCAGGAGGATGGGGGAACTGGTACCTCGACGAAAACATGGAGTTTTCGTCGACGAGGTGGCGCGGGAGGAGAGTTCGAGTGTCCCTGTAACTACAATCACTTGACTCAAGCAGCTTTTTTCTTGAACAATTCATTTTTATCCTGATCGCCTCGCGAACTTCTGAAGTATGTTTGTTCAACCGGACACTTCTGATTTATCAGAATAGGAAATACAAATGTAAACTATCATCGAAGGCAGTTAAGTACTACCAATCAAAGCAAGCACGAGTGAGATGCAGAAACATCGAGCACACAGGATCAAAAGTAAGGATGGCACCAGGAATGTGAATAGATACGTGCGTTAATATCTTTAGGCAAGAAGCAAGATGACAAAGATGCGCAAGACGAATTATGGTGCTGTTGATGTACCCACAATCAATATGGAGCCCCACTCATGTAGCCGTCTTCAGAAGGAGCTGGAGATGACGAGTAGAGTAAGTTAAGAGCATTGTCAGCGTAGATTGGGTAACGAGACTCTTGACGAGAGACAGCATCTTGGGGGTACATGGGCCGAGTATCGTTGCGATAGCTCCTCGAGTCCTGGTAAGAGGCTTCTGAGGCTCCAGATGGTCCACTGCCTTCACGGTACCCTCCAGCTCTGCCTTCATGAGCTTCAGGCCGAGCCGCATAGGGTGTGGGATGATGTGTGTACATCATGTCTTGACGATATTGCGGCTAGGGATCCGCATGGGTGAACCCCCGGGTGTCGGCAGGTCAACCCACACCCGCACCCCGAGGTAAACCCACACCTGCAGCAAGGGTACGGGTTGCACAGTGGGTAGCGAAGTAAGGACCCGGGGTACAACCCATCAAGGGTGTACCCGCGGGTCATAGATCTGCCAGTGCTTAGCACATATGTCCAGCACACGTCAGCGAATGCTGACGTGACTCGAACATATGTGGATGGCACAAGGAGGAGTGGAGGCACAGCGCGAATGACAGATGCGTCGAAATAGACGCTGATGTTGTGGCAGGTGGTGTCGTGTACGATCGAAGTCGAAGGTGAGCGTGTCAAAATGGGAGATGGTGGTGTGGTGGCGTGAGAGTGTGACGTGTCGGGTGTCGCGTCCTCATTGCAGAAAATGGGGGCAGAGTCAGGACAGCGACTTACTGACAAGATCCTTCCTTCCTCCTCTCGTTCCTCCTCTCGTTCCTCCTCTTTTCCTTCTCACTTCCTTCTCTTTCCCTTCTTTCCTCGTCCTCGTATCCTCCGTATGTGTCCGAGCCATGCCAGCATTCGCTGGCATGCTCTGGGCGCAGACGCTCGATGCTGGCGGTTGGTAGCACGAGGTGGGAGCTGCTGGTGGCGTCCTGGATGGAGGTGGTTGTTGCTGTTGGAAGGGAGCTGCTAGCGATGGTGGTGGTGGTGCTGGCGTCGAGGAACATGTGAATGGTGGTGGTGGTTGCTGGCTGAGGGCATCTGTTGATGTGCTTAGTGGCGTTAGAACGGGTGCCGGAAGAATTGGCATGGGGGGTGCAGCGAGTGCTGCTGAACGCGAGGATGCTGGTGGTGGTGTGTTAGCAGGTGAGTGCTTGGTGGTGGTGCCGGTTGTAGCATGCACACGGGAAGTATCGCGTTTATGGAAGGCACGGGTATAGCTGGGGTATAGGTAAGAGTGCGGGTCTTAGAATCCCGACCCGTACCCATACCCCAGTAGTACCCGTACCCGTGACCCACGCGGGTTACCCGTACCCGTGCAGATCCCTAATTGCGGCTGGTTGTTGCTGACACGTTGATAGTCTATCTGCTCGCAATGCTGACCAGGCTGGTTGCCGTGTTGATAATAGTTTATCGGCTCAATGTGGCGCTGATCAGCCTGAGGATAATGATGATTTTGTGAGACTTGGAACTGAGACACAGCATGAACATGTGACATTGCATCCATGGAGTCACTTGATGATGGTGGTAGCGCGAGGGCCCGTTCTTGGATGCCACGTGGGCCCGGGAGGCGGGCTTGGACAGGTCTCAACATTGGCTGCATGGCAAGGTCAGAACTCCCGTTGGTGTCAGAACTCCCGTTGACGCCAGAACCTCCATCATTGGTGGCATTTGTTCCTTGCATACCCTCGATGTATACAGCAGCTTGATGGGCAGCTTCCTCAGAACCTGGAACAATCTTCTTCGGCTTGGGGCGCTCTAAATAAGAGTCATCAGCCAAAGTCCAGCATGTAAGTCATCATTCGGACTCACCACATTGAATTGGTGCCTTCAAAGGCTGCTCTGGGCCATCACAAAGGCGTAATGGCTCAATTTCTGAAAGAGACATTGATCAGTACAACAGGATGACATATGAAATCCTTGCTTACCAGGCATTTTCTCTTGCCCCAAGTCTGATTCCACTGTGACTGAGCGATAACGCACCTTCTTTGCAGTCTTCTGCCCTTTGCCAGTGCCCTGGTGAGTCGCTTTGCCCTTTCCCTTGACCTCTTTTCTCTCATCGCGTGACGGTTCAATGACTTCAACATCGCTTGATAGGACACATCGTTTCTGTGAGCAAGAGCCTCTAGATGCCTTGACCTTGCGTTTACGAGAGGTGGCGACTTCATCATCATACTCCGAGTCGTCACCCTCAACAGGGTCTTGGTCCTCCTTCAACTCATCCTCGGCGTCTGACTCCAAGCTGGCCTGTGCGCTGGACATGTCGATGGGAGTGACCTCACGTGCTGCTGGTATGGATGTCTTCTGTCCGGTTGCCTTCAGTGGACGTGGAGGAGGACGCTTACGGAGCTCAACAATCGGGACGAGCTTCTGCTTGCGAGGGATTGTCTGTGGTTGTGGAGACTGGTCATTCACGAGAACAGGGGATGCATGACGATGGGAAGCTGCTTCCTTGCGTGTCGGGGGCTTCTGGACCTTTGTGCCCGCTGCACTTGGTCCAAGACGGGCCAATCCCTCATGATCGATGGTGCCATCTACAAGCATGCGATGACCGCGTGCATGCATGGACTCTTCAGGAGGAGCCTCGCTGAATATAATAGGAGATGTTTTGTCTATAAAATGATTAGTTAGCCATATGAGAATTGAATTGATTCGCACGTACTCAAGTCTCCCATCTTGTGTCGTTCGATGGTCAATCTGCCTGATCGCAAGGCATCTGCAAGTACGACACATTCACGTTTATCGAGGTTGCTGATGCCTTTGGGTCGTGCAACTGTTACGCGTGGCTCTCCCAGCATTAACATGTCTTCAGGATACCCTCTCATCACAAAATGGTGACGTGCCAGCTCGGCGGGTAATAGTTTCCATGGGAAAGTTCCTGACCGTGCCATTAATTTCCCGCTGAGCTTACTGAGCATCAAGGTCATGCCGACTTTGATACATTGTATGTGGTCGGCCAGTGTCTTTCAATCGAGATTGTCGGGAACCTCCTGTACCTCGTCATCCTCTTCTGCTACCGCTGGCGCGCGTGCGTGCCGCCCAGGCAATGCTATTTTCTTTTCTGAAGGTTTGAGCTGAGCCTCACCATAAACATCCTCGACAATGGCAAGAGAAGCCTGGTGGCTGAAAAAGAAGTCAGTTGAAGTATTGAGGCGAAAATATAATTGACTTACTACACATGGGCCTTAAAATGCCCCACCATCATGTCCTCATCAGCACGACAACGGGAAGCCCAAAACTACGAGAACACGCAGTCAGCAAGGCCTATGATACACCAATGATTAAAAATTTCCTCTTCTGCACCAGAGGTCGTGTGTATGTACCCGATTGACGCATCTTGATTCACGACCTTCCCGCACATAAGCAGCGCTGCTTCAAAGCCATGCTTTGCGGTGGCCAGATCTAGCTGTATGCTCCATCAGTGCATGAAAATTGAGTATACAATGTAAGACTTACCAAGGATGTCACTTTCTTTGTCAACCTCGTGAATTCTTGTGACCACTGTGCGACGGTCAGAGGCAGGCCTGAAGCTATCCGTGTCGAGGATCTCTTGCCAATCATCAGGATATGCATCCTGGAAGGACCTATAACATTCGCCTTGGATGGTTGATGTGACTGCACCCCAACATGAGTCACAACGACTGAACTAAAAGACAGACTTACTGATGACATTCGCATCTTTGCCAGCTCGCTGTAGCTCGCGCAGGCGGTGAGCTTTGAAGTATTGCCCGTAAATGTTCCAGTGGTTTGTTCCGTTATTGATGCGGCTACGAGACTTGAGAAATAAATTTAAAACTTGCTGCCTCGGCATGCCAGTCGAAACTGCAAGCTCATCGATGGTGCGATCAATGAGGTCAAACTGTTTTTCCATTGCAGTGTTGGCATCTTCTGACCTCCGACCAATGATGGCGGCACCTGAAGGCCCTCCCTGGGTGTCCATCGTGTTGGCGGGAGTGGGAGGGATGACACGGGTTGCAGGAATATTGAGTCCAGGTAGAAGTGGAACATGTGGAGGTGTGTTATGTTCTGGTAGATTGTGCGGGATGAAAAGGTTGGTTGGCTGCATGACATTGAACGATCCTCCAGCCATATAGTCCCATGATGGGGCGGGGACGTCGAGCGATGAGAAGTCGTAGGCATCTCGTTCACCGCTGCAGATGGGCAGATCTTGTTGGGTCTGTTCCTGCATAGTGATGAGGGGTGCTTGAGGAAGAATCACCTCACAGGGTGCTGGGAACACTTCCTGCATGAAGTGAGGGTCGCAAGGTCCCACAGGCGACCTCTCGCGTGACACACTGCAACTAGAAAATTCTAAGCAGCTGCCTGGAGGTACCCCACCAGGCACTTCCAGCTGACCTTGGGAAGAACCACCAGAGAAGTGTTCTAGGTGTGAACTGGGCACGCCATCTGGTGCATGGCCATCAGAGCCATTGTCTGGAAGCAGCTTCGCTCTATTGTGGGCACTTTTTCGAACAAGACCACCATCGCGTGAGGTGGGTCTTATGCGAGTGCGAAGTTTGGTAGGAGTCTGGATAGGGGGGGGGGGGTGATTTTTGATGTCCTCCTCCAATTTGCTCGGAGTGAGATTCCATAGGTGTGAAAGAGGGCGTTGAGGAGCGTGGAAAATTTTCAGGCAGATTCGTTGCAGGGTAATATTGTTCATTCATTTGCTACATTAGAAACACAGTCAGATAAACTATGGCAGATTATGAACATGCGAACTTACTTGGGAGAGGAGTGAAAGATGTAAGATATGAAGGGTGATAGACCAACACAAGGCTAGTCCGTGTTTAAAATGACTGTCTGATGCAACATAGATCAGTGATAAATGGTGCAGCTCAAGATGCACTCACCTTCGTCTAAGCAAATACTAGCAAGGTGTGGTGACAGAGCAATTTTTTGCTTGAGGGCAATGTTGATCCTACTGATGGTGATACAAGTGGGAGGAAACAGGCGCAAAAAAGTGCGTGTGATGCTTCCATGCCTTTCATATTTCTGGGAGAGTACCAGAATGCTCGTATTCCATAGGGATTCACTGACCGAAAGTTACTAGGACAGAAGATTGACGGCAATTCACTGCGTACCTTTGTGACATAGCATAAGCGCACTCCTCCAGGAAGGCTCGCAAGACCATGGAAATTGCTAAATGATGAGGGATCCTCCAACTTGGGTGGGAGGCACTGGAGCATCTGAGGGCACGTGAGGTTAGACATGAGGTTCCTGCATGCAGCTTAATCAGCCAATAAACATCATGCGAGTCTTAATTTCACTTTGTCTGGCGTCGGCTGTCAAGCAATACTATACATTCAATAGGTGTAACTACTTTACAATTCTGGGGACGCCCAGGGTTCCACCATCTCAATGTGTCCTTCATCGATTGCAATCCTAACTTTTTCCTCCCCAATTGCGACGGAATCAACATCATAGTAAACAGCGTCAGTGGCACCCAGAACGCAGTTAAGCGCATTCTCCCTGGTGTCAAAATGATTAAATACAATAAGTACCTGGAACAAATCTGCGCTCACCAGCCTGCCACTACACCGATGTGAGCCCCACACATGACACAGAAGACCATTTGAGAGGGTTTGACTTGTACTGGAATATTATGACAGTTTAGCAAGAAGGATACATTTGTTAAATGACATACCTGGAATGTTGTAGAAAATGGCCTCGTAGACATGAAGCACACACTCGTCTGCCAATGATCTCACAGCATTCTTGAATCGAGGATGGTTCTGATTGATGACGGTGAGCTCTGGCCTTGCAGTGGAGAGTGCACCATTGAGAAATATGACTTGAGGTGAGAAGAAAACACGCTCGATGACAAATGGTATGGCCGTCGACATGGTCTGCTCTGCTGGGGGAAAAAACGTGAGAATTAGTAGAGTATTCTGAAAGGTTGAAAAGGCTCACCTGAGAAGAAGTGGGAGATACCTACCATTGCATTTGGCTTGCCCAAAAGGGTGGCATATGCATCATGGTGGGCAGGAAGCAAGAAGTGCTGTGCTACTCGAACAAATTGCATTGCGATCCTCTCAGGCTGATAGAATGTTAATTAGGACAGAAGATCAATGGTGATTGAATGCGTACCTGCATAATAAGACGCTCTCCTCTTGGGAGGCTCATTTCTGAACCTCCACTACAATTTTCAACCTTAGTCCTCTCCAACAACTATCCAATGGCTCGTCCAACTATTCATCACACGGCTCAAGAAAGAATTGAGGCATGAGAGAAGAACAAACACTATTATGCAAAGTATGTCATTATTTTATTAATTGGTCCCAAGACTGTTCCTGACACTTACTTGTAAAGACATAGAGACGCAATCTTACAACGGCGGAGGATGCATGGTGTCCAGAAACGTGACAAGGAAGAAGAGGCAATAACGAAAGAGATATTGAGAGCTGTGGCAAAATTGCATGGTCGTGACAATGATGAGTCTGAATCAGACACTGATAATTCGAGCGACGGTGACATACTGTAAGTTTAAAAATAGAAACATAGATTGAAATCAATTAATGTCCAACAGATCTGATCTGCCAGCATGCTTACACGCTATCAAAACCGCCAAGGATGACATGCTCGTTTTGATTGGTGCCGACCCCTGTGAGTTCGCCAAAGACAAGTTGGCCGAGTACGTCAAGAGCATCCCAGACAATTGCAGCGCTAAGGGTGATATTAGTATCATCGCAAACTCAATCAGCGAGATTGAAAGTATACTCAAGCGTGTCATTGCTGTGCAAGACGAAATCCTAAATTTCTGTGGTCTCTCACCTGACTCTGAGTGGCATGCCGCTGACACAGTCTCTCAATTCTTGAAGACTACAGTCGCATATTTGGAGGATATCCAGCTTCTTGAAATGTCCGGAGGAGTTGTAGAGCTTACAATAGCACAATGGTTGGGAGAGCTGATGTATCAGAAGGGAATCAAGATTTGAGTAGCATACATGATTCGTGACTACAGCCCGAAATTCAATTTAATTGTGACAACAGTGCGTGGTTCTACGATACTGACTACTGCTATCGGGTAGGGGGGATATATCACACAAATTGGAGAAGGAACGGTTACAACAGCGCGCGCAGAAATATCAATACCTGGGACGCTTGGCAGGGCGACGACGACTCTTTCTAACATGTAGCTGCTCATCCGGAGACATGCTTTCATTATCTGTATCATTAGCGTATTCAGAGCTCGACGCAGACCATTCCACAGCAGTGATTGGCGGGATAAGATCACTTGCTTGAGTGATGGATGAATGTCTTGTGTTTCGGACCACCCTAGAGATTGGACGGGGTGGCGGCGGGCGTGGGATCACTCTAGAAGCTGGCCAGGGTGGAGGGATCACTCTAGAAGCTGGCCGGGGTGGCGGGCATGAGATCTCTACGAAGACCTCAACACGACGACGAGTAAGAGGTGTAGCAGGAGGGGTAGCAAGATGGGGAAGCCCATTTCGGTCAAAGTCACCATTAGCAAATGCACGTCGCCTGTGGGAGTGGACTGAGCGATGTCTGGGTGCCTCCCCAATGACGATAGGGTCTCTTGACATGATGAGGCGTGTGCGAGCAGTGTCGCTTGTGACGGCTCGAATGGTAAGGGTGCCTGACTTGAGTGCATTGACAAGATTTTCATGGTGGGCACGTGTCAAATTGTGGATGCCTTTGGACCGAGTGACTGAAGGTCGAATCTCGCCGGGCATAATAGTTTCGTCGGGGTAGCCTTCAAGGAAAAATCCAAGCTGGGCTAGTTCCTTAGGTAGGGTTTTCCAAGGAAAGTTGTTTTTGGCACGTCCACGAAGGGTGCCACCAACAGATGCTAGAAGAAAGTCAAGATTAGTCTAAGAGGGAGGTGACGAGACTTACCGACAAGCACTGTCAATCCACCCATAACGCAAGGAATGCCATCGAGAGCCTTCCATCCATCGTCGACTTGGAGACCTGTGGTAAGCTCACTAACTCCACAATCTTCTCCTCCCAGATCCTCTGTCGACACTGCCGCATCTATGAGCTAGAAGCGATGATCAGGACCCAAAAATCAATTTGACTAGGTGACTTACTATCTGAGAAATTGTGAAAGAGTGCGCGTCCGTCTGTGTGGTAGCATCAACGTGTGGCGACATGGATGTAGTCGTCGTCCAACAGGATGTGATCGATAACAGGCCATAGAAACCTTCAGAACATGGATAAATAATTAGTGTATTTGAAATGTTGAGCTTCGAAAAAACGAGGGTGAGCTCTGACTTACCATAATTGGTGAATGACTCCCAAGAGGGTCGCGTACGCTTGGAGGCTCCTGCGAGGGTAGATGACTTATATAATATATTCCATTGGGATCCTCTGACAGAATTAAAAGTTAGGACAGAAGATTGACTGCATACCTGTGTGACAAGACACCGGTGGGATCCTCTACTTGAGTGAGGTGCTGGAGCACTTGGGGGAGCTGGCTGCCTGCTGGAGGTCTGGTGGCGTGTGCGACTTGATTAGCCAATAAGCATTCAAATAAAATTCACGACTAATAAAAAACATGTCTCAACTACGCTTGTCTTTACACTGACTTTGCAGACATCGATTTTTGAAATCTCTGTCATTTGCCGGTTCGATTGGTACCAATATCTCCCAATGTTCGAATGAAGGAAGTCCAACAATGCAATAAGAAACTAATTGTGTGCACACCTTTCATTGAGTCTTTACGTCTCTACCATCTGTATGGGTCGAAAAGCCAGATATCTTACCTTGGCAGAGAAAACTGCTGCATTGCACAGACAGAAGGTGAACCATGCACAGTCTGAGAGGTATGTCGTTATACTATACATACAGTCAGTATTCTTAACCTTCAAATTGTTGCTGGCAGGGGGAAAGCTACTCATCGACTTCAACATTCTCAAAACTATGCTAAAGCACACAGCTGCAAAGGCTCATCTAAGCCACCCCTAATATCATCCCAGCTTCCACCCTTACCTCGAAGTCTTATCAATCTAGCAGTCACCTCCCTTCCAGACGGCAAGCTATTTCATCTTGCTTCCCAAAGTGCTGACAATCTGGACAAATCAGAGCTCCCACAGTGGGACAATAATCCTCCATACACCATGCCTCCTCCATCCGATACCCGAGCAGAGGTTCGTTTCACGGAAAACCTTGTACAGGTCATGCACGGCCGTAACTCACGCTTGGAGAAGGAGGAACTACAACAACGTGTACAGAAGTACACCGCAGGAGTGCTAAATCTTTGTACAGAGATGAAAGATGCTATTGGCGTGCTGCTAGGACAGTGGTACATATTACAAGTTTACATCTCTGGTACGAAGGACTGTGATAGACACTTCAGGATGGCCCAATGCCTCTTACAATGGCGTGCGCGCAGGATTTATCTCTATCACACCGAGGTTCAGAAGATGTTGAGCGGACTCAATCCATACATTTAGCTACACAATCAGAATGTAGGGATTGATACTACAAGTGTGCGAAGGTGGTAACGAAATGCAGATATATCATCTTCCTTCAAAGCCATACAGTGGCATCCACGCAATGTTGCTGTGATCATTGCAAGCACCCATACACCGCAGTCATAGCCATTAGTCTGAACAGCTGTTGTCTGAGGTTGAATTAGAACACATGTACATGTCCGATTTATGACATACTTACTATCAGCGGACGTGCAATCCAATTGTCAAAGTCGATATCAACTCTGAATGCACCATCATGTTGCCGAGTGATGTTGAAAAGTCAAACGATCAATTTCATAATATCCTAGATGTGTTGAGTCTGGATGAACGATAAAAGAGGAACTACAATGGTGCTCACTCTGACATCGCTCTTCCAAGGTCATTGCTCGGCAAAGCTATCGAATAGGTGAAGTTCCTTGCTCTGGAGGTGCACAATACATAGCACCCAATGACCAATGATTGAGGGTCTATGAATTGGTATGATCCACACGTCCTTGGCCCAATAACAAGTCCACGATATGTTGCACCAAAGCACGTCATCAGATGCATTGTACCGAATGCAGGGGAGGTCGTGCGTGGACAAGATCGCATATTGTGCTACAGCAGGAGAAGCTTGCAGAGACTCAGAATAAAGCAATGCTGCACAGCCATTGATGAGGCTGTCGTTCAGCAGTGCAGTAGGCGATGCGAGGATCTTGATATCCTTTGGTTCGAAAATTTGATGTGGGAATGCATCGTGGGGAGGACGAACCCTGGTGGTGATGACTCCAGGGACAATAACAGTAGTGTCATTCATTGGTGGTACTGGGTCAACAATGACTTGCTAGATAAACTATGAACACCCGGACAACTGCAAATGAAAGATTACTTACCTTGGGAGTGTGCCAGGTGATGAGTGCGCGAGGCTCGATTGCAATATTGATGTCTTCTTCATCTTCACTGTCAGGAGTGTCAATGTTTATTATGTCAGCAAGGGCAATGTGCTCGGGTGGAGGATCATCGAAGGACACAGCGATAACCTCTGGATCCTCTTCACCCTCCTCTTCGCCCTCCTCCAGGGTAGTGGCACAGGATATCGATGTTTGAGGAATCCAGTGAAGCGCAGTGTCTTTGGAAGCACCTAAGATCCGCATCGCTAACGATTCAGCATGTTTTGCATGGGACTCAAACCGTAGTGATGATGCAAGTGGGTTAGACCAACGGATTTGAAGATGTTGGAGATGTTCCCGCCGCTGACGTAGTAAGATAGAAAATCTGATGTCTGTGAAGAAATTAGTGCATATGTCAAAGATGGATGTCAACAAAAATACATACTTTCAGGCAACTGCAGGGCGAGTTCTATTGCAGCAAGTTCATCACCAAACCACCTGCAAAGATTGTCAGCTTCTAGCCCAAGACGTCGCTGCTCCTCAATGCATCTATCGCACTTTAACATAGCGCGTATCCCATCACGAATATCCTGATCATCCAGCCAACGAGGAACCTCCCCAACTGAAGGCGTGATCCAAATATCCTCCATCAGTGTTTGATCATTGCGGAGTTCATTCAGCTTGGTGGGGAGAGGCATTGGAAGAGGAATACCACAGCCTGGTTCATATAGTTCTTCGAGGCATTCGCAGTATCCATTGAATTTACGTAGTGTGGCCAGCAAGGCTGGTTGTTGCTTCGATATGGCCTTTCGGGTCTGCTGGTGAAGTTTCGTCCCTGCAAAGTGTTAACACACATCATGAAGCAAGTCTAGCCCCCTACCTAATGCTTGTTGTGTGCCACCGATGGCACGATCGAGCTTGTCCCATTCAAAGAAGCTTCCAATTGCACGCTTCCGAATGTTGATCTTGAGGTCGCGTGCCAAGAGAAGTGTCCGAACAAATTCGATGTTTATTCCTTCCAGCTCGGGGAACTTGTCGTGAACGTTGAGGGAAGCGTATAACACATCAACTTTGTCCATGAGGCGTTGGTGACTTCGTTCGAGGCTCTCGATCGCATCGAGTGTGCGTTGGGATACATTTCCCTTTGTAATAACCTCACTTGTTGCTTGAAGAGCCTTGTCAGAGGCATCGAGGTCACCTTGTAGGGCAAACACGGTGTCCAGCTCTTTCTTGAGCCGAGCAGGAGCATCTGTAGAACATAATCAGGCTCAGGCTGGACAATGCGAAAGAAAAAGAATGCACGAGCATGGATGGACAACTGTGACTGTCGCTGCAGAGCCCATTGATGTCGCAGATCTTCAATTGTCGCATCACACTCACTCAGCGTGGTCTGTGCAGCTGTCCCTTGTTCATGAATTCCCCACTTAAGGCGACGCCAGATCCAATCACCGAGGTCAGTGCGCATCTCAAGACCGATGGCAGCAGCTTGTCGGTCAAGTAGCCATAACCAACGCTGTCTCTATGGTAACTCGAACATCAGTAGAGATGAAACAAAATTTTGAGGATACATACAGATGAGGAGCGCTGAATACCTATCAAGCGGATAAATCTTGACCATAGCCTCTCGGTGCCTTCTCTGTCTGAAAGGCCAAGGCCTTCGCATATGCGTGGGTTGTAAACAAGTTGGCACAACCATTCGTGGCCATAGGCATGCATGGCCGTTGTTGCAAATCGCAAGTGCTTCGTCACGGCTTCAGGAAGTATGTTGTACTTAAATGGATCAGCAACGAGGTTCGAAGAATCACAAAGATGACTCACCTGACTTAATGATCGTGAGAGAACACATCCCACGTCATACAGAGTGACAACTGTTGCACTTTGAGGTAATAACGCAAAAAGGTGATCAATAAGGGCGATGGCGTATTTCTGCTGCTCACCTGGAGTGTCAATGTTTGCAAAGAAGAGGGGAATGTCGTGGTGACATATTAATGCCATGACTCCCGTGTCATCGAAGCTATCCATGGACGCTTTTTGCTTCTTTCCATCGGCGGCTTCATATGAATTCTTGCATAAGTCAATGGCCTCATGGGGTATAAGTGGTGCATGCGGTTTCAGTGCAGACTTGCGACTCTGATCAATATGACGCCCAATGTCATCAACCTGAGCTTTAGGTAAGAAGTAAGAGGGATCATAAAAATGGGGTGAATCGCCTGCTGAACGCCAATGTCGACGATGGAAGTTCCCATCAGTAGCAACATGAATATCTCCACCTTCTTCCAGCTGCCTTCCAAATGAGACCCCCCCAAAACAAGCAGGACAACACTGAAGAAGGATTGTGGCACAGCGCTCACGCGGAACCACGTCTACAGTGGGCGCATATGATGCGGGATGCTCTGGGGGATCTCGAGAGGCATCTACCAAGTCTCGGCTTGCTTGAACAGTGCATTCTAGCTGGGATTCGAGCTCCACCTGTAAGACATCAAACCATAAGATAGCTTGACCAAGACTTCACCGGAAAGGTTCTTGGATAAATTCACCCTAAGTTGTGTCAGATCTGAAGGTAAGTCAACTTTGATTCACGTACCTTAGCATTCGTCATGCGGAAACCTCTGCGGATGTAGTGTGTGTGCAGGGCAGATGCGAGAGCATTCACAGCATCACATGAGCACTCGAAGAGCGTTCGATAGAAGGTGAGTAGCTCAGTAGATACTGCCATGCGTGGCTGGGAGGGGGAAGTTGGGAATAAACCGTGAAGAACCAGGACTTGAGGTGCGGTAGCACATCTGCAACTCAAAATGTCGAGGGTTGTGAAGCCTCGAACATCTTTAGTGACTTGAAGTATTCGATGCACAGATTGAGACTTACCATCGAAGAACAAGCCAATCATAGTTGTGCGTTTCTGTGCACACTTCTGCAAGTGACATGCAGACAGAATCGTCGGAGGTCGCTCGACAAATTTTCCAATGGTCCTCTGAGTATACTTGAGCTGAACATTGACGAGAGTGGGTATCAGTATCTTCCAAGTGTCATATAATTGTGCGGCAGTGATGTCAGGTAGAATGCGGCGATTTGGAATGAACTCAGAGGTGTTCAGCGGTGGAATCGAGTCTTGAGGCTCAGTAAGCGGTGGGACTTCATCTTCGAAGAGAAACAAGTCCTCGCAAGCATCAGCAGGCATGTTCTCCTCAGGCAAGACAGCGGTAGGTAACGTGTCCAGCTGGCATGTGGTCGTTTGTTCAGAATTTAGTTTTCCTGCGAGGAGAGTTGCCAATTTGGCCTGCAACTTCAGTTGCTTTGCTTTCTGGCCGGGGAGTTTTACTAATGTCTGGGTTTTGCGTTTGTTCCTTGGTTTCCATGGACTGACAAACTGAACACCCAACCCAGACATTGTGGGCTGGGCTGCATGAGTATCTGAGCGCGGAGCCATAGAGATGAAGGTAGAAAGTAACTTGTAAATTTTTATTTGTTAATTAAAATACATAGTACGTACAAATTCACGTTGAGGTATGGAGGTCCCCATGCCTCAAGGGCAGCGCGAGGTATCCAGGCATCCTGGAGCCAGGAGGTGGAGCACGCGAGCAGCCTGGCGGGAGGGCAACGAGGTAGTAGCAGGAGGGCAACGAGGTATGATATTATTTTTAGAACGAATCCTAAATTAGATTGGAGAATTATAGGCCTTTCAGGCTGGTTTCCCATAACATAGAAACCCAGCCTGAAAGCCTACCTTTTGCCTCCGGAAACTGCTGCCTGAGGTGGGATAGAGTCCGTCGCTATTTCTTATCCCTAACATAGACCTTTATAATTGACTAGCAAGCCGTACTTTTTACATTATAATGATCACGAATTTTCAAACCTGGTATCCTTTAGAACTATCAGGATCAACGACAATCACTGAATATGTGCGCAGTTACATGCGCCACATGCCAAATTGCTCTTTGAATGTAATCTCAGGCCTGTTTGCTTCTTTACGGCCTCAATCTGCATATTAGACGCCCAGGGCATCAGGGACTCGGACCTGCCACTGCATATGAATAATCATGTATGCTCCATTGCAAACGAACTATGTACTTAGGTGTTCTCAGGATGTAGTTTGGCAATAGCCACGAATCAAAACAATGTGTTACTCAACACGGTCCAAGCACACATGTTGACTCTACTCTACTAATGCAGACACACGATATCGTCCTCTGCAACCACCTTGGGAGCACATGGTGCTTCTTCATGTCAAATTTGAAATCTTGTATTTGCGAGGGTCATTTACAGGGTATGTATGATATATGAGGCTATGATAATGTGATCATCAACGTGGTGTAAAAAGACCATTCAGCTACAATATGTCTAGGGTCCTGATGCTCGTAATGTCAATCGAAGCCAGATCTTTCACCTGTGCAATGATATATTGGTCTGATGCGACCCTCTTGTATTCTCCAACGTGTTGCTGCACTACTAAAAGTGCGCTGAAAGCCTGCCCAAGGTGAACCATCAAACACAATGATCGTGTGTGAACATCTGAGTCAACTGACAACTCCTCTTCTCCGGGTGAGTTGCTGGATGACGCTTCAGTGTCATCCAATCCAGACTGGGTCTCAGACCAATCCCCTATGCTCTCCCCTTCACCTGTAAAGGTGAGCTGCTCTGAAAAATCAGGCAGCCCAAGGAGATGACGGTCCCATGGACGGACAAGAAAGAACATCTGCTGAGTGGGCCTTGTGCATGAGAATTGAATTAGGGTCTCATCCGTGGTGATCAGCAAGTCTTGAAGCCCATTTGCTTTCACTCCATACATGGAATGGGCAGTATGACCTTGCTTCCATTTGATTTCTGTGACCCGGAATGCGATGCAAGGCAGATGGAGTCTGCAGTTGGCGAAGGGGGGAGCATTCATGTTCTCGAGCATGTTATACAACTTTGAAGCTAAATCTATGGGCACATTTCGCAACGAAGAGACGGCTGTCTGAATCTCATCTTCAGACAATGATGGTAGGGAGCATGGCAGGGCCGCATATGAGATGATGTTGGCTGGAAGGCAACTATTGAAGTCGGACGATCGTCCGACCCAGTCCAGGGAACTGATGTCGCCTGATCTAGCCACGATCTCCTGCAGGAGCCGTCCAAGCGCATTTTGCTTCTTCTCGCCATAGATTACAGGCAGGTGGATGCCAAAGATACCAAACAACGAGTACGTGATGTCTTCCTGCATCGTGGTGACACATTTTGATGCCCATCGCAGCTTTTCTCAAGCGTCTCTCATCCCTGGATGGAAGGAGATCAAGGCCTGTGTATCTATTCCCGTCGCATCCTCCAACTCCTTCATGATTGCTGGGGATTCTTTGTGGTTGGGAGAGCGATCGTCCAGATATAATGACCAGTCGTTCTGATAAAATATAACGACTTTTGGAGTGATGAATTCTTGAAAGGTCCATCCTCGTTCGTTCCAAACACTACTCGCCAGTGCGCCGAACTGGGATGAAGGAGGAACATCGGATAGATAGACTATGGTGAGCGCTGAGTGGTGGTACCAGACAAACATGGAATTGACCGATTCTTGAAGCTCGACGTTGTTGCTCTTGTCAATGCAGCATGTATCCATCCACGCCCATAAATACCCCGCATCACGAGCTACCTTGCAAAACGACTGCAGTTTTGCGGTGCCACCGAGTCCATCCAACTCGTACACCATTTTGTCCTGGATGTGGTGCAGCAGTGCCTCCATCTCTTCCCACCTATGTGATAGCAAAACACAACGGAAGTGTGTTGCCATTACCTCCTTGATGTGTTCCATTTTGAGATCCGAACAGTTCATTATGGATGACAAAAGCTCCTTGTATTCTGGACTTGTTTTGAAGGAGTTTAGCTGTGCTGCTCGGTCGCACAGAATCCCTGTAGAGGTGTTGAGCAGACGAAGGGGGGCGTTGCTGAGTTCAATCCAAACCGCTCTTTGAATAGAATTTTCTGCTTCCAATGGACAGACGTACTGCTGACGCAGATCTGCAGCATGATGTAGGTATTTCGAGGCGATACAGCAGTGTTCCATGGCTTACCTTGTATCTGCACTTCTGGAGCGTCGTCCAACTTGGACAACATGATTGTGAAGGCCTCGATGGCTTCATTGTAACGTTGCGCACCACGCAGCGCTGAGTGTGACAAATGGTACCCAACATGAGATGAAGGGTTGAGTTCGGTGACCTATGCATCGCTGAAGTCAACATTGGCTATAAAAATGTGGATGTCATCGCACCTTTTGCGCGTCGAGGAGTGCATCCTCCCACATCATTTTACTTAAATTTGCCTGGCTGCGACTTGCAAAGAAGATATCGGATGCAGAATCCAGGTCGATCGCCATCGAGTATAGGTCAATAGCCTTGTCGTAATCGCTTGCAGTGAAGGCAGCCTCTCCATTGGCAGTGCAGAGTGCACTGCATTGCTGTTTGAAATCTGAGAAGAATACAGGTGAGGATTGTCGCCTGCACGACATTACGGGGTTCTAGACTCGCTGTTGGACCAATCGAGGCAGTCGGCTTTGGTGATTTCATCAATCATGTGTTGGTATGATTTCATGGCATCTTGGAGTTTACCCACCTGAAGGAGTGCATCATACCGTTTATAGTGTGCCTTTCGCCACAACGACTTGAGATCCCAGCCAAAGAGCTGGACAAGGAATTCGGTTATGAAAAGCGTCATATAGGCATCATCTTGACGTACCACCACCAAATCTTCATATACTTCATGAATGTCCGATTCCGATGATAAATCGCTGGAGTCGAGCGCGGTAGTGAAATGGTCGGCGGCTTCGTTGTAGCATGCGCCATCCAAGGCTTTGATCCCGAGTTGAACCTGTAGATATGCCTAATGTGCGAGTTGTAAAGATGAGGCCTTGATGACCAAGCATGGATGACACTTATTTGCACGATGCCACATGCGAGAGTGTCAGCATTCGGACAACTGGCAGCGAGCTCTTTGAGGAGCAGGTTTGCCTCGTCATTTTGATCTGCATTGAAGAGCGCGATGGCCTGAAATACGCGATGAAGGGAAGAGTATGCGAGGCAAATGTAACATACCTTGATCAATAGCAGAAAATGAAGGATTTCTGAATCCTGGTCCATGTACATGGATGCAACATCAAATGCTGCCCTCACATCCAGGACCCGGCCTTTTCCACAGAGGGCAATACCCTTGGAGATATAGCCCATCAACGAGGGCTGAATCCTGATGGACTATGTCACCGTTGAGTTAGCCCTGCATAAGGCGGCGATGATTCTCACTTTGATTGCGTCCAGAAGGGCGCGGTCCCAGTCGTATTTTTGGGCCATGACGAATGACTGATGGGCGTAGGAAGTATGGTTGTTCGGACTGGTGTTGATATCTTGAGTGAGCAGTTTTTTGGCGGTAGATAAGTCTCCATTTAGACATGCAATATGGGAGGTCGTGATGGCTAGGATCTGCACGAAACATGCTCTAATTGTGGTATATATGATTGAAGAATGGAAACATGCCTTTGAGCGATGGACGTAGGGGGTATGGTTGTTCGCATCAGTATTGATATCTTGCATGAGTAGTTCTTCGTCAGTAGATAAGTCTCTATCTATGCATGCATCCCGGACTGTTGTGGTGGCAATAGTCTGCAAGAAGCACGCTCAATTTGTGGTATATGAGTCAGAGACGGAAACAAACTCAGGCTAAATCTTCAAAGCTCATCCCTCCACACATCAATCTTTGCAAGCAAGTCATGATTTTGCGAGTTTTTTGACATTTTGAGTACCCACCTGCAAAGATTGATATGTGGAGGGATGAGCTTTGAAGATTTAGCCTGAGTTGTTGGACTAGCAATATCTCAGCCAATCCTGGATCATTTTGCATAAACTTTTTTTTTGTTTTTGTCGCAGAATAAAGGGCTACCATCCCAGATACTCAAAACCCACCAAAACCCCGGGGGTATACCCATGCAGTTCCCTAATTGCCGCCTATGAGAAGGCGTGTGCCATCGGGCGTCCATGCGAGTGACGAGTTCAATGACGTGTGAGCCTTGAATGATGTTACACATTCCCTGGTGCCTGAATTGTAAATTTGAATATTTTTGCCTGTTGCGATGGCAAGAAGTTCTCCAGATGGTGAATACCATATGCAGTAGACAAATTGACACTCGATCAGATCTCCTTGAAACTGCCAGGTTTTGGTATTCCACAGTTTTGTCATTTTGTCCCAAAATGTACCAGTCGCCAGCACTGTTCCATTGGGAGAAAAATTCAGCGAGGTGATATATTTGGAGTGTGCTTTGATTTTGGTGAGTGATTCGCCAGTGTCTCCGTGCCAGATGATGACCACTCCGCTTGCATCACCACTTGCCATCAATTGCCCATCTCGTGATACAGCCACACTCCACACCTCATAGCGATGCCCCTCCAACTTCTTCAACACAACATCTGTCTTCAAGTCCCACAGATGAAGTGTTGTGTCGTACAAGCCCGTAACCATCCGACGTTTATCAGGGAAAACTGCGACTGCAGCTATGCATCCTTCATGGCCTTTGAACACTCGCAGGGGAGTGGTGATTGTAATGAGCTCCGACATTTTAACTGGATGTTGATGGTATGGAATATGGATGAGGCTAAACTTTGGAGGGATTATGTCTTTCTCTAAGCTGCAGAGGATGTATGGTGTGTTTTATGGTGCTTCACAGCTTGCCTCATTTCAATAGACGCCGAGGACATCTAAGGCTGTTCGTGCCCACGCCTCCATCACCATAATGCACGCACCCCATTGTCATAACTGCCGCTGTCCTTGACAGTATGCACATCTGCAGTGCATACATGTGTCCGACTCTTGTCTTCACAGCTTCCAAAATGTATCTCTTATCAAGTCGAGCAGTCCGTGCTTTCCAGCGCTCAAATCTGACTGAGACTCTATCCTGCATGAATACCATTGTTTTTTGTATCTAGCACCTACTCCAGCTTACCACCACGTTACTCCTTTGAACGCATGTATCTTACTGCAATATCACCTCTCCATCCAACAGACTCCCAAGATCCTTGTGTGCACAAGGTGCAACGGACTCGCCTTACATGTAACCTCTATTTGGCAGGTGGCAGGCCTCTTCCCATGTTGCATAATAAATCTGGAGCAAAATTGAATATGCTGACGGATAATGAAAGCCAACGACACTAAAAACAAAGGTAATACATGATTTCACCCCCAAACCATATCCGCACAGCTCTTAGCATTGCATTTTTATCAACTGCAATACCCTTTCCTTCGTGTGGCGAGGTGTGAATATGCACGAAAATACAGGGTGCCTGCATCGGGTGGCTCAGATAAAATACAGGGATTCTCGAAGACAACTCACGTCGTTAAGCCTCCCGTCCATTTCACTCCTTCAGCATCAGGCCCGACATTCCATCCTGGTGCACGTTCCAACTGAAAAACAGCTAGAATATTCACAACTGTGGCGAATAAAGAAGCATCGGCAACATGTCGTCCAACACTGCTGAAAGGTGAGGCAAACCCGTATATTTGCAAAAATCTAAAGTTCATACCAAATACGCCTTCCAAATCCAAAAACAAAGGAAATATCATCACTGGCAGGGTCATGTGTTGACAGCTCTTCGACGGCGACTTTTGACATGTGGCGCTCGGGTATGAACCTCGTTGGGTCAGGAAATTTATCTGGATTGCGCGCCATAAACCTGCATAAAAAGAAATGGTTATATCTGATCTTTATTCACATGATATGATGAATCACCATGCATTGGGTATTACAGTAGCCCCTTGAGAAACAGTTTCAGAAGAGGGATAGGTCTCTCAGTCCATAGACTGACCTTTTGGAATATAGTAGCCTTCGTAGATGTCGTCATTTACCGCGGCATGTGCAACGCCTAAATCCAGTCAGTGACCATGCTAACCAGAGTTTGATGAGTCAAGAGTGCTGACCCAGAGGGGCGACATGGAACCACCTTAGCGTCTCCAGTATGACGGCATTGATGTAGGGCATAGAGGCGCGATCATCTTAGTTGGGCAATCTTTCAAGAGTTTCCCCAATGACAGAATCAATCTCTGCTTGCACACATGTCTGCACCTCGGGATATAGAACAATCGCGAGCAGGAAGATGTATAAAGTGGATGCCATCTGGGCCTTTGGTCAGTATATAAATAAAATAGAAATTGTGTCAAAGTATACAGTTCCTGAAGCGGCTAGGAGCACGGAGAAAATCAGTTGTTACGACAAATGGTCGTGTGCGACTAGGATGATCTAAACAGCGACAACCACGACAGTGGTACCGAGTGCTGAGAGTCGTCGGCCTTTACAGACAAGCAAAGGTTGCGTACTCGAACGTAGCTCGTGGTGGTTAACGAGGGTTTACGCTGAGATGATAGCAGGGTTTACAGACAGTGAGAGGCGTTACTGAAGGTACGAGTCGATGTCGAGCAGGTAGCTTTAGCGGGACAAGGAGTTCAAGGGTAAACCTAGTAAGATTAAAGTAAGGAGCGTCTACTTTAATCTTCGACTTTATATAAGGCTACTCTTCGTATCTAAGCTCAGCCTAAAGCTGGGTTCTAATCTGCTTATCTACATGAGTCATAGATAGTGTCCATGAGGCGGGCTTCTATCGTAGCCAGGATCCATGTGGTATCCTTCTATCAGTACATGAGGCAGCGCGAGGCTTGCCTTCTATCATCCTTGAGGCAGCACGATGCTTGCCTTCTATCTTCTATCAGTCCATGAGGCAACACGAGGCTTGCCTTCTATCTTGATAACATTAATAGGTCTTCTAGACCTATGTCGTCATGTATCGTCACGTGCGGTCCAGACCGCTTATCTAAGCCGGCAGTTGCCGCTTATCGTCTATCGTCATCTATCGTCATCTGTCGTCACAGAGCTAGTGAGGCTCCGGTATCGTCTATAGAGCTGGTGAGGCTCCGGTATCATCTATAGCCGTGCGTTCAGCAGAGGGCTGTCGTCTATAGCCTTGCGGTGGCAGAGGGCTGGTCTGCTGGCGGGGGACTCGTGCCATGTTACTGTAACATCAGTAGAGATACATCAAAAATATAATGACCATTGCAGAGTTGTCACGAACCAGCATAACCAGTTGCACTGGATTCCTTGATCCCTTGCTCAGGAACAGCTGCCTCCCTTTCATCTTGTGTTTTGACTGGTATACGTTTCAATGCATCCGACACCACGGATGGTGAGCCGTTCCCGCAGCCTGAAAATCATCATGAGCCTCATCTAAATAATACTTCGATCAAAAGGCACTTGGAACTTGCCATGTTGTTCTTCACATGTTCAAACGGCATGTCCACAATCATGGGAACGAGGGTTCTCTGGACTATAGCATCCCGTACAAAGCTCGCTCCAGGGAGCCAAGGAGGAAGTTTTTCCACTGTGAGTGCATTAGAATAGAACTACAGCTGATCGAAGAAGTTATACGCACATATGGGGAACTGTGTTACAAAAGCTGCGACTTCAGGCCTGAATAATTTTATATCTATCTCAAGTGAGCGTTCAATGACCGCAAGGAAGGGATCATCAACAGGCGCTATAGCATAATCATACATGATTGACATGATAGTAGACGTGCTGAAGCTGCGTAGAAAGTATTGTTCAGCCACGCAATACATGAAAGGAGAAATTGCTAATGTGTATAAATGGGTTCCATACACCTCCGGAGAGGCTAGTAGGTTTAGTATCAAAATGCGAGCATTGCGTATTTGTATCGGACGGAAGGATGACACTGCTTTTAAATGGAATGCTTCATGGAAGATTCGCCTGTCTGTAAAGACATGATAAGTGCGATAAGAGAGCTCGAAGGTATGATATACTAACGAAGTCTCCACTTGTCTGAGTAGGGTAGAAAAGTAGTGGAGTAGTCATGACCAACACTAGGACTCGTTTAACAATGGGTAAATCAAAAGATAGAAGGGCCTCACAAGTCAAGAATATGCACAAGCCCTGGGGGTCTTGTGGAATAGTTGTGTGAACGACGGTCAAGCAAGTCATGCGCAACTCTTTCAGAGTTGATGATCATGATATCCTGATTAAACAGTCGGGTGTAAACGATTTCCCCTGTGTCACAATTCAGCACATCCAGATTCACATGTCGCAGGTTCTACGCACCATACTCGGTTCCCCATCTTGTGTATGCTAACCATGGATGATCTGGGTCGATTCCGATCACATTTCCAACAACAGGGAGAGGTGGAGGACCAGGGGGTAAAGGATGCTTCTTAGTGTGTCTCTTCTTTTGCAAGGATTGCACTACCACGACAGATACAAGCGCTATGAGGGCAAGTGTGAGTGCTAGTGTTGGGGCCATCGCTCGAACCGAATAAGTGACTGAAGCGCCCCCATATCATATGTGCCTGGATTTTGTGCGGCCGGTGACCCCATCAATGCTGTGGGGCTATGTCCATTGTTGTCCCCGAAAACTTTGGCCAAGTGTCGATTCTTGACGACCCCAAACCCCTTGAATAGTGTCTTCGAAGGACAGCTTGGCTTCAGTCTGTGGAGATCGATTGTCACGGTGTTGGACCTGTACTAATCTGTACGGCTAGACTGTAAGTACATCATTCCATACGCCCATCAATGGTACCTTTAGTATTACGGCCTATATACAGTCGGAAAGTGTGCCGGTGTAACCTGCCCTGAACTGCCATGTTCTGCAGGACAGCCACAGCAACGACTTAGTCTTAGCTTAACATCCAAAACCATTTGTCACAATAAGTTATTTGATATTGATATTGTCTTGCAGCTTTGATAGAACCCTATCCATGTGCGACAAGCAGCCAGATTAGCTGGATACTGGCGGCATTCCTAATCACACTGGGCTGTTATAGAATGTCGCGGGTGAAATTAAAGGTCGTTGCTCCACTTCCTGATTTGCGTCATGAATGTGAACTCGTTTATGACAGCCTGTCTATCCGGTCGGCTTCAGCTTTGTTCATAGCACAAGATGTCACCTTGGCACTTTCAAAAATGATCGAGGTGACGATTGGCATGCGAGCACTTCAAGCTGCAGGGTGAGCGAGTACTGATACTCCCTCTTTTGTAGGTCATGCAATGCCATGACTATTTCGGCTGCAACCCTGGCCGATATCTACGATACTCATGAGCAAGCCCGTCTCGATGATACCGTGAACATGTTCACTTTCGGGCCTTCTTCATCTTGATGAGCAGTTTCCGCCTTACTCACCACGGGAAGCCCGGACATCGGATGGAAAGAAGCTTACCTCTACGTCACATGGCCCGGCGATTAAGGCCATCCTGAGTGTTATATGGACCAATTTTCACTTCAGATTGCAGGTCCTAGCTGAGAAGTCGTTGATGAATGTATGTGGTGAGCTTCTTGATCTTTTCAATCGTTTAAACATCGACATCCTAGAGTGATGCCACAAGGTCGAGCCATGCTCAAGGATCTTCGCCGAATACCGCCAGGCTTCTTCGATGGCGACAAAATGGGTCATCTGCATTTTTTGACTCTTGTGGCTATCTCAAAAGATAGGCATGTAGAGTCTGGATTCACTGGTAATCCCTGCCTCTCTTATTGAACTATTTATGTGGGCTTTGCTCGCATACATGATCAAGATCTGCTGTAGTCATCGAACATCGATCATTTCCTCCCCGACCGGTAAGGAGCAAGAGTCGATCGGGTACAAGGTGTTATACACTTGCCTGGCAGACGGCGCATAATACAACTCCCTCCAGAATTTAACATATAAAGAGTGGAGATACAACCTTGGAGGTGTCTGCGTGGGTGATGATTTATTCATCATTTGCGAGGGGCGGATACCGTGACAATGTAGCGAAATCTGGAATACGAAGATGGGCTTCGCGGTGCACGCCGCTTGCTTGATGTTATGTATGTGTTCTCCTTCCATGATTATATCCTTCTGTAATTATCGGATCTCCCCAGAACATCCGCCGCCCATACAGAAGTTGATGTGATTTGAACAAGAAGCCCTACGTATATATAGCGATAGGAGGTGCATCACTGAGTTGCATAATCGCTGTCGATTCCTCCACTTCCCCGTGGTTATAAGGACGGTCGTCATATACAGTTTACTAACACACTGCCCGAATCATGGCCCTTGCAGTTGATCGCCACCTTGCTATCTTCACTGGTGTTTCTCTTTCCTTTGTCGCTGTCAAGGCACTCAAGTTGTTCATCACAAAGCGACAGAATAATGTTACTCTTCCTCCTGGTCACGTGATCAGGCTAAGATCATGAATGCGTGCTCGCTACTCTTGAGTCTTGACTCTGAGCATGGCGAGCGGTTGTCACTCTCCTTCTCCAGAATCACCTGGCCCTCAACCGATAAGAAGACTCCACGAGTGCCTCATCAACCTAATTCCAGCAGGCAAAGTACGCGCTGGGTTGACACCACGGTACAGGCATGAATAAGTATCGATGAAAATCATCTCTAGATCATACATGGACTCGCTTCTGCGTTAAAAGAGCTGCTGGAAAATAGCCTCAATGACGGGTCTACTTCTATTCAAGTCACCGTCAAGGATGGCGGTAAGAAGCTGCTTCAGATTCAGGACAATGGCTGTGGTATTCGTGTATGTCTTCCTCGCATTCGCATCGAGGCTTTCCATTGAGCTTGTTGGAAGAAAGAAGACCTACCCTAGCTCGCTGAGCGTTTTACTACCTCCAAATTGACCACCTTTTCACAAGCTGACTACTTACGGGAGGCTCTGCCATCTATATCACATGTCGCGCACCCGACAGTGCCCATGAAGACCAAGTCAACCAACTGTGCTCGGAAGTATGTGTATAAAAATTGTGCACGGAACCAGAGCGCCTGCCGAGAATTCTACAGAGCTGCTTACGTTGATGGCGGTCTCGTCCCGTCGCAAGCGGGATTGGAGACTTCAATGGGTGCCATCATGCGCCACTACATCCAGAAAGTCATCGCGTACTCATTGTTTTGGCATCTTTGATGTCCACCTACCCGTAATATATGGCAAGAAAAAGTACAACGCGCTCGGGCGACTCCTGCAGGAGATCGTAGCACAGTCAGGCGACATTACTGTCCTTGATTGAGTCGTACAATCATCCGAAACTTTACGACCGGCTTGATCACACGAGCGCTGCTCATTTTGCAGCATAGCATTCCGTGTCACAGAAGTCAGTCTGAGCGATAGTCCACCCCAGGACATTCGAAGTCAAGGAGTCGCTAGGATTCAGGAAACTATTCGGGCAAGCTTTTTAGCCAGTCACGTGGTGTTGTTTTTAGCCAGCAAAGAAGTCTGAATTAGCCAACCAGTTTTATCCCGAACCCTAATCATCAGCTCCCTCTCTTGTAGGTCATGCACCGCCATGACTATTTCGGCTGCAACCTGGCCAATATCTACGATACTTACGAGCGAGCCCGTCTCGATGATACCACCAACATCTTCGCTTTCGGGCCTTCAGCTTGATGAGAAGTCTGCACTCTACTTACTCGCCGCTGGAAGCCCGGACATCGGATGGAAAGAAGCTTATATCCGGCGTTACATGGCCCGGCAATTAAGATGATCCCGAGACTAATCTAGTTGGAGGTCGTAGCTGAGAAGTCATCAATGGATGTACGTGACAAGTTTTAAGCCGTTTTAACATTGACATCCTAGAGTGACGCCACAAGGTCGAGCCATGCTCAAGGAGTACCGCCCGGCTCTTTCGATGGCGACAAAATGAGTCATCTGCGTTTTTTTTTTGACCAACTCTTGTGGCTATCTCAAAGATAAGCATGTAGCGTCCAGATCTGTCCAGATTCATCTCCTCCCCGACCGGTAAGGAGCAAGAGTCGATTGGGTACAAGGTGTTATACACTTGCCTGGCGGACGGTGCATAATACGACTGAGGAGCGGAGATACAACCCTGGAGGTGTCTGCGTGGGTGATGATCTATTCACCCAATAACACAATTTGGGATGGGCGGATATTGTGACGATGTAGCAAAATCTGGAATACGAAGATGGGCTCCGTGGTGCACGCTGCTTGCCCGATCTTACACCTTTTTCATATCTTGTGTATGTATGTCTTCTCCTTCTATGATTATATCCTTCTGTCAGCTTCGGATCTCTCCAGAACATCCGCCGCCCATGCAGAGTTTGATGTGATTTAAGCAAGAAGCCATACGTATATATAGCTATAGGATAGGCTCGTGACCAGCCTGGCCTAATACTACCACGGTTACACAAGTGGTGTAGCCAGGCTGGTCGATCTCGGAGTGGCGTGGCAGGGCGGAGCGAGGAGTTTGAAATTTGATAGGTGCCGGTCGTGCCGGTGGTAGTTACGATCATATAGCACAAGTTATGCGTCTGCTCTCGCTCAGACTGTACTCTATGTTAAGTTTCCACCATGAGTTCTGTACGACCTTTATCACTTGCTGCTCAAGATACAATTGAGAATCTCCCAACGGACTTTACGGGGGCCCTCTCAACGACACAACACCAGCAAGTTCTCGAGGCTTTCTCGCGACTCAATCTTCTTTCCCAAGGATCACAACGTCCGAAATTGTTCCAGCTCAGATGCCTCATATCATTACTTTCCGCGAGACACGTTGTACTTCGAGCTGCGACAGGCTCTGGAAAGACCCTTGCTATGATTCTCCCTCTACTCCTTTCTCCCAACAAGACAGCTATCACTGTCACACCTTTGAAATTGCTGCAGCGAGATCATGTACGCTAAAGATACGACATTTTCACTCACTCGGATTGTTCTGGGAGCGAACGTTTGAAATCTGTGACTCGATCACGGTACAGTACTGTTCATTTTCATCAACTTCGCTATTGACTTTGTTGAAAATACAATACAAACACTTACGGTCTCGGCCCCATGCTGATGTTTTTTCTCTTTCGCAGCTCGCACTGTCTGCATAGCTGGCAGAAGAATGCGACGTAGCAATGGAGTGGTTTATTGTAATGGCTTTGTCAACGATGTATCGAGATCAAACGAGAGGAGTAGTTCGGGGGTGACATCTTTTGATGACATGCGAAAAATGTTCTTAGCGGCCTCCATCTCAGCATCAATATCATCAATGACCATTGCAATAGCAAGGGGTCGTAAACTGACGTGAAGTTGCTCACTCGCTCGCTCGTCCATGTCCAACACATTCAGAAATTGCACAAGTGCCTTGCTTCGAAAGAAACCTTCTCTCCAAGTTGCCATGGAGGGTCTCTCCAAGTTGCCATGGAGGGTCTTTCCGAGATTGAATACAACATGAGGTCCATGACTGTCATCCGCAATCCACGAAGTATTTTGAGGACAGCGATAATTTTTCCTTCCTCGTCGAGGCTGGAAGGATTGATCATCCAAGCCAAAGGTTCAGGCTGCTGATACATCATCACGGGTGGGTATAATGCATGAAATGGAATCATTTTGATTGTCCTGATCAATGATTAGTGCTCCGGCGCGATGTACTGTTGTATTTGAGAGGATACTGTACTTTTCACGGTACGAACGAAAGAGTCTGTGCTGTTGACAAGTAATGTTACCCAAAACGGCATACCGGCATCTGCCAAATTTCAAACTCCTCGCTTCGCCTGCCAAATCACTCCGAGTTCGACCAGTCTGACTACGTCAATAAATTCTCACCATCTCAAATTGACGTATGTAGTCAGACTGGTTACGAGTCTAGCTATAGGAGGCACATCACCGAGTTGCATAATCGCCGTCGATGACCGGGACCCCACTTCTCCGTTGTTATAAGGACGACCGTGTTATATACAGTTTACTTACCCGCTGCTCGAATCATGGCCCTTGCAGTTGATCGCCACCTTGCATTCCTCGCTGGCATTTCTCTTTCCTTTGTCGCCATCAAGGCACTCAAGTTGTTCATCAAAAAGCGACAAAATAATGCTCCTCTTCCTCCTGGCCCAGTGCCCCTCCCACTGTTGGGGAGCGTCTTATCTATAGACGCTTGCGAGCCTTGGCTGACTTACACCAAGTGGGGTGCTGTGTATGGTACGTGAACAGATAGTATAGGACATACGTGGTATGAATCATTATGTCAGGGGACTTGGTTTTCGTGCGAAGTCTAGACGAGGAAATGGTCGTGGTCAATTCTCAGCCCATTGCAGAAGCATTACTGGACAAGCGTTCTCGGATTTACTCCGATCGACCATACCTAGCAACACTCGAGCCGTGAGTTCGTTCAGTATTCCTTTATTCAATCAATCTGAGGTTCTCGCAGATATGGGTTGTCGCTCAACTTTGCATTCATAGCTTATGGCGATGAATGGCGTCTCTGCAGACGACTTTTCCACCAAACTTTCCGTCCCGAGTCTGCAGCAAAATTTCGCCCAATGCAAATCCAGCGTGCTCGTGAGATTGTCATCAACCTAGTCAATGACCCCGAAAATTATTACGACCACTTTGCAACGTTAGTGAATGATTTTTACGAATTGAACTATTATTTACCTGTTCACAGATTCTCGTTATCTGTTGTGATGTCAACAGTATATGACTACGATATCGGTGCTCGTGATGATCCTATGGTGCAGACCGTCATAAAGGCACTGGATCCAGGCTTGACCGTGTTGACCCCAGAAAGAGCATTATTGCTCAAAACCTTTCCCTTCTGTGAGCTCAACTCTCCTGGATGAGACAACGTTAACATGACACGCACTTTTGTTGGATGTAGTACTAAAGGTACCTGACTGGTGCTGGGGATCATCGATCAAGCGTAGTGCTCGAGGTTCGAGGGAGCGCCTCAATGCAATGGCCGACATGCCATTTCGATATGTGCAGCAGCACATGGTGGGTGTTTATGTTTCTCTTGATTCTAGACATTGACTCGGCTCTTTGCAAGGCCGACGGCTCGTCCCTCGCTCGGTCTTCGATGGTTGCAGAAAATTTGCAACGGATGGAGAGGCAAGAGGAGGCATTCAAACCTGCATTCGAGAATGCGTTGAAGAAAGCAGGTACTACTGCTATTATAGGTAAGTCAGCCTTTTTACGAGCAACGTTGTACTCTCAACATACACTAATATCACACAGCTTCATATGAGACGGTAAATGGACAACTCCATCGTGTTGACCGCTGCTTATCGTCGTCACAGAGTGCAGCAACTTTGATGGTTTTTTTCCTGGCCATGGTATTGTATCCTGAAGTTCAGAAACGCGCACAAGCGGAAATCGACTCAGTGATTGGAAAAGAACGGCTGCCAACGTTCGAGGACAGAGCATCGCTACCCTATATCGATGCAGTTTTGCGAGAGACTTGGCGATGGCAGCCTGTTACGCCTCTTGGTATTCTTCCCCGCCAAATGATCTGGCCTGTGCTGAAGATGACCACATAGGCGTACCACATGCTACCTCGAGTGATGACGTATACAATGGGTATTTCATTCCAAAAGGTCCGCTGTTTTTGTTCCGGAATCAACGCAATGATTATTTATAGTATCGTGCATCAGGCGCAATCATCACATACAACACATGGTCTGACATGTTCCTCCCAGCTTTTGTGGTACTGACTTGATTGTAGGGGTATTACACGGGATGAAAAGCGGTACCCTGACGCATCGAGTTTTATACCAGAGAGGTTCATCGACAGCGATGGCGCGCTGACAAGTGATGACCCCGCACAATATATTTTCGGCCTTGGCCGGCGTATATGTCCAGGTTCGTTAACTTATTCTAATCGTATAAAAGATTCACCGACAGATAGACCTTTATCAGGGCGGTATAACGCTGATTTCTCCGCGTGGGCTGCCATTGCGACCATGTTAGCCACGTTGAATATTTCTCCTGCCAAAGATGACCAGGGCAAAGTGATCAGCTTTACTCCCGAGTTCATCCCAGGAGTGGTCCGGTACTTGACTTTCTTCGTGTTATTCTACCCTCTCGTCACTAACCGTTTCGTTGCTTCAGGTTTCCTGCGACCTTCCCTTGCAGTATTTCGGCACGGTCTCATATTCATTCAGACACTGTGGATAGTTGGCGAACTGCCGAGTTTTGACAGGAGGGATAACAGTTTGCTATCCGTGATCCTATTGGGAGCAGCTAGAGGCAACGTAGTACTAATCGATTGAGTACTTCCTGCCAGTGTATACTAGGTCAGCAGACGCGATGAACGTGTCCAGTTATTCGAGGGCTATGACATTTTGATGACAGGGTCCTTGCCATTTACAATATCGAAGTTCAACTTAAAGATGAGATCATCGGGGCTGGGTGCCAGAGGCACAGCTCCTTCGTGCTGATGGGTGGTTTCATGCTTTATGTGGATGGGGAACCCTGCCTCACCCTGCGCCCTGATTACATTCTTAAATTGATACATGAAAGGTGTACATGTATTGACGTCCCTACCCTAACGAAAAGCCAGATTCAAGACAAGAGCAAAGGTAATGCGATATCGAAAGGATTGGTGATGTTCCAGGTGGCCTGGGGTGTTATGCAGCTCTGGGTCATCACCCGCGCCATCTATCACCTCGAAACTATGCAGCTCAAAGTTTATATCATTGCTGATCCCGTCTGCCTTAGTGTCAGCGATAGAGACGAATTCACTTAGCTTCAGATCTTGCGTCAAGTCTTCCGCCCAGTTATAGAGCTGATAGGCTGGGCTGAGGTTCCCACATATCGAAAGCTCCGAGTTCCAACGTTTGATGGCAGCATCGAGCTCGAAATGAAGGTGCGGCAGCCGGCCTTCGGTACTTCAGTACTCAATTGTGGTACAAGGGGAGGATCAATGATGAACGTGAGATGGGGGGTGATGCCGTCTGCAACGGGATGCAATTGTGAAGGGTAAATTATAGATAGAGCACCTCAGCGACGACTTTAATGCATGAAGAAGACCGTGTGCATCCGTTCCTAACAGCCTCGCTTGAAGCCCTCGTGGCACCAGCACCAGCCGATCCTGTCAAGCTCTTCCTACTCAGCAGAGCAAGCTTCTTTCTTCGTGCTTTCCCACTATTCCCGCTCATCATTCTCTCGAAGCTTCAAAGACTTCTTGCATCATGGACATGTTCTTCTTCTTCAGCTCCACGAGCTCGCCCTGCCCTGCCCATCCTCTCCCTTCCCATTCCCTGTCATCCCCAAACTCGCTATCGGCGAGAACCCACTCTCTCACTTCAACAGCCCCATGTTCCACCACCCGTGACTGGTCTCCGATGGGAGCAGATGTGAATCTCAAGGTCAGGGCAAAGCTGAAGTCGGAGCAGATTTTGAGGTGGGTAAGAACGAGCAGAGTACATGGCGTTAAATGAGCTGTCAACGACGCCGGAGATGACTTTGATAGTGGACCCTGCGATGGCGTCGACACCATGTTCTACGCGTCTGCGGAGGCTACCGGGTGCGTCTACAGGCATGTCTGGCGGAAGTGTAGTGCGCATCGTTGAGATTGGGGCGAGGTTCCTGGTGCTGTAGAAAATAAATGTCAGTACATCGAATGGGAATGGATGTTAGAACATGGGAAAGGAACAGTAGTTTAAAGTAGGCAAACGAACGATATGAATGATCAAGAAGCTGAAACACCCACCTAACAATACCAACGCCTTCCCCAACACCCACAGCACCAAAATCCACTTTCTCCAAAAACTCCATGACAGCCCATCAAATTGATCAAACAGTACCACTCCTCTTCACCAGTGAACGCAGCATTATGGTAACGCTGGGTGCGAGACCAGGCGTGCGAGGTCTGATTTAACAATGGCAAATGTAAGAGATGGAAGGAGGACATCGCCTGATGCTGTCATCGGTCCTTGGACATGGGAGATGGTCAGTCGGGGCGAGGAAGCACGAAGTGGGATGGAGATAGAGGAGGATCCTGTAGTCGATGATGGTGCGAGGCGCTAGGCGAGAGAGACGACTTCTCAGGTGACCTGTGAGCAGCATCCTCATCGGATTGTGGATAACGCGTCGGGAGAAACAACGAGCGACACCCTCAACCAAAGTGCCGGCACACCCATGGAAAAACACTGCAAAGTGACCTTGTCTCTTGAGCCTGAATGACCGGATAGCATGAATGTCACAGACATACTAGTAGAGAGTGGACGACCAGAAAATAAATGAGAACAAACATCGAGCACTGGCGATGATAAAACTTACCTCATAGTACACCCTAGCAACTTCCTGGCGAGTCCGCACCTCACATTGCCATAAGGTTCTCTTGAAGACCCATGACTCCAACGAAACGGGCGCACTGATACTTGGTGCTTCGATGACGAGTTCGACGATGAAGGTAAGTCTATCCGGAAAATGCCGGATGACATCCAAATCGGTATGTTACGCTTAGCTACCAGTCTGTCACTCAACGACTTCGCACTATTGATCATTAAATTCTTCATTACACCTTACATCGTCTAGTAAGTTCACCGATGTACTGATTGATCATCGGCTCCCTCTACTGTAGGTCATGCACCGCCATGAATTTCAGCTGCAACCCTGGCCGATATCTACGATACTCACGAGCGAGCCCGTCTCGATGATGCCACGGCCCACCAAAATATTCGCTTTCGGGCCTTTAGCTTGATTAGAAGTCTGCGCTTTGGTCGTTGCTACTTGCCACTGGAAGCCCGGAAATCGGATGGAAAGAAGCTCATATCCGCGCCACATGGCATGGCGGTGAAGATCCTGAGTATCATATGGACTAATCTCCCACGTCAAGTTGCAGGTCCTAGCTGAGAAGTCGTTAATAAATGTATGTGACGAGCTTCTTGATCTTTTCAACCGTTTTAACATCGACATCGCCACAAGGTCGAGCCATACTCAAGGATCTCCGCCGAGTACCGCCAGGCTTTGTCGATGGCGACAAAATGAGTTGTCTGCATTTTTTGACCAACTCTTGTGGCCATCTCAAAAGATAGGTATGTAGAGTCTAGATTCACCAGTCCCTGCCTCTTTTATTTAACTATTTATGTGGGCTTTGCTCGCATATATGATCAAGATCTGCTGTAGTCATCGAACACCGATCATCTCCTCCCCAACCGGTAAGGAGCAAGAGCCGATCGGGTACAAGGTGTTATATGGCACTTGCCTGGCAGACGGCGCATAATACGACTAAAGAGCGGAGATACAACCCTGGAGGTGTCTGGATGGGTGGTGTCGATGATCTATCCACCCAATAACGCAATTTGCGATGGGCAGGTATTATGACGATGTGGCAAAATCTGGAACACGAAGATGGGCTCCGCGGTTTATGCTGCTTGCCCAATCTTACACCTTTTTCATATATTGTGTATGTATGTCTTCTCCTTCCATGATCATATCCTTCTGTGATTGTGGGATCTCTCCAGAACATCCGCCGCCTATGCAGAAGTTTGATGTGATTTGAGTAAGAAGTCGTATGTATATAAGCGATGGGAGGCGGATGTCCGAGTTGCATGATTGCCGTCGATTACCCCACTTCCCCGCGGTTATAAGGATGGTCGTCATATACAGTTTACTAACCCACTGCTCGGATCATGGCTCTTGCAGTTGATCGTCACGTTGCTATCCTCACTGGCATTTCTCTTTCAGTTGTCGCCGTCAAGGCACTCAAGCTCTTCATCAAAAAGCGACAAAATAATGCTCCTCTTCCTCCTGGCCCAGTGCCCCTCCCACTGTTGGGGAGCGTCTTATCCATAGACGCTTGCGAGCCTTGGCTGACTTACACCAAGTGGAGTGCTGTGTATGGTACGTGAACAGATAGCATAGGGCATACGTGGTATGAATCATTATGTCAGGGGACTTGGTCTTCGTGCGAAGTCTAGACGAGGAAATGGTCGTGATTAATTCTCAGCACATCGCAGAAGCATTACTGGACAAGCGTTCTCGGATTTACTCCGATCGACCATACCTAGCAACACTCGAGCCGTGAGTTCGTTCAGTGTCCCTCTATTCAACCAGTCTAAGGTTCTCGCAGATATGGCTTGTCGATTAACTTTTCATTCATAGCTTATGGCGATGAATGGCGTCTCTGCAGACGACTTTTCCACCAAACTTTTCGCCCCGAGTCTGCAGCAAAATTTCGCCCAATGCAAATCAAGCGGGCTCGTGATATTATCGTCAACCTAATCGATGACCCTGAAAATTATTACGACCACTTCGCAACGTTGGCGAATGATTTTTTACGAATTGAACTATTATTTACTTGTTCACAGATTCTCGTTATCTGTTGTGATGTCAGCTGTATATGACTACGATATCAGTGCTCGTGATGATCCTATGGTGCAGACCGTCATAAAGGCACTGGTTCCAGGCTTGACCTTGATAACCCCAGAGAGAGCATTAATGCTCAAAACCTTTCCCTTCTGTGAGCTCAACTCTCCTGGATGAGACAACGTTAACATGACACGCACTTTTGTTGGATGTAGTACTAAAGGTACCTGACTGGTGCTGGGGATCCTCGATCAAGCGTAGTGCTCGAGGTTCGACGGAGCGCATCAATAAAATGGCCGATATGCCGTTTCGATATGTGCAGGAGCACATGGTGGGTATCTATTTTTCTCTTGGTTTCAGACATTGACTCGACTCTTTGCAAGGCCGACGGTTCGTTGCTCGCTCGGTCTTCGATGGTTGCAGAAAATTTGCAACGGATGGAGACGCAAGATGAGGCATTCAAACCTGTATTCGAGAATGGGTTGAAGAAAGCAGCTACTACTGCTACTATAGGTAAGTAAGCAAGCCTTTTGACGGGCAACGCTGTGCTCTCGACATGCACTAATATTGCGCAGCTTCATATGAGACGGTAAGTAGACAACTCATCATGTTCTCCGCTGCTTATCCTCGTTAGACTGCGGCAACTTTAATGGTTTTTTTCCTGGCCATGGTATTATATCCAGAAGTTCAAAAACGCGCACAAGCAGAAATCGACTTGGTGGTTGGAAAAGAACGGCTGCCAACGTTCGAGGACAGAGCATCGCTACCCTACATCGATGCAGTCCTGCGAGAGACTTGGCGATGGCAACCTGTCGTGCCCCTTGGTATTCTTCCCCACCAAATGATCTGGCCTGTGCTGAAGATGGCATCATAGGCGTACCACATGCTGCCTCGAGTGATGACGTATATGATGGGTACTTCATTCCAAAAGGTCTGCTGTTTTTGTCCCGGAATCAACGCAATAATTATTTATAGTATCGTGCATCAGGCGCAATCATCACATACAACACATGGTCTGATATGTTCCTCCCAGCTTTTGTGGTACTGACTTGATTGTAGGGGTACTACACGGGATGAAAAGCGGTACCCTGACGCATCGAGTTTTATACCAGAGAGGTTCATCGACAGCGATGGCGCGTTGACAAGTGATGACCCCGCACAATACATTTTCGGCCTTGGCCGGCGTGTATGTCCAGGTTCGTTAACTTATTATAATCCCATAAAAGATCCACCGACAGATAGACCTTTATCAGGGCGGTATAACGCTGATTTTTCCGTGTGGGTTGCCATTGCGACCATGTTAGCCACGTTGGATATTTCTCCTGCCAAAGATGACCAGGGCAAAGAGATCAGCTTTACTCCCGAATTCATCCCAGGATTGGTCCGGTACTTGACTTTCTTCGTGTTATTCTATCCCCTTTTTACTAACAGTTTGTTGCTTCAGGTTTCCTGCAACCTTCCCTTGCAGTGTTTCGGCGCGATCTCACATTCATTCAGACCTTGTGGACAGTTGGCGAACTGCCGAGTTTTAAAAAGAAGGGATGGCAGTTTGCCATCCGTGGTAGAGGTGATGTAGCAATCGATCAAGTACTTCTTGCCAGTGTATAATAGGTCAGCAAACACGCTGACCGTGTCGTTTATTTGAGGGTTGTAACGTTAGGGTGACGGGGTGCTTGCCATTTGAAGGTGAGATCATCGGGGCTTGGTGGGCAGCCTGGGTGGCTGGGACATGTCACACGGTAGCCGAGGATCCGAGAGTTCTTGTTCTCGTGAAATTCGTAAAGTCTATGTACCCTCAAATTGCAAATAGCTTGAACAAGATGCATGCGGCTCCGAGACACCCCACTGAAAATGTCATGCGCAGTACTTTTCTGCGTCATCCTCTGCCTCGTTGGAGTGGTTCATGCTGCACCTATAACAAATACAACAAATACTACTGCCAGCGACAGTTTCTTGAAAGCCCCATCATTCACGACCAGAACCATGTGGACTATCATCTCTAGCTCCGTTCTCACTCTATTTGCGTGCATATATAGTGCTATTCACCCCAATATCCCGAGTCCTGAGGACAGACCCCTTCGTGTCCTCCTGCAGCGGCATGGCATCACGATTATGGCACTAATCGCTCCTGAACTGATCGTCACATGGGCTATGCGCCAATGGTTCAGTGCTCGCCGAGTTACAAGACAGTTCGAGAAATCAGGGTATACAAACATTCGTCTGGAGTCTGAAGGTAAGTTGTGCTTTTGGAAACTCTGTATCTCACAACTCACTATATGCATCCTTAGAAAAAGTGTGTGTTGAAACACCTGAGCAACGTAAATATCGCTCCCTTCATCTCATTGCAGTGCTTGCTAAAGGTGTATCATTCGCGCTAGTGCATTTCCCTGGTGCTCTTGCAAGGTGGGTCAAAAGGTCCGTTGATGCTTACTTCTCGAAGCAATCTGAAGGTACACCCGATTTGTGCTCACCTAAACGTTGACTCATGTGCGTCCTTAGATTATACATGGACTCAGACGCACAGCTTCTTTGTGCTGATGGGTGGTTTCATGCTTTATGTGGATGGGAAACCCTGCCTTACCCTACGCCCTGATTACATCCTCAAATTAATACACGAAGGGTGTATCGACATCCCTACCCTAACGAAAAATCAGACAAGAGCAAAGGTAATGCGATATCGAAAGGATTGGTCGTGTTTCAGGTGGCCTGGTTTGTCATGCAGCTCATCACCCGCGCCATCTATCACCTCGAAACCACGCAGCTCGAAGTTGGGACACTCGCTTTTGCAGTTCTCAATTTCCTGACTTATGCTGTGTGGTGGGACAAGCCTCTCAACGTGCAGTGCCCACATCCAGTGTACTGGAAGTCGACCGAGTCAAGGCCAGAGGATCACATTGAGTACGTATGCGCCTTAGCAATGATACCATTGCTGATTATGTCCGCCTTAGTGTCAGCGATAGAGACGAATTCACTCGGCTTCGGATCTTGCGTCGAATCTTCCGCCCAGTAATAGAGCTGATAGGCTGGGCTGAGATTCCCACATCTCGAAAGCTCCGAGTTCCAACATTTGATGGCAGCATCAAACTTGAAGGTTCGGATAACATGGTTCTTCGGCTCGCTGGATTGCTTATAGCCACTATCTTTGGCGGCATCCATTGTATGGCTTGGTTTTTTGCTTTCCCCGCATGCCAGGAACAGGCGCTATGGCGCATGAGTGCCATCGCTATAACTTGCACACCCTGGCTTAGTATCCTTACGGTATTAGTCTTTAACGTCCTGGACGCACTAGATGCGTGCTTCGATGCGGTTTATGCATTGTTTGTTATGTTGTACATTACAGCTCGTGCCGTCCTCTTGGTACTGATGTTCACCACCTTACGCGATCTTCCTCCTGACGTATACAAGGCCGTGTTGTGGACTAGTTTGGTGCCGCACTTGTAGTCCGTGATCACAACACTTCATACCTTTGTGAAACCAATAAGTACCACCTTAATCGTAGAATACCCTTGTTGGCTTTGGAGGCAATGAAGTTCACAATTGGTGGTTAGGCGGCTGGTTACATAGAACAAAATTGGCTAGAGTGAGATCATTGTACTTATCCGATGGCATTGGAAATTACGTGCCGTTGTACAACCTTGATACGTTATGATCAGCTCGGCCGAATTCACAAAGCGCTGACCGTAAGAGGGCAACATCGTGTTCTCCTCCCTCTGCTCAAATATTGAATTGGATGTACTCGAACGCGTTCGTACGATTCGAATGCAGAGCCTGTTCAAATGTGTGAAATATGTTTGGTGAACGAATCGATGAGATGAAGATCGTCAGGTATGAAAAGGACTCATCGTATTGGTGTCACGGTAGTTTGTGAATTCCGTATACTTAACTTCGTTAATTGTACCGGCAGCTCTGAATTATCTCTTGCGGGACCGATAGTTGGACTTTCATGTAGATGACAGAGTGACCGATCCATCGCACATGGATCGACTTCTATCAAAGCTGCAAGGCGTTATCAATATAAAATAGCTTATGTGTTGTGACAAATGGTTTTGGATCCGAAGCTACTGCATTGCTGTGGCTGTCGGTCACCTGCTGAGCATGGCAGTTCAGGGCAGGTTACACCGGCACACGTATATATGCCGTAAAGGTACCGTTGACGGCCGTATGGAATGGCATTATGGTGTACAGTCTAGCCGTGCAAAATATACAGGTCCAACACAATCGATATCCACAGACTGAAGCCAATTCTGTACTTCCACGACACTGTTCAAGGAGTTCGGGGCCGTCAAGAATCGACACTTGTCCAAAGTTTTCGGGGACGACATACTAATAGCCCCATAGCAATGATAGCATTGATGCGGTCACCGGCCGCACAAAATCCAGACACATATACGGGGGAGCTTCAGTTACTCATTCTGTTCGAGCGATGGCCCCAACACTAGCACTTGCACTCCTCATAGCGCTTGTATCTTTCGTGGTAGTGCAATCCTTGCAAAAGAAGAGACACGCTAAGAAGCATCCTTTACCCCCTGGTCCTTCACCTCTCCCTTTTGTTGGAAATGTGATCGGAATCGACCCAGATCGTCCATGGTTAGCATACTCAAGATGGGGAACTGAGTATGGTGCGTAGAGCCACCCACATGTGGATCTGGATGTGCTGAATTGCGACACAGGGGAAATCGTTTACTCCCGACTCTTCAGTCAGGATATCGTGATCATCAACTCCGAAAGAGTTGCGCATGACTTGCTCGACCGTCGTTCACACAACTATTCCACAAGACCCCCAGGGCTTGTGCACCTTCTTGACTTGTGAGGCCCTTCTATCATTTGATGTACCCATTGTTAAACGAGTCCTAGTTTTGGTCATGACTACAACTCTGTTTTTCTACCCTACTCAGACAAGTTGAGACTTCGTTAGTATATTGTCCCTTCGAGTTCTCTTATCGCACTTATCATGTCTTTACAGACAGGCGAATCTTCCATGAAGCATTCCATTTAAAAGCAGTGTCATCCTTCCATCCGATTCAAATGCGCAATGCTCACAATTTGATACTAAACTTACTAGCCTCTCCGGAGGTGTATGGAACCCATTTTCACACGTTAGTAATTTCTCCTTTCATGCATTGCGTGGCTGAACCATACTTTCTACATAGCTTCAGCACGTCTATTATCGTGTCAATCGTGTATGATTATGCCATAGCGCCCGTTGATGATCCCTTTCTTGCAGTCGTTGAACGCTCACTTGAGATAAATGTAAAAGCACTCAGGCCAGAGGTTGCAGCTGTTGTAACAGAGTTCCCCATATGTGCGTATAACTTCAATCAGCTGTAGTTCTATTCTAATGCACTCGCAGTGAAAAAAGTTCCTCCTTGGTTCCCTGGAGCGAGCTTTGTAAGGGATGCTATAGTCCAGAGAACCCTCGTTCCCATGATCATGGACATGCCCTTTGAACATGTGAAGAACAACATGGCAAGTTCTAAGTGCCTTTTAATCGGAGTATTATTTAGATGAGGCTTATGATGATCCTCAGGCCGCGGGGACGGCTGCACCATCGGTGGTGTCGGATGCATTGAAACGTATACCAGTCAAAACACAAGATGAAGGGGAGGCCGCTGTGCTTGAGCAAGGGATCAAGGAATCCAGTGCATCTGGTTATTCTGGTGCGTGACAAATCTGCAGTGATCATTATGTTTTTGACGTATCTCTACTCATTTTCTCCGTACTCCCAGCCGCCTCAGAAACTGTATACTTTGACGCGATTTCTATTCTAGCTATATACTGACCAAAGGCCCAGACGACGTCCACTTTATACGTCTTCATCCTCGCGATGGTTCTATATCCCGAGGTGCAGACACGCGCGCAAGCAGAGATTGATTCCGTCATTGGGGAAACTCTCGAAAGATTGCCCGACTGGGATGATCGCGCTTCTATGCCATACATCAACGCCGTCATACTGGAGACGCTGAGGTGGTTCCCTGTCGTCCCTCTGGGTCAGCACTCTTGACTCGTCAAACTCCGATTAGCATGGTCACTGACTCTGGATTTAGGTATTGCACATGCCACGGTAAATGACGACGTCTACGAAGGCTACTATATTCCAAAAGGTCAGTCTATGGACCGAGAACCCTATCCCTCTTCTAAAACTGTTTCTTAAGGGGCTACTGTAATAGCCAACGCATGGTGATTCATCATATCAAGTGAACAAAGATCACACATAATTATTTCTTCTTATACAAGGTTTATGGCGCGCAATCCAGATAAATATCCTAACCCAACGAGGTTCATACCCGAGCGTCACATGCCAAAAGTCGTCGTCGAAGAGCCGTCAACACACGGCCCTGATGACGTTTCCTTTGCTTTTGGATTTGGAAGGCGTATTTGGTACGAAGTTTAGAGTTTTGCGAATAGACGGGTTTGGCTCACCTTTCAGCAGTGTTGGACGACATGTCGCCGATGCTTCTTTATTCGCCGCAGTTGTGAATATTCTAACTGTTTTCCGATTGGAACGTGCACCAGGATGGAATGTCGGGCCTGATGCTGAAGGAGTGAAATGGACGGGAGGCTTAACGACGTGAGTCATCCTTGAGGATCCCTGTATTTTATCTGAGCCAGGCGATGCAGGCACCCTGTATTCCCGTGCATATTCACCCCTCGCCACACGAAGGAAAGGTATCGCAGTTGATAAAGATGCAATGTTGAGAGCTATGCGGGGGGTGAAATCATGTATTACCTTGTTTTTTTAGTGTCATTGGCTTATGTTATTCGTCAGCATATTCAAGTTTGCTCTAGATTTATTATGCAACTCATGATCCTATGTGTCATTCAGCACTGCCAGCACTGCAGCTCGTCGTCATCAGTGTAGCTATGATCCCACTATTTACATGATATAACAACCATACAATATTGAAACTCTGACTGACAAAACTAGATTCCCCAGACTTTACGCGCAGAGCGTCCATTTTCTAGATTTCCCTGTTGGAATAAATGTCCGGTGAAGGTGAGGAATCTTGACTATAGGTGAAACGCTAAAGCTAACGGGGGTTCTACAGTAAGACCAGGATACGAGAATACGACTCGACCCAAAGGACAGCTACTGAGAGAAGTTCCTCTTTAATGTAATGGAGGGAGTCTTCGCCAACTAGACGGGTGGTAACAGGCGTGCGAAGGCGCGAGAAGATAACGCGCGCGTAGGCGCGAGTAAGCAAACGCGAAGGCGCGCGAAGGGCGCGTGCGAGCGAAAGATGCGAGGGGCGCGCGCGTATACGGAAGCGTGCTTTTGAGCGATGGGGGAGAGTGTTCAAGTATAACAGGTGCGCGAGCGATGGTAGAATAGTGAAGTATAATCGGATTTCAAGTACTAAGGTGCACTTATACAATTTGCAGTATACTCAGATAAGGGAGAAGGGAAGGAAGTAAGTTAAAAGGAACTTTCCCTCTATTTAAGAAGGGAGATTACGCTATGCGGCGCGCTTGCGAGCGTGGTACCGAACCGAGTAACCATATCAACTCTAAATATATTCTAAAGCCTATGATAGACTTTCTATATGTAAGCGCGGAGATCGGACCGAAGGTACGTCAATTCAGTGAAAGGGATAAGAATAACGCACCAGTAAATCAGCGAGGACATAGGACGGACGGACGGACAAGGGTACGAAGGCCTAAGGGGAGGCGCACGAGCGCGCGCGAAAGGCGCGAGTGCGTGTAAGGCGCGCGAACGAGGCGCGTACGTAGGGCGCGCGCTTGAGAGCGCGTATGACTGATCCTTCGGATAAGAGCTGGAACGTGTAGGGAATTATGTGGGTAATAGGGCCGTATATTCCGCATTGAGAGGCGTGAGTCTCTACACCGGGTCGCGCAAGATAACCCTGTCAAAGGGTGATCAGCACATACATTTCTCCCAGAATGCACATCGTTGGGTACCAGTGGTTGCCACAGACAATAGCGCCCTCTGGTATACAACTGTCTTTCTGCTTAATCAGTGAATCGATTTAGGAATCATGCCAAAACACAACCAGCACCGGTGATTCTTACATTTCATCAAGGATGACTCTGCTCCTCGGCATTGCTTTTTTATGACACCCACATTATTTGACGACTCCACAATGTCCACGCTTGCGTCATCCTATCTGACCCTCTTCGATTTCTCCTCCCAATTTAATGAGCAGTCCATCAACTTTGCCTTTATGTAAGCCAAAATGTTACTCGAAAAGCGCATACCGGACTTGGATTTGATCTCATTGGTGCATTTAACCACGCGCAAGTTATAATGAAGGGAAGGCTGCCATTCTGAAGATTACTCAGACATTGTCGCCGTCCTCTCAAGGCTTCGTTCGTCATTCAACCTTGATGTGGTATGGCTCTGGCTTTGGTCAGCTATATTTGACCTATCTCGAGTCGTTTGATGGTTACGAAATGCGCATCATCGATCCCGAGTCCCCGACGATAGCAAGGCGGTTCAAATGGACGGACAGAGCGACGAGCTAACAGTACGCGGTCCCGTGATTTTCGTCACGATGCGGCGGGAACGTGTTGTAGCTTTTGTCGTTCATAACACATTGGCGATGTCATTATCTAAAACGTTGGAGCACAACCCGTGTGGCTTAGTCTGTGAGCACCCTCATTCTTGAAGCAATATTCTTTCACCTGCGACTTTGTTCAGTGCTCTGTGCATACATGTTCCAGCCATGCATATGATTATAGTCTATCTTGCTCGTATTTTTGTAGTCTTCTTGAAAATTCTGATATTTGGTGTTATCACAGAGGATCCGGCATGGTACAGTGTGATTGTGTCTATCACATACATCATATGGCCAGCACTTAAGGGTAGTTCCCAAGTAATACCACTCACTGAATCATATGCTGCGACCACACTTAATAATTCAAATCTGCGACGATACAGGAGTAGATCAGATTCATTCAGCAGGCCAGTATGTGGCATTAGTAGTACAGTACAGAACAGCAAAGCATCATGCAGAGCAAGGGAATGAAAACAACTAACAGATACAGCAAATGGGATAATATAGCGAATCGGGCCTCAAACTACACACCTATGTGAACAAATACAATCTGCTGTTCTAGTGGAATATCACTGCGCTGCAATTTCTTCACAGCCTTGTGCAACGCCATCGCAGCGCACGTGCAGTCCAATCTCCCTGAATCATCGATCAGGTTGTCGTAAAAACTAGACACAACCTCCTGTGCGACCTCATCGTCGAGAGACCACATGGAACCGATCACACTGCGAAATCCGGAGAATTGCATTGCTGCAGCGAGATGGATCGATTCATCAGGACTCTTCTCATGGCCCACGGTAGTGTGGCAAGCCGATAGGAATGCAAAATGCGGGTTCTGCCAGTTGGATCGGATGATGTCCTTGATCATCAATGGCCCATCACGCATCGGCGTGAAGGAAGATTCAAATGGTCGTTGTTGATTAGGCATTCCGTGGCAGGCCAGGTAAAGCCACTGGTGGTGATTCAGTGCATTAAATGCACCCTTGACTGTTGTGTCGCTGTCCTCGAGCCGCGTGAAGGATGACACGACAGGCGCAAGACACTTGGCGACAATGGCTACCTCGGGAGTTACACATTCAAGTGACTTCCCTCCATCTGGGTTTCCTTGACCAATGGCAACAAAATGTTGCGGGGACGCATCTCGTGAAACCTGCCGTCTCACATGAACAACATCAGGAAAGCGATGCGAAAATGGTAAAGTTTTAGAAAGATTTATTTAAAGTAAAATTCGTACAATATATATCACAATTGTACTTCAAATGACAGAGCTTTGAATACCCGGACTAAGTTGGATAGAAACCACCAAATGCACATTTGTGCAGTCTCGTTGCAATTACCTGCCATTTTGTCAACAGATTGCAATACCCACCAGCTGTGAGAATGAATTATTAAGTTGCCCAAAGTCACCACAGTCACCTAGTTGAGCACTAGCGGTGATACACTATCATTCTGCCATGCCCTGGTTGTGGTATGTGACCTTTGGCTGTTGCGCAATCTCTAGATGAATGCTAACATCAGATAATTTTTTATATGGCCGGACTGCTTTGGATCAAAGCTGCCAACGGCCCAAATGTGTAAAGCGATTATAATGCAGTTTCAATCTGCTTATCACATGCAACCTATGCTTTCCAATGGAACTTTGACAAATCCTCCCTTGACGTTGGCGTTAGGTAAAGTCTTGCAATGTTTGTTTGTTTTGGACCGAGTTCCCTTTGGTACAAGGATGCGGAACGATGACGATGCAGTACTATCCGCCAGCTTACTGCTAAGGTATGGTCGTGAGGTGTAAGGTGAGTCAGTCATTCCATTCTCCACAAAATCTTAATAAACTCTGGCAGTAGATAAGGTCTTGTGACGTTAGCGTGTTCTGGATCGAGTTCCCTTCAGTACATGGATGCGGGGCGATGATGATGCAGTATCATCTGCCAGCTCACTGCCGAAATATGGTCGTTAGGTGCAAGGGGAGTCTGTCATTCTGTTCTCTACAAACTCTTGATAAACCCTGGCACTAGATAAGGTCTTGTGACATTAGTGTGTTCTGGTTTGAGTTCCCTTTGGTGCAAGGATACGGGGCGATGATGACGCAATACTATCTGTCAGCTCACTGCCAAGGTATGGTCATTAGGTGTAAGGTGGGTTAGTCAGTTGATTCTCCACAAAGTCTTGATAAACTCTGATGCTATATAAGGCCTTGCGACGTTAGTTTGTTCTGGACCGAGTTTCGTTCGTTACAAGAGTGCGGGATGATGACGACGTGGTACCATCTGCTAGCTTGTTGCAGAGGTAGGGCTATTACAATTCATCTCGGCTTATTTCAGATCATTATTGGCTGTAGGTCTATCTTCTGGTCACTTGAGTGCTCTAGTTGACCACAACATGCTTATGCTTATATTAGTTGTAATTTATTATATGAAAACATGTTTGTAGAAAGACTATGATGAAATTAAGTTTGAATCTGTAGCTTGTTTGATCGCAAGACGTTTGAGCCGTATTTTCGATAAGGCACTGTTGGCGCTGATAGGTTGTTTAGCGGCAGAGGAAGTAGGAAACACTTGGCTGGCACATAACAATACATGAGCCTCAGTGATATAACGAAGAGTAATAAAAAATACTGATTCCACCAAGTGAGTAGGTCATCAACCTCCTTAGATTCCTCAGGATCTTCGAAGAGGTCGAGGAGGCTATGATAAAATGTTTCTGAGTCGGTCGTTGTGTGGGTCCGTGAGAACACCGAAGAAGAACTTATAGCAAATCGGACCTTCAGTTGCATGTATGTCAGCTATCAGCTATTCAACGAGAAAGACATGTGTCGATGAACCTGAGTTGCAACATAAGCTATGGACGCGATGGTGACGGAATTCATGCCATGAAGGCGAGCATTCCCGGACTGTGTGGCTTTCGGTTCTTTGTCGATTGAACTTGGAGACGTAAAGACATGCTTGTAGGCCTGACGTGCAAGCAATCAGTAGTGAACTATGTAAAAATACATTTGCCTACTCACACATACCAATAAGCGGCTCCTAAGAAGACCGCACCATGGGTCATCCGCATCAAACGTATGGTGGGCGTATAAGAAAATGGGCCATTGGTCCCCAGACTAACATTTCGCCACTTCGGAGGTTCTCTCTCGTTCTGTTGAGAATCAAGCGCAAAAAAGGTTGTCAGGACTACCGATGCTAGAAAAAAGAAAACATACTCTGCGTCCTTCCAGTCCAACTTAGCAGGACAAAGCAGTGATCCGGAAAGCTCGTGGTTGAATCCCCGATCAATCTTTGAGTTCCTGTGTAGGGGGGGCTGAATTGCTGCCCCTTTTGGAGAAATCGAATCAAGCACTGCAGACTTCAATGTTTTCGTATTATCACCTCTCACGCCTGCAGCTCCCTTACCGATCTATGAATTGTAAGCACAAAGTCTAGCCACGCAGAAAACAATGCACCAGCTCTCCAACATGAATAATTTCCTCCTCAGACCCAGTTTTTAGTCGCTCCAACAGGCCAGGATAAGAGTCCAAGAGCTGTTCGAAAACTCGATGTTCTCGTCGTTCTCTACCAAAAAATCAGACAACAGTAAGTCAATAGAGACAATGTGTTTCACTCAGCAGGGAAGTCTTCCAAAGGAGATCTTCCATCTGCTCCAATCTAAGGATGCTGTTGGTGAGTAAAGAAGGATAATTACATAGTGCAAATACTGTTCGGCCGAAGTGACGCCCATGGGATATAAGAGGATCGGACATAGAGCTGGGCAACAGAATAAGTCTGCAAAACCTGTGTCAAACAAGGGCAGCTTACACTTTTTTGTGGGGTCCCATTTGAAGGGCCGATGTAGCACGCTTGCTCGGAATGGTAGATATGGTCTCTTCAGTGGTCATGAGAGCTTGCGAGTCAAAAGTAGCTCGAGCATCACAGATACTAAAATCTAGCTTTTTATCTCCAGCAGTGCACCACGTGATATTCCAGTAAGTGGCGTACCTGATAGCAGCCAAGCAGTGGCCAGGGTGCCTGATGGCTAGGCAGTAGCTGCAGTGATTATAGGCCAGGATGGCCTGCCGGAAACGAACAACCTTTCGTCAAATTGCAGGGTGCCTGATGCCAGTCAAGCAGTGGCCAGGGTGAGTGACAGCTAGGTATTAGTAGCCACAATGATGGGATGGCCTACCAGGACCAAGTAACCTTTCGTAAAATCGATGGTGATAAGCTCCATGGTCCGAAAAAAGTGCTAGTAAAGGACCCGAAGGATAAAAGTGTTCTTGGACTTTGCATCTTCTTGTATATCGCAGCTAGGCTACCATTGCCTATGCTGAACCTGGATATGCAACAATCATCATCGTGTCAGATGTCTGGACATGTTATTAATCTGAACCTCTGGTAAACTTAATGGCTTACTTGTCAAAGACTGGACTTGCTAATTCTATGTGTCAGGATTGAGTTAGTGCACGATATCACCGACAAACAAAGTGGCGGGTCCAAGCCTGAGGAATTTGCCAGCATAAGGTAAGTGTCAGATACTATCATCAATCATTTTCGAAGCTCATCATAGATCAGAGAGGTAAATGTTAACAAAAACTGCCCTACGACAGAGAGCCGCGAGGAGTCCATGGCTGATGTTAAAGAACGACTGCGACGTGCAGAGTTAGCTTACGTGCAACTTGAAGAGCTGTACAAAAAATACAGGTTGCGTTGGCTGGAAGAAAATTATTGTGCCAGAATCTTGCAGGAATATGCGCCAAATGTAATCAGTACATCTCCTGGTCAAATCCCATGGGATGCCCCTTCTCCCTTTCAATGTACGTCTGGCATGTGCTCCCCTTCAATAAACTGATTATCTTTCTTAGCAGACGACGACGACGAATTTGAGGACCTAAGTACAGAAAAAATACCATAGTGTTACCGTGTCGCATGATGTTGCGGCGCAGACAACGTTGGTGACTCCTATCTTCGTAATGCGACTCATGCAGGACATATCAATATGCCCCATCCTATATTTGCAATACTCTCCAAGAATAATTTCAGGACAAGATGTTACTGCGGCTGTATCCTGGCCAGGCCAGGACCGTAACTAGCAATCACCAATATAATTAAAGAACCTACCACAACACCGAGCGTAGTGAAGCACGCAATCATTAGAGGTGTAGATGGCCTGAAGTCCGAAGCAACACCTGCAAAGAATCCGAGGATGGAGCTTGTCACACTACCGAACCATAAGTGACACAAATAATCACGATTGAAGTTTGCTTACCTCAATACACAAAAAGAAGTCGGTATGCTTGTAATGACGACAAGCATCGCCGTCCTCTTTTGCAGGTAATATACCTGTCCAGTCAGTAATATCAGGCTTGTTCTGGAGAAAAAATAGTGTGAATCGAACCGCAAAGTCAATGGATCTCATTCTCTCGCTGAAATGTTGCACCATCATGCCAGCAAAAATGCAGCCAACACCAAAAAGTAAAGAGCAAGAACATAATGTCTGTGAGGTCACTGTTGTGCCTAAACCTGGAACAGCAAGGATGACGATGTCCAAGGCCATGGAGACACCAGCCTGTGGGTGAATAAGTGGGTGGATACCCTCATTGATGTAGCGCCTACCAAGGTAATTTGACTTTTCATCTGATTGCTAAGATTGTCGACAAAGTTTTTGACCTCAACTCCATTCACGATACCATTGATGGAAGTCCTCTTGACGCTTTCGATCATGACCGGCATGCAGAAGACTGTAGCTGCAGTATTGCTCATGAAACAAAGAAGTTTACAGTTTCTACGCTTCTCTTTCACTGCATGGTTCCGAATCAGTCGAGCTTCTGGTTGGTTGTGGCGGTTAAGATACTGATGGTGCCCTAAAACGTTCATTTACTTGACGACGATAGGGTTTGTGAGAAAGCAACGCATGTAAGATGTATAAAATTCTACCTGTGAATTGGGATATCAGTACTTGAATTCAGCTTTCCAGGGCTCACATACAACAGAACACGATACCGGTTTCATGTATGAGCCCGTTGTCTGCAAGGTCTTCTGTTTCTTCATTATAAAAATGCTATGCAGGACTAGATACAAGTATGAACCAATACTGGCTAGATGTTCGATGATTTGCTTCATTTGCTCCAGGGTCCAGAATATCGAACCGGCCGTGGATTGACTCAATGTAATTGCTTCTGTGCCTGCTAAGCGATTCTTGCCATCCCCGTGATATAAAGCTTACCTCCAATATAGCAAATAACTTCTCTCCATACACTTCTCACAACTGAAACATCCATCGACGACTGCTGCGGAAAGAATTCAAAGTGTTTCCTGCTGACAGTGAGAAGTCTTTTGATCAATCAGGTTGGCACATCCAACCACTTACCAATACTGAGCCTCGAGTTCAAGTCCTACATGATTGCAATTGGTCTCAAATAAAAATTCAAAGATAATGTACTGACTCTTATGTTCCCATTGGCTTGGCTGGACACAGTCTCGGAAAAGAAGGTAACCGTTTAGTTCCTCTATCCAGGCAATGATACGCTGGTCCGGAACCACGTAGTAATATTGGAACTTTTCTTCTCCTCTGAACATTGTTGGATGAACAACCAGTATCCACACATCTTCTTGCATCACAGCTCGTAATGCATCGACAAAGTCATTGATCTTCTGGGGATCCTGGTACCGCCTTAGGTTTACCGAAGTATACGTTCTCTAAATTTTTATTGAGTTTATCACTTATATGATTAGCTAGGCAGCACTCACCTTGTCCTTATGATAGTAGTATGTACCACCTAACGGGTGGACAAATTCCTCCCAATTCCCATATTTTAAGGGCCTGTTGATGGCGTTGAAGTGAATCCATTATGAAGAAAAGAAACTAACCTAGGGACATCAGTTTTCTTCCTACCAACAGAAGTATCTTCAGATATATCACCACTAATTGTACGCAGAAAAAGTCAATCAAATGCAATCCTACTCGCAGATGGGTACTCACAGCATCATCACTTCAGCGTACCGTGGGAGTTGCGTTGGCCAAATACCAACCGCATGATTGAGAATCTGTTGCTGAGAACTGTAAGTTGTCTAAACCATGTTAGACTCTTGATCATGAGCACGTCCAAGAGGCACAGTTGAGCTTACCATCATGTTCAAGCCAGGAACCTGTGACTGAAGGTTGTTCAACGTGCCGTAGTAGTACGGAGAGTACAAAGACAATCGAACCAAACTTCCTTTTTGGGAATTTTATGACGTAGTCATCAGCACGCTCAACTCAACAAGTAGACCAGAAAGCAACCACAATGACAAGTTCCATAGATATCATAAGTAAATTATTGATATATATAGCCCACAAATATATTTATGCTGCGAGCTAGAGGTCTATATCAGAGACTACTGCCCCCACAGCAGTAGACAAACCCTAAGTATCAAAAGAAAGTGTTAGGATGGCACCTGATGCCAGCAGAAAGATATGCTTGCTTTTTGCCCTACCCACTGGTGCAGTATATGTAGGTTGGCAGAATTATCCACGTTCTTGCGGCCCAACTCGAAAGCCTATGTGAAACAGCATTGTAGATATCGAGATGGTCCATCACCGGATCTGCATACTAAATGAGACGAAACAAGGAAAAGAAAGACATCAGTTGAATTTTAGAACCCGGCCACCTGTAATAAACGCACGGAACCCAGACTTGCAGTGTACACTACTACTTCGTACAGCTCACCTATCTGTCGAAGAAACTCGTCTACTCCTGGTTGCTTCTGTACATACATGTTGTGCCATTGATGCTCGATTTGGACAGGAACGACAAAGTCTGGATCTGGTATGGGCTGACAGCGAGGTACGTCAAAAGCAGGTATAAAATTGGAGTGAAAGATATACCATGAAGTTACTATGGACGAGGGTCTTGTCCAGGTCAAGCACTAAACACTTCTTGCCAACATGTTTAGGCGCGATGGGTGAGAGAAGTGGCCATGGCTTTCCGTCCTGTAAATTCCAAGTCAGAAATATATCCATTGGACTACGAATCCACTCACAGAGCCCATGGGAATGCCTGCACCCCCATTCCTGATCAGCATTTCATCTTCCTCACTTAACTCATCAAACGAAACATCATCCAACTCGTTACCATGTTCGGACGGGCGACTTGCAGAGGTCTTTTAATACTTGACCAGGAACAGAAGAACCTGGCAGTTGTACGGCCCTACTAGTAGCGCCCGCAGTCTCTAGCAAGTCCTTAGGAGGTACAGCAGGTTGACCTGAGGATGCGACTGGAACTACCGATGCGACTGGTGCTTTTTCAGAAAATTGCTTCACAGCATTGTCCGCGGTCTTGTGAGCCAGTAGAGTAGGACCCGACCCAATGCTTGCCACACCATCGACGTCGATGTCATGAGCTCGGGAATCGACTCTGACGCAGCAGAAGAGCTTGCGAAAGAATGTGGCCAAGAAGCTCTCTTTGGGTTTCTTGACACATTTGATCTCAGAAGACTCCACAAATGAAGCGTGATCTTTAGATTGAGAGCAACACCGGAGACTGCTGCGCCTGGAATGACTTTGCGAAAGGAGTGTGGATGTGCCTGCAGATTCTTCGCACTTTTCAAGTGCCGGTGATGCAGTAGATGATGAAGAAGTATATGCAGCACTGCCTACATTCTCTTTGGAAGAAATAGAGGGACGAACACGTGGTGGGACCTGCCGGTCAATGGTATGTGGCGTCCTCGATAATGAATCCTTCGAAGGTGTGGACGCAGCAGCTTTTTTGTAAGCTGTAGATTGAGTATCTGATGGCATGATGATTACAGTCCTGGTATCTATCAGGAGAGCGTCGTTGAACAAGAGGTCCTCAACAAATGACAAGCAGGATGAGTACGAGCAGTAAGCTTGAAGGGAGGTATTGAACTACTGCGATTGTGAACAGTCGATATAAAAAGGGGAGAGTTGATGCAGGGACCTACTAGTACTAAGACAACTTGAAGGCTGTGGTCCAACCACAACCTGCCTACAGCGTTGCCTCCCGTTAAGCAGCACTTGCGGCCGTCAACCTAAGCGTCAATTATTTGCAGCCGCGCGGAAAAAACAAGGCAGTGCCAAAAAACATTACATACTGCATTCTGTCAGCCATAATGTGAATCCGAACCAGGTATGGCATCTTGGATCCAGACATCAGCTTGGCTTGAATGGTGACGTCTGTGGGAGAAAGATGACTGAGTTCAAGTGCTTGTGTCTTGACCCACCAAGGAGGTCCGAGATCTTTGAGAAGGAAGTCATCCTTTGGCAACTGGTTGGGCAGCTCAACGCTATTGTTACTTTCACGCCGAGGTACTCATACGACTGTGTTGGTCTCCTCGACCTGCTTGGTGATACACTGTACAGGAAGGCCGCAACCTGAGTGCGAAGATCTGCTGCAGTGATGAATGCCCACAGGATGTTCTTCGGCAATACATGGGTGTACGAAGCAGCGTTGTCCTTGATATCATCATTGGAGACATAGATATATTGGAGACGGAGAGGAAGATGCGTAGCAGAGATGGCATGGACACGCCAATCAGATTTGCTGCTAAACACCTGAAGTTGGTTGTCGTGACGGTCTGAATTGTATCACTGTGAACGTTGGTGGTCTGAGTTTGCACAGCAGTGACTTGACCCTGCGCCTCATTACTCTTCTCAAGCTTGGCCATCTGCTGGTGCTGTACACAAGGACGCGATGTTGATGCTGTTCCACTTGCTGAAATACTTGGACTCAATGAGTTAAGGTTCAAAAAGTGTGCGAAATTACTCACTGCCAGTATAAGATCCTTCATTGAGACCTCAACCTTGCTCCATTCATCTGGGCCAGATGAAGTAAGGCTCTGTAATGGTCGACTTGTCCAGGTGCAAAATAATCTTTGCCTTCTTGTTGACGTGCAAGCCACGAAGAAGGAGGATAAGACGAGAGAAGGTAGTGTAGCTGGACACCGACTTGAGCCAGTCGTCGTACAAGCTGAGCAGTACCATTTGAGGTTCACGCTGTGAGAAACAGTATCAGTAATGGAGATGTAAATAAGCATGGACCCACTTACTAGGATCAAGTCACTAAACTTCTCCATCTTCATGCAAGCCTGGAAGGGTTCCCTTGATAACAATGTTCGGGAAATCAAGTAAGTGAACCTCGAGAGGGTCCAACATGCCCTTGTGAGTGACTATGACCTGCTTCGGTTGTTCTTCAACAGGCAGTGAATGAACCAATGCAGCCACTTCTTCGGCAGTCTTCCACTTTGTGAGTTGACCGAGACACTTTTGGCCAGCCCAGACCCTGGTATGGATGATCTTCAGGAACAACTGTGCATAACGGGGGTTGAAGATAAATATGATGCCATTAATCAGTTTGGTTGTCAAGTTACCTTCGAACATCTTATGGATAGTGTCGTCGACGAACCAAATAATCTGGTTCGAAAATAGTTCCGAATAGTTCCGGCTGTTGAGATAAGGCTCCGTGGGCTTAGAAGAGTATAACTGGAGACCCTTGCAAATACGCTCGCACAAGACGTGGCATGCCGGATTGGCCTTCATGATCTTGGCCATGGCTTGCTAGATCAGAGGCTTCATACCGGGGAACCAGTTGCTGTACGCAGACCACAGGTTATAGGCTAGATTCATGCCGATCATAACACCAGTCGGTGAGGGGTAGATAGATACTCATGGAGTCGGACACGTAGTCCAAGAACTTGGCACGAGTATACCGCTCAATATCATGGGTGTCGAAGTCACCCCACCGAAGCTGAACGTCAATCCAGTACTTGTTGCTGGTCGTGCCATCCAAAATGTTCTTGTTCTAAAGAAACCGAGAGATCAGATCAAAGTCTAATGGGGTATTGAAAGTGACCAACATCTGTGACCAGTGAAGGCTGAGAGACATTCCATTTGTAGGCTGAGAATAGCAAGATATCGGTGCAAGACGAATTCATCTTGTAACTCTTATGAGGGTGAATAGTCTCCTTTTGTACTGTCTCGATCTGGAGAGGCGATATCTCCTAATCAGAGACCTGCCACAAGTGCACACAGAAGATCTGAATCAGCGAGATCTTGAAGGTGGGAATCTTGCCATGCATAAAAATACCTGTCAGATCAAGCTGGACCTGGAAACCAACATAGACGTTGGCACGGTTGATGGTCGGACTCCACCAAAGCGTGAATCGACAGTTAGGGATCTGGTTAAGATCTGACCTCTGGGCATTGGTAATTTTCTTGTATCACATAGACTCTTCGAATCCAGACACTTTCTCCCAGAAGAGACCCTCCCAGGTAGAGAAATAAGTTCCTTTGAAGAGCGTGTGCTCCAAGATACCCTCAACACCGCCTAGTGCAGCAATGACATCAACACAGTAGTTGTTCAATTGCCAGAGCTTTCCGTCATGGTGCTGAGATGTCCACCAGAAGGGGTTGCTAAAATAGCCATTTCATTAGTCAACAATAAATCAAGGCAGGTGGAGGACTCGCTGTTTCAGCAGTTGGTACTGCTTCCAATCTGTACGCACATGCCAACCTCGGTCATATGCCAATGTATGGCGATCCTTTTGGAAGAGGGTGTTGATACGAGGAATACCGCAGTCCCAGCTATCTTCAAGATCTTCAAGGGTGAGGCGCCGATTCTGGGCATTGGCCTCCTTCCGCTTCATGGAGTATTCGGACCAAACACGAGCCGAATCCAAGAATTCTGCCTCCCATGGCTGAAGATATCTGTACAAGTTTGGAATCAACTGGTCCTCCTCGTGGGTCATACCAGCACGGAAATGCGTCACTGATCAAACAAATTGTAAGCCAGAAGATGATTATCAAAGAAGAGAGTGAATGAACCTCCAACATCAGTTTGCTTGGACCATCGCAAGTCACTCTGCGGGATAAGAACATGACCCATCGAAAGCATTCCAAGACCACCAAGCTCCTTCGGTGTGTAGAAGACAACAGGAGGGAAACAGGATGGCATCTTACTGTTTAAGCCAATCTTGACATGAGTTTGAATCTTGTTCTCTGCCTTGACAAGAGAGTCCAAAAGCTCGTTTGTGTGGATGACAGCCTCACGGTAGTAGGTCATCAAACCGATCAACACAGTGTTCCACTTGTTGACGATCTTCGAGAAAGTGGTGGAACCGGAGCTCATAAGGACCTGACGAATACGGTTATTGAATTGCTGGACACCATCATCGGAGACATGGAGGAACGCCTGCGCAGTTCTATCTTTGGTTTGCTCGTTGGTGAGATTCCACACAGCGTCCTTCAATGAGAACTGCTTGCCACCCATCGTCCTAATCTTGGGCAAGATACGGACCTTGAACCCGCACATCAAGAACAACAACTGTGGGTTGTCCTTCGAGTAAACACTGACAAAGGTGTCCTCCCACTCGATGGTAGTGAGTGAGCATGGCAGGCTGTTCTTAACGTTCCAGAAAACTGCTCTTCCAAGGTTAATGTCATGTTTGATGAGACGCATACGACAATCTCGAGGCCAGCAGTGTTTGTTGTTATACCTGATGATGTTGTTGTTGGTCGGGTCAGGGTTGGCGCTGTAGGACTTGGAGTCCTTGTAGCCTCGTAGATGCTATTTTTGTGGTATCCCTCAGCACCCTATTACTTTCCTACATGAAGCGCAGCTTTCCCGCGAGTCGCGCATAACGGCCGCTACTTTCCCGCGATGGCTGCAATGTTCCTGCGCGCGCGCACAGTCGCACTGAGCGGCCGCTTTTCTCGCGCTTCATCGGCTGACGTTCCACACCCATCCATGGTCCAAAACCAACCCAATGGTACATTGTTTCATGATTATATTTACATAATCAGACCATTTTCACATCGGACCACCTTTATTACATATAGCTTTACATACATAGCTCGGTAGTGCGTCGGCTCAATAGCGTGTCGGCTCAGTAGCGCGTCAGCTCGGTTCCATGTGACAGCGCTTAATGCAATACTTAAGCACTAGCAGTACATATCATTCAGTAGCTTGTTTTCCGGACGTTCCAGTAGCAAACTCCCATTAGCCTACAGTTGGTAGCTATTGGTAATCAGTATCCGTTTACTGCTCACATCGTATCAGTTATCACTTGGCTCTACATCTATCTCTATTTTCTATCATCTCTATTATCATCCGAACCCCTCGCGCATCGGCCGCTTCGCAGCCACATCTTTCCTGTGCCTTTGGCTTTCGCCTGCCGCTACATTCCCGCGCTACGCGCGCGCACCCGCCGCTTTCCTGTGCTTTGCATCGGCCGACAAGCAGCACCTTCTGCATCCATTTCTAGACCTTTGCTGCACTAGCTTCCCCTTTAGGGTCGAACGCACTTGTCCCACAAGTATAGCAGATAGGCAGTGCACGACCTACAACATAAAGATATCAGTTTGGAGCCTATAGCACCACTCTGAGTTGTAAACACACAGCGCTAAGATAGCGTTGGATCAAGTCCCTTGCCTCATCCGCGCTGAAGCGGAAGAGAATGTGTAAGCGATCAACATAACGGGAGTATAAGCAGATGGGGTGACGAGTCTCGGTTGCCGAGTCGCGATACTGCAAAAAGTTGTTAGGCATCTGTGGAGGACCCGCCATCTCACTAGCTCACTGCAAGCCAAGAATGAGGAGATCAAGGATGAGACCGTACACATCGGGGTTATCGATATTTAGGAGATGTTTTTATGTCGTACCAAATGTGAAGAAAATATTTGAAATTTAAACCGACATAAAGATGGGGACATAACTTCAAATTTTGGTAATGTTTTGGACGACATACAAAATTTCAAGCATTGGCAACCATATTCCCACCGACTATATGTCAACAACAATAAGAAATTTAATCCAATTCTCTGCGTGTGCTCAAATTTGAAGTTTAATTCAGACCTAAAACGGCAGACAAAACATGAAATTTGGGACATGACTATATGCCTGCTTATTTATCAAGTTTTGTCTGACAATTAGGACACCCTGAAAATTTGAAGTTTACACCGGTGGCAAAATGTGATGACAAAACTTCAAGTTTTGTCTGCAGACGAAATGAATCGCCCGATCATCGCCCGCCCATCGCCCGACCATTGCCCGCACATAACTCATTCGTCGCCTGCTTACCACCCGAACTCGTTACCTTGTGTATGACATTTGCAGATATGCGAGAATTCAAATATACACTGTTATTTGGATGTCTACTAAGTACTGGCTAGCGTAGCACATTTTCATAACCACGCTATAATACATACACCCAACAGTACGAACTACGTCTCAGTCCAAACTAAATAAAACTTGTCAGTATGAATGAGGGGGTTTGTTTAAACAACTCTTACCAGGCACTCTCGTCATGAAATCATAACACGCTGCCGAAATGTTTTGCATCATCTTGATTGTGCCAGGGTTGAATTTGAGGGAGCGCTTCCATTGAGTAGAGGTCATTGGACCATTGGCGTCATTGGTACATGAAAGTCGCTCACGAGAAACTCCTTCTCGGATATTGTCCAGACGGGTTTGGAACCAATCTTCGCAACGAGCAGACCAAAAACCAACGTTTAAGCCCGATGCATTCCAAGCATGTGGCCGAGGCCACCAAGATACTACTACATTCGTGCCCTGAGCTAGATGGCGCGAGTATTAGTACAGCTACGATCGATCTGTATAAGGAAGAGAAAGCTTACCCTGGTGCACGTAGTATGTCCCGCACATAAAATCAATCTCTTCTTCCGACAACCCATCGTCGTAGTAAGTCTGACCATTGCTGCACAATAGGAGACCAAATGGAACAGCTTCGGGCGAGATACCATCAAGGACAGATGGGAGATGATCAAAACCGAGGCTGTGCAAAGCCAACCGCCATATTAGTCCCCCATGAAGAAAAGCAGCTCTTGCTCGGGGCCGGTTCATAAACTCGTGATGCAGCTGCTCGTATACGACATAATCCGCGTATATCGCGCGGAAGGGGGATTGTCGGTGTCCCAACGTGTAGGTACGAAGCTCAGCAAGGGGGCGCCGCAAGTTGGGTGCGACGGTCATACACTGCAGAGTCTTGAATGTCATACCTCTTTGAAGGAGAGCAAGTGCGATCTTCTTTACGTCCGAACCCCAGTTACGTCGCAGGCACATCACGGCAGTGATGGGGTCGGGAATAGCCAATGTCCAAACAGCATGGTTTGGGGACTGGCGGGGCTCGATTATAAAGAACCGATTTTGTGATAGCTCGGCGTAAGAAATCCGGACATGAGCATGTGAGACTTGTAAAGACGGATTGGATCCTAAATCCCACATATCAGGAGGTATCAGGTTGCCCAAGTCAGATTGCTTCAAGTGTACCAAAAGCGCGACGAAGTTCGTAATGCTTCGGCGTTGTGGGTCTACGATCGAACCCGTTTCAGTTATCGAATCCCCGACTAGTTTCCGAATATGTTCCCATTGCATTTTCTTGATCCATTCTTCCAGGCGTATGGACATGGGTCCATTCAGAGCAGGCAAGATAGCTGCCATGGGTCGATATCCGAAATGGTAATGTAAGACAGGGACGAGTCCTTCAATGCTCGCGTGTCTCGATGCAAGCGAAACCTCATCGCCGAAGTATTTGTATATGTCCTGCAAGAAACTGGAAGGGGTGGGAGGTGGAAGTACAGAAGGAGCAGTTATAGGGAACGGAGGCATGATGTCGTCGTCATCTTCCCGATCGTCACCGTCAGGGATGCTAGTCGGGTCGAGGGCGTGACACAAATCCCACTGGTTGGAGAAGGGGTCGAATATCCTAGTTTGCTTGTTGTAATCTCCCCATATTTCCGCTACGCAAGCCTTCGTGACGGGGTGACGCAACAGAAATCCGTCTTCATCATCATCATCATCGGGCCGCCATTCGAACACTTGAATCGTGCTGGACCTCCCGGGTATGTGATGACCCAACGCAGAACGTTCACGGCTTAGACGTGCCTGCCGTTGAGAGGGTGTTTCCTTCACCTCCCTCTCCTCGTTCCTCATGGCCCGGCGGGCAAAGAAGGCCTGGAAATCCTCACCACGCTTCTGACCGCTGTTTTTTTTGGGAAGCGGAAAATGAGAGAGGTCGGGCTGTGATTGAACAACGGACGCTGGTGCCGGATCGTTAGGCTGCGTGCCCCACGTATCGGTTCCCCATGAGTCATCCTTAGACGGGTTTTGATCGGACTGAACTCCCCAAGTATTATCGTCGAACTGAGTGCTCCATCCTGACTCGACGCCCCACTGATCATTGCCCCGATGAGAGCCACTTGAAGGCTGACTTGCTGCGGCGATATCTCTTGCTGAGGGCATATATTTGTTCCAGGCCTTATGGTGTGCAACGTTAGAAGGCCAATATACCCAGATTGGGACTTTGAAGCGTTCAAACATGGTCACATCTGCGTCCCAGCCCAGACCGTAGGCGCTGTTGATAATCGCACCAGTGCGTGGTACGGCATCCGTGAGATCCCCGACAAATGTGCGGGAGAGTTCGACCACCCATGCAGACGGTATGGGACATTGAGGGTCTTTTGTCAGTAAAGAGGTCCAGGAGGGACCATCATGGGGTCTATATTGACGAGCCATGATGAAGTACGTGCAGAGAGTTGCGAGACCTGATAATATCGATGATAAGCCGCAATGCGCCACAACAGAAGGAGCTTCATACCTATGAATGCGTCGCGTGACCTCAGAGCAACTTTCTTTGCGAGGCTCACATCGACATGAGACCTCAAGTACCCGTAATCTCTCGGACCTCGTGGGGGTTGGCCGTACCAAGGAAAATGCATGTTCGTTGCTAGACGTCCCTGACACCAACTTAACTTCTGCTCCAGAGTCTGCCATGCTTCTCGGACATCCTTGCGTAAGATATAACGACCATCATGTGTCGCCTCGATGGGCACGGAGTAGTAGGAATGATTGAGGCACCCGAAAATGGCACCGTCAAAAACGGGATTTTGAGGGATAATAGGAAACCATGGGCGCGATTCGTAAGCCCACTGTGTAGTTAAAGCATCTTTGATATTTTCAGGAGAGCAATCCGACTCTAATACTGGATTCCAAGGTCGAGGGATAGGGGGAATCACAGCAGGAAGCGATGTATTAAAGGATGTGAAAATTTGCGCTTCATGTACGAAAACGCAGAGGTCAGGAGCCATGATGAGCACGGGTGATGGATGAGATTGGTCCGAGCGTTACGCGGGTCTGGAGAGATGGATGCAAAGTAGACACGAACGCGACAGTACAAACCGTCGCGCCAGGACCTAGAGGGGAGGTGTATACAAGATAGACGCGAACGCGACAGTACAAACTGTCGCCCTAGTACCTGTGGGAGAGAAGGACCTAGAGGGATATGTGTACGAGATTAATACGAACGCGACAGTACAAACCGTCGCGCCAGGGGAGATGTAGATGTGTGTCAAGGTAAGAATGGATGGGATAGGTAAAACAAAGTCAAACAAAGTCAAACAAAACGTCCTAACCTAACCAAGTCTTCATTTGCTTCAAGTCTCCAAAGCTCAGCGGTATGTACTGCTGAGTCTTAGCTCCCACCGTCTTCTCTTCTCCTTGCTCGACTGGCCGCATCACCCAGGGGTCTGTACTGTCGTTGTGCTTCTGAGAAATAGGCGATAACTACGTGGTGAGTGGCTTTTTGATTTAGACTGAGTCTCATACTTAACTCTTCGAGCAGACATCTGCCATTATGCCACCTAGCGGTTTGTACTGCTAGGATGTGCTAGCGACAACCTCCAATTCAGCGCGGCGGACTTCCTCAAACCTCTAATAGGGCGTACCTTGGGTGCCTCGTTACTTTTGCGCTTTACCACCCACTGCCATTATGCCACCTAGCGGTCTGTACTGCTATGATGTGCTAGCGACAACCTCCAATTCAGCGCGGCGGACTTCCTCAAACCTCCAATTATGGCGTACCTTGGGTGCCTCAGTACTTTTGCGCTTTACCCACCCAACACGCCATTTCACCCGTCAGGGGATTTTGTTCTTCAGTCATTCCTCCACGTTGCCGTGGAGGGATTTACGGGATAGCAACTAGCAATTCGCAAAATCTACTAAACGAGAATAACCTCCTTCCCCGAACCATCCTGTCCTCTCCGAGTTCCTCTGATGTCGTCCTTTCTTGCCTGCACTGCCTGATGGAAGACCCTTTCTACTTCGGCGGTGATGTCGTGTTTTATTACATGATGAAGATCCTCGCCCGCATCTCGTTTTGCTTCTCGAATGACTTCCATGAGCTTTTCGGCCAGTTCATGGAGTATCAAGATGTCGCTCTTTTCACGTACCGCCTCTTGGATATATGGTGCTTCTTCAAATACTGCACTTTGTGGAGGGTTGCTAGCGGGAAAGATGAACATGTGCATTGGTCTCATGCGCTGGGCGATGTCTATTGACCATGTCACCACCGTGTCCTGCAGGTATGTCAGTTAAGCCAATTGTCGCCGAGCCAACCATTGACTCACAGAGTAGCTGGTTATCAGAAAGGAGACGATGAGCGCCAAGGCACTCAAGTGAACCAGAAGCGTAAACATGCGCTTCAGCATATGTAATAATGACCAGGAATCTTTAGAGGTAAGAGTCGCCTTTCCTATGCTATAGTCGTGGACCCATAAGTTAATTGTGGCTTTGCCGCGGCCTAGCGCTGGTGATGCAGTGGCGACTGTGCAGCGCCCATCAATATCTCGGGTCTTAGAAGATTGTCAATATCTTATCCTTGGCAAAAATTCAATACCTACAGCGATGGTCTGCACCAGGCCTCCATTGGAGTGGCGAAGAGTGTCAAGTAGCTTGCCTGTCTTCCTTTCAAATACATACACTGATCCATTGTCGCTTCCTCCTACAATCAATCTTCCTTCTGCTCCGAATGCCACCTGTTTGGGTACTGACACACTCGGAGGAGCAGTTACGAATGTTCGAACTGGCTCCTCGTTGCCGTCAAGTCGGTACAGCGTAAAACCGTCTGCTGCGTTGTCGACCACGAACACGCCTCTCTTCTGATTGACGGCTGCGTGACCGCTGACAGAATGTTAGTGATTTGTATATTGATCGTGAGCTGTGGACTGACATCACTGATTTACAGGTATACTCCTTCACCACCGTGCCGTCGTCGCCATTCAACTTGATGAAATTACCATCGTACAGTCCAAATGCATAGACACCTCGGTCGTCTGCAAATGCGACAGACTTAGGTACTGTGTTGTCTAGTCGCACTGAAAACACAGCCTGCAGTTGCGAATTTGTGTTGAGGACAAGGACCTGAACTATTTTGTCCCTCGTTCCGATTGCTATCCGCGCACCTGCGTCGGAGGACGTCGGATCCCATGACATGCAAGTAATTTCAAAGCCCGATCCGAGTCTCCTAACGCAAATCTCCTGAAAATGCATCTGTTGATGTCAGGCGAAGGCCTAACGATGAACTAGGATTCTCTTACATCTATTGGGCTACGCCGCAAGAATGCCACGTAACCTAAACCGGTTCCATAACAAAGTGTTTCCGCCATGCCTAGTCTTGTGGTGATCCAGACAGCGCAGCTGACTGTACCCCGCGACTCGCAGTTAAGGGGAGAGCATGTGAGTTCTTTTCGTGATCTGGTATCCCAGAGTTTAACGCCCTCGGTGCCTACTTGTTTGTTAGCACCCTGCCATAATTAGAACGCATGTGAGTTACCACCGCATGCAAGAGCTTGGCCATCATTGGAAATTGCAAGCGCATGGATAGAACCGCCATAGGTAGAGAGGCACGCTCGATGTTGGAAGTGTTGCGTTGATTTCGTGAAGAGTGACCAGGCAAAGAGAGACATTGTCGCGTATAATCTTATCAATTGTAATTGCCAGCTCATTAACTCGCAGCCTATTTGTATAATGACTCTATTTGTTTTAGTAAACTTTTGTTCATGATTCCATGGCGATCATTTTGCTGACTTTTGTGTTCGGTTTTTTCATGAGCAACTTAGGGCCAATCTTATATTACAGTCGTCTATTAAAATCCATTGTACTTTCTATTCTCATCTTTTTTGTCATCGCCGTCCTGGACAACGTATTTGTTGATCCGTAATTGGTTATTGTTTCAACCCAATATGGCAGTCGAAGTGGTGCCATACTCATAAATCTTGCTAGAAGGTTACCTTCGTTCATACCCGCTCACATCGCCACCGTCATGCGCACACAACGATTCCTGTCTCTCCCTTCTACGACCAAGAGCCTGGTGCTCCACCACCGTTTCCTCCCATGCTTACCGACCAGCTTGAGTTATTTGGAAGTACTCATCACCCAACTATACTCATCTCCGACGAGATTCTCCCTGCCAAAGCTAGCACCATCGTCCCACCTATTCCTGCCCTCAAGGGCACGCCTGAGATCAAACTTGCGGCGCCATCATCCAAGACCAATCGTTGTTTCTCGCCGTACCCGAAGAGAGTCTCATTGGAGCGGTTTTCTTCTCGGTCACCCGTATCTTCCGATTCTTCCGACTCCATTGATTCGGTGTCAGACAGTGGCTCGTCTACTTCGGCCGCGAGTCTATCAGAAGACTCAAAGATACCCAAGCCCCCTGGCGAACCTGGTCGTCCGGGGCGGGGAGGATACACGCTCCAGGAGAGTTTAAACTGGAGTCCAAAGGCATACACGAAATTCAAGGTTAGTGACATGTTCTCACTGCGGTCTGCTGCTTACTAAATCAACGCCTCAAGAAATCTATGCACCACCTTGTCGAGGAACATCTCGATACCACAAAGTGCGCCTCTTCCCAAAGCCCTGCGCTCCTGAGATATGTGCGCGACAAAGTCAGTACACCTTCTATGGCGATCATCCACAATCTCATGATCTATTAGGCTGTTGATGCTTTCCCCGACCTAGACAACTACAGTAGTTGCTGGCCGGTGAATGATATCATCATGATGTGTCTGAAATACACGTCGGGACGTGCTAGGCAGAAGGAAGCAGGGATGGCTTTGGGCAAGAGCAAGAGGAAGACACATACATCGCCTGTGAGCTCTATTATCATTGCGAAGGTCAGGGCTAATGCTAATCTACAGGCCACTTGATTCATCCTGTCCCCTATATCAATATCGTAAATTACTCCGTAGAAAATGTCAGCATGATATTTGTTGGGACCTAGTCTCGAATAAGGGCACGTTGAGCAAAAATTAAGCGGAGTGATAGACGTAGGGATGCATGTAGAAAGACCTGAACTCGAGTTACGACTCAGCCGTTGATGGGTCATTCCTGACACGACGGTATGTACTGTCGTAAATCATTTCTCTTAATAGCTACCTCCCTCCCTTTTACCGAATTCAACCTTGCTACTCTGACCCCACAGGCCCACCGATCGTCGACCAGCCATCTACGACGGTATGTACCGTCGTGTGCGTTATCCTGTGGTCACTGTTATAGCGTCCCTCGTTGTTTGCGTATCCTTCATGACAGCGCCCTCTGGGCGAACCTCATTTATTATTTACTACAATCATTATACAATCACTTTCAAGTATCAAACTACCGCCTCATGAAACCTGGAAACCAGCCGATGGTTGAGCCGAGTGCTTAGTGGCTTCACAAACGTGAGAGTGCGTGGGATCCTTGCTCAAAATGATGTTTAATGTATCGTGTAAATCTGACAGGTACCAGATCAACGAGGCTCAAGGAATGACCATCTACTGAACTCACTGATGCATGATAAAGTCAGCGAGCGCATTGTCCCTGCCTCGCATATTCACAACAGAGCCACTGCTAACGCCAACCCTCATCACAACTGCGTCACCTCGGAATATGTGTTCTACGCTGCTAAGAAGGGGGTTGACTCCCAGACGACAGTGTCGCTTGAAGAAGACGCAAAACTGGTAAATGTGTCTCCCTTCATGTAGGGTAACAAAACAATTATGCACGTAAGGCTGCACGGCAGCGTAATTCAGGAGGCTCTCAACAACGGGAAAGCGTTGGGCTTTGCGCGAGCGATTGGAGCATCGCGTCAACATAGTGACCTGGCGAGGTTTACTCCCTGACGCAGAATACAGCCTACAACGCAAATGGAGCTCTGGAGTCTTATACAGCTGTCAGCGAGGATCAGGAGTGAGGTGAGGTAAGGTAACTTACAAACGACGTAGGGAAGATATACCCGCGAGTGTTGACCATTGCAGCAAAGGAATGACAAAAATAAGTGACAAGGCGACCAGCGCTAAGGATAACGTGAGGGAATGGGCGATGAAAGTGGGCGATGAAAGTTGGATTTTATAGTAGTTCCCCTTTGAACCGAGCACACCAACCACACACCCACCGTACACGACTTTGAACCGAGCATGACTTTGAACCGAGCACATCGCACACGACAATAGCTATTGTCTTGATTAACCAGGATATTAACTACGACAATAAACAATAAGTGTTAACTTGTGACTTTTTGAACTCAATTAATTCAAAGCCAAACCTAATATATTCCTTGTTCAATCTCAATCCCGACTCATGACCAAAAGCGCGCGATAAGGCTGCATATAAAGTAAAGACATATACGTCCAAACCTAAATCACAATTCCTATTGCCATGTCAGTACGAACGCGCTTTCTTCCGGAAGATGTTCAAACATACAACGATGTAGGCTTATTTGACGATGCCATGGAAGACGATACAAGTCAGCCTTCCAATATGATCGTCAATACGGTACCTCCAATTAGATCAAGCGGGGAGATAGACCAGATGGACCTTGAAGAGACTGTAGAGGATGTCACAAGCCCGCCCGCCACAAGGACGGTTCTCGACAAGAGGGAAAGGCTGCATGTACAACAAAAGCAGGTCGTCGATAAGGTACGACTAGTACAGAGAAGTTAATAACTAGCTCAGT